CCCCCCCCAAACCCCCTTTATACCTCCTTTTTTAAAATAATAATCCAAAACTAACCCCCCCCCCCCCCCCCGACATATATCCTTTTAATCTTTTACTTCTAGATATACATTTGGATACTCTGTATTTGGCTCACTCTGATCCAAAGCAGTTATGTCACCGTATGAGTAAAAAAAAGAAAGATAATATTGCTGGAATTTTTGGTGCACTTGGCACAAAGTGTGATTCTCCAATGACACTGGTAAGTAATAAAATCAACTAAAGAATGTATACTAACATTGATCTTAGGTTGAAGCATCATTTGATTTCATCAAAAAATCTTTAAGTGATGTTGATTTTGTTTTTTACACCGGAGACACCGCACGTCATGTATGAAACTTTCTTTCTAGAACGACATGCCTTATCAATCGATTAATCTTCTATGTCCATTAGGAGAGAGACGTCTTAATCCCTCGATCAGAAAAAGAAATTTTAGAAGAACACACAACTGTTATAAAGTACTTTAAAGATATCTGCGACATTCACAATATTCCATTCGTAAGTGTCTTTCACAGTAATTTTATGATACTAACACATTATAGATTCCTGTTGTTGGAAACAACGACATGGTTGTGCACAATGATATGCCAGCCAATGACCCGATATTTGGAATGCTCAAGACCATTTGGTCTCCATTCAATCTCAATCTGGGACCCAGCTTTGATAAAGGCGGATACTTTGTACAGGACATTATACCTGGAAAATTACAGGCTATGGTAGTCAACTCAATGTACTTCTTCAATAAGAATATTCAAAAAGAAGATTGCGATGTTCCAAATAGCCCTGGTGAAGTTCACATTGCTTGGATGAAGCAGGTTCTAAAGAATGCACGTACACAGCACAAAATGACCTATGTTCTGTAGGTTGAGCCAACACAAGTCATATTCACAAATATTTAGGTCATTTCTAACATTCTTCTTTTTTTTGGAACCCGAATAGTGGACATATTCCTACTAACGACGATGATGGATCAATTATTTTTAAGCCGGCTTGTCACAAGATGTATATTGATGTGCTGGGTACTTACAGTGATTTGATTGCTGGTCATTTTACAGGACATACAAATTGTAAGTATACAAATCAAATATTGTCTTTTTCTTTGGATAACTTACATTTTATTGTAGCTGATGCTTTGACTGCCATTGTCAAAAAGGGATCTGAATATTCTGCAGTAGCTGCTTTCGACAAAAATAATAGCACCGAACTGACTGCCAAAAGCTCTCAGATAGTATCCGTGCTTTTTAATGCACCATCCATAATACCCGTCCACAACCCTGCTATGCGGGTGTACATGTATGACAATGCAGGAATAAAGTAAGTTGTGTGTCTAGTATATGTGCAGCTTATAAATGTATTAACCACATACCCAGAAACCCAATTGGTACAATCCTTGATTGGACACAATACTATGCAGATATTAAAACAGCCAATAGAAAAGGAAAACTTGAATATAAGGTTGAATATCAAGCTTCACATTTGTTTGGTGTCAAGACTTTTAATTCTGCTGGATTCTCAAAGGTTTTTCTCAAACTCGAGTCTGATAAAAGTATTCGTAAAGACTACAAAAACTATATGCTGGTCGAGCCATAGTTTGCATATTTAGACATTGCTTCTTATCTTATTACCATTTATTTTTGTCTTATTTGCATCTCTTCATTGTATTATAATACATCCCATAAAGTATAAAGAAGCTAAAGGCACACATTTTTTCATTCACAAATATGTCTAACTTTTTCTAGAACGTTACAAAGATAATAGCTTAATATATGCCTACAAAGGACATATTTTATTTGCTTTCTTGCTTTTACACTCACAGCAAAAACTGCATATTTATTGTAAAAGGCTCTTGTTTTTGTATATATCCCAAGAACAAACATTTGCTGAGCTTTCAGGTACTGTAGCTCAAGTGTATTTGAATTTGCACTAAAAAAGAAAAGAAAAGAAAGATCGATAGAAAACGGACCCATATTTTGGTAGTGCATAGAAAGAGAGATAGCCGTAAGTTTTTTAATTGTTGTATCTGTATTTAGCTATGTATTTCTTTCATGACTAAACTGTGTGAGAAAAGCAAATCATTCCTGCAGAAAACAGATCAAAATAAAAAGAAGAAAAATGACTGTTCTGACACAACTGAAATGTCAGTAACATGGTACATTGATTTTGAGCCAGCGCATTATTCTTTTATGGAAAGAATTTGTATAAAAAAAGGGGGATTATATGTTCTTGTACACTGAGGCATTCGGGATTGATTTTGGGCTAGTATCTCAATAATGGGAAAAGTAGATACTGTGAGAGTGTTATTTCTTTTAAGAGACCAAATAATATTGTTTATATCTGTTACTATTAAAATCCCTGTAATTCAAATCCTTGTTGTGTAATAGTTGGTTTACACTGTATGAGTGTGTAGTATACATGTGCCTGGTGTGTAACAGTTCCGGAGATTTTTAACTTGCCAGGTTCATTAGCAAGAAGAAACCAGTGTTTGGTTGTGGAGTCTGTTTTTCACTCAATTGTGGTGTGTATACCACATACACTATGCCTCTTCCTTTTCATTTTTTTTGAAATATTGGATTAAAGCTAGTAATACTTTAAAATCAAGGTAGTCAAGGATATGCCTGTCTATTATACAAACTTTGATGATACGTTTAAATTTATCTGTCACAGATATTTTGAAAGCTCAAAGCAAATAAAGATAACCTGCACTTTTTTGCTTTATAGTACAGTAAAACTAGCAGAGAAAACATCGACGCTTTTTTACCTTACATGCCTGTACTTATATATATATATACTTAATATAATTCAACTTATTACAAGGCTTTAACTTTCTATAATTCTATATATTTTTTAGGGAAAAGGGTAAGAGTAAAATATCAAGCCTTATTTATTGGTTCTAATTTATGGGGAAGTTCGACAGTCTAATATATTTTTTACGTTTATTATTTTAAGTTTAAATTATTGTCCAATAAGTGTTGATGTTTTTGGTAGTTACAAGTAAATTAAAGGAATAAAAGTTTTTAAGCTGTCAAGTGTTGTGATAAGGGTTGTAGTGTAATGAGCCAAATAACCAATTGAATAAAACATACCTCCTCCAGATCTCAAAGGAACCAATTGACTTTAGAAATGAGGCAAGACAAAAATTTAAATAAGAGTAAAAGGATGTCTTTATTGAATTGTGTTGAGCTTCTTTTAAATACTAAAAATGGGGCCTGTGATTGTAAAATAATGACTTGTATGGAAGTGTGAGTATAGAAAAAAAAGGGAAGGGCTTTTGGCCAATGACTGACCAAATTTATCACGCACGAGACAAAGCCCTGTTTTAAAGGATTTTTCTAATAGGCCTTTATACTTTTGACTTAATTTAATCGATTATTCTTGGGCAATGCTAATTTTTAACAGTGCAAATCTTTGAGTACTTTTTCAGCTAGGTATTGGTTTTCGTAGTGCAAAAATTTGGTTTTCGTTTGCAAACTGTAAATGTAACATTGTAAGAGCACATGCAGCAGCTACATTTCAATTTCTACTAGAGATATAAATCATAGATAGTACAAAACAAAGTCAAAATGATTTGTTATTTTTTTAAAAAAAAAACACACACACATATCAAAGTGCAATATTATATGTGAAATCCAATTATTTAATTTTCACTTGCCGACCTTTTTTTGCTACTTTATTTGTAGCACATAAAAAATAGACCGTTTAGTAAGATTTTTTCTAAAGTAAGCTTCTAATTCCGAAGTGATATAATTTTGCTTTTTTGATTATACGACATTAGGAGAAACAATATATTGAAACACAGTCGCATTTTTTTCTGTGTACAAGAACTGCTAGCCTCACAAAAATGCCACGCTCCCAGGTGTTTTTAAATTACTAAAAACATCTTAGATCGTTTGAGTTCCAAAAATGCCCTGAAATCTACCAAAAAGACTGGGCATCCGAAATTTAAATTAATTATTTTATTTTATTTTCTTTTTATTTTTGCTTTTTTACAAGTTTTCAATTAGTCTTTAATTTTTTATTCTTATTTACTAGCAAGTAATTGAACTTCTTATTCCAATTTCAACTTTATTTAAATATTATACTGCATTGCAATTAAGGTATTTGTGATTGATTTTGGATTAGTATCTCAATATTAGAAAAAATAGATACTGTGAGAGTGTTACATTAGAAAAAAATTAAAAAATATACGAGGTGGTCGGAACTGCTTTTAGGGTAGTATTTTAAGATTAGAGAAAGTAAATACTGTGAAAGTGTTATTTATTAAAGAGATAGAATAATATGTTTATATATATTAATCGATAACGACGTTCTTTTTCTTACTACTCAATTTGCCTATCTTAATATTTGTACTTCCGCTGTGCCACGTCTGGTACTCAAAATCCACCCAGGCACACATAAATCTACCCACACACACACAAATCCACCCAGGCACACAGAAATTCACTCAGACACACACATCTTTTTTGTGATGAATTTATAGACCTATATAAATAATAAATCATTAGCATACTTTTGGAAGTATAGCTCTTCCCTATAAAAAGTTTAGCTACTATATATTACAATTAATGTGTAAAAATGAGTCAAGGAGTTTATTGAATGGATAGTAGGCTTTAAGTGATGTGGTCGTAAAATGGTAAGAAGATTTGTAGAGAATTTAGGCAGGGTCTAAGTCACGTACTTATATTCCAACTTTTTAAAGATATAGATGCGATATAATAGGGGATTTCAACAGCCATTCAAGCTTTTAAACTTAAGCTTTTGAGTTTAAATGTGATAAATGATTGGCTGGAATGAATCTCTAATCTTTTAATACATCCTTGCTTAAATTTGTTTTTTTTTTAGAAATTTAATAAATCCTTGATGCAAATATTTTTGCCTCTTTCAATAATACTTTAAACTTCAATAATATTATTACAATGCCTAATAGAGCTAAAAGAAGCATTTAGGGTACTCAAAAACACTTAGTAACTCTTACGTATTATTAGTTACTACTTCAAAACTCAAAGCTTAAGCTTAAAAGCCTAAAGGACTGTTGAAACCCCCTAATGTAAATTAGTCCCATCATCAATTAGACATAATCCAAAATAGAGTGCCAAATTGTGAATACATTTTTTTAAAAAAAACAGAGTAGATGCCGTGTTGTGGCAAAATATCTCTATCTATATTTGTCAAACTTGTGTTGCTTACTTTAACTTTGTATTTCAGCAGATGTGCTTTCTATTTTGAGATTGCCACAGAATTCCTTTGAACTGTTACCAAATCTATGGCAATTTGAGTTGAGTTTGCCATAATTCTATAGCAGAATGTCCTCGAATTGCCACAACGCAATACTCACTTTATTATGCCAAGCCATACTGGTTCTCGACCTAGTATTAAAAGTGCATTCGTCAAGGAAAATACATCTAATATATTTAATGTCGACTAATTTTTCTTTACCGACAAAATCATAGCTCTCTAAACCTCTCTCTTGCTTCAAACTTTTATATAAAAGAACCTAGTCTTTAAAAAAAATAGCACTAAACTTGGGAACAATAAGCATATAGACCATGCTTTATAGAATTTTGAGAATATCAAATGCTTAGCCAGGGTTCTTTGGTACTTCTATCAGAATGACATGAATATATTCTTATAAATATACTCTAAGCGAAATATCTTGTTGCTCTCCTTAAGAGCTTGTTTGTAAGTCATTCTATTACACATGTCAAGAATATTGTGATGATCTTGTTGATCATTCTACTCATTTTTAAGACATGTGAGTGTAAATAACGATTTGATTGGTATAGGTGGCATAGGAGCTCAAACCTTTTGCAATTTTAAGTTGAAAGCACCCAATCTTCTAATTAGTATGAAGCGTAGAAACTTGCTTAATGGTTAGTCTTATATAAATCACATTTAAATATCCTTTCATTTCCGACTGACATAAGTTTAGACATCCATGATTCCTTATAACTTACTCTTTACGTATTACAAAAAAAACTTGCTTTGAAGCTGCAATGCTTCTTGTCGATAACAAGTTTTAACGACCCAGTCCCACACTCGTTAACGATATTCATTTCGCCATATATATAGAAGCTAAATGCTCCTTTTAATCATTTGTAATGAAAATTCTAAAGTAGATATTTCAAGTGCAAATATTTCTACCTTAATACTCCCCAAGATTTACGACGACATACAATTTGAAAGATTACCAAACAAATATAATAAAATTTGCTTTTAGAAGAAAACGATAACCTTTAATTTTAAAGAAAAAAGTTAGTTTTAAGAACCGAAAATTATATTCGTACTGGACGTATAGATTGTCTTTTCTAACCTGTTAGATTCAAGTGTGGCCAGCCTTTAGTGAGGTTCGGTCTATCATTGGTATTATCATCATTGGCTTTTTTGCACTCAAAGACTGATTACCAAAAAAAAAAACACAGAACCCAAAATTACTTCCGCCAATAAAATTTATATAAAATTTCACAACTCAGAGTTACCAACTCTTTTTCTTCTTTAGTGTTTCGGCTTCAAAATGAAACTGGCATATATTTTTACCAGTATTGCGGCTTTTTTGACCGTTGAAGCCATTCCATTTGGATTATATTCTTACAGTCCAAGCATATACAAGATAAAGCCTCGTACGGAACCATCTAAAGCAGTGAACGGAAACTTTCTACATGTCACAGGTATTGCCTTTCTTTTCTTCTGATAATTTCATTTGATTTATTTATTAATGATGGTAATTTTGTACTAGATATTCATCTGGATAGCTATTATTTGCCAGGATCTGACCCTGCTACACTTTGTCATCGTAATGGAACCGATTCTACTAATAATGTAGCGGGTATTTTTGGGACACCAGGGTCCCAGTGTGATTCGCCTGCAACTTTGGTATTAATTATTTGAAGAACGGAGCTTTGTAAGTATATTAAACTTGCTGTCTAGATTGTGGATTCGTTTGGCTTTATGAAAAAAGAGCTTCAAAATGTGGATTTTATTTTGTACACGGGTGATACCGCACGTCATGTAAGATATAGCTGTACTTCTATCATTACACTGCTATCTCAACTGATTACACTTTATTGTGTTTAGGATAGAGATCCCGATCTTTTACGCACAATTGAAGATGTAATGACAGCACACAGAGTCACTGCTCTTTTTTTTAGTCAGACTTATAACCTTACAAAAACCCGTTTTGTAAGTCTATCTATCTTCAATATACTTTTTCTGACATGTAATTAGATTCCTACCATTGGAAACAATGACGTCTTTAAAAAAGACAACGTAGGACCTGACAATACAATATTCCAACAGCTTCAGGTCATTTGGTCAGGCTTAAATTTGAATTTAACAAACGACTTTCTTACCGGTGGATACTTTGTCCAAGATATCATTCCAGAAAAACTCCAGGCTATCAGTGTCAATACAATATTCTTTTTTGAGCCTAACCTTGAAATAGAAGAGTGCAAAGTTGAAGGTAGTCCAGGGTACTTGCACATTTCCTGGATACAACGTGTATTACGAGATGCACGCAAAAGCGAGCGCAGCATATATATTGTGTATGTTGAACGATAAGAAAAACGCATTGTGTAAGACTAACCAAGCTTTTCTCTTGTACATTAAAAGTGGACATGTTCCACCTAAAGACAATACCGGGAATATACTATACAAGAGTACCTGCTACGACATGTATATTAATCTTTTGGGCTCTTACAGTGACGTTATCGTGGGCCAGTTCTACGGGCACACTAATTGTACGTATAAATATGCACAGACAAATCTAAAAATATTTTCTTAACCTAATTTTATTCCTGTTTTTAAAGCTGATGCACTGTCTGTAATAGTCGAAGACGATAATTCAGACTTTTCTTTGATTAGTGCCACAAATGATAAATCCCAGCTTAGATCAACAGAAATGGTCAAAAGAAAAGTAGTCGGTGTGCTATTTAATGCGCCTTCGATTATTCCTGTTTATAACCCTGCTATACGGGTATTTAGTTACACCATCAAAAGTGCCAAGTAAGTTGTATATTATAAGCGTAAATTATATATATACATATTAAAACAAACAAATATTAATGCTCTGTGTAGTCACCGAACTGGAACTATCTTGGATTGGATTCAATACTATGCCGATATCAGTAGCAAAGCTAATGAGCCTATCAAATATGTAGTAGAATACGTCGCTTCTGAGCTTTTTGGAGTCAGTTCTTTTGATGTATCTACCACTTCAAGAGTGTTTACAAAGTTGGCCAAAAAGAAAAATATTATGGAAGATTACATTAGATATATGTTTGTTAGTAGTCAAAAGCAATGAAATGTACATAATGTATTTATATTTGTATTTTCAATATTTTCGATATTATCTTGTTGAATTTTAAAGAGTCTTGTATAGCAATAAAACAAATAGGTATTTGGATCATCCAGTGGGTGTTCCTTGTTCCTTTTCCTCTTTCAACTTTCGAAGTCTTTCCTCATTCTCCTTACTGACCAAGGCCAAGAATAGTTGTAATGTATAATGAGCATCATTTCCTGCATTATGTAGGCACCAGGTATCGATATCGAACAGTTTCAGTGTTTTTCCAAGAGACGGTGGGTTGTGCAGATCATGGATAGAAGCAGCATAAAGAGTGTCTGTATTTAAAATCCACGTAACAGCACTTTTGTGCACATCTTCAGAGTCGTTCTCTCCAGGGCGAGTACCTGGCCATCTGAACTTGTGTTTTGATAAATATTTTAAATCACTTTCAAATCCATGTCCAACCAAGATAACCTCGCCATCTCGTTCCACAGCCCAGTCTAGATCCTTTTTGAGTTCGTTAAGTGCTTGAGGAAGGGTACTCCAAACTGAAGTCCCAAATTGAAACCGAAGTTTATTATCTTCTACAAAGTTGCCATTCTTCAAATGCTTGTACGTGTTGATAAGGTAATGTTGGTCCATGTACAGATCGGTCTTGGAATCATACATACTCCATCCTATCTCAAGCAAGAGCGATTGATCCCTTTCCCATGCCTCAATATCGATACTGCAAAATACATTCTTCTTTTTTTCAATGAGCTCTTTCGACATCTTTAGTTCCTCCTCAGCCTGCTTCATCCGTTCGTTGCGCTTATTGATCTTCTTGACACGTTTTGAGAGACGGAGAAGGGCTACAGTGGATGTGAGTTCTTGGACTTCTAAATCTACGGGTTCAGGCTGTTCTGAAATTGGGTCTGGAAAGGGTAAAAGGATTTCTCTGGTAACGTTTTCTAATTCTTGTCGTACTTTCTCTAACGCTTCAGCGGTAATGTAGACAGATACAACACCATTAGAGTTTTGGCCAGTATAAAAAGCATTCTCGGGCAGTTCGGGTTCGAATAATTGCGTGGCCTCTAGGACGGGTCGAATGCGCTGAATGATTTCTTCGCCATAAGGATGGTACTGTTTGTACCAGCTGTCTTTGACAAATGACCAAGGAAAATATGTTTTGACCATTGTTCAGAGAGTTCGACTGAGTAGCGTTTGCATAAGATAAGCCACTTTAGTTAGAAGGAGTCTAAACCGTGACTTTTGTTACTGACTTGCTTATTCAAGTAGGGGCACTTTTTTTATTTTAAGAAGAGGAAAAAAAAAGGAAAGTCCCGATCTAGTTTAGATCTCGACATCGAAATATTATACAACATGGTATCCAAGAAGAGAAAGACCGCATCCGATGTCGAAGCCACCACCGCTGTTGCAAGCACTAGTGCAGCTGCTGCCAGCGAGGAAGTCAATTTCCCCCGTGGTGGAGCAAGCACTTTGACTCCTGTCGAATACCGCGAGATCTCTAACAAAGTTGCCAGCGATCTGTTTACTAACGTAAGTAATTCTCGAGAAATTTCTCAAAATCTAAAAATTCTTTTACAGACTCCTTCAAAGACTACCGAAGAGCCTGTACAAAAGAAGCGTAAAGCCGAAAAGAAGAAAAAGGTCCCTGCAGCAACCCAACCCAAGAGCGAGAAAAAAAGAGTTGTAATTAATGAATTGAGCTTTAAGGTAAATTTGAATAATCTTTTATGATTCGCTTTTTACTGTTGTTTGAAATACTAAACAATGCTACTTTATACTTTCTATATAATTATATAGAAATTGACTGTTGGAACTCTTTTGCTTGGCTGTATTTCACATATCAACGACCTCGAATTGATTGTTGCTCTGCCTCATCAATTGGTGGGTGTTATTCCTATCACCGAGATTTCAACACCGTTGACATCTATTGTCGAGAAAGTGGCAGCACAGGGTGATGATGAAGAAGAAGACGAAAATATCACACTCCCCAACCTTCATACCTTGTTCCACGTCGGACAATGGGTTCGCTGCAGATTAACCCTTCTCCAGGATCGTACAAACAAGGTCGTTAAGAAGCGCATTGAGCTTTCAATGAAGCCCGAGGTTGTGAACTCGGACCTTGCCAAGGCTGATGTTGTACCTGGAATGGTAAGCTAGTTTCTCTTTTCTTGGAATAAATACCTAAAACATTTTATAGGTTCTCGGTGCATGTGTTGAAAGTGTCGAAGATCACGGTTACATTATGTCTCTTGGTGTCAAGGATCTTACTGCATTCTGCAAAACCAAGGATGCAGCAGAGTACATTGAGAGCAATGAAGGAAAACCTCTTGTGCCTGGACAGATTGTAGACTGTGTTATCTCTAGCAAGGCTGGAAGCAAGCGTTCAGTCGATGTTGTATTAAGCCACAACAAGATCTCTCACAGTGTTGTAAGTGTTCCGTGGGTGTTTAGGCGTGAGAATGTACATTTGTACAAGTGTGCGTTAAGGTATAATTTTGTATTGTGGCTCATTCATTGATAAAATACATTAGATCACGGAGCCTTTCTCTCGTATCACTTCGGTTACCCCCGGACAGCTCGTCAACGGTATGATTGAAGATGTAGCTTCAACTGGTCTTGTTGTGAAGTTTATGGGTCTTTATGAGGCTACTATCGATGCTTCTCACTTGCCCCTCACCGCTAATCTCGAAGAGGCCTACCGTATTGGTACAAAAATCAACTTCCGCATTATGTACTGCATTCTCAACACTGAACAAAAGACAATCGGTGGATCTCTTTTACCCCATGTTCTTGAACTCAAAACCCCCGAGTTGACTGTAGAAGATAAGACAAAGTATGTTGGCGATGTTTTCCCTATTGGCAGCTTTTTAGATGATGTTGAGGTTGTCCGTATTACCCATTCAGGCCTCAATGTCTCCATTCCTTCTCTTGAAGGCGTAACTGGCTTTGTGCACATATCCCGTCTGGCTGACGAACACATTAAGTCTGTTTCCGCTTCCAGTGGAAAGTTCAAAATTGGCACTACCCATCGCGCCCGAGTTTTGGGCTATAACCCCACTGACTCCGTTTTGCAATTGACTCTTCAGCCCAGCGTCCTTGCAGAGAAGTATCTCTCTATCTCTGATGTCAAGGTCGGAAGCATGGTTACTGGTATTATTCTCAAGCTTATGCCCTCCGGTTTGCTCGTTAAACTTTCCAAGAATATCTTTGGTCTTGTACCCACTCAACATTTGGCTGATGTGCAGCTGACACATCCTGAGCTTAAATTCAAGACCGGCGCTAAGGTCAAGGGACGTGTTCTGTTAGCTGAAGATGGGGATAGAAGACGTATCATCCTCACCCTCAAGAATTCTTTGATAAAGAGTGACCTTCCTATCATCACCTCCAAAGATGATATCAAGGTTGGAACGACTACTCATGGTGTCATTGTATCCGTCAAGCGTGCTGGATGTATCATTGGATTCTACAACAACATTACTGCCTTTGCTCCCGCTTCTGAAATGACTGAGGCATCTATTAAGGATATTACTGAGGCCTTCCGCGTCGGACAGACTCTCAAAGTTACCTTTATCAGCGTAGACGAGGAAAAGAAAAACTTGGTAGTTTCATGCATCAACTCTGAAAACAAATTCTCCAATAAGAAGGCTTCTAAGACTGTGCCCGGAACCGAAGATGAGATGCTTGGTACACATGTTGTTGCCAAGGTCAAGGAGGCCAAACGTCTCCAGATCAATGTTACCCTTCCCAATGGTATGGAAGGCCGTGTTCATTTGACCGAAATGTTCAAATCCATCGATGAAATTAAGAACCGCAAGCATCCTCTCCGTCATTTCCGTACAAACAAGGAGCTCGAGGTCAAGGTCCTTGGTGTGCGTGATGTCAAGCTCCACACTTTCCTTCCCATCTCAAACACTTCTAGAACCAAGCAAACTGTTGAGTGCTCTCTTCTCGAAGAACCTGTTGCCCCCCGTGCTATTTCTGATGTTAAGGTTGGCCAAAAGTACCTTGGTTTTGTCACCGAGATAGCTCGCAACCAACTTCGTGTCAGTATTGGTAGTCACGTATCTGGAATTGTCCGCAAGCAACATACTTCAAGCGATCTCGAGATCGCAAACAACTTTAATAAGAACTTTGCCATTGGTGAGGCTATTGAGGTGGCTGTTTTGACATCCGATCCTTCCAAAAACACACTTGATCTGATCAATGTAGACAAGCCTAATACACCAACTTCCATTACCTATGAATCTGTTACCATTGGACAAATTCTTCAAGGTGTTGTCCGTAAAGTTGACCCAGTTCACGGTTTGTTGGTCCAGTTGACTGGACAAATGGCCGGCAAGGTTATCTTGACCGATATTTCTGATAAATACGTCGAAAACCCCACCGAATCTATCAAGGAAGACACCATCATTCGTTGTGCCGTTGTAGCCATCGATGCCTCTAAGAAGCGTGTCGATTTGTCTTTGAGAGAGTCGCGTGTATCTCCTGATACTGCAGGATTGGCCGAGAATAGAGAAATTGAATCAGTTGACGATGTTAGCCAAGGTGATGTTCTTTACGGCTACGTTGAGAACATATCCGACTCCGGTGTCTTTATCCAATACGGCCGCCACGTCAATGCTCGTGTTAAGATTGCCAATCTCTCTGATTCATTTGTCAAAGAATGGAAGACTATTTTCCACACAGGTCAATTGGTAAAATCAAAGATTGTTAATGTCGAGAAAAACATGAAGAGAATTGAGGCTACATTAAAGGAAAGCGATGTTAACGGAACCAGTCCCGTTAAGAAAGCTAAGAAGGTCAAGGTTGTCAAGGAAGATGTTGATATGGAGGAGGCTGATGACGATACTAAGATGGAAGATGCATCCGATGCTGATAGCGATGAAGACGAGGAAGAAGATGAGGAGGAGGAGGATGAGGAGGAGGAGAGTGAGGAGGAAATTGAGGATGAAGATGAAGAAATGGAAGAGGATTCCGAAGACGATGAGACACCTGCGTTGGCTGTCGGTGGATTTGACTGGACCGGTCAGGCCGCTGCCAAAGTAGAAGAAGAAAGTGATTCCGAAGATGAAGAAGAGGAGGAAAAGACGAAGAAGAAGTCAAAGAAACAGATTTCTGAGGATAAGACTGCAGAGCTCTCTACACTTGCACCCCAGGTTTCTGCTGATTATGAGCGTATTTTGATTGGATCTCCAAACTCTTCTTACCTTTGGATTAACTACATGGCATACCAACTCCAGCTTTCCGAAGTCGCAAAGGCCCGTGAGATTGGTGAGCGTGCTCTCAAGACTATCAGTTTCCGCGAAGAACAAGAGAAATTGAACGTCTGGGTTGCCATGCTCAACCTCGAGAATAACTTTGGCACTGATGAATCTCTTAATGAAGTATTTAAACGTGCAATTGTGTTCTGTGAACCCAAGAAGATATACCTCCAGCTCGCAAAGATTTACGAGCGCAGTGAAAAGTTCGATAAAGCAGAAGCTCTCTGGACAGAAGCCACCAAGAAGTTTAGTCAGTCATCCAAGGTCTGGACTCTCTTTGGTCTCTACTGCTTACAGAACAAGAACTTTGAGAAGGCACGCGAATTATTGCAGAAAAGCTTAAAATCTCTTCCTAAACACAAACACATCAAGACCATCACAAAATTCGCCCAGATGGAGTTCAAGCACGGTGAGCCTGAACGTGGACGTACAATCTTTGAAGGTGTTTTGGGCAACTACCCCAAGCGTGTTGATCTGTGGAATATTTATCTTGATATGGAGATCAAGGAGGGCGACAAAGAGTTGATCAGGTAACAATATTATTAGAATATCTGATGAATTTGACACTAATATTATTAATTGGCATATTTTATATAGACGTCTTTTCGAACGTGTCACATCTTTAAAGTTTTCTTCAAAGAAAATGAAGTCTCTCTTTAAGAAATGGCTGCAGTACGAAAGTGCAAACGGCTCTGAGGCTGATATTGAGCACGTCAAGGAGAAGGCTTTGGCATACGTCGAAAACAAGAGCGCACCCGCACTTTAATTAGGGAAACCTTACGGACAGACTGGCAGGACAGACTAGCAAAATAAAATGTAAAATAAGCGCTACATCACCCATAATTACTTTTTTATCTTACATGCACCCCCCTTCCCCCTTTTTTTTTCTTTTTCTTTTTTGGGGGGTCATACTTTGACATTTATTAAATATTTCAAAAGAAAAACGCTAATACTACAGAGTTGACATTTTTTGTGGGGAACTACATTTCTATCTAACCGGACTAATTAATTCTGACCACCTCTCTTTGGCTCAATGTCCTTTTCTAATCCTTGAGGGCAAAATGATGTGTTCTGAAATTCATACAGTATATTCAATTAATAGCCGTTTGCGCCCTAAATTTTGACTTGACAATAAATAAATAATAATAATTAGTCACAAATACACTATATCAATAGCCGTTTATGCAAAAGTCTATTAAGAGTTGTTGTCATAAGATTGTGACGCAATCTTGTTTGATATCTTACTATTCATTGGCCCTCTTACACGTATCATGTCTTTCCCTTTCTTTCACCTATCTTATTTATATTACTGAAGAGTGAACCAAGGTTTGTTATTGAAAAAAAAAGTTAGAAGCAAAGCTACTTACCCTTTTCTCTAAAGGTATTGGGTCGTACTATCCCGTCCCAGGCAAATATTGTAGCAAGATCGACACAACTTGTGGTCCAGGAGAACCAAAATGTTGTCTGCTACTAGAAAATGTCGTTCCCAACCAGGAAATATTGTCTGCGTAGGATCAGTGTTTTTTTTTATAAATATTTTTCAATTTTAATTCTTCACGTTCCTTTACCATTTTGGTTTAGAAGTAGAAATCTTGTCAGTATCCCACTCTTTCCGCATCATTGCGTTTTTCTTTAATCAAAAAGCAACCCCTCCCCTATGCACTACAGAAAGTAATAAAAATATTCGCAAAATTATTTAAAGACCGTAATAACTCTCAAAAGAGGTATCTTGGGGAAACCTGGCGACAATTAGGCAGAAAAAGAATAGTACTCTTCCTCTAATCAATGGTGCTCTTCTGGAAATTGTTTGATGTCTTGTATTTATTAGTTTTCGACTCACATAGTGATTGTCCGAGACATTTTCTCTTGATATCGCAGTACTCCCAACTTGAAGAACATGGGTGAGCCTCTCCGGAATCGTGTCATCAAGTCGCATTTGGTGAAGGGTATGTCGGATGTTAAAACCCCAGCAAGAACTCGATTCCACAAACGATGTTCATATTACAACGAAGCCATGTCCTCCAAACAATCTGGATTGGTACATCTAGAGTAATTTATAAAAAATAATATAAGAAAATAAACTGGTTGGAAAATTACTTTAGAAGAATATGGCAGGTTACTTTGGTGTTTGAGAGCGGCGATATAGACTAGGGTTTGGGATTTGCTTAAACTTTTTCAAGAGATGACTAGGAGCATAAAAGATACTGCCTGTTGGAACAAGCTTCATATTTTTATAAAAGTCTCCATTTTTTCAATAAGAATAGGCAGATCAACTATTCCGGTATCATATTTGATGTGATTGAAACTATTACACATTAAAATTACAGTTTTTCTTGGCAGAATGTTTAATATATCTGGACTAAATTGGCTTGTTAAATACATGATAAGCAATTTTTTTAGTGTAGGTCATAACCCCCGAAACACGACAGCTTTATGCATTTTTCTGTTTGTTTGTAAGGGACGACACTTTTATGCAAATATTGCGTTTATTATTTTAATACCCTGTCACAGTCACCTTACAAATATCATATAAAGTGCTTAGACATACATGCGTTAGCTTTTAGCTTTCTTTCTGTCAGTGATTACTTTATTATGTTCGATCAAACCTCTTTAACAGCCAACTTTACTTCTACTATTCCAGCTAAAAGATTTCGATCGTACTCTCAAGGTGGGAATATAACTTTAATTGAATATCAAAATAAAAATTGGTCTATTGATATAATTTACTTAGATTCAACCACTGCTACTACAGCTACAGACTCTACTCATTTTGCTGACTCTACAAAATCTTCTATTGGCGAGTTCGAAATTCCCTATTGTGATAACGATGGAGAAGACGATGGCATTATAATTCTTTTGGATCCTTCCCAACTTGACGTGGAAAGACAATTTGTCTTTGAAATGTGCAACATTTCAACTGTTTAATTACGTTTTCTTTTAAACGAAAGTTTAATTTGTATCCATACTATTGCATCTCATATATCTTTTATGTATATATTTCAATTTAAATTTACTCTGCATTCATAATAAAGCATGATCTATTTTGGTTAACACAGCTACATATCCCATTCACTATTTAAGGTATTCGCTGTAAGTCCTCTTACAAGGAAATATCAAACTCTCACAAACAGATATGACTACAAAATTCGCTGCCCTAAAAGAGAGGTAACTTGTAGATTCTCAAGATTAATATCAAGAATCCACAAAGAGCTAAAGATTTATGATTTTACAATCTTTCTCTTATTTTAGTAAATATACTTCAAATTCAACTATAATACCTTTCTATGGCGTTTACAAAACTCTCGTTTCTTTTTTTTAATCATTAGATATAGACGTACCCCAACTGTATGTTTTAAACGTTTCTCTATTATAATTGTTCATTCTATAAAAATCTTAAATTCCAAATAATCAGAATTACAATTTATATAGCTTTAATCTTTAATCTTTAATAAACAAATTAGAGTACTCAATCAACTGAAATAGTGGGTTCTTCGGTAGCTAATTCAGCTTAAGGTCCAATACGAATGACTATATGCTTTCTTGACTTATTTGTATCTGTAAAGGTGAAGTAGATTTAAAGCTAAAAGTATGCTATATAGAAAATCTTGTGTGATCTACACAAATGAATTACTATTACAAATGTGTGTGGTTAGATTACCGTACTAAATCTAAACAAGAAACTACCTTGATGTAAATAGCAATTAGAGTTCTTTTCAACCTTTCTAAATTTCGATAATTTTTTTTTGTTAAAAACAAAAACATCAAGGATATATATTATGAGCAATAATTCTATAGTGTATTTAGGGATAAACGCCCAAGTTATTTAGCTGTTTTTTCTTCAAAGTTCTATGACTTTTGTTACAAGCACGTTATTAAAAGTTGCTAAAAAATTCTTGTTAGAGGAGACTCTAAATAATCCTTACTTTACTTGTTCTAAAAACGAGGCTTTAATATATATATAAATCATCGATTTTCAAGGCCAAGAGGTGTTGCTAAGTAATCAGGGGAGTTTCAGCTTTTTTCTTGATATTAGAATGAAACTGTAATATATCACTGGGCCATATAATTAGGAGGATTATAGTGCTTGAGAACCGGGTGATATAAATGAGTACGACAGAGAATATAGTTAAATAGCTATTTTATTGTATTTTAACCATGTATTAAACATTTTTCAGAACAACTTCAATTATGCAATTTATCGATCCAGCTTGTAGACTTAAATATGTTTGTAAGACTGTATAACTCTGCTTCTGAATCGGTCAAAAGAGTGGCAAAGGAAGCACGAGCAGTTGCATTCCACAATCCAGGTCCGGAATTTTTGTATTCGCCAAATAAAACATCACTGGTGTTAGGAGATGCATCGCTCCACTGACTCCATCCAGCAGATTTAACATTTATACCAAAATTTGAATACATATAGATAACTCTGGCATACTTGCTCCAAGGGCGTCCGAGGTAGGTTGATTGTGAGAACTGGGAAGATGATGTAAATGAAATGGTGCTGTTATATGTAGTAACCAGAGGGCCAGAAGGAAGTGTGGGGATTATGTGACATTTGTTGAAGTAAAAACCGCCTTCAGAAGAGGCAGTCGCTCTTTTTTGAGCCGTGATAAAGCTACTTGGCCGGTTGGTAGCTAGAGTAGTATCGTCAAAATATCCTGATGTACGCTTTCTGTGATTAGAGTAACTCTCTATGTTCCTATGTACACCAATTGAAATTACCTGTGCCTTCACCATAGACATAGTCAACAGAGCCTTCAATGTAGCAGTTTTTGAAGTAGCTGGTGGTGTTTAAACCAATATAAACTGTATCTTGGAAACCATAGAATTTGACATTGTAGAAAGAAGCTTTTTTGGCCTGGACATTCAGAGCTAAATTTGCGATATTTCTGGTCTGTGGGTATATGTTGGCGATTATCATGTTGTAAATTTTGACATTGGTGCCATAAATGGACAAGGTTGCAGATCCATCATTAGTACCCGTAGGCGTTTGTGTGTCTCTCCAGCCGTTGTATCGAATCAGGACATGACCAAGTATAGTCGGTCTTAATATGACATTTGAACGGTAGATCTTGACTTGTTCAGTGTAAATACCAGGAGTCACCCGAATGGTCCAGGTAGAGTTGTCACTTGGAAGAGAAGCCAGTGCAGATGAAACGGTTTTATACTTGCATATGGAGCATACAGTTACACTCTCTATAGCAGAAGCAATTGAGATAAAGAAGCTTATAGCTAGTATAGTTAAATTAAAAGAGAGTCGCATCATTTAATTATAATAATTTTTCTTTACTTTTTCTAATTAGCCTTTATTTATTCATTTCTGTTCATCAACCTTACTTTCTTGTACACTGCTTTCTGGGCCAATGTTACATATAATTTTTGTACTAAACTAAAAATTATGACAATTATAATAGTTTTGAGGCGAATAGGAGCATTTTTGTCCAGTGGTACTGTGTATAGCTTTTAATTCTCACAGAATAATATCAATCATCAAGGAAATTCTCACATAGATGTGAGTAAATCAAAATACTGAGGCTTTAAGTTTTTAGCACATTTTATTACTTTACTTATAAACCTTATTAGTTTCTTAGGGTATTTAAAAGTTGTATAAACCTGGGTCAATTAGATATAGTCAATTATATCTAATTTTTTTAGAGGTTAAGGCCGCAATATGTAGCTATTCTACATTGCATCTTTTATAAAGCTCAATTTTAGACATTTGAAATTTATTGAGCCGGTGTATTATCCGGAGCTTTTACATTGCTTCATTTTCTCCAACTTGATCCTGAGAACAATCTGTCTAAAGCAATTATGTATATAATTAACGGTATATTATCACGAGAGAACATTATTCTATTGGTTATAAATTAACGAAAAATACCCGTAAACTATTTTATACTTTTTTCTTGGTGTGGAGAAATACTTATATTGAATTAATAGATTTAAAGCGTAAATAAAATTGATTGGGCTACTCTGTAGCTATTGACATATTATGTAACTTCTCTAACCCAAAATACAAAAAAAAACTTATACTATCTATTACAATCTATTCGTAGAAATTTTTAACTTTAATACTTGGTCACATAGAATGACACATCTCTTCGAACTTACTAGATTTCAAGGACTTGACTTAAATCTTCTACATGTATATGAGTAAACAACTGACTATAGTGATTACGTCTTAGAACAAATTTTAAAGCTATTTTACTATGATACATAAAAGTAATCAATATATGTAGAGTGTTTTTGCCAAATAATTTTATTTTTTATTTTTCACTACAAATTATATTATTCAAATAAGTATATGGTTAAATAGGCATATAAATTGTAATTTACAAGAAAAAAAAAGTATCTCATTAATATAAATTGCTTGTATGGCTATCATAATCTAGACACTAGTATCTATCCAGCTGGTTGATCCAAGTACATTTCCGATACTATAATAAGCTGCCTGGGAAGCGGTCAAGAGAGTAGCAAACGATGCACGAGAGCTGTCATTCCATTTACCATCCCCAGTATTACTGTATTCACCAAATAAAACGCCGTCGGTATTAGGGGAGGAAGAACTCCACTGAGTCCAGCCAACAGGGTTTATGTGGGCACCAAGCTCAGAATATATGAATATCACGCGAGCATACTGGCTCCATGGGCGTCCGAGATAGGTTGATTGAGGGAACTGAGAAGTAGAAGTGAATGAAAGGGCGCTATTAGCGGTAGCTTTGAGGGGACCAGATGGGAGAGTGGCAATAGCAGTACAGCTGTTAAAGTAAAATCCACCAACAGCATTTGCAGTCTGTCGATTGTGAGCAGTAATAAAACCACCGCGTTGGTTTGTTGCGACAGTGGTATGGTCAAAGTAGGCTAAGAAAGGGTATGAGTTAGTTTCCAGCTGTATAAAAAGTTAATTGACTATAGTTACCTGTTCCATATCCCCAGATGTAATCAACAGAACCTTCAATGTAGCAGTTCTTAAAGTAGCTTGTAGTACCGAGGGCAATCAGGACAGTATCTTGAAATCCATAAAACTTGACATTATAAAAAGATGCTTGAGTAGCTTGAAGGTTGAGAGCGAGATTGGCAATATTTCTAGTCTGAGGATATATGTTTGCGATGATCATATTGTAAACCTTGACATTGCTGCCATAAACAGACAGAGTGGCTGATTGTTCATTGGTACCGGAAGAGCTCTGGGTGTCCCTCATACCATTGTGTTGGATTTGGACTGTACCAGAAGTGGACGGCTTTAGGATGACATTGGACCGACGAATCTTGATTTGCTCATTATAGGTACCAGGAGCAACATAAATAGTCCATGTGGCACTGTTGTTAGGGAGAGAGGCAAGTGCAGCCGAGACAGTCTTGTAGGTACACGACGAACAGACGTTGATGCTGTTAGCAGCTGAGACAACAGAACCAAGGAACCCCGAGGCCAGGAGAAGAAAATTAAGGGATAGGTGCATAGTTTGGTTTAGAGCTTTTTTGACTTGTCATGGTGGTTCTTTTATAGCATTAATTGAATTATGCTAATTTCCTGTAAATACTTTGTGTTGATTACTGCACATGTTCAATGCCTTTCATTAATTATGTTAAATTATTATGTAGAAATAGAATCGGAAAATTATGGTTCTTTACACTTGTGTTACAGTTTTTTTTTAAAAAAAATCCCTAAATGATTTATTTACTTGGTTTTTTTTAGGAAATCCTTCAATTGTTTTCTATAATATACATAAATAACATGAATGTATTTAATTATGAAAGTATTAGATCATTTGGTTGGGTGTGTAAGAGCTTTACGAGCTTATCTGCTACGTTTCTAAAAGTGAGAGTAAAACATGGCAGAGTGGGGTTTAATTGACGTTCCTAAGTAAAAGATTTTGTGTAATTAATGAAGCATATTTTTAATATCAGTTGGTATGTTCCAAAAGAAATGCTAATTACTCCTACTTTTGTATCATTTAAAATTGAAAGCACGTATATATTATATATACCGTTTCTTTATTTCATTTTTTTTGGGCAGTTTGGCTTATGCGAATATATACATACTAAAGGTATATGATTCTATCTATGACTATGCCTGTTTACATACCAAATATAAAGGATAGGGTGAAAATAAGAAAGTTCTAAGTTGAATTTTGATACCGCGGAAACCTACTTAGTATTACAGATTATGGGCTCAATTTTACAGTATTTTCTTGTGGGTACCGCCATGGGGTATCCACAGGCACGCTATTTTACTTCAATTTCTTTTTCAAAAATCTAATTTTGCAGGAAGCTTTTGATTCATTATTTTTAGGATGAATAAATTCTGAGATACTCGAATATAGAACATAATATTCTAAGCATGCGCTCCACCTGTTGTGTAATCATGTAGCTGTGTTTTCTAATAAAATTGTTACATAATTTGCTAAGGGCGTAAGATCATTTTTAGTAGTGAGTTAGCTTAATTCATCTAAAGCTAAAAACACTACTTCAGCTAAATAAAAGGTCACTCTTTCCAGAAGTTCAATGTATCTTTTTCTTTAAAAATAAATTTTGAAAGCGTTTTCAGCAATCAATAAATCCTTGTTAACTTTAATCTTTATTTAAAATAGAATGAACCGAACTGCTGGTGGTAACAATTTTAACTATATATTTAAAATTTAAGAGCATCCACGGCGGTTTATCTAAACCTAAAGTCCCATTTTTTTTGTAAAATGTTAAACTTAGGAATCCATTAAATAATACTGAAAAACTTTCAGCTAAAGCATTTAGTTAGACAAATCGCTGTAGATGTTTCAAGATAAAAGTGGAGTTAAAGTAGACTGCTGAAGATTTTCTAACTTTGAGTAATTAAACAACATTGTCTAGTGGGAGAAACATTGATATTGTCATTCTGAAATATACAATTTTTCGTTTTTTCTTTAAAGTATATTTCCTGAGGAAAAAATAACATCTATAATGGCTGTGTGGTGCAAATGTTTAATTTTCATTAATAAATGGATTTTTAAAGTGAAAACAAAAATTGGGATATTTTGATCAATATTTGAGAGACCAATGTCAAAAACCATTTAAATGGTGGATCTTAATGTACTCCACAAAGTTATTTACATTTATAAAACACTTTGCATAATCGATTTAGATGTCTAGCTGATTTTCTGTATTTAATTTGTCATTTTGATAAAAATAATCCTTTTATTAAAAAAGATTCATTTAACAAATTCACCAATTTTCAAGTTATGATGCTTGTCTATTTAAATAAAATAGCCTACAAAGAATGTGCTGCTGATTTTAAGGGAAAGTAAACAAGCTAGAATATACAGAAATTATGATAACCATTTGTTGTGGGTATGTGTATTATTAATGTTAAGAAAACTACAACCTTGACATTATAACGCTCTATATAGTGACAGTGATAGTGACAGTGATAGTGATAGTGATAGTGATAGTGATATAGTTTTTTGCTTATTTTAATATTATCATTATATCAATTTTTTACTGTACCATTTTTTAAAATCTTGAACCTGTAAGTGCCGCCTAATCTAAGTACAGATTCTCAAGTTTATAGAGTGTCTAGTGAAAAGACAATTAGAAATTACAGGCATTTATCTGCGCCTTGTATTGTGCTATTATCACAGAAAGTAGCAATTTGAGATATATATATAAAAAAGGCTCTAACAAAAAGTTTTTTTTTATATCTGAATTTATTTTCATTAATAAGCACTCTTAATCTTTTATACGCAAAAAAGGATTGCAGCTATATAAGCCATTGGCATTGTACAAAGTTATTTGAAAAGTAAATAATAACATTATTATTTAAAACCTATTTTTAAGCAATAGTGTCAATCCAGTTAATGGAACCAAAGATGCTTCCGAGACTGTAAGAGCTGGCTTCGGTTTCAGTTAAAAGGGTAGCAAATGAAACGCGTGTAGTGGCATTCCATTTTCCAGGACCACTGTTGTTATATTCTCCAAACAAGACACCGTCTGTATTGGGAGATGAAGTACTCCATTTAGCCCACCCACCAGAATTAATATGACTATAAAGCTCAGAGTTCATGTAGACAACACGAGCATATTGATTCCATGGACGACCAAGATAACAAGAGTTAGGGAACTGAGAAGCTGAAGTGAACGACTGAGAAGGATCAGCAGTAGAAGTAAGCGGACCAGAAGGTATAGTGGGGATAACAGTACAACCATTGAAGTAAAAACCACCAACTGAGGTTGCATCTTTTCTCTTGTGAGCAGTAATGTATCCACCGCGTTTGTTTGTACCAAGAGTAGTGGCTTCAAAATAGGCTAATTGTTTATATATAACGTTAGATATAAATATGATATATATATTATTCTTACCAACTCCATAGCCCCAAATATAATCAACCGAGCCCTCGATATAGCAGCTCTTAAAGTAACTGGTGGCACCTGTTGCGATTAGGACAGTATCCTGGAATCCATAAAACTTGACATTGTAAAAAGAGGCTTGAGTAGCTTGAAGGTTGAGGGCAAGGTTGGCAATGTTCGTAGTTTGAGGATATATGTTGGCAATAATCATGTCATAGATTTTGACATTGCTGCCATAAACAGAGATAGTGGCTGACTGTTCATTGGTACCGGTAGATGTTTGGGTGTCTCTCATACCATTGTATTGAATCTGGACTTTACCAGACGCAGATGGCTTCAAGATGACATTCGATCGGCTGATCTTTACCTGCTCAGTATAAGTACCGGGAGCGATACTAATGGTCCATACAGTACTATCAGCTGGAAGAGAATCGAGAGCAGATGTAACGGACTTGTAAGTGCAAGAAGAGCAGACATCTACACTGTTGGCGGCAAAGACAAATGAACCAAGAAAACCACAGGCAAGGATAACCAGATTAATAGAGAAATACATGTTCCAATTTTACCATATGTTTGTTGTTGTTGTTTTTTTAACACTTGATGCTTATATTTATATATTTTCTTTATTTTATTTCGCTTAAACCTTGGCAATTATCTACGTTGTAAGTTGCACATTCTCACTATTCTTTTGTGGCTTTCTTTTTTCAAAAAAGAAGACGGACAAAACTATCGAGCAAATGAGAGCCTTTATATTTTTGTAGCACCTTCTCTTTTTTGTATAAGTTGTACATCTCGGAAGATTCGCATAAAAATATCGTCTCGAAATAAAATATTTATACTGATTAAAAGAAGTGACTAAGCAATCGCATCGATCTATTCTCCTTGATAGGTTATATTGCATTATTTTTTGAAGCAAATTTATACTGTGTGATTCAGGAAGTATGTGGAGTTTACCTGTCAAGTAGTTATTTTTTGTGTGACCAAAAAATCACTATCAGATTTACGTATATTTTTCATAAGTCAGTGCCTGATAATGCCGCTTTGATCGTACAAAATGGGATATTCAATGTTCGTTCCAATAATGGAACGAAGCTTGTAACACACGATATTCAGTGCGGAAATCTTTGGTTCTTCTTACTGTCATTTGTATTTGGCTAATATGTAGCCAATAGTCAACGGCTATATATATACATATTATACTTGTGAGTCTATGAACCTTAGCTGTCAGGAGTATCGTTACTGATTTCCTAGTTAGCCAACACCTTATGATATATTATCGAAAGGCATATTCTTTATACAGGTCACGCGATGGTATATGACGCAATTACAACGGTAGGTCAGGAACTTCGTTTTTATTTTTCAAGTACTTGTACAAACCTCGATTATCTCGCATACTAACTAACAACGTTTTTCATCCAAAAGCACAAGCTCTCGAAAACAAAAACGAGTCAAAGGCTTTCACCAGGTCATGTGTTAGATTCTAGTCTTAATCCTTAATACATGCCACATGAACAACGACAATTCAGCACTCGTTCCCACGTAAGCAATGTTAACTTATTAATTAGAGGTGAAATTCTCTCGCAACTTACTGGTGCTATGTAATAAGTCACTTTGAGAACCCTCTCTTGTCACCTTATGACACAGATCCTGGTAAGATACCGACAATTCGGGAAGTGAATGACTAATTTAGTGCATGTAGATGATGATACTTCAAGCATCGAATTTAGATTGACAGAGGATGAAGACAGCGATCAGGATATTAAAGATTCTTTTATTTATGATGAAGGCGAAGTAAGAAGTATATTTCTAAGATGTATTGCTAGGCTTTCTAACTATATAAGCATAAAAGGTTGATAGTATTACCAACGAAATGTATGCACAGGGCATGGACATGGTATGTAAATGTAGATTTTTTCAGAGAGCAAAGTACAGTACTAAGTAATATATTGGTTAATAGCAAGGGATGGTATGGAATGATACATCGAATACCAGAGAAGCTTACCGAAGAGAAAGGTAGATTTATGTTAGTAAAACAGAGATCTTTATATTGGTGCATTATGCATAGAGTGGGACTATGAATTGTGAGTAACAAAGTGGGATTTACTCCTTATCCTGTGCCTTTCTCAGGATGAAGGATTTTGTAAATTATCTCAGTGTACAAGATCAGGATCATAAAAGTTTAGTAAACAAGATCGAGGTAATTATATTTTATTCTGCTTTAAATAATTTATTTAAAAAGTGTCTTGGCTTATTCTATGATAAATAGAGCCAACCTGTCAAGAAAGTATCAAAGGACGAGACATTCTATAGGTTCAAGCACTCCAAAACAAACGTCCGATGTACATTTGGTCATTTCCAACTGCGCAATTTGCTTTGTGCACCTAACAAAAACCATGTTTATTACATTTGTATGATTCCAGATGACTACTAGATTCATTCATTGATTCTTCTAAAAACAAGCGGACTAATAAATTCCCTATTATTATAGGTGATGATGCAGTACGTCAATGGTCTACTCACTCGCGTACTAGTAAGGAAATTCTTAATGTAAATCAAGCTGATACACCACAGAGTCTTGCGTTTACAATAAGCAGTATTTCTTGTGGACATGATATGCTGGTTATTGGCGGTGCTGGAGGAGAGTATGCCTGCCGAAGGATCGATGATAAAGATTCAAAGGTTTACTATGGTGCGACAACCAGTAATACACAGACTGGGATTGCAAACCACATCGAAATCATTAGCACTAGGACTGGAGGTAATTATAAAAAAAAGATACATAAAAATCCAACCTTATTTATATTTTTATATAGTTCTTCAGTCAATTATGTCAAACAATGATCACAGAATTCGTTTTATGAACTTGGAAACATTAAAATTTGATACTGTCTTGGATTTCAAATTTCCTATCAATGTAAGTTATTTATCATGGATGTGTTTGCCTATAAAATGACCTTTGTGTTTCATAGTGCTCTACAAGCTCACCAGATAAGCGGCTGCTTTGTGTAGTGGGTGACTCTACAGAATCATGTATTGTGGACATCTCGTCCGGAAGAGGTGATAGTTATTGATTGATAGTTATAACTTTAATATACTTATTATTTAAGCATCATAGTTGTTATGGAAATGAACGAGCACCATGATTATTCATTTGCGTGCGCATGGCATCCAGATGGAAGGACAGTAGCAACTGGGAATCAAGATAAGACAACCAGGTAAAATCATCATAAACAAATCATTATTTTTATTGCTTAAACATCTGACCACTACTTTATATAAAGAATATATGATATTCGTAAATCAACAGAGGCAATACATGTTCTTGGAGGAATGATTGGATCAATTCGGTCTCTTCATTACTCGCACGATGGAAAATATTTAGCAGCAGCAGAACATATTGATTTTGTACATATCTACGATACAAGCACCTTTGAAACGAGTCAAGTTGTTGACATGTTTGGTGATATTGCTGGTATAGGTAATAGACTCGAAGTAAACTGTGGATTCTGGTATGGGCTACTAAAGTTTCCCCTTTATTTCTGGACACAAAACAGGCTTTACACCTGAAGATAACTCTATATACATTGCGAATGCCCATGAACAACACGGGTAGGTTTTCTCTTTCGTTCAGTAAATCAATACGTACTAATACACATTGTCAGTGGTATATTTGAATTTGAGAAACTGCAAGATACTTATTCTCCATACTTATGAAAAAAAAATACCATGTTACCCAAACGAACTTTAGAAAATAATAATAATTGTCTGGCTAAATTCAAATGCACTTTAGCCAAACAAGCTTTAAAGCAGTCATCAACATTTAAGTAAATATATAAGCATTATTTCCCTACCCTATTTTAGTGCTTTTTTTTATCTAAATAACTTTACAATATTAAAGCTATATATTCAATATATATATATATATATACATCGTTTACAATATTGCTTTTTCTTTTGCCAAAGTTGATTCTCATATATTCAAACATGGAATATGATTGATAAAATTTGGACTTTTTTTTTGCAAATTACATTCTACATAATATCTGACATACCGGCGCAGACTATCAAAAAATGGAAGTAATACATCTATTCTTTGTAGGGTTAGCCCTTCGAGTTCATATGTACTTATTTTCTCCAGCCGTTACATAGCTTTAGTATGACATGACCCCAAATATATACAATAGGAATGATATTTGTGATCTAATTGGATTAAAAGTTCAAAATCTTTAAGATACACCTCTCTTTCTTATAAAAAGTGGCATAAGTACCAATGCGTTGCAGTGTATCATCCCCTTGAAGTATAGAGTACATTTTCATGGCTCTGGAACACTCTTCATACTATTAAATAAACTGCTTTGCCAAACAGACCGATATAATAGTCTTTGTAAATGTTTCTTTTTAACACTAACAAAAGCCAAAATTACCTCTGCAGAGATAAATCTTGCTAAATTTTTACGTATTCGAAGTGATACTATAATGCTGACTCTAATCGTATTGTTTTGAACTATTATAAAGCTTTATTCATTTGACTAAACAACTGATCTCCACTAGTCTACCATCCAAATTACTCTTCCCAGATACAATTCTAGTTCTCTCATTCTATACCTTTTGGGAAAATCTGGCTTGACTGATGATAATTGATTCAAAGTTAAGTATATTTTTATTTTTGTAACATGTCAAATAAATAAAGAATCTCATATTTACTAATTTCTGATGTTGGATCGCAATTGACACAAATAGTCCAGTCTGAAAGGATCAAGATTGCGGCCTGGGTTCTTTTAGTATTCTTTAATTTTCTTTGTAGACGTGAGGATTTATAAAGACCCTTAGTATTAAAGCATTTTATGACATCAATAGTACTCTTTGGAATACCAAGGGCTATAAAGCAAATTTTCAAAAGATAGTGATAGTAGTGTCCTTTTCCAATTGATCTATATATCAGTTTTTATGAATGGATTCAATTCTCGTTTTTCGGGGTTTATCCTATGTTACTAATGTTTTCTAGAATTATTATGTATTAATGTCATCTTCTAATTAGATGGTTTAATAGGCTTATAGAGATATGAAAGTTTTGTCAATGTTTAAAAAAATATAAAAATCTACGAAATTTTGGGTCCGGCAGGTCATCCATTACATTTTTGTACTTTTATACTCTCGCCTTTGTCTTTTAAAATCCCGTGCCTATTGGAATTGACCATACCAATAAATGCAACAGTAAGAAAAAAACCCCATTACAAGGGAGCACATGATTTCTTTGTTGTTAAAATACAGTAGTAACGATCCCTCTACAGCTTTTAAGTTTGAGTCTTTTATAAAAGTCACAATACTCACACGATAGGTTTAGTATATAAAACAATTCAAGAAATAAAACGCCTTCTTGTTCTTCTTGTTTGAGACCTTTATCTTTATTTTATTTTTCACATTTTATACACTATGCGTTTCCTTGAATGGAAAAGCAAGGGTACTGGAGTACTGTTGATGCTCACAGCAGTACAAGCATTTGACAGAAGTGTATTCCAGCAACCTATGTATGCAAATAAGTCTATCTCCAATGATAGCTATCGTATACGTGCCCAGTCACCCCTACCCGATGCAACCCAGCTTACACAAAAAGAGAAACAAGACTTTATAAAAGGAGCTTTTATGTTTGCTTGGGAAGGATACAGAGCGTTTAGTTGGGGATATGATGAAAATAGACCTGTCTCCAATCGACCAGTCAACACCAGGTAGAAACAAATGATAGTTTATTATGAATTCATAAGCTAATGATGATGCGTAGGAATGGCTGGGGAGGTATGTACATTGTGAAACGATCCACAAACATACAGAAGAAAAATGCCTAGTAACCATCATATTGTGTTTTGTATTTAAAAAAGCTACGATTGTCGATGCCTTGGATACATTATACTTGATGGGTCTAACAGAACAGTTCAACGAAGCCAAGGACTTCGTAAGGACTATCGATTGGAAGGCTGTAAAACCAGGAAATGAAGAAGTTCAGGTGTTTGAGACCGTTATTCGATACGTCGGTGGATTGATTTCTGCCTATGATCTATCTGGCGACAGTGTTTTTATAACTAAAGCGGTAGAGCTTGTGGATCTCTTGATGCCTGCATTTGATACGCCAACTGGTATCCCATATCAATTTGTGAATTTCAAAACGTAAGTATTTTCTCAGGGGTGGAATGCTATGGAATGATGGTGTGTATCGTATTATGAGACTAACCTGCTTTATACACAGAGGAAAAGGAGTGAAATCTGGATTTACTGATGGCGCATCATGTCTTGCTGAACTCGGGACTGTTCAGTTGGAGTTTACACGGCTCTCTCAAATCACTGATAACTGGGTTTATCATCGAGCAGTACGTTTATTGATAAGCACGCATATACAATGTCAGATTAAATTAAAGGAGATTTTGTAATAAGGGCCAACGTGTCTATGAAGCCTTCGAGAACATGAGGACTTCACCACATGGTCTTTTTACTCATCTTATCAATCCAGATACTGGAAAGCAATTAGGAAGTAAGGCGAAACAAAGGGTAGTTTTTAGATGGTTGCCATTCTAAAATTTTCCCGATTTTTATAGACTATATTACTTGGGGAGGCATGGCAGACAGCTTCTATGAGGTTAGAGACAAGAATGCTTTACATTAAATTTTACCTAACCTGAGCCTATTTTTTCAGTACTTGATCAAACAATATGTTATGTCGAAAGGCAGAGATGAAAGGATGAAAGATATGTCTATAGCAGCAATCCGAAGTTTAGAGAAGCATCTTTTAACCAGTCCAAAGGATCATTCAGAGCGAGTTTTGCTTTCTGTATTGGACAATGGTGTTCAAGTACCAGTCATGGATGAATTGGTAGGTGTAGTATTACATTCATTAGGTATATGAACGTAGCAATAACCTTCTTTGGTGTCAATAGGCGTGCTTTGCACCAGGATCTCTTCTCTTGGCTTCTAAGACTATTCCTGGCTTAAAAAATATAGAAGACTTTGCTGCTGATTTGATGGATGGTTGCTATATTGCTTGGTCTTCAACTCGCACTGGACTAGCACCAGAAACGTTTGGATGGGAAGATTCAAAGGATGGTCACACAGTGGTGGGTGAACTTACCGGACGTCGTAAACAGCTTGCAGAGGAAGCAGGTGTATTTCCAGTCACTTCGAGCTATATTTTAAGACCGGGTAAAAGAAGAAGAAAAGAAAAATTGGGGCAATCAAAGATATTCAACCATGTTATATAGAGACTCTTGAATCTTTGTATTATTTCTACAAGTATACTGGAGATAAATCATACGAAATCAAGGCTTGGAATATATTCAATGCTCTTCATGTCTACAGCCATTCAAGCTCTGGATTCTCAGGTGTTCAAGATATAGACTCGTCATACCCAACTTGGGATGACCGCCAAGAGAGGTATTTTGTTTTTTTTTAGGTTTGTGTTTTGCATATAACTTATTTTTCTCGTTATATATTGCAGTTTCTTTTTCGCAGAAACCTTTAAATATCTCTATCTATTCTACGACGATGATGCTGCCGAATCTGTATCATTCGATCAATGGGTATTCAACACTGAAGCACACCCATTCCGTATCGTCGATAAAGAACCACCAAAGCCTGTAGAGGTTCCATGGTTTGATGAGATCTCAGACTTTTTTGATAAATGCCTTAGCTTTATACTTGGTATTTTGTTTGGATGGATTGGAATTATTTATAAATCTATTTTTGGATGAGAACTTTGATGATCGTCCTGATTATTGATAATCAATAAATGCAAGCACCCACAAAGCTTCCTCATTCACTATCAGAACTTTGGTCTCCAAGGAATGATATATCAAATCCAGTCGACTTTTTTGATTCTTCATCCTCCTCTCCATCTTCATTTTCCTCGTCGTCTTCCCCTACAATCTTTCTTGGCTTTCTGACTCTTCTGCCACGAGTGTGGACACCTTTATCGTCATTCAAAATGTTTTGTGTATCTAAGCTTGCTAGTTCGTCTTGGATCTCTCTTTGGGCCTTAATTTTTTCACATTTCTCTATAGTCGGGCGGCCTAGATAGCATGATTTAAGCACTAGCTCGGATATGAAACAATATATATATTTAAGACTTTAGTTACCTTCCACACCAAGTTCCACAAGAATTTCTTGTAGCCTCTTGATTTGCTGTTTGGGGCTGGTACAATTCGAGAATTCTTTTGCCCTGAAAGTACATTTTACTGTCAATATATGTATGCCTGTAATTCATTGATGATAATAAGCACTTACCACTGTTTTCTAACACCACACTTGCTGACATATTGCTTCAAACGCTTGATTTTCTCTTCGTTGGGAGAGACCTAATACATCTGTATTAAATAAAACAATCATGTATCCATATTTATTTTTGCGTATAATTACTGCTGCAGTGGATTTCTCTTTGGTTCCAGCAGCTTTCTTCAACTGTGATGTTTCGGTTTCGTCGTCAGAGTCTTCTTTAGTGGTTACTACTGTACTAGCTTTCTTTGTGCCTTTCTGCTTCTTTTTGGGTGGAGATATATCCAATTCACTCATCTCTGACTCGTCTTCACTACTGGTCTTTACTCCCTTCTCTTTTGACTTGGAGCTTTTTACGCCATTCTTTCTTGATCCGGTTTTACTTCCTGTCTTTGTATTTATATTTGCCTTTTTGGCCTTTTCCTTAGGCTCTACAGATTCTAGCTCGCTCATTTCTGATTCTTCATTTTGGATTTCTTGCATTGTATCTTCCTTTGAAGCATCAACTTGGGTTTTATCGACCGAGTCATCATCATGGTATGTATCCATAAATATCTTATCAATCATTGTCTTCAATCTTTTTTTCGATGGCTTTTCATCCAAAATATTTTCCTCAAGCCCCTAAGAAGTGCATAGTCGATATCATGACGTGTTGAAGCTTTTTTTTTTTCAAATACACAGTAAATATTAACACTTACAAACTTTTTCTCTAGTGTACGCCGAATATTGACCGGAGTAAGTACTCTGTGTAATTTGTTATTATCACCTCATATGCATATCTACATAAAAACTTTTTCGTGTTTTACATGATCTACATACTCTGGATCGCCTTCTCTTATGATTCTAGATCATCACAAGATCTCATTAATAAAATATATCGTCTCAATCAAGTACTTTCTTTAATTACCTTTCCAATTCACTGACAAATGTCTGTTTTCTAATGAGTTCATTAATGTCTACCATTTCAAATAAACAGAAAGAAAATGCCAAACCAAAACTGCAACCAAGCCATTATTGCGAGCGGCGCAACTCAATTTAAAAAAGTCACCCCTCCTACTTTCCCAAACTATCCTCATTTGAATATTCAATCATTAACACCATGGATGAATACACCCCATTTACGATGGTTCCTCCATCTGATGATATCTTGTAATCTTTTTTTTTAGTTTTATAAAATGCGAAAACTTGTCTCATTATATTCATCAGTCTGCTTATGCGAAAAGATCGACTTAAGGATCAAGTTATAGAACTACGCAAACAATGCAAGTCTTACTAGACTTATCAGAATAGTGAACATGAAAGGAGAAAAATCTGAGACTCACTACCCTGTCTGCTTTATATAAGTGAGTCAGGCGAAAGACAAACATAGAAAACTACAGCGTAGTGTAATGGAAGAAAAAATCGCCCGTTTGGTTGCATCTAAATTTACAGAGGAAATCAAAGGTCTACTCTTTTAATAAATAGGGTACATTAAAGAGTATGGGCTGACAAAATGTTGTATTAATATAGACCCAACCAAGCATAAGGCATCAGACATGAAAGGGTTCCAACAAAAAGTATATCAATATTTGGTAATATATTTGATTTATTATATTCTCATTCTGTATTTTTTCTTTTAAAAAAAAAGATTCATGACCAAATGATGGCAACAACAGAAGCTAGATGCGTACAAGAATTGATCGGGTATCATCGCCTAGGTGGAAGGACAACATTTAAGCTTCAAGATCGATACGAAGGCATTAGACTAGACACATTCTATGGACGTAAGTATTTATTTCTATACTTTATAATCAGTCAATCTTCTATTCTTCTGCACAAGCACTTACAGTAGACAATAGGTTCCTACCGCGAACCTTACTATCTGTTACTTAGAAGAGATCCGATGGACCAGCGGAAATTAACAATTGAAAGACATACCATCCCTCAATTTATTCAGCTGGATCGTCTTGCAACCATGTTTCTTTTAAAAGATCGGGAGGTAAACTGATTTTATGAACGTTTTATGTGTTCAAGGATTCAAATATTTTGGCTTAGACATTTCTAAGAATACTTCAAGACTTTCTACTTGCTTTTGTGTCAAGAAGAGAGCAAATTAATGAATTTCTGAAATGGGCAGAAGATCAGCCTCATATTGTAAATATACAGTCAGAGTTCGTGGCCAAGTCTCGTCTGGAGTTTGATATCGAAACAGATGCAGGGTGTGTGTGTGTGTGCTTCGGTGATAATGATATTATAAAATTCATTTTACTGACATGAGTCCTCTTAGAACACTTCGAGTTCAACTATATTATAATGATATATCTACGGACTACCCTACACAGGCGCGCATTCGGCAATTATCTGGACCAGAAATTCACGATTTTACACATGAGGAAAACACGTTCTGTTCTCACAAGATTCTCGATGCCTTTCATATTTTATTTGGGTAGAATAATCAAATACTATAAATATATTTCAGGCACATCCATTGAGAAAAATAAATCAAAACTATAAAACTGACACAAGTTTGAATCAGATCTTTGGAAAAGTCTTTGGATATGTCGCAAAAGGGTTAACGGGGTACACATTGATAATTGGCGGACTACGATTCATTTCGGCCTGGATAAGGACATCTAATCGAGTAAAAGGTTTTACTTTTTGCAGATTTTCCGAGGAATAAACAGCGACCTCCATTACGCTCTCCTGACTAAGCTTGACTACAGGTATACCAGGAATGTTGTCCAAAGGCCGTGTATCAACGATATCAGTATCTGGTATTTGTTCTATACTGCTCTTTGAGTCTGTCTCAGAATCATCGTCACTCGGTTTTTCAGGTTTCTCTCTACATGGAATCGAGTTCTTCTTCCAGTACATGTCAATGCAAAGCTCTTCCGGATTGTGTTTAAATTTTTCAAGTGGTAAAGATTTCACATTGATTCTTTTCTCGAGACCATACTCGGGAACAAGGACATCAAACCCTTCACTGGTAACTTGCAATACAATTGCTGGACTTATTATCGAGCCTTTCTTCTCCATGATATCGAGATAACGTGCCAAATACAACTGGATACTCTGATCCTGTGCATTCTTTGCGCCATCCTTCTTTTGGTTGCACCTCAAAGCAATTCTTTCAACATCTTCTTTCTGGTAACCACATCCAGCTATAGTAAATGGCTTCAATGTGAGATTTCATGTTCCAGAGCAGTAAATAGCCTTATTTACCTTTTTTTTGAAGGGCACATTCTAATTGACGATGCACAATTACATCCGCATATCGACGAATAGGAGACGTGAAGTGGGTATAAAGAGGAACATTGAGGGCATAGTGCGAGTATTTTTCTGGTTCAAAAGAGCCAGTACAAAAGTACTTTGCACGTTGCATGGATTTAATAGCAAGGATCTTTAAGACAGTCTGAATATCCTTTGCTTCAATCGCATCAAAAGAAGCTTGAAGTGTTCCGGCCGTTGAAGCATCAAGAGTGTATCCCAATTCTCTAGCGAGTCCTAGGAATTCTTCCTATTTTTTTAACTATATATTAATATTCTTACTTCTTATAATTTTGGCCTGTTTACCATTCTTCTTTCAATAGGTGGGATGTGGCGACGCAAGAGTGCCTGCTCAGGATAAGCTTCGGAAATTTTTTCAGCCACGCTCATATTTGCACGTAGCATAAACTCTTCAATAAGGCGATTAGACTCTTTCATTTCGTATATCCAAACGCCAACAGGGTCCCCATTATCATCAAGGTTGAATGAAAGACGGATAGAATTCATGGACAAAGCACCATTTTCAAATCGACGAGAGCGCATATGTTTTGAGAGTTTGTATAAATGAATAATATCTGACTCAACATTATCAGTGGTATGCCCAGCAAGTTTAACTGTGGATGGGAGTTTGTTTCCATCGATAACACTCTGTGCATCATCATATGAAAGTTTTGCACAAGACCTAATCAACACATCCTGTTAAAAATTGTATTTAAAGGAAAGGATCACCCCCATTGAAACTTACTTGATGATAGTTCTTCCAAACCATGTATCCAAAATGTTTCCTTTCAGGTCCATCTTCCAAATTACAGAGAAAGAAAGTCTATTTCAATTGAACCTCAGTTATATGATATGCTATACATCGAACTATTATTATTATTATTATAATTATTATTATTATAAATACCTTTCAACACCAGCGTTCAAACTACAAAGCTCTTCACAAAGCAGGGAAGGTAGCATAGGAATCACACTGTCAACCAAATAAGTACTAGTAGCACGATCATATGCTTCTGCATCCAAAGCGGTGTGTGTCTTGAGGAAGAAAGATACATCTGCAATATGCACTCCTACTTCAATATTTCCATCCTCAAGAGGTTGGACATGAAGAGCATCGTCCAAATCTAATAAAAAATATTCATACATAATCGACTACTTATAGATATAGACATAGTTTAACATTAAGTAGATTATCATTTTACCTTTGGCAGTTGCAGGATCAATTGAAAATACTCTGGTATCGCGAAGGTCGCGTCGCTTTTTGTACTCTTTCACGGGAATTGTCCATGGAGTAGAAGGTAGTGAATTGAGAACCTTTGGAGAAAATGGGGAATCTTTGATTCTATTGTCTAGCATAACGGCCTTTGCTTCTGTCTTAAGTTCACCAACTTGACCAATATCTTGTATAATCTTTCCAAATGGGAAAGCAGAGTCAATAGGCCATTCCACAAGCTCGACCTTTAATATATATATATATATTTAAAAAAAATTAGAGCCCATAAGAAATTATCTTCCAGAAATATACTTACCACCACAATGTGATCTTTAAACTTGGCTTCGTTTTTTAAAAGTCCAGGCGGGACATTACGTGTAGCAATCATGATAAAGGGTACGCGTAAATCTGTCGGTTTGAACCAAAAAGGATGTGCTTTATGTTTATCTTTTTCATTTGGGCGGCTTTTATTATCTGAATCTTTCTTGCTTTTCTGTTGAGACCGTTCAATGTCGATTGTGCTAATGAAGATAATTTTTTAATATATATATAATAATTATAAACTCGGTCAAAAAAGCATACATACCCAGAAAATGCTGGATTCTCAACTCTGGAGATAATTCCAACAACTACGCCAAAGAACTTTGATTTGGGTTTGGTGTCATCCGCAGTATTATTTCTTTTTCCTACGGATGGGTCGCCGTTTTTATCTTGAGCACGATTCTTTTCATCCCTTCTTCTCATATCATGTTCTCTCTTCTTTTCCATAGCTTTTTCAGGATCAATCAGTCTAACAGCGACAATATCTCCATCAAGTGCACGATTACGATCATGTTGGCCACAAATAAACACATCTCCATCCAGAGAATCTGTAGTAACATAAGACTCTTGGCGGTTGCGTTTGTTGATTCGCAATGTACCAGAATAGAGCTTTCCTTGTCTTATTTCGACCTTGATATCCTTAGGACTCATAAAAGGAGCAAAGAGTGCTTTGCGTTTGGTATGAATATGATCGTCTGGATGTACATAACTTGGCTTTGGCAGCTTTACTACCACCCGATCTTGCTTTCTGGAAGACTTTTCCGAACTATCGTCCAAGTTCTTGTCTGAGGATTTTTCATCAACGATCTCCTTCTTCTTTACAATTTTCTCTGCTACAACTTCCTTTGGCATGTAAAATCTTCTCGGCTTATGTATATAAAGATATTATATACAGAAAATTAGAAAATTGGCTTAAAGTACAGTGAGGGGCAAAAAGAATCGCCTTTTTTTTAAAATGCCGAAATCAGCAAACGTAATAGTCTTTCTCTTTTTCTCTTAAATTAACATTTTATGAAATGAACAATCAAACCGAATGCACAAAAAAGATTACTAAAATTTCCACCAATGGATATAAAAACACGGATAATACAACTCGTGCAATCATTGTCCATGAGAGTGTTAAGAATGGCACTAGTCAGGTTGACATTGCCAAAAAAGTAGGCGTAAGCAAAGACGTGGTGAAGCGTGTTCTTCAGAGCTACAAAAAAAACTGGCTCGCATATGGCTGCACCACAACCTGGTAGACCTTTAAAGTTAAATGAGAGAGACAAAAGAGGAATTATGCTTCAGATTAGCCGTGATCCAACACAGCCAATGAGTACCATTGCTAGAACCTTGCCCACACCAGTTTCTGTAAAGACTTTGAGAAAGTTTCTTCGCAAGGTTGTAATATACTCTCGAAAGATGATTCCGAAACCAAAGATTTCGGAAATCAATCGTAAAAAGCGATTGCAATGGGCTAAGGAACATCTGCACTGGAAAACGACAGATTGGAATTCCGTCATCTGGCCCGATGAGTCAAAGATCCAGCTCCACGGAAGTGATGGGCGCCGGTGCGTTCTCAGGCCAAACGGCAAGGGCTTTGAGCCCAACTTCGTCTCACCAACTGTGAAGTTTGGAGGTGGCTCCATTATGGTCTGGGGGTGCTTCTATGGAAAGGCTGTCGGAGTTTTAGACGTTGTGCCTGGAAATATCGATTCCAAGAAGTATGTTGCAACCTTGGAAAGAGCCTACCTCCCTTCTTTAAAGGCATTCAAAGAGAAAGATAGCTGGAGAAGATTTCGACTGCAAGAGGATAACGCTAGCTGCCATGTGAGTGCGCTGACAAGAGAATGGAAAAAAAAGACAAGGTGAAACTTTTGGGCAGCTGGCCACCTCAAAGTCCAGACTTGAATCCAATCGAGCATCTCTGGGCATATCTCAAGCGTAGAGTACGTATGAACAGATATAACCTGTATAGCGTTTACCATTTGAGACATGTCGTAATTAGGGAATGGAAGTTAATCCCCCAGAAGTATTTGCAAAGTTTGGTCCGGAGCATGAAGAGAAGATGGCAAGCTGTAATAGATGCAAATGGTCATAATACCAAGTACTAAAATAAAGACTCTTCTCTAACATAATAAAAATAAGTGCTTTCAACTTTAATCTGAAGTAGTTTGGGATCTGTAAGTGCTGTATTTGCTTCTTTTCTTTAAGCATGAAAAATAGATATATTTTGGAGAACAATCGGGATCTTAAAAAAAAGGCGATTCTTTTTGCCCCTCACTGTACATTCTGATGCTTTGGACGCTGCTGCTGAAGCTTCATTTCTTTTGGTACTCTATTCTTAGGCTGGCGCAGAAACTCTGTCATAATAACACGATCTCTTGATCCTCTTTCAGTAGATCCACAATTCAATCTAGATCCTTCTTTAAACGAGTTTGGGGCAGGAGAAAAATGGATATGACCAAAAATTGAATCATGGTCATCTTCCTGTATTGCCGCAGTAGGGTCTGGGCGTTCTAAATTCCACTCTTTGTCATGAGGGTCGGAGTAAACACTGACTTCAACTGGGAGTGTGCTGCTTGAAACCACTTGGCTAGGAAAATTGACACGCGGGAATTGACTTGGTTGCTCAATGCTCTTGGTAGAAGTAGAAGTAGACGTAGAAGTGCTATTAGATTTGTTATCAATGACTTTATCGACCTTCTTCTTTTTGTTTCTCTTTTTTGTCTTCTTTTCAAGAGACTTGGCAATAATAGTTTCGTCTGACTTAGTCTTTGACTGTTCCTGATTTTCTTTAACTGGTGTCACTTTTTTGAGGTTCTTTTCGGATTCAACTACGTCGTTCTTATTAACGTTGTTACTTTTCTTTGTACGCTTTGATAGAGCCTCCGCGTCTGTACCTCCCTGCTGCTTCGAATCGTCTTGATTAGATGTTTCCTTTTCTTCCGAGTCTCTTAAATCGGTCCCCGTATCTTGCTTAGAAGGAGCATCTAGCTTAGGAACATTATCCTTCTCGACTGTTGATTCAGAGGACGGCTTATTTTTTTGTCTGTTCTTTTTTCTGAGCTTTTTCTTACTCTTTGGATCCCCATCACTCTTTAGATCGCTATCACTCTTTGGGTCGATATCGCTCTTTGGAGCGCTATTACCCTTTAGATCGCTATTACCCTTTGGATCTCCACCACTCTTGATCTTTTCTTCGTTCTTAGAATCAGTGGTTTTCTCTTTAGGCTTTTTCGCCTTAATTTCTTTTCTTGTATTATCGCTTATGATATTTTGGAGAGGCACCTCTAGCGTTGGTTTCGGTGCTTCCTGACCGGCAGGATTTTCTTCTTGTTTTTCTTTTCTATCCTTTTTTGGTTTCTTCTTTCGATGGCGTTTCTTCTTTCCTGCGCTCTCACTACTGAGTAGGTCCGCTTTGTTCTCAGCTACGGGTTTGATTTCGGTTTTGTCCTCTTCTGATACTTTTTCTGTCTCAGGCAATTGCTGTCTGCTTTTAGACGTGGACGATGCGCCAGGATCATTCGACTGCGGATTAATGATGGATGTGGATGCAGCTTTGTGAGAAGCATCTTGTCCTTGCTTTGCAGTATTTTCTTGCGAAGTTTCAAGCATTTCTGGAGCTCCTTGAAGTGTTATTAGATATATTTGGTTGATTGACTTTTGTCTAAACGTGTACACCAAGATGTCAAAAAGAATGTGAGCTTTGGTGATGTAGAGTCAAGACTTTCTCACCTGTGGGAATATTATTTATAAAGACAATAGTGATATTTTATAGTTTTTATTAATCGCTCCTATGTAACAAGACCGAATAGGCGAAACAAACGGAAAGAATATAAAGACTCCAAGATGCAAGAAAATAGTGCATATATCGACAGCGTTTTTATTGGCGGGCAAGTGTGCGTGACTTGTACGATAATGCATTCTCATCCAGAAACTCTTGAACCAGTTTTTTCTTGCATTTCAATCCGCGGTGACACTCTTCAACAGTGACATTCTATATGGTTACCACAATATCAGAATTTGTTTCATGATAGTGTATTATAATTATTATTTATTTATTTACCTCGTAGCGAAGGATACGTTCCCATAGCAATGGCTGCTTTTTAAGATGGTCCAAAATCTCCTTATTTACTTTATTTTCTCCTGAAGCCAATAATGTACTAGATGAGACACTATTCAACCTGACAGTCTCCCGAGAAGATTTCCAGATTTGCTCGAGGTGTAAGATCATGTCATGTCTCTTTGTAGGCTTGAGCCCATATTTTTTTACAGCATTCTATAATATTAGTGTTAGTACCATTCGCTATACATAATTCATCAAATCACCTTTAGTTCAGGCAATGTTAATATGGTATAATCCGGCATATCTGATTGAACTGATCCCGCGTTTGGTGTATTAGGGTTAACAGATGATGTGTCTTGGTTGGCTTCTGTAGGAGTGCTTGGATGGTATTGTGTAACAATTGAATTGTGAAAATCAATTGTGTTAATTGAAGGGGATTTATGGTTGGGACATTCTGTTAAATCTACCACTGAAGATGTTGCTGAGGTATTTCCATGAATATCTGACCAATCGTCCCATAATTCAATCTGCCTATCTTCATTTTCCTTTTTCCCATGAAAGTCGAATCAGTCACTTGAAAATGTATTCTAATTATTAAAGCAAGTTAAATCTTGTCTTTCGAATTGTTTACCTCGCACGTTACTGAAGACAAGTCAATTATAGAGTTTCTCCTAGAAACTTCTCCACTAACCCAGGAATTATAGCGCATAAATTGCAGAGTAAATAATCGAGAAAAGCGATTGTCCAACCCCAACAATTTTTGGATGGTGTACGAGGCGCCTTTCTTTTCATAGTTCATTATTATAGAGGATATTCCTTTTTTTGACTTGCGACTTCGTTAGGTATTGTAAATTTACAACAACTAATTTACCTTTATTTTCTCAAAAAAACTACATGCAAAAGCAATATCATCCTCCTGCCATGTATTGTTTTTTGTGGTCCAATCGAATACTTCTTCACACATTGACTGAATATCGTGGGATAACTTTTGCCTTAATTCGTCTAGGATTTTTTGTTTCATTGTTTCATTGTTTGCCAACTCCTTTGCATTTCTCTCAAATACAAACAGCAGTTTCTTTGAGTATGGCGAATTTAATTTTTCTTTGTCGTATGTAGAGCCAGGAGTTGATAATGCTAGAGCTAATCGATAATATTCATAGTCTGACCAGTCTATGCCTTTTTTCACCACTCTTGTTAGGTCTATGCTATCAATCTCATCTGATGTGCGGTTGTATGCATCACCAATTATATAATCTTTACAAGCTTTTTCCAATTGAATTAATGACATGGATCTGCTGCTCGCACATTTCTGTATATGAATTGCTTTTTCTTTGAAAGTAGCTTCTGCAGAATAAACATTCTTGCCATGGCAACAAGGACAGCCATTCAAAACAGCAATACGATTAGATTTATACACATCTGTGGAGCTTTCCGCTTTGCTCCCATTGCAGCGGCTATTGTTATCTAGTGTGATACTATCGAAACATGTTCCCAAATGAAGTGAAATTTCAGTGTTGGTCATCCATGATATGTCTTTGGCGCAAAATGTACAGCAAAGGAGATCCATTGCAAAGGAACTTTTATCGTGGTAAGCATTGATTGTGAGTGGCTCGTCTATTACAGATTGAGTCGAGTCAGAGATTGTCGTTGTTGAAAAGCAATCAGTAATGTGCTTTTGTCGAAAATAACTTGATTGAAGATAAGTGAGATCGATTTGACACTGGGGGCAATTGAAATTTGTCTCTTCCAAGCTTATAATTGATGAATCGTCGTAAGATGCTTTTTTTAACTTCTTTTGGGAATTTTTAGTGGGTTGGATGTTGATAGGTCTTTTCTTTGGTAATTTCAAACTTGAGCTGATGGATTGAATACTCATAGTCAAAAGAGGGTGTTGAAGTGGTAATAAATCGACCTGATCCCTGACATGCATTAATTTCATTGGCCGAAGAGTGGCGAAGTGGCGAAGGAGAGGCGGGGACTGATTACAATGGACAAAGTGGCTGATTGGAGAGGTCTTCCTCTTCCTTCTCGACTAATATACTACCACTATGGTCAAGTTCATCAAGGCAGGCAAGGTAAATACTGCTTGTAAAAGCTGTTATTGTGATGGATGGTCACTTTTTACCTAAAGATATATCAAATTTGGATGGATTTATACACTTTAATTGCACTTATATATTTGAGTCATGTTAACTCACATTACATTGAATCATTTAGGTTGTCGTTATTTTGCAGGGCCGCTTCGCTGGCAAGAAGGCCGTTGTTGTCCGCAGTATGCATCAGTTTCATTATGTCTTTTAGTCTAGCCTTAGTGATGGATATAAAGGAAGGGAAAGTGAAGAGGGTAGATTCCGTTTCGTGTCGAGAAAAATCATCAACAAATCCAAACGCAAAAACAAAATTACACACGATCACACCCACGCGCAAGCACACAGCACATACACATATATATACACGCATACCTCACATACACATGCACATGCACATACACACACATATACACACCAAACACACGCACCATACAAACGCATATCAATACGCACACAAATATATATACCCTTTAAATTGCTGGGGCATTTAAATATACACGATTAAAGAAACCTACAATGTTGTGAACAATTCAACTAATTATTTTTAATAGACCACGATGAGGGTACCAAGGACAGACCCTACGGCTATGCTGTCGTTGCTGGTGTTGAGCGTTCCCCCTTGAAGGTTACCAAGGGTATGGGCAAGAAGAAGGTTGCCAAGCGCTCCAAGGTCAAGCCTTTCGTTAAGATCGTCAACTACAACCACATGTTGCCCACTCGTTATGCTCTTGAGTTGGAGCAGATCAAGGGTACTGTCTCTGCTGATTCCTTCAAGGAGCCCACCCAGCGTGAGGAGTCCAAGAAGGTTATCAAGAAGTTGTTCGAGGAGCGTTACCAGACTGGCAAGAACAAGTGGTTCTTCAGCAAGCTTAGATTCTAAGTGAGATCCAGTATCTTAACAGGATCAGTTCTCTTTCTCTCTCTCTAATGTACTTCTGAATAAAAAAAACGTATAAGTCCAAGGCATTTAATTTCATAATACGCATTAATTTGATTGTTATTTGGAACAAAATTTGAGGGGATAACTTGAATAAAAAAAAATCTTGGATAATAAGTCGGCAAGCTAGATTCTTAAACTTGTTTGTGTGTGGGTACACTTCTTTAAAAGAACAAATGAAATAAATATTTTTTGTCGCTTATATTTGCCTCCCAGCTCCATTAAATACGTCTTTACATATATTTAAATTATGTGCTTAATGTATGTATGTATAATTTATTATCTATTACTATTTTTTCTAAAGTAATGCAATGCTAAAAACAAACAGTGGTTTTCGATCATGTCGCCCCCCAAAATTTCGAGACGATGTGACGCGCTTCAATTCGGGCCGGACTCCTTGGTAGAGCAAGCTCACCTTGGTTAAAAAAAGTGCCTGCCAACAAGCATCGGACCCCCTCTTTCCCTGCACTTGGTATGTATTATAGACCATATGAATCGCAGATCTCGACCACACAGGATGGATGTCACATCTATCCAGATGAATGGATCATCCTGTCCTGAATAACCCATTCATAATTACGTTTAATAACCATCGATACACCTACTCTCATCCTATAGACGTAGAATCACGATGGCCAATCTCCCTGCTGGTAAGTCAATCATTTAGCACATTGATGACCTCATTTACTCATTTCAACATTGCTCTTTAACAATAGTTCTTAACCCCACCGAGGAGGATATTCAGCTCTTGTTGAGCGCCCAGTGCCACATTGGTGCCAAGAACGTCAACACCCGCATGACCCCTTACGTCTACAAGCGTCGTGCTGATGGTGAGCAATAATAAAAACCTTAATTAAAAGAAAGTTAACTAATAATGTGGGTACCTAGGCATCAACCTGATCAACATTGGTAAGACCTGGGAGAAGCTCATCTTCGCTGCCCGTGTCATTGCCGCCATCGAGAACGTATGTGTATTTGATATATTTGTTTTGGAGGAAAGGAATCTCAAAAAGTTGAACAATTTATAGCCCCAGGATATCGTTGTTGTCTCTGCCCGTCCCTACGGTCACCGTGCTGCCTTGAAGTTTGCCAAGTACATTGGTGCTGAGGCCATCGTCGGTCGTTTCACCCCCGGTACCTTCACTAACTACAACACCCGTTCTTTCCGTGAGCCCCGTTTGATCATCTGCACTGATCCCCGTTCCGACTTCCAGGCCATTAAGGAAGCCTCCTACGTCAACATCCCCGTCATCTCCCTTGCTGACACCGATGCTTTCCTCCAGTACGTCGACATTGTTATCCCCACCAACAACAAGGGTAAGCACGCTCTCGGTTTGATCTACTACCTCCTTGCCCGCGCTGTCCTCCGTCTCCGTGGTACTCTCGACTACGGTGTCGCCTGGGAAGTTATGGTTGATATGTTCTTCTTCCGTGACCCCGAAGAGGCTGAGAAGGAGCAGGCTGCTGCTGCTCTTGCCGCCGAGTTGGAGAACACTGACTTCTCTGCCACCGCTGAGGCTGCCACTGGTGAGTGGGCCGTTGAGGGTGAGGCTGCTGAGGGTGTTGCTGGTATTGCTGCCGCTGCCGACTGGAGCGCTTCCCGCACCACCGACTGGGCTGACGAGACCCCTGCTGCCGCTACCTCTTCCTGGGAAGCTTAAGAAGATGATCGATTCTACATCTCATCATATCTATAGACGTCCACTGTTGCTTTAATGCAACTAATAAAAAGTATAGGGAACATTTTGTAATCTACATCTAATTTGTCTTTGAGTAAATATTTATTGAAGATCAAAAGCTTAATTTATGCTAAATTTGAAACTGACAGATTCTAATCTTGTATTTATGGAACTGATAAGTTTAAAGTTTGATTGGTCTTACGGCTTATTTCCGATTTTATAATTATGGAGAACTTAATTTCTTAATCCCTATTTTATGAACAAATACCATACAAAAGCTACTTATTCATGCTTTTTACACTATTGTTTAACTAAACTGTTAAGCTATTTATTATAGGACCTTTTACTAATTGGTACTGTCTAACTTAATAAGTTTATTATATATATATATAGATATATAGTAGATATTGTTTTCATCTAAATGATAGTTTTGATGTAGAAAGTCTGATTTGTGAAAATATTTCAAAGTCCAAGGTGGCATCCACTCTTGTTAAATTATTGGTGCAAAAATGGAATGCACCATGTACCATGCACCAAAAAAAATGTTTATTAAACAAAAGAAGTAGAAAATCGACCAATAATTTCCGGAAAAAGTGTTTACTAATAAATGATCTGACCAAGCACTTTATAAATATATATTCGTTATTTACACCATACTGATAATTATTATTTCATTGATCAAGGTTACACGTAGTGTTTATAGGACTCTGTCTAGTATTAGTTTTGAATGATCAATCAGCATTTGAACATCAATCTTTCTTTTTTGACATGTTAAAATCTTGTCGGTATAAAGATGATCTGAATGGGTACTTTTTTTATGTTACAAATGAAAGCATGAAACAGTAGATTGAAAAAGGGATAAGCCGGGATGTGATTATAAGTTTTTTCTATTATGAATAACAGATGAAGGAATGTGTGTATGAAGTATGTGATATTTTAGCCCATTCATATTTTTGTAGCGTTTAGTACACCTTCCAACTGTACAGCCATAAGGTCTTTCTGCTATATGGTCCAATCGGTTCTCTAGTTTTTCGATACAATGACCATGGAGCTTGTGGTACTTGAGTCCATTAGCGTTTTTATATGCTTTTCCACAAGCAGAGGCATTGCACTTGTATGGCTTTTCAACTTGAGGCTTACCTAGAAATTAAAGGCAGATATACATGCAACCATTATGTTCAAAAATGTTTTTATATACCCTTTTTACATAAGATTACTAGAAGAGAAATCTCTTACACTGATCGCTTCCACAACAAGTCTCATCAAACCCTTGAATCCAAGCTCGGGTAACTTCTTCTTTGTTTTGTAGATAATCCTTCCACCAATAAATATTGGTGTATTTTTGTGTTTCATAAACTGGTCTCTTTTGCGGACTATCAGGTCCACCACTTTTTTCACTAGCTACGCTACTATCATCTGATAATGTATAAGATGAACTATTCGAAAGCAAATCAGGCATGTTGTTCATAGTTTGTGTGGTCTCATGCATTAGGTTTGGATATGCCTGTGCGTTCTCCAGAACTGTGAGATCTTTGTTTGAGATACTGTGTGTAGTATAGGCCGATTGCGAGCTGTAAATTTGCATATTTTCTGATGTCTCTGGAATATTATCTTTGACTGCATGGCATTCCTCACAATGGTACATCAAGTCGTGCAAGTTGAAGAAGTAGTTATTGCAACATATAAAATCCCGGCAATAGGCAATCTCGAGGTCTTGTAGATAAGCCCAACTCTCGATTGTTTCGTTAGTGTCTTCATCTACTCTAAATATATTGAGGTTACTAGGCTCCTCTCTTGAGATAATAAACCTACATGTCTTCATGATAATTCTTTGAATTAAAATTGTAGTCTTCAATATTCATCATGTTTTATATACATGCGCGATATATGGGTCTAAAGAAAGGTTTGTAGGTTTCATCATTGCTGTCGGCATTTATTACTTTTTCTTTCTCTAAAACATAATCCAAAAACTATAAAAATTATGCATACTATTTTTACTACGACCACGGTGAATTTACCAATATGATCTAGATCCTTTGAATACGCGGCGTCTATTTAGTAATCGGTCTTTTCTTTTCTAATTTAAATTTATTGGAAGATTAATCTAAATAGACCTCTTTACTTTTACTAGAATGTTGCAAATATGCCTTGAAAAGTACGTGGCTTACAACTAGGAAATATACTATTAAGAATGGTATCTACTAAAACTCATAATTGATTGTATAATACTCTTTTCAATAGCAAGGACTAACAATCTTTCCATTTTACAATATTAATTCTGCTACAGGTATATCCTTTGAACCTTAGGTAATAAAATTAATATATGTAGAATTGTGGAAACGTGGGGAACAGTGTAATTCAACTGTCATTGAAAACGAATCGCAAGCACCATGCATTTCGTTAAAAGGAGATGTAATCATTTTAATCTCAATAATCCTATAGTCGTTATAACTTATCAAGTGAAAATTTACTAAACATATATAAGTTGAATAAACGTAATGCGGTATAGTCAGGGTGGTCAATTGAATATGTCTTGAAAAGTTTCATTTTTTGCTTATCTTCTCTAGATAATTCGATTTAATCTACAATCACCCTTTAAGAAGCAAAAACACCTTTTCAAAAGGTACTGTTTTTTTTTAATATAAAACTAGTATCAAGAAACTTGGCTTCAAAAGAAATACTCTTTCTGAAAAATAGAAATGATCGCCAACGAGAGAGTTGCATGGTATAACATCCAAGCCAAAGAAAAATAAAATAAAAAGTGCACTTTCCCGAGAATAATTGCTCTAATACAAGAGTATCCGGATCTCTCCCCACTTTCTTACCCAAGAGGATTTGTCCTAAAAGATTAGGATATGATCAAAAGGGTGAACGCATGTGTCAAATTGCGTTTACCGTTTGATTGAAAGATAGAGAATATTCTCCATACAAATTTAAAAGCTCTTTTTTGACAAAGTTCATGTAGATGCATTCTTAAGTACATTATTGAGGAAATAAGCATGTTGGGTTGTTTTTGTGGGGTGTGTTTGGTTTAATAATATAAACTCAAATACAAGCAAATATAATGCATTTTTTTATAAAATTATAACTGGAAATAAAATAAAAAGTGCGTATATAGAAAATAGTCATATGGATATCATATTGCTTACCCTATAGAAAAAAAAGGCGATCTTAGTGAATTGTTGCAAGTTTTCCGGGGTTTAAAGTGTCTTGTAATTGAGTTTTAATTAAGCACCAATTTCTCTCTCGCTCTCTTTTATATTCTACTTTTTTTTTTTACCCCACCATGTTTAAGTCGGTTAAGTATATGCCAGAATTTCAGGACAGCAGCAAGATCTCTGTTCCACAAATTATGCTCAAACTGTAACGGAGCCATGTCCTCGAAACAATTTTGGTTTGGTAAACCTGCATGAATTTATAAAAAGTATTAATAAAAGAAGAAGTGCTGACTAGTTGTAATATTCACCCTAGAAGACTATGACAGGTTACAGTTGGCCATTGCGTGGGGTTATATTAGTGAGAGTTTTCGACTTGTTTGAAGGTTCAAAGGGAAAGCCGAGAGCACGAAAAATAGTGCTTGGAAGTACTAAATGTATCAAACAAACAAAGATCAAATTCATGCTTACAAAGTAGATATCTAAATACTACACCATTGGTTGGTTCATGACTATGGTTGTGAGATACAGACCAGTTTTTTTTTGACATTAATACAAAAGGTCAACCAAATTCAGAACTGATATTGCTTCCTAGACATTCTTTAGCTTTGGGTTGGTTAATATAGAATGAAAGGCAAAACTTGCGGAATAAAATCTTTGGTTGGTTTGAATTTTGGTATTTGCGTAAAAATAAGCAGAGGATAGAGATAATTACAGTAATATAGGCAAAGAACAAAGGTATGTAGAGTTTATCTTGAAGAATAGTGCATGACCATTGTATGCTAGACTGCTTAGAGGCTGCAAAGTTGGATAAAGAGACAAACATGGCCTACACAATTATGTATTTTCAAGTCTGAACTTAAAGAAGCCTTTTCCGTCAAAAAGTAATGATTGTGATTACTTTTTAATGCATTGATGTTTTATTATTTTGTAAAAATCTCTTTTATTTATTTCTCTTTTATCACAAGGTCTAAAATTATTAAAGGTCCTTAAAAAAACATACTTAATAGCTATCAAGGCTAGTACTGATAAAATATAAATCCGTAAAGCTGACAGAAGAAAGTAACTTGAGAAGAATTGACAGAAAAATATCTGCATCAAGTACAATTTGGCTGTCAAGATTGCTCGTATGCTCATTAGAGATCTCGGTAGATTTAGAGAATCGCAGGGAGTGTGTATTCTGGTTTTTCAAAAGTAGTAATCAGGCATAGCAATGTTAACACAAAGCAGGTTTATACTCTTCGATAAAAAGAATCCATTAAGCAATACACATGCCTTCCTCAATATCATAGTATCTAGAGAATAGCCATTTGTTTAGATAAAAAATGTGAAAAGTATCACATAAAAATAGATATATGTATATTATCTAGTAAATATATAGCTTAAGCTCCTACTAAATATCATAAAATTAGTACTTCTTCTTTGCATACTTCTTTACGTTTAACTTGTATTACTTTGATCCACAAAAACCATAAAATTCCAATATAAAACAGCATGCATTTGTTGAACCAATCATAAAGAGAATACAAATACCTAAAAAAGGTTTTAATCTGCCATATTTAGAATATTTGATTGGATTAGATGCAAAATAGTATAAAATCCCATAAATCGTATTTGACAAAAAGTAAAACTAATAGGCTAAAACAGACATGCTATTGGCTATAATAGTTACGAGTGCGTAACTCGGTACGAGGTCGGAGGTATAAATCCTGCCATTTCCTACAGTGTTGGGTCTTAATTAAAACTCATATATAAGATACTTTAGACCCCGGAAAACTTGCAACAATTCACTAAAATCGCTTATTTTTTTTTCTATAGGGTAAATACAGTGCTTCTACTTGAGATTGAGAAAAATCAAGAAATGCTTTAGATAAATCAAAATGTAATTGTAGATAAAGAGGAATTGGTTTTCAGACAAAGTAAACATTTATTCAGACATTTTGCATATAAATATCTAGATATTTCAAAGAAACAAACTATTTTCGATACAATGATTGGATTGTTGTGGTAGTTGCTGCTTGTTTGCTTGCTTTTATCGGAGCTTTGGAGAGCTGTTAGACTTTTAAGTTTTGTATTTTTATTTCTGCACAAGTACTCAGATTCATTAAGAACATCTTCAGCGGTTAGATTTCGGTTAACAATATATATAGTGTATATTAGCCACACTAAGGATTAAATACAGGTCAAAAAAGATGCTCAAGTTGTGCTTATTCTATAAAATAACATTGGAGCTTTTTTACGATCTAAAGCTTTCCTTTCTTTACTGGTCTGTAATACTTGTGATACACTGTGGCAGCGAGATGTTAATGCTGTCAAATATTATGACAATTGCTTTGTCAACTTGGAGAGGAGCCCATCGACTAACCGCTTTCCACAGATTTGATAAAGGTAAGCAAGCAGTAGCCAGAAGAAACGGAAGAAACGGCAAAAACAATAGCAGCCCGATCACTGTAACATAAACAGGTTGTCTCAGAGACATTTAGACAATTACAGGTAAGATGTCTGAATAAATTTTTACTTTGAAAACTAATTTCTCTTTGTCTAAGTTTGATTCTCGTTCCGTCCACAAAAGGTAAGCATATTGTCTAAAATTACATTTTGATTCGTCTAAAACATCTTCTAATTTGTCTCAATTTCAAGTAGAAACACTGTATATAACTTGACATCAGCACCGTATGCGAGAAGCCCCTTTGTTCTATAAGCTGGTATATTTTTTATTCAGGAAACCATATGTATATATGTAATGCTATAGTTTATTGAAAGATGGGCTGAATTATATATATCATACTTTTTTCTTAATAATAAAAGCAAAATAAAAACATTTCATTTATTATGTTTTTAAAGAGACGTGATTCTCTTGAGTAAAGGCTTATTGATATACCACTTAATTATAGGATACTTAATGTCTATATTTGTATTTCTGTACTATTGCCCAATTAGTTGATAATTTTTTTTTTGTTGAGAGGACGTTCACTCCGTAAGCACCATCTGTAATCACTTTTCGTGAGCACCCTGAAATCTGATTTTCCATTTTTGGACGATGTTCAAATACCGATGTGGCTTATCCGTGTTTAATCTATGGAAAAAATGGAAAATGTAACGCCTGCAAATGCCCAAAGTCACTGCATGATTAAATTTCTAGCGACTTCTACTTGCCGGCATCTGAAGAACCTGGCAATATAATTGAGAACCAGCTTCGTGTTTGGATTTTCCCCTCTTCTTCTCTAAAACTTTATAATGAACCGTTTGGCTACTAAGACTCTCCAAACCTCGAGCCGCTTTGGTGTTCGTTCCTCAGGCGTTCTTAACCGTCTTTACTCCACCCACAAGGAGATTAAGTTTGGTGTTGACGGACGCGCTTCCCTCCTTCGTGGTGTTGACATCCTTGCCAAGTCAGTTGCTGTCACCCTTGGTCCTAAGGGTCGCAACGTCTTGATTGAGCAGCCCTACGGCTCCCCAAAGATCACCAAGGATGGTGTTACTGTTGCCAAGTCTATCGTCTTAGAAGACAAGTTCGAGAACTTGGGTGCCAAGTAAGGATATTTCAAACAACAATAACAACAAAAGCTCGAATTAATTATCGGTCTTCTTAGGCTCGTCCAGGACGTTGCTAACAAGACCAACGAGGCTGCTGGTGATGGTACCACTACTGCCACTGTTCTTGCTCGCGCAATCTTTACTGAGGGTGTTAAGAATGTAGCTGCAGGCTGCAACCCCCTTGACCTCCGTCGTGGTGCCCAGCTTGCTGTTGAGGCCGTTGTTGATTTCTTGAAGACTAACAGCAGAGTCATCACCACCTCGGCCGAGATCTCTCAGGTAAACAGATACCCCAATCCTATTTGAACACGTTTATAGTTCCTAGGAAAATATTAAATACTGAGAAAACAAGCTAAACAAACACGCCTGGTTTTATTTTTTACGTTGTTGTAGGTTGCCACTATCTCTGCCAATGGTGACAAGCATGTTGGCGGTATGATCGCTCAAGCTATGGAGCGTGTTGGTAAGGAAGGTGTCATCACTGTAAAGGCCGGAAAGACCCTTGAGGATGAGCTTGATGTTACTGAGGGCATGCGTTTCGATCGCGGTTATATTTCTCCCTACTTTATCACCGACACCAAGACTCAGAAGGTTGAATTCGAGAAGCCTTTGATCTTGTTGTCTGAGAAAAAGATTTCCATGCTCCACGATATTCTCCCTGCCCTCGAGGCCTCTGCCACTCAACGTCGTCCTTTGCTGATTATTGCCGAAGATCTTGATGGCGAGGCTCTTGCCGCCTGTATCCTCAACAAGCTTCGTGGCCAGATCCAAGTTGCTGCTGTCAAGGCTCCTGGCTTCGGTGACAACCGCAAGTCTATCTTGGGCGATATTGGAATCCTTACTCACAGCACTGTATTCTCTGATGAGCTCGATGTCAAGCTCGAGAAGGCTACTCCCGATCTCTTCGGTACTACTGGTTCTGTCACTATTACTAAGGAGGACACCATTATCCTCAACGGTGCTGGTTCTAAGGATATGATCAACCACCGCTGCGAGCAGATCCGTGGCGCCATTGCTGACGCCTCTACCTCTGAGTATGAGAAAGAGAAGCTCCAGGAGCGTCTTGCCAAGCTCTCTGGCGGTGTTGCTGTCATTAAGGTCGGTGGCTCTTCTGAAGTTGAGGTCGGCGAGAAGAAGGACAGGTAAAAAAAAACAAAAAAAAACAGAGTTGATTTAGTCGATTTATAAAAGCTATGAATGAAATGTACTGACTTAAACATGAATGTAAATGTGAATAGATTTGATGATGCTTTGTGCGCCACTCGTGCTGCTGTTGAGGAAGGTATTGTTCCCGGTGGTGGTGTTGCTTTGTTGAAGGCTACCAAATCCCTTGATTCACTCAAGGCTGCCAACTTTGATCAGCAGTTGGGTATCAACATTATTCGTCAGGCTATTCAGCGTCCTTGTCGTACTATCGTTGATAATGCTGGAGGTGAAGGATCTGTTGTTGCTGGAAAGCTTTTGGAGGACCACCCTGAAAATGTCAACTGGGGTTATGATGCCTCTTGCAACGAGTATGTTGATATGATTGAACGTGGTGTTGTTGACCCCACAAAGGTTGTCCGCACTGCTCTCATTGATGCTTCTGGTGTCGCTTCGCTCTTGACTACCACTGAGTGTATGATCGTCGATGCCCCCGAAAAGGATAAGCCTGCAGGTGGTATGCCCGGTATGGGTGGTATGGGCGGTATGGGCGGTATGGGTGGCATGATGTAAATATCCAACAAAAAAGTAGATGTCCTTTTCAATTATTTCTTTCTTTCTTTGACTTCCTTCCAAAATAAAAGTGTTTTTCCTACCGACTATTTGTTTGATATACGAGAGCTTATATAGTAAAGCATCGACTATTGATGGGTACTTTGATAATTATATACTATGAAGTAATAGAATAATGATCAAGAATATATATTTCAATTGATTTTTCTATTTTACCTTAAGTATCAAAAGGAAATATATATTTTATAAATGCTTTATTAAACCTTTGAGTATTCTCAGCCATGATGATAAGATTCAAAATCTCTGAAAAATATTTACTTCAAAATAATTTGCATACGTGAATGAGGGAATTCTTAGTAAGCTTTACCAAATTGAGATGACTTATAAACAGCTTGAACACTTTTAGAAATCACCTTTAATAAATAATTAAACATGAAATTACACAAAAGAGTTTTCTTTATCAAACTAAATTAATGGTTTATCTTTTTTATGGGATTTCTCTTTTACGACTTTCAAAGGATAATAAAATAAAATATATAATTTAACAGGAATTAAAATCTACACTATGGTAAAAGAAAAAGGGGCGACTTTATAAGAGACTACTGCAATTTTTTTAGGGATTTTGAGGGCTGTTTTAAGGCCGAAATTTTATCAAACTACTTTTTTCATATATCTTTGCCATTGTAGCTTAAAGGCAAATACACCTTTTCAATATATCAATCTTGTCCCACCATATTTTTGCGATCAATGCAAAGCACTCTATCCTTTATGTAGTACAAAACGACGTTAATCGTAAATACTTTTCTGCAATTCACAAATATTGTGAGTAAATTGACTTATTTTATGTATGATGAATCTACTCTATATATCCTTAAGGGATACATTTAATATAGGGTTATCTGAAGTAAAGGCTGGTTGTGGAACTGATTTATTCAATAAAAAGCATGCGTTTTTTAGTTGATTTTTCAAGAAATGGCAATTCACTTTTTTTACAATATTTTCTTTTTTTTTTGAAAATTGTTCCTTTGATTGGTTAGACTTTATGTGACTTCCAGAAAAGTATTTACAAATAGTGTTATTTCCCATCGTATTGTAATGAGATCCAGATAATATATATCTATACTTCTTTGCTTTTTACTTATTGCTGAATATTGCTTTACAATATATATGGGCTTATTTCCTAGTAGCTTTTGGGCCCCTTTTGTGCCTACTTGTATAAGCAAAATGAAGCACTTTCTATTGTGCTCTTGAACAAGAAGTGCACAGACCAATTTAGAGTAACCTACAAATCGCCATTATAGAATTTTATACTCCATCTTTAAAGTTATTGCTATACCGATCAATACCGAACCCTTTATTACTTCTTTGCTCCTTTGCTCTACTTTATTTCGCCTTACAAAGTCGCTTTTATAAGTACTTTGAGTAAATAGTATTAGGTGTCTCTTCTGCAGTAGAATAGTTACACAAACTTAGTAAAAAGTTTATATATCTATGTCACGTTTGCTCTGACGTGGTCATCTAAGACTGACAAAAAGCGCAGTCCTAAACTTTAATCGCAGATAAACAATTTTCTGTTACAAATAGAACCCCTCCAACGCGTGTCGTTTGTTTTCTCCTTGAGCAACAACAGTCCCGGTTTCATAGTGAGGCGTCTCTTGCGACCGTTGCAGGGAGATTCTTCCATGCTACAAGCATCGGAAAGTGAAAGTTGTTACTCGCCAGCTCAGTTAATTCTGAGAAGTCGTGGGGCATGGTCTCTTTTCTTTTGGAAAGACTACTGTGTACATCGCATCGCCAATGTGAAATCATGATGCTGGGGGGAGGGAGGTCTAACCTGTGGTGAGATGTGCTGGCTCTTCACTGCTAACCTGACTGAACTCTTTAACGGCTGACGGTGAAGCTACTGGTAGTCGAATGAGCTGGACCTTATCACCTAGTGGTAAGTTCTCTGGCGAGTTCGCACCCACATTACTCGGTGACGAGATGTGGGGCTGGATGAACGGGTGCTTTCCGTTGGTTTGCCACCATTCCAGCATCTCCTTCGCTACCAAGTCAGGTTTACGTCCTGAAGGAGATTGAGCCGCGTAATGCGGGGACAAAGAACTTGGTGTCATGCTTTTTATTCTTTTACTCATGTAAAAGAACATTAAGTGAAATTCAATCAAATAGAATAGAATAGTTTCTTCACGTATATATTTAAATAAATAAATAAAGTCTTTCTTAGCTATTGTCAACTTTAATAAAAAAACACGCTTCTAAACTTTTTTTTACTTGATTGAAGAGGTTAATGTTGTAATTAGGTGGAATCATTAATGCGAAGAAAATAATCTAATCGAATAACTCCGAGAAGAAATACAATACTATTTGTATATTTTAACATTGTAGCGATAGCCGTGCTTAACCATAGATGCTGTTTTTGGCTATAAAGTATATAGTGATTAAAGTCAGGATAGTTTTTGAGAATACCGATGCCGTGAAATGTATGTTATTGAATTTGACTAATGAGGATGAAATTTGTAAAGAGGATGTATTGAAATGAGAGAAAGGAAAAAAGAGAAAAGTTTTTTTTTAAAAAGAAGAGAAATGAGATATGAGAATGAATGAAGAAATGCGTGTTTGAAAGAGAGGCAGAAAAGGCATGGTGAATTGAATACGCAAGTAATATCCTCATTGCACTTATATAGAATGTGCACAGAAAGTCCAGTTTAAATGTATTTATGAGACAATAATCATTATCTTCAAACCTTTCTGTACTTTGAATATCAACGAATCCTTGGTATCCTACATTCGTTATCGTATACATACATGGACAAGCATATTTACAGTGCAAAGGATGCTGTAAATTCAAATAATAAGAATAGAAAGGTATTGGTAGTTAAAAGATGCATCATTCAATATTATGTATAGAGATAACTCCCCAACGATGTACAGACACCTTTTATATTACAGTCCTCAAGAACAAATTGACAGAAATTAGGATACATTGAGTAACAATCCACGGGTATCATAAAAGAGATAAACTTTCCCATTGAATTGCATAGAGTGGAATGGGATTTTGATACATAGCGATTATTAGGTTTGGCTTATCGGTAGATACGATTTGCATGCTGGTTTTTTGGTCTGCTTTTTTGAGTACAGTTGCTCAAAAGATATTATGATTTTGCCATTTCAATAATGTCAATGTTCTTTAAACTACTACCAAAAAAATCACCTAATTTTGAAGAGATTAAGAAAAATATGCTATATCAAGAAAAGAAAAGGTATTAGTTTATATTAATAGAAAAAAGAACTTTTGTGCATCTTGTCATATTTGGATTATTGAATTAAAGTGTTCAAAATGTTTAAAAAGCATCTTCTTTCGGTAATACTGAAAAGCGTACTATATATTGAAAAATCGTGGAGTATTATTCAAATGTGAAATCAAGCAGACAGTTTACTCTCTATTTCTCACTTCCAGTGCTTATATATATATAAAAAGGGTCTTTATCTAATTATTAATCTCAAAATACACCAAGGTCATTAGACTTTAGAAAGACTACAAGTCTACATTTTGGGTAAAAATCATTTTATGGAAGCCAATTCCTTTCACCATTTTTACACATATCAACCCCGCTCATTCGCTACATCGCCTAGTCTCAGTCTCAATCTCAACCGCAACCGCAATCCCAATCCCTATCCCTATCCCAGTCGTATATACAGTTCTCCTGTCTTGTCAATGGCATCTCATCCTACTTTATTCTTATTTTTCACCTTAACCTCCTTTCTATATTATTTCTCTTCTGTGGAAACTTTGATATTGCTCTTACGCTTCTGCAGTTTTATATAGGACAGTGGTGGCACAAAAGTCGTACACATTATGCATTTGAATGAAGAAAGCCAAGAGCATATAATAGAGAAGGTGTTATCTCACAGAAAATTGAAATTTCTGTGAGATAACCACTTTTCGACGCTTTCTCGTCCGTGCCCGCTATTTCGATCCCCCCCCCCCCCCGTGGCTCTCGTCATTGGCGGAAATTTTGGTCTTTCCCCCTTCCCCTGGTGGCTCGTAACATTTGGTTTCGTGGTCTACACGACAAGATTTCTTGCCGAGCCCGTCTTCACTCTTTGCTTCCTCTCGCCTTTCCCTCTCCTACCTGCTCTATTTGCTCTCTCTCCTCCGACTCCCAAGACCACTTCTTCTTCACTTGTCCTCTCAAAAACGCGGTGTGGATCGGCATGTGGCTGGAATTCTTTGGCACAATACCTACCCCAACCGCACTACACAACGCTTTTCACTTCTTCTTTTTTCCCTCTTCCTTAAACTCTTCTATTCCCCCTTCTACCGTCTTTGGATGCACCCTCCTTGCGATATGGCGTCACCACTGGACTTTCATTTTTGACGATTCACCATTTGTTCCGTCTGCTGTTGTTGGTACGGCTCGCAAGACCCTAACCCGCATTTGCCAAGAATTAGACCTCGATCCTCTCTTTTAAAAAAACTTATACTTATATTTATTATAATTAACAAAAACAAAAACCCCCCAAAAACATTGAAAAAGCCAGAAAACCCTCCAAACAAATGCTGTGATCAATCTTTTGATTATCTTCTTTTGAGTATCACCAGACCCCCCAAGCCTAATAAAATGCTTCTTACAAACAAAAAAAAACTTTTCGACGCTTTAGTTTCCAAATATTTATTTCAATTTTTACTAAAATGGTAACCGCTCACAGAATTGCTGTGAGAAAAGTGCCCAAATCACAGAAAATTCGAACGAATTTTCTGTTACTTATTTTCTTTGAAAACAAATGATACCAAGGATATTTGTTTAAGCAAGATGTTGGTATAAGACCTAAACTACACAGAGCATGATATTGAGACTAAAGATCAATAGTACAGAAATAACTATAACATAAACAGATAATTAGGTGCTATTTACTGTGAAGTAAAAAAATTGTACTAGTATAAGAGTTGTACATAGTTACATAGTAGGCAATAGGAAGAATGATATGTATTTAATGTGATGGTATTAGTTGACAGATCTATTTTAAACACTTATATACCAAGGGCTTTATATGCTTACATTGAGATATACAGTCAAAGCTCGATATAGTGATATTCGATATAGTGATAATTTTTTGGAAAATTTGGGCCCGTGCCTGCTTATTATCACTATTTTTCGATATAGTGATAGTGATAAAATTTGAATCCACCAGTATCACTATATCGAGCTTTGACTGTATACTTGTAATGAACAAACTACCTCTGCAAGAGTAAAACGGAATTCTTTCTTGGACTCAGCGTCAGAAAAATCTTCAAGATTTAAGCGTTTATGGCTTCTCCTCTTGGCTTTAGTTTCCTGCGATTATTTATCACTAGTAATAAGATACTCGATCAGGTCAGGGTTAATGAAAAGTTTTTTTTTATCTTGGGTGTAAATTGTCTTTATATTGGTATTAAGAAAGAAACGCACTGCTTTTGATTTTATTTCTCGCAGAAATTGTAAAAAATTAAATTACGATATTTATTCCAACATTAGACATCAACTTTTTATATTTAAGAAGTCCCGAATTTTCTGTGAGATAACACCTTCTATATTGGCCTAGAAGAAAGTTGCAGGTTGGCAACTCTGTTGCAGGTCAGGGGTTTAAACTCTGCCATTTCCTACAGTGCTAATCCAAATATTTGCTTTGTTGACCTCTTCGTTTATTCTATTTATCAAACACTCCTTCACCTTATAAACACACATACTCATATATATATATTTATATTTATATATATACATATCGCTAAAAAATATACACCTTGCTGAATTTGTTATATATATATATTATAATTATTATTATTGTTATTATGATTATTATATTACTGTTTTTTATACAAATATTTATTGCTTATATTATACTGAATCTCCTCTACCCAACAATTGGATAGACATAATCTTAGACTCTGTGTTCTAAATCAACGAGATAACCTCCTGTCAGTTGGATAATTCATATAATAGTTTCGCTTAAGACTTACAAAATTAATTCTGTACAAGTTTTCATCAGAGCCCACAATATCTTCTGCTCGTGAACGGTAAACGGATAGTATCTTTGGCGTTGACATTTCAAGACTTTGATCGCTTCTTAAAAGTCTAATAAGCTCCACCGATTTGGTATCAACAGTAATAGCTTGTATCTAAACGAAGAATCACGAATAAATATTAGACAAGTAAACCAAGAGCCGCATACCACCTTTAACATACCTGTTTTATGATGGCAAGTGCCAATTTATCCACTGTGAAGAAGACGTAGGCTTCAGTACAGAATAAATAGCGTGTGCTCTCTTCAAACACAGGCTGTTCGAGTTCACCATCAAATAATTTATCAATAAGTTCGAGTATTGCGTGATAGTATCCATTGGATAGGTCGAGTTCTGCATTGAATATTATATAATACCATTTGAACATGGATAAATTAGACAGATTAATATATACATGAGCCCAAAAAATATTTACCGTCAAATCGATTGCTGTAAAGTCCAAGTCCCGCTGCAACTTTGTTAGCACGCTTTCCCTTTCGTGGGTTTGCTCGCATGTCTGCATCCAATGCTTTCATTTTGATGAGGCGTGCATATAATGTCTATGGTTCTAGATTTAGATTCCATGGATCTATATGTATACATGTCTGATATTACCTCATATAATCTAAAAAAGCAGTAGAAAGTGTTGTTGCAAAAGAAATCATAATTTGTTCGTTGAGTATTGCAAGTTACGGTGTCAGATTCTGGGTTATCTCCCTTTGGTGATGCTTTGGGTAAAGTGGATGTAGATTCTGTTGGACTAGTCTCTTTTGATACTACTACTGCTTCTGCTGGTTCTTCTGAGACCGGCTCTGACACTGTCCCAGAGACTGATTCAGAGACTGGCACTGCTGGTACTTCAATGGCAACAGATGTACTCTCAGCTCCTGGAACTTGCGCAGGTGAGCCAAATTTATCTTTAGACGAGTCTTTTTCCTCCTCTTTTATCGGCTTCATTTCAGTTTGTGTTGGCTCTTCTGGAGCAGAGGGAGATTTTGGTGCAGACTCGTCAATTTCCATGCCTGTGAGTTGCTCAAAAGCAGTCTTATTCTTTGTGAGAACATCGCGAAGAAGATCCATTGTTGCATCATCTTCTTGACTACGATTTCCTCTAGCATGTCTTTGTCGTGAAGGTGACATACTCCGTTTTCCTGGTGAGCGGCCAAATTCTGATTCTGAATCATCAGTATTTGTAGAATGAGCATCTTCGTCCTCGTCAATTATATCTTCTTCGTCTACATCGTCAATATAATGAGACATTCCTTCAGGTACTACATCCTCAACATGGAACCAAAGTGGAATAAATGTGCGAATAAACGTGCGAATCTTTTCTCTGTCGTTTCCAGTGAATCCTGTCTGGCGGTCGATATAAGAGAATATGATGCGAGTGACATCTTTGAATACTTCAGGATCTTTGCATGGATATGTGTATTGGTAAATTGACTTTGATTTGGACTTCGAATTTCCCAAGATCGATTTTTGAGGCAAATTCTGTCGATGATATTTGACTTCGATTTCGTTAATAAGCGATTTTGGTGCCATAGCTTTACGGTCGTTGCTCTTAAAGTTTATTCCTTGGTAGTCGAGGGCTTTGTAAAAGTTCTTTGCGTCGAGTTCGCGCCAAATCTTGTTCCATTCACGCTGAGATAAAGAAAAATAAATAAATACAATATTCGGATAAATTATCTGTACCATTTTAATTTCATTGTCACAAACCTGTGCTTTCTTCCATTCTTCGTCTTTTTGCTTCAATCGTTTGAGGAGAATAGGAACAACATGGGCAGGGTTGGTATATAGAAGTTCAATAATTTCGAGGCCACGTTCTTTATCATATACTTTCTTTATGATACGTTCATAGATAGTGACTGATTGGCCGCCCAATCCAGGCTTAAGGCGCATTGCAGCTTTTTCCTCAGCATTCATTGTCTCAATCTTCTTAGCAATAGGCTCCAATAAGGCAATAGTGTTCAAGTTTGCTTCGATATTTAGGTTGTAATCATATCTAAGGCGGAGATTATAATCAGAAACAATATAACTCTCACCAAACTTTTATTACTTACCTTTCTTCTTCACATCGATGCATAGCTTCTTCATATTGACTCTTTTTTGAAGCCACGAAGCCATCATCTTCACTTGCCCAAATAGGATGTGACACATATTCATCATTAAGAACTTCCCAGGCCAGCTGGTCTCTGCCAGAGCAAGGCTGGTTCTGCCACTACAAGAGAGAGAGAGGTGGAGATAGAATAGGGTGTTATTGCGACTGCTGTTTTATTTGTTCAAGTTTTATTACTTACACTCTTTGGCACCAGGCGATAACTCGGACTTCCTTCGACAGTTTTACAGTGCATCAAATCCGGCTTAGGTATAGTTGGGTTTGGTGGCTCTATTTCTTTTTCAGAAGGCTCATAGCTTACGACACTCTTGAACCAGTCAAATAGCTCCTTGTTGTTTCCAAGAAAGGTACTGATTTGTTCAATGAGAGTTTCCAATGTGATGATTTGCTGAGTGTAAAGATTGAGGGTCTTGAGGAACTCTTCATATGAAGGCTTGTTTCCAATATGCTTGCGGATACGTTCAAAAAGCTCTACTTCTTCTACTGTCACAGTAGGAGATACAGGGTCGAATGGAGATACTGGATAAGCGTAAGGATCAGCTTGTCCACTCTCTCCGTCCAAGGCCTGCTTGTGGTAGATTTTGGATCGCTTGGATGTCTATTTGGCATTAGCTTATATATATCTATATCTATATATACACAAGCAATATTTTTTACTCACTTTGGGAGGGACATTCATCGTAGATCGTTCGCCCCCAGTGACTCTTTTCTTCTTCCCGGGTGGAATCATAGAAGTACTGTGTGGTGAAGAGTCGTGCATGTTATGCTTAGGACCTCCATGAGCTGTAACTCCACAGAGAAAGATATTAATAATTATTGTTTTAACATAGTCAAGTATATTATCATACCATAATATGGGGATCCAATGTCGCCAAATAGTACACTGGCCGGTTGGCCAGTTATTTCTGGTAAGAATTGTTTAAATTCATCTAATAAATCGGGTGCGCCATCAAATAATGACTGAACATGCGTATACACCACTTGTATTGGCTTTTGTTCTTTTTGATATGTTTGTAGTATTTCAAGAAATTGCTTGTATGTCTCAGGTCTTCCAGTGAATCTGTTCTGTTATATAGGTTCCAGAGATTAATTTTTTTTCTTATATTTCTTTCACTCCCATATATATATATATATATATATATATTCTATTACTGTGGTTCGTTGCTAGTGTTTTACCTTTATCTTGTTCACATAGTTGATTGCATGGTTAAATTCAACTGGACCACGCTTACCATTTGCTTGTTGGGTCTGGCCAGCTACATTGGACTGATATTGTGGAATAATTGGTCGAGAGGATTCCCCAATGGGAGGATATGAACCTTGCATGGAAGATTGTGGATTGGAGTGCATGGACATTTGTTGTGGTGGTGGTGCAGGCATATGACCATACGATGGATAGTATGGTTGGGTAGCTGGAATATTATCAGATTCCATCATTCTGCCACCGAAGTTTGCACTGCTACTTCCTCCAGTGGTTGTAGTTGTACCGCTGGGGGTGGTTACTCGAATCAGGTCGGGTTCGCGGGGATCATAGGAACATTCAATACGATATCCCGGAGGTAGAAATGTATTGAACCCCGATATCAACGTCGGATGACCCTTGAAGAGCGTAGACACGCGCTCAATGACACCAGGTGTATCAATCCTACAGTAGATTAGTTAAAGGTGGACGGTTCATTTGATACACAGTCACATTACATACGATTGGCTTTTGAAATCCTTCATTATATCCAGAAAACGATTGTACACATCTGGCTGATCTGAGAACTGCACTTTCACCTGGTCAAGGTATGTGAGTGCATCCCTCACATTTAAAGGTCTGTATCCAGTCGTGGCACTATGCTTCGGGGGTGTCCCAACAGGCGGAGAGTGTACACGTGGGATAGCACTCTTCGCATGGTCCGCAAAGGGTGAAGGTGCTCTGTTGCGTGCAAGCATAGGTGGTAGCATAGGTTTTGGTGGGTGGGACTTGCTCTTAGAAGTGTGTCCTTCGGCATTTGAGGCAATAGAGCCAGAAGGAGACAAGTTGAGCATGCCGCCATGAATGTTTTGTGTATGCGGTGGCTGGGATACTGTCGAGTAATTTGGAGAGGAAGAGGAAATAGACGGGCTCTGATAAGACATATCACTCACTCTAGAAGGCAATGCCAATAGAGGAGAAGGTTGTTGGGAAGGAGTACTTTTTGATGTCATGGTGGCAGCACTGAGATGATGAGGAAAAGGGGGTGCGACTGAAGCAGACGTAGAAGGTTGGGTCTGTGGTAGTGAAGCAGAAGGCGGTCTCCTATAATAGTGTTGTGACAAGTCTGTTAGTCATGACTTTATGCCATTTCAAGAAGACACAATAGACCATACTGCGCGTTGGATGGTGGTGGGATGGTTGAGGACATTGAGCCGCTTTAAAGAGTAAGAGAATAGAGCGAGGATGGCCGGAGGATTGGCCTTCTTTTCCTTCTTGATCGGAGTGAGAATGGACTTACAAGCCACTTTCCTTCATTTGAATGTCTCCGCCTGTTGTTATGCTCACTCAAGATTACCTTTTTCTCCAGATATTTCTCAGGAACAGTATCAGAAAGTAAGTTTTGATATATTTGTACGCTCTGATTTTCACTAATTGCTTGCTGTATAGTATAATATCATAGAATCTGTTGCTTTATGTCAGTCCAGAAGAGAAATTATGCAGTAAGAAATAGGCATGTACAAGTGGTCAAGATTGTATCTGCTTCAATATAGCTTGTATATATACGTGGTTAAAGAAATCCTCTTTAAGTAATTCTATACCTCAGTAATTATATTTATTTTTTAAAAGAAATGTATATGTTTTCTATTGAAAAAGGTTTTATAATGGAATGGTATAATCATATAATTATATATATATACATGTACATATACATATACATATATGATCTTATGTAAACTGGGTTGGATTAACAAATATTGAGTTTAGATGTCATCAAAATTGTTCTAAAAAGAAAAGGATAATGTGAATACAGAAGACAAGGCCATTTTCTTTATATATTTCATGACCATTTAACTTACCACTGTCTTGTACTGCTACTACTGCATGTGTATACAAAAGGGGGCTTTGAAGAGGAGGTATATACCCCCCCCCCCCCCCCCTATTTGATCAAGTTTTTTTTTTTAAAAAAAAAAGAATTGTATGAGCTGGATCTGATTGCCATATAACAATGAATACATGTAAGAATGTATAATTATAATATGAGTTTATATATATTAGAAATATATAGTGATAAATTATTTACTCTATGGTACCCTTTTATTTCTATTTTAAAGTGCTTTCTGATGATCTATCAAGCTAAAATATGAACATTATTTTCTGTCAAGACTTACTTGGTCTCTTACTAGATTTTAAATTTAGATCTCCGAATGAATAACCTTTAGTTGTGTGTATGCCATCTTCTTCAATCAGGCCAATCATAGGTAGCATCAGCTATTTTTCACTATCAGTGATGTTACATATTGGAAGAATATTTTATCCTCCTTGACACTCGTGCAGTCTTTCTTGGGATTTTATATATGTGTACTTTGATTGCATGATTGTTTATCTGTACATAGGTTGTACAGGTATTCAATACTATTAAAGACACTTGTTTCTTATTTTGCTAACAACGTCAAATATACAACAGATGACATTTATACAGTGGCTGGCAGGTTATTTGTGTAGATAAGCTTTAAAATATTGATTATTACAAACAATCAAATTAGATATTGGGCAAAAATATGAACAAGGCCACCTACTAAATGACAAGGTGTATAAAATGTAATAGTACTTGACCACTACATTTATCGACAAGAATCATATGCTTGCTAGGATAGAAAGTGCTAGAATTCCTACAGTTAATATCGAGTTTTTTTTTATTTACCTTACCCTTTAAATTATTTTTCCTAATCCATTTTTTTGTGAAGGAGTAATCCTATGTTCTATCATTCAACTGACGTGTATAAATTTTTATATCTCAATATACTAACAGAATGGGAAAACCCTGTATCTCTTCTCGATCGAATCTATGCCTCATTAGAATGTGTTTTGCACAAGCTTTTTAAAAATTCATTGTACAATTTAATTCCTGCTGTTTTTTTATGTATTCCGGCTAGAACTGCTCCTCATACCACTGAAAATCCACTTCATCCCATGATTTACTTTGTATGCTTGAGAAAATATCTGGAATGCTCAGATACACTATCTAAAAAAAGCAGACCGAATTGCCTTTCAACTTGGCTTAGTTTCTCTTTAATTGGACTAAGCGGTATTTGCTTTTATTACATCCAATTGGCTTTTTTTATTATTACTATTAACTTGAGCACACCATTGTATGTATATAAATTGCTGCAAAAATACTATATTTCATTCAATTGTGGTTTTGGAGGTAGTACACAATGACAAAAAATGACAACTTGTAAGATAATTTGGCAAGGTTCTTTGTAGTCTTAAGAATAGGTTTAGGATGGTATTTTAACTAGACATTTCTTTTCACTTTTATATATATTTCAATTTCAATTTCAATTTTTCCCATTTCTTTGTCAGAAGTTCAAAAAATAGACTTTTTTTTTAATATGCCACTTTTGTCTCACCTTTTTGCTTTGTAATACTCTTATAAAAGCATGTTTTTGAGATATACACAAAGTTATTCGTCATAATGCATTACAAGAGGTAATAGTAAAACAATTCACTAAAATATCCAAGGCACATAATGACTTACCGAATGGAAACCCGAAGATGCTTAACAATAACCAGGTTCCAAGATTTATACTTTCCGTCTTCTTTTTACTGTTCTTCAAACCAGTGATTCTTCTGGAACTTGGTAAATTTTTCTTCGCATAAAAATCTTCTGAGACATCCTCTCTTGGTCTTACAATATTCCCAGCTTGAAGGAAAAAGGTAAATCTAACGGGAATTGTTTCATCATATCGTAATTTATTAAGGATGTGTCTACAGTTTGTGGCGGCACAAATATCTATTCCACAAACGATGCTTAAACTGTAAAAAGCCAAGTCCTCCAAATAATTTAGATTAGTAAACTTAGAGTAATTCACAAGGCTATTAATAATAGGAAAATCAAGGCGGGCTGTAAGGCCACCGTAGAAGAACATGGCAGATTACACATATTGTTTGATATTGGTGATATAGGCGATTATTGACGATTTACTATTTTTTTTAATATATGGCTTGGAACACAAATGACATTGTTCAAGCACGCAAACTTAACTATTCAATAAAATTGTAAATATACTTTTGGTCTTATGGTATTTACTGGCAGATAAACATCAGTTTCCCATGATCAAGACACAAGCTGGACACATTTTTTGTAAGCATATTACTTATTAGACGTTCTTTGTCTCTAGATTAGTTGATGTAAATGGAGAAGATATATTAACGAGATAAGAAAATTATGGCTGCTCAAATTTTGGTACTTACATGAAATAAACTTGTTGGCTTGACTAAAGTGTGAAAAAAGGAATACTATTGATTCGGCTTGAAGTCCAAGAGAGGGATTGTTCGACAACAAGAACGTTTGGTTGATGGGCTTTAAAATTCCAAAGAAAAATTCCTGCGAAACTTGCTACTTTTAAATTCAGTTATTTGATGGTCATAGGTGTATTTGCAGTTTCTTCGTCTGTTCACAATAGTTTTCACTAATGCAGTATAACAAAGCTCTTTTTTTCAAAACCAATAAAAAAATAGAGCTCTCAAATTACTTCTTGGTTTTTTAGTAAAAAAAAAATGTATATAGTTAATTTTCGAGTCAATGATACTAATGTTTCTGGAAGTGGGTCTTTTGATAGTGTTGCTGTTAATCTTGGATAAAGAGGTCAAAAATATCTGATTGAATTCCCCCTCTAAACCTCATCACACTGTTCTTCTAACCTCGAAAGGAATTGCTGTCCAAGTTAACAATTAGTCCCCTCGTGTTTATCTTGTTCACGAATGATTTCTACAATCTCATCAAGACATGTTGGCACAGAATCCTATTGACAATATGTATATAGCAAGGAGACCGAGCTTGATAATGAAGAAGAAAAGAAGCTAAAGTATCCAAATATAATCTTTTCTGATAGCTGGATTAGATCATACGAAATAATACAAAAAAGGCGGATATAAGAGCTTTTAATGTCATAGTATATCTACTCTATTGTTATTGTTATTGTTATTCGAACCTATAGTATTATGGGTAGGCTATAAAGATAGATAGAGTCTCTACAAAAGCAGATATTTATCCTGTTGAAGAATACGAAAATCGCACGATAGATACAATAGAATAACACGTTTGATATTGGGACGTAGATTTATGAAAACACTGATAGCCAATTATAATAAATAAAGAACGCTCTGTATTATAGCAATTAGTAACAATGCATCTTTTGTAATATATAGCCATATCAGCAATCATTTTGCCATAAAGTAATTCAATGGCTTTCAGCTATACAAGAGAATTTTATTTGATATATTGCCTCATGAAAATGTATATTTATAAAAGATAAAGAAGTATTATTATAGTATATGAATAAAGTCTTACATCCGCAAGAGAGCGGAGATACCCAATTATCCATAAAAGTAAAAGATAAAAAAAAAGTTAGTTTTACATAAAACACCCCTAGAATTACCTTTGAGAAAACCCTTAAAATTACCCCAAAAAAGCCTTAATTATTTACCGTATTTTAGCCAAATAAAGTTTTCTTATTGCCAGCCCTTGGTATCTAAGCAGCCCTGTTTTTACATTATATTTTCAAATATTCATATTTTGAATAGTAAATTCTCGCACCAATTTACAATATATATATATATATATAATGCATTTGACATTTTGACATGTGACGCGTTTTCAATCATGTCAGTTTAAGGGTTTTTTACATGGCCCAAGCAAAGCAGTTTAACGTCCTACTTGAGCCATTTCAGCCAATCATATTATATAATAGGAACGTGTGGCAAAGAAGAAAAAGAAAAAAGATTGAGAGAAAAGAGAAAATATGAAAGGATAATGCTCCTATTTGTAGACATCCCTTGAGTGGCTATCCTGTGGCTGGTGGTTTTTACATTCACACTCCAGTCAATACCACTATCATGTGAAAAAAGGTACCTTAAGAATATAAACAAAAGTATTAAATTCATGCATTTGCGAAGGAGACAAGGCTAAACGTATCGCCGGATTTTAAAAGTATGTACATGAAGCTTTTTTTTTACAACAAATAATCCAAGAAACGAAGTATATTGCTATACTTACTGTTAAACATAGCTTTAATATAAGCAGCTGGGTTTGTAGTCATGACTACATATGTGTGCACTATACTTTATTATATTTTCAAGATAAATAAAAAAAGTGGGGTAAACTGGCATTGTTCAATAAATAAAAACCCATATGTTCTATTCAACAAAACCTCAGCTCAGGAACAAGCATGATACATGTTTCAGTCTATTTTTTTTTAAAAAAAAATCCTGTACTACAATATCTTAATATATTGGTCCATAGATAAAATTTAGCTACTCTTCAATACAAAAGATCGTTTGCTTGTAGGTTGATACTGTATGAGATTGAATACAGCAAGAAAACGTGCTGTCTTGTGTTAATGCTTGCGTAAAGTATATATACTATTATACCGATTCCAGAGAATATGGGATCAATATTTATTTCTGTAAATATTATACTGGTTGAGTTGTCAATAAAGAATCTCGATTTCCACCATCTTCTTCATTACTTGTTTTTTTTTATATATACGGAATTGCAGCTATCTTATCTTTGCTCCCTATTAGGCCACACTTCAAAAATTTAAAAAAGTTTTTTTTTCTAAGAAAAGAGAATCCAGTGTATGTAACTTTGTCACTGGAATACAATACATTAAAAGGTTGTTATTTATTTCTCATGAGATGTATTTTATTTTATTGTATTGTATTGTATTGTATTGTACGTTATTAGGTTGATTAATATATTATAGTTTTAAGAATTATTTTCTCCACTTTCCAAACACCTTTGTAATGGCAGATTTTACTACACCGGCAGCCTTTTCGTTCTCCTTCTTTGTAAGTCCAATAGTGACATGGAGCTTAATGCTAGGTCTAGGGCAACTCTTTTCCTGATCATGTACATATTTAGCTCTAGTAATCAAGACACCTTGGACTGCACACTCGTCGACAACATCTTGCAATAAACGCTCTTGGTCAACGCGAGGGATATCAATCTCATGGTCAAAAGCACGTGATCTCAAGAAAGAATTCTTGGGGTAAATGTGGAAAAAGGGAGCAGGAGATTGAAGATCACTGTCAGAAACTCTGATAAGAGATTCAAGGGACTTGTGCGAAAGAACCTGACGGAACACTTGAGCACGCTCAGAAAGTTCCTTAAGGATCGAGGGTTGTTGGCGGATCACCTTAAGAGCCTCTGAAGCAGATACTGCAAGCATGGCAGGCATGGAAGCAGAGAAACAATACGCACTGCCAGACAAACGCTGGTGATCAACAACCTCAGTGCTAGCAGCACAGAAGCCACCGGAAGCGCAAAATGCATTAGCCAAAGAACCAACAATCATATCCACTTCTGTGGCCTATAGTCGAGAATGATGTTAGTTTGTTTAGAAGGACTGTATGTACACATATATAATAGGACTTACATCCACAGAGAACAAATCAGTGAGACCTCTACCGTTATTTCCTACTACACCAATAGAATGGGATTCATCCAAAATCAATCTGTACTTATATTTCTTCTTAAGTTCAACCTAAAGTACTGCATGTTATTAAAAAAGAACCAGAAAAAAAACAAAAACAAAAAACATATTAATCCTCAACAGGTTAGAGTAAACTTACCAGTTTTTTCAAAGGTGCAATATCACCAAAGTTGGCAAACAATCCTTCGGTGACAATGAATCGGCGGGTCAGACGTTTGTTGTTCTACACAGCCACAGTTAGTTTATTTTTGGTACTTTCATGGAATGACTCCACAATGTAGCCCAATATCTACCTTGTCCTGGTCAGCCTGTACATCTCTCAATACGCGTTCAAGATCGTCCATGTTGTTGTGCTTGAAGTATCGGACATTGGAGCGGGAAATCTGGACACCCTTTTGAACAGCAAAACTCACGCCATCATCGCTGATATATATACATATATATAAAAGGATTATAAATTGTATAATAATATGTTAAAAGTAAATAAAGATAAGTTTTTTTTGTTTTAGTTGGAATTAGTTCTTTATATTTATATATATGTATTAATGAATGAATGACTGAAAATATCACTTACACAACAAGCAAGTCACCTCTCTTGGAGAATGCAGGAATAACAGAAGAAATAGTAGAAAAGCCTTGAGCATAAATGATAGCCTCTTCGGTACCCAAAAACTGTGCAATATCCTTTTCAAGGTCCATGTGGACATCAATGGTACCATAGAAACCAGGAGGACCGCAAGAGCCAACACCATATTCCTTGAGTGTCTTGATAGCACTTTCACAAATTTGTTCGGAGGCAGCCAGGTTGAGGTAGTTTGTTGTGGCAAGGTTCAAGAGAGGCTTGGCATGTCCAGATACTCTGGTCTTTGCAGATTGAGGGCCGAGAATGACAGGTGTGCTATCAAGGTTTAGTTTATCGAGGGTATTCAGAGTAGGTACAAGAGTTTCGGGTTGCCATTCTTCAATAAGATCATCGACCTCCTTTATAAGTTATGACACAGCAATGGTGTTAGAAACAATAATTTATATAATAATCTGATAATAAGACAGGTACCTTAACAGTAAGTTTTACAGTATTGTCATGAGGCTTGTATTTCTTTGCCAACATATATTTGATGGCAAAAAAGACCAAAAACAGTTCGAGAGCAATGCGGAAGGGATCATTTTGGTATGCATTCTTGAGGTACACAATGACTAGATGGGAACCTGGGATGGCAGTGATCATTTCATAGACCGAGTTGACGGTCGAATTGAAAAAGATAGCATCATCAAGGGGTAATTCAGTCACGGTCTCCATGATGAGCGGGTCAAAGAAGAACAGTTTCTTGTTGTCCGACCCTGGAGTTTTATATATAAAATAAAGCGGACCTTCAACACATACCTTCTATCAACTTTGTCCTTGGCGCTGTTGCATGCAGACACTTCTTTTGATGATAAAATTCGTTTGGCGACTTTGTCCGACGTTTTATTCCGCCAAAATAAAATAAAAATAACAATTATGATTACAAGATGTATTTCAACATCATGGGCAGTCCCAGCTGTCAGTCGATCGCCATTCTTTCCCATCATCCCTTTTAATGACTTTATTATTTATTTACATGAGAAAGATGTTTGTTATGGTAGTGTTTTTATATAAATTGATCAATGTAATGCTTTGCTGGCTATGCACACCGTTTCTATAGTCAGTAGTAGACTAATGGCCAAACCTTACTCTCTTCAACTAATAGTGTTTGTTTGTGCTCTATATATTAATATTTGTGAATACCTATTACTGGTTATAGTATCCATTCATTTATATTTATTATTCATTCTTATGACATAGTACTTATTTGCTGTACTAGCACTTTTCTCTGGTCACGTGTTTAGGCAAGACCTTTTCCTTCGTGCATGTCAGTTAACTATACTGTGTTTTCACTATTACTTCAGAAACTGTTGATTTCTTTTTTACACATCAACAAATATATTTTCACATACATATAAGAAGGAGGCCGTGAATTTTAAGGGAACAAAATCGCTAAAAATTCAAGTTAAAGAAGAAAATCTCCCATGTAGAGTATTTGGTTTATACTATAACTATCCAACATTGCCTTGATATTGCTGGGCATCTTACATGTAGAGTACTGTGATGAACACCTGTCATATTGAATGTACGATCTTCTTATGGTTTATTTTGTCTATAGTTTGCTTGTGGTTTTTTTTTGCGGCGACTAGAGCAGTCCGTTAGAGCTTAAATAGCCATCTATAATATATAAAGGAGCTTGAACAGATTTGGGTGTAATATACTTGACCTATAGCAGACATGGACCATCGATGCTTTGTGATTTTATTTTTCTAGCTGCTTAAAAGGTCTTGAAGCTGATTCTCCTGTGGTACTCCACCTTCTGAGAATATACAGCTACTGTTTTGTTCAGTAGTAATTGTTTCTATGTTTTTCTAGAGATTTCTAGAGATTTCTTCAGATTCTCTGGTATCCCGTCTTGTCAACTCGTCTGTTCTGCATGAGGTTGGACACCAAAGTACACACTGTATTAATAGGTTAAATTCGTCATTTTTTGTCCTCTACCCAATCAAAGTGGGGTAGGGGGTTTTTTTTATGGTAAACATTGAACCCTCAACCTTTGATGGTTTTGTAGCTTTTCGAGTCTATGTTGGTACTATTATTATTCAAGACTCTGTGTTATTGAATTTCTGGGCTCTTAATTAAGGTCTGTTGATATCCTGACTTTTAGATTTTGCTTGTAATGTCAAAGGTGAGGACTAATTTTTTGTCTTTGTCTTTGTCCTATTTTCAGTAGTCGGGTAATCTTGATGTGTAATAAGTCTGATGTTGAATTCATTTACCTTTCCCGGCTCCTTTTCCTATGGAAAATGAGTAGATGGATATGCATGTAATGCTTTTCTCTCTCTCTTTCTCATGATAGTACCAATAATATTTTTGATTTTATCCCTCATTAACAATGGATTTTAAAACATTTACTTGCCTTGATAAGATTTTTTCCAATCTTGCGAAATCTGACATTCACCTTGTTACATTCTCAGCATATATTTCTCTATCTCTATACGTCTATAGATATATATTGATGTCACTATATCGAATAATATTCTCTTTTAAGAGGGTTTAGATTTTTACTGGTAACTTATCTAAATGTTAATTTTATGTAATCATATACACATATTGAAGCTAATTCTACTGATTGGTTTTGTTCAATACAATGCAATGCAATTCAATTCAATTTGTACGGATGTAAATGGGGTATTTCTTGCTGGTATGAAATCGGCATTTTATGAATAGTTTCAAATTCAATGTTACCTATGAATACGGTAGTACCCCAGAGTACAAAATCAAAGATATACAATTATCCTTGGATAACAAATTTTGATAAAGAGGTTTTTTATTATATATTCTTTGAGAAAATTGATAAAGAACCGAGTTCTTTTTTTAAAGAATAAATAAAATAAAAGAAAAGAAGTGTGAGGGATTACGGTTGGTTAGAGAATATGAAGTATCCATGGTAAACCAAAAAAGAAAAAGAGATATGCTTTGTATATATAATATTTATATATATATATATATATATATTGTATAATATAATATAATAATATTTTATATATATATAAAGACTTCCAAAAGAAATACTTTATTTTGCACAGTTAATATATATATATATATATAATATTCTTATTTATTTTCCCTTACTTCATTTTCCTATTTTCTTGCTTTTGCGCATCTTATTCCGATTGCGTCTTTTGAGCACAACCAACAGCTGTTTTTTTCTCTTGCTAAACAAACAAGTGCACTTTTGCAGATATACTGTTTTATTTATAACATTTTTTGTATACATATACATATTTTATATATATATAATATATATGTATATGGTTGACAGTGTAATATTCTTTCTTTCTTTTTTTATAATTATTTTTATGTACATACACACACACATATTTATACCTATTGCTTGACCGAGACTGACTAACTTTGATTGCTAGCCCGGATCGATTCATGGTGCAGGATTCCTTACACGGAGACATTCCACTGGCGAAGGAATAACTTCTAATCTACCTCGTCTACCTTCTCATCCACCCTCTACACCAGACCATGATTGCCAGGAATTTGCTTCGCCCGAAGGCACCTACAAATTAGCGAATCAGATCTTCTTTAGGTCAATGAGTCCTCTTTACACTGTTGGTACAACAGCAAGCATGGTCTCCATCAAATACAAAGAAAGCACACCAAATCTCCAACGTTATGAACCTCATCCAGGAGCTCTCAACTTTCGACGCATGTTTAGTGCTACAAATCTCCCACCTAGCACACCGGAATCAGAGGACGATTCAGTCTTTAGGACACCATCACTCTCTAGCAGCTCATCGAGCCACAAGAACTCACACTTTCCTATTCCTTCTATCCCCGAAGGCCATCCTCTCACAACAACGACTCCTATCCCAAAGCTAGGCTCATCCCTTGAAGGGTCTGGGATGTCCACATTTGGCCCTTCCCCCTCAAACAGTAACCAAACCTCCACTCTCTCCTTCCTCACCCGAAACCACACTCTTAGCAGCCGCCAACCCCGCAAACCAAAAACAAGCATCACAAAGACTAATTCAAGCTTTGTTCAGAGAATTATCACCAACGACCAACTTGCCAAAATTCTAATGGCTCGTACTAGTGAAGACACCAATTTATTTTACAATTGTGGATCAAACTTTGTTTGGATGGACGCCTTTGGCCATCCAAAGGTAAGTCAAATCAAGAGATAATAAATATTTGATGAAGCGATACCAACCGTAAATAAATAAATCAATCAAAATGGCCAGGAACCCTTGTCTAGGATTATATTCACCCGAGCATACCCTACTGCTCATGATGTAAACTTATTGACGCGTGGATCAGACCATTTGGATATAATCATTGGATTTTCGTCAGGAGATATTATCTGGTTTGATCCACTTTGCAATAAATATGGCAGAATCAACAAGAATGTAAGAAGCAAAATAAAAAGAAAAGAAATCGTTGGGTAGAGAACTAATTAAAAGAGCGGGGGTTTTCTTCTTCTTTTGGTTGTTGGAAAAAGGGTATTATGAATTCATCTTCGATTACCATGATCCGATGGCTGCAAGGATCAGAAAGCGCTTTTATGGCTGCGTTTCAGGATGGATCAATTATGCTCTTTGATAAGGAAAAGGAAGACGAGCACTTTGATCCAACTGACACCGATTCTTATCACACGTACACTACAACACCTTCAGGTCCTTCTACCCTCTTTGATAAGCAGACGTGAGTAAACATAACCATCACACTTTAGTACAACTACTCAATTGTAATATATAATAGATTCTCGGTTACAAAGTTGCCACACAAGTCTGCTCACAAATGTAATCCATCTTCATATTGGAAATTATCTCAACAGCCCATTACAGGTATTATACATATGTTCTAAATTGCAGCAGCGAGCACCATAATGAATGTTTATTTTCTTTTTTTTTGTAGCCTTCGCATTCTCGCCCGACTGTCAACATGTAGCTGTGGTTGGTCTTGATGGTCTGCTGAGAGTCATTAATTTCGTCTGTGAGAGGTAAATATGACAAAGGTAATAGCGTTTATTTATTTATTGAGTAGATTGTATGATATATACCAATCATACTACGGAGGTCTTACTTGCGTTGCATGGAGTCCTGATGGGCGATATATTTTGGTGAGTGTCGAATATCTTGCAATTATTGTTTTTGGGTTATAAAACTGATATATTTTGAAATCTAAATCATGATAGACAGGTGGACAAGACGATTTGGTAACCTTGTGGGCATTTAGAGAACAACGGATTATTGCACGCTGTCAGGGACACCACTCATGGGTAAGTGTGGAAATATATTCACAATGCTTATATTCAACATATTTTGGTCTCATCTTTAGGTAACAGGTGTTGCGTTTGATCCTTGGAGATGTGATGAGAAAGTCTATCGATTTGCAAGTGTGGGAGAAGATGCGCGATTAATTCTCTGGGATTTCTCGGTCCAAGCTCTACATCTTCCAAAGACAGTAAGTTCACCTTTTTTTTTCGAGCGAGGTTTCAACAGAAATGATATTAACGGAGTTCATTTGGCTTTAGAAACCAAACACACGCCATCGTGGTGCATCAGTGTCATCTGTGAATCCTGCCCCTAGCATTTATGGTTCATCACAAGATCGCCCAGTGCTTGTACACCCTCCACTTTCCAAGACAGAAGTAGCTCTACTACAGCCTACAATGGTCAAGATAGTTCATGCTGATCCATGTACAGGTGTCTACTTTCGCGAAGATGTCATTGTCACAACAGATAAAAGAGGTCGAGTTGGTCTGTGGCAACGACCTCCCACTCCTCCTCCTCCCCATCCTTCCTCCAGTTCCTCCAACTCTTCTTAATTCTTTAATTCTTATTACTTTTATATTTATTTATTTTTAAAACTTTCTTTATTTTTATTTTGCTTTCGTTCAGTTTAGTTTTATTTAATGTGTAGATCAACTAAATATCTTTTATATGCCATGAATTGGCGGAGTCTCTTGAGTGTGACGTCGATGTATTGTTTTCTTTGCAGGGCCGTCTTGAAGGACACCTCTCTCTACATCCTTTAGGACACTTCCCCCCACTCTAATGTTGTTTTCGCGTCCTCTGTTCCAGACTGTGACCAAGGTAATACCGGGCGAAATCCCACCTGTTTTAAAAAAAAAGGAAGAAAACATTCCGCCTGGAAGGTCATTGCGCAATAAAAAGATATTTTACAACAAAAGATGAAGAAAAAGCTCGATAAAAGCACAACAAAAGAATATTGCCAACCAACATTGAGTGAATCTCTAGGTGTCTACCAACATCACAGGCATTGCTGTGCATCCCACCCCTCGCCCTCACCTGATTAAGACATACAACAACACACTCCAGGCCTTGTCAAGCTTTCCTTCGACTGCTGTCTATAGACAGGCCACTGAAGCCTTTACTCAGCAGCGTTTGGCAGTAGTTGAGTCGACTGAGAATTTAGAGGAAATTGAGGCCAAGTTGGGTGCTGGTCAGATTGAGGAGGTTATTATCCAAGCCGAGGAAGAATTGAAATTGGTTGGCAAGATGGCAGAATGGAAACCCTGGGAGGCTCTCGAAACACCTGCTCCTGAGGGTCAGTGGGATTACATCAGCAACTACAAGAACTAGAAGCTAGAAGATGAAGATGAAGATGAAGACCACACCGTTGCATTACTCCAGACATGACAACAAACTCCCCCTTTGATTCAATCAATAAAATTATACACCAAAAGAAGAGATAAACTCATTTATGCTGGATGGTTACACCTATACGTCATCAAACGCCTGTTGTGCGTTTTATTTATTAAGGAAACCCCAGGAAAAATAAACAACATTGCATTCATTCATTAGTATGTTCTTGCAAGCTTCTATTCGTCGCCTATCTCTTAATCAACGCAAGTTTTATTTGACATTTATTATGCTTTGTTTGAACTGAGATTTACGCGTACTTGATCTTTTTCGACACTAGTCCAACGAAACGTGCGTATGTTTGGTAATCTTGTGTCAACTGAGGAACTTGCTTCCAACCTTGGTAAAGTCAAGGTTTTGGATGGCTCGTGGCATATGCCCAATACCAACAGAGATCCTTATGAGGAGTATCTTGCCAAACATATCAAGACTGCTGGATTTTTCCCTATTGATACTATCAAAGATACATCTGTTGACCTTCCTCATATGCTTCCTGCACCCGAAGTATTTGCTAAGGCTGTTGGTAAACGTCATATATAAAGAAGCAGATCGCTTTAAGAAGATGAATATTATAATCCCCTTACTATTATGCTGCTTTAGGCAATCTTGGTATCTCCAATGATGATCAGGTGGTAGTGTACGATACCGCAGGGATATTCTCTGCTTGTCGCGTGTATTGGACCTTTAAGGTAAGCTACAGCATATGCACAATTTAATATTAACTGTGCATGACAGGCATTTGGACATAATCGTGTATCGGTATTGAATGGAGGTCTGCCCGCATGGATCAAAGAAAACAGACCTACAGAATCTGGGAATGTGGACATTAAGCCTGTGGAGTTTAAAGTGAAGCCTTTGGACGAGAGTTTGGTCAGGGACTATAAAACAGTTTTGGCCAACGCTAAACTGGCTGAAACCAATCCTCAACAACAGATTCAGGTCTTGGATGCTCGTCCCAAGGCTCGCTTCACCGGAGAGGCTCCTGAGCCACGAGCAGGGCTGAGCTCTGGACACATGCCTAATTCTATTAGTGTTCCATTTAACGAAGTTATTGATCCTGCAAAAGGGGAGTTGCTTGATGATGAATCGCTTCGTAAATTGTTTGCTTCTAAAAACGTTGATTTAACCAAACCTATGATAACCAGCTGCGGTAAGATTAAGGTGTATAAGGTTTTTTTTAGGAAATTTATTCATAATGAGCTGCTTAACAGGTAGCGGTATCACTGCCTCTATTTTATACTTGGCCCTGGAGCGTGCTGGTGCAAAGGATATTGCTGTATATGATGGTAGCTGGACAGAATATGCAGACAAGAAGGATAGTTTAATCATTAAAAGCGGTTAATAAAATTAGCGGAGTCCTTCTGAGTTTGTCAAAGGAATCAATTGAAGCCACATGACTGCACATTTCGACGGTGTTAAAAAAAAAGTTTTTAAAAAGGCTGTTCGCTTAGTGAAAGGAAATATTTTCACTTCTTCTTCACACTCTAGTCATGGTAAGCTCATTGAGATCAAAAAAATTTGTACAGTCAACTCATTCATAAATAGTCCGCACCCAACCCCAAAGCCTTCCCCCTCGCCGATTCAGCATTGACCAGCACTATCCTGGACCTCGTCCAGCAGGCTTCCCACTACAAGCAGTTGAAGAAGGGTGCTAACGAGGCTACCAAGACTCTCAACAGAGGTATCTCTGAGTTCATTATCATGGCCGGTAAGAATACTCTCTATAAAAATGTGTTTTGGGTTGGGCGTAAAGGATGAAAAAATCCGTTTGGACCTTTACAATGACATTCAACGATTAGTCTTTCTGAGAAACGTTCAATCCAAAACAAATTGAATTTAAAGAAAAGAAAATGAAAAGAATTACATGACTCACACATTTCTCGTGTAGCTGATGCCGAACCCCTCGAGATTCTTTTGCACCTTCCCCTTCTCTGCGAAGATAAGAACGTCCCCTACGTCTTCGTTCCCTCCAAGACCGCTCTTGGTCGTGCCTGCGGTGTCTCCCGCTCCGTCATCTCTGCCTCCGTTACCACCAACGAGGCTTCTGATCTTAAGCCCCAGATCTTGTCCATCAAGAACCAGATCGAGAAGTTGCTCATCTAAAAAAATTTAAAAAGAAAATAAGAAAACATTCCCTGCAGTGCAATGGTTTCTCTATTACATTTCTTTTTACGCATTCATCCCTCATGTCTTTTGGTCGATGATCCGTTAGTGTTGAGACCCCCATTTCGATTGTAAATAAATTCTCGTACACTTTAGTCCCATCATGTAATCATATAAAAAAACTGTTCCTATATACATATATTATCAATACCATTATCATTATCTGTCAAATGAAGTGAATATATCAATTTCGCGTACGCGCGCTTGTGGGTGTGTGGGTGTGCAACCTATCAAAACTACGTTGCATAACATCAATTATCGAGTTAGCTGTCAATTAGTCTTCGAAAATATCTGACACGCATCCAATCTACCAGTTATTTTATTATCACAGCCATCCATACACAAGAAGTTTAATGTTGTGTACATATCGCTCTTTACAAGAAACTAATTATCACGCTTTTGGCTAAGTATATAAAATCTTTGAGAGTGCACTTCAAATTTCCCTTAAAAAAATCTCCCCTTTTTTTGTGGTAGTGGTAGGCGATTGCTTGATCAAAAATAGAATTCTAGGGGTGTTTTATGTAAAACTAACTTTTTTTTTATCTTTTACTTTTATGGATAATTGGGTATCTCCGCTCTCTTGCGGATGTAAGACTTTATTCATATACTATAATAATACTTCTTTATCTTTTATAAATATACATTTTCATGAGGCAATATATCAAATAAAATTCTCTTGTATAGCTGAAAGCCATTGAATTACTTTATGGCAAAATGATTGCTGATATGGCTATATATTACAAAAGATGCATTGTTACTAATTGCTATAATACAGAGCGTTCTTTATTTATTATAATTGGCTATCAGTGTTTTCATAAATCTACGTCCCAATATCAAACGTGTTATTCTATTGTATCTATCGTGCGATTTTCGTATTCTTCAACAGGATAAATATCTGCTTTTGTAGAGACTCTATCTATCTTTATAGCCTACCCATAATACTATAGGTTCGAATAACAATAACAATAACAATAGAGTAGATATACTATAACATTAAAAGCTCTTATATCCGCCTTTTTTGTATTATTTCGTATGATCTAATCCAGCTATCAGAAAAGATTATATTTGGATACTTTAGCTTCTTTTCTTCTTCATTATCAAGCTCGGTCTCCTTGCTATATACATATTGTCAATAGGATTCTGTGCCAACATGTCTTGATGAGATTGTAGAAATCATTCGTGAACAAGATAAACACGAGGGGACTAATTGTTAACTTGGACAGCAATTCCTTTCGAGGTTAGAAGAACAGTGTGATGAGGTTTAGAGGGGGAATTCAAACAGATATTTTTGACCTCTTTATCCAAGATCAAACCAACAACGCTATCCAAAGACTTCCTTCCAGAAACAATATTGTCCATTTTCTTATTGAACATTCTAAATTTACTAATCCTCATTGTTGGAAGAACAGGTATTCATTACAGCTTGATATTTGCTTGTGAAATAGAGATCTTGTTGCTATCCTGAATTTCTAGCACATTTTTAATCAATTGTGACTTAATGGCACAGTTTCCTATGTGGTTATCCGTTTTTTTTTCAGTTAAGAGTATTATAAGATCAAGAGATTATGTCTCGGGGGGTTGTTGTGTGAGACAAAAGCTAAAAATCTCCAGAAGAATGCAAGTCTTTCAACCTTATTATCTCCAGGTATATTCAGAATGACATTCAGTAAGCCATCATATTCTTTGAATAGTTTAGTGAGTTACTTTATTATTACTTTGTACTACACGATGGATAGGATGCTTTGCATTGATCGTAAAAATACGGTAGGACAATGGTGGGGATATTGAAAAGGTGCTTTTACTTTTGAATTACAATAGCAAAGAAATAGGACAATTGAAATTGATACATAAAGGGGGAAAAAAGCAGTGCTTAATCAAAATTCAACCTTAAAACAACCCTTAGACCCTCGAAAAAAAAGTCTGAAAAAATAATCTCCTACTAAAGTCGCCTTTTTTTTTACTTGAGTGCAGTTGAGCTTTTTCATCAATTTAATAGAAACTTGGATTAATTGAGATGGAAATTTACAAGTGACGAACTCTACGGACGAATGGTATTATCTATATACCAATTTGATCGCAGTTATCTTTTTTTCTGCGACTTTTTACAAAGATCAAAATACGCCATACGATAATATTCCTTGTTTGGTGTCTAATACATTTTATTTCCGCTTTTATTGATTTATTTGCTGCTACGTATTGCTTTTACTGCGGTAGCATTAAAAATAAAACTATAAAATATTATGCTAGACAATCATACAGCCAATAACTAGAAGTGACGCAAAGTGAGTCAACTAGAAGTGACCAAAAAGTCGATGAAAAGGGCAGAGGTTGAAAGAGAATAAACAGCTATTGTATTAATATGACTCCGATTGTGACTGGCCAACCTTTGCTCCCTGATTCCAGGATTGGAAACCCAGTGGCTGAAAAATTGTTTGTTTAAAAGTCCCAGACGTTATCTGAAGGTATTCTCTTTTTTTCGAGGTAACAACTCTTTTTCCATAATGGCTTCCAACCCAAAAGAGGAAACACAAGCACCCCCTGCTGTCGTTGAAGACGCTGCCGCCGCCGCTGCCGCTGCCGCAAAGAAGGCTAAGAACGAGGCCAAGAACGAAGAGAAGAGACTTGCCAAGCTTGCCAAGTTCCAAGCCAAGCAAGCCAAGGTAAATATAACTGCGTATAACAGAGACAACAGAGACGCGATACTAGGCTAAATGATTATAATTTGAACGTCATACAAACAAATTACTCAATAATGTCTCGTATTTCAGTTGGACGAGCAGAAGAAGACCGCTGCTGCTGAGACTGAGGTGAGCGAGAAGAAGAAGAAGAAGGCTGCCAAAGCTGCTCCCGCCCCGGCTTTTGTCAACACCACCCCCAAGGGAGAGAAGAAGGGTAAGTAAATAATGATAGGGTGCTAAATATATCTACATTTATATATGGAGACAAAACCTGATCCGATCTTACTGTTCCGTTATAGACATGTCCACTCCTATCGCAAACGCCTACGATCCTAACGCTGTAGAGTCTGCATGGTACGAGTGGTGGCTCAAGGAAGGTTTCTTTGAACCTGAACTTACTGAGGATGGCAAGATCAAGCCCGAGGGTTTGTTCGTTGTCCCTGCTCCTCCTCCAAATGTTACCGGCTCCCTTCACATCGGACACGCCCTTACTGTGGCTATTCAGGATACTTTAATTCGCTGGAACCGTATGTTGGGCAAGACTGTCTTGTTCAATCCAGGAACCGATCACGCTGGTATCTCTTGCCAGTCTGTAGTTGAGAAGAAGCTCTGGAAGGATCATAAGAAGACTCGTCATGACTTGGGTCGTGAGGCCTTTATTGATGAAGTCTGGAAATGGAAGGAGAAATTCGGTAACAGAATTTACGAGCAGTTCTACCGTCTTGGTGCTTCGTACGACTGGGGCCGAGTTGCTTTCACCATGGATCCTGTAAATATACACTCCACTGTTATTTGATTTAGATTCTCATAGCCACTGACACGCTTTATAGAAATTATCTTATGCTGTACGCGAGAACTTTGTTCGTCTCCATCGTGACGGTACTATTTACCGCGCCAACCGTCTTGTCAACTGGTGTGTGCACCTCAACACCGCCCTTTCCAACCTCGAGGTTGACAACAAAGAACTTCCTGGTCGCACCCTTATGAACGTTGCTGGCTACGATCCCAAGGAAAAGTTTGAATTTGGTGTTCTCAATGAGTTTGCTTACGAAGTTGAAGGATCAAATGAGCGTATCGTTGTTGCTACTACCCGTATTGAAACCATGCTTGGTGATACTGCTATTGCCGTCCACCCCACTGATTCTCGTTACACTCACTTGCACGGCAAGTTCGTAAAGCATCCCTTCATCGACCGTCGTATTCCCATCATTACTGACGAAATTGCTGTCGATATGTCTTTCGGTACTGGTGCTGTCAAGATGACCCCCGCTCACGATTTCAACGATTATGAAGTCGGCAAGCGTCACAACCTCGAATTTATCAACTTGCTCAACGATGACGGTACCTTTAACGATAATGCTGGTCCCTACGCTGGTATGAAGCGTTTCCACGTTCGTACAAAGATTATTGAAGATCTCAAGGCCAAGGGTCTTTTCGTTGGTGTAAAGGAAAACCCAATGGCTGTACCCGTGTGCTCCAAGTCTGGTGATGTTATTGAGCCTTTGATGAAGCCCCAGTGGTGGGTTAACTGCAAGCCCATGGCTGCCGCTGCCATGAAGGCTGTTACTGACGGTGAGCTCAAGATTTCTCCCAAGGTCTCTGAGGCTGATTGGTTCCGTTGGTTGGGTAACATTCAGGACTGGTGTATCTCTCGCCAGTTGTGGTGGGGTCACCGCGTTCCCGTTTACTTTGTCAACATCGAGGGTGAAGAAAACGACGCTTCTGACAACCATTTCTGGGTTAGTGGTCAAGATGAGGCTGCTGCCAAGGTCGAGGCCGAGAAGCGCTTCCCAGGAAAGAAGTTCTCATTGGAACAGGATCCCGATGTTCTTGATACTTGGTTCTCATCTGGTCTCTGGCCTTTCTCCATCATGGGCTGGCCCGAAAACACAGATGATATGCAGAAGTACTATCCCTCTTCGCTCCTCGAGACCGGTTGGGATATTCTCTTCTTCTGGGTCGCACGTATGGTCATGTTGGGTATTAAGCTTACTGGCAAGGTTCCCTTTAAGGAGGTCTTCTGCCATGCCATGATTCGTGATGCTCATGGCCGCAAGATGTCCAAGACTCTTGGTAATGTCATTGATCCCGTCGATGTTATTGAGGGTATCAGTCTTGATGGACTTTACCAAAAGTTGCTTGATGGTAACCTTGATCCCAAGGAAGTTGCCACAGCTAAGGCTGGTCAGGTAAATATATCTCCACAATATATATAATAGAAGAAAATGGCTAATCATTTAATTGTTTGGACTATAATAGAAAGCAGATTTCCCCAAGGGTATCCCTGAGTGCGGTACTGATGCTCTCCGTTTCGCTCTTTGCGCTTATACCACTGGTGGTCGCGACATCAACCTTGATATTCTCCGTGTTGAGGGTTACCGCAAGTTCTGTAACAAGCTCTGGAACGCTACTCGCTTCGCCCTGATGAAGCTTGGAGATGATTTTGTCCCTACTGCCGATACCACCTTGACCGGTTATGAGTCTCTTACTGACAAGTGGATTCTCCACAAACTCAACAACGCCGCTATTGAAACCAACAAGGCATTGGCCGAGCGTAGTTTCAAGAATGCCACTGATGCTGTATACCAGTTCTGGCTGTACGATCTGTGCGATGTCTACATTGAAGTCATTAAGCCCATCTGTGATGCCGATACAACTGGCAACCCTGCTGCTGCCAATGCCAAGTTGGCTGCTCAAAACACACTTTATACCTGTCTTGAGGCTGGATTGAAGCTTATGCACCCATTCACACCCTTTGTTACTGAGGAGCTTTACCAACGCCTTGTCCGCCGTTCCGGAGACAAGGTCAAGTCTATCACCAAGGCTTCTTACCCCGTTGAGAACAAAGACTATTTCAACGAGGAAGCCGAGAAGAGCTTTGACAATGTGTTCGAGGTTATTAAGGTTATCCGTAGTTTGGCTGTCTCTCAGAACAAGAAGAAGGATGGCGAGGTATATATCCAGACTAAGGATGACAAGCTCGCTTCTTTGTTAGAAAAGGAGAACTTGGCTGTCCTCACCCTCTGCAAGGGTATTAAGGAGGTCAAGGTCCTCAAGGACTCCAAGGTACCAGAGGGTTGTGTTTCGGCTGATGTTCCCAACAAGGCCACTGTCTGGTTGCGCATCTAAGGAAGTCTATATTATATACAAAGACATGCATTTCCCTATCTAAATACTGTATTTTTTCGAAATGTCTTGCGCTATTTTACATACATTCTACATCAAAATAAAACGTATCATAATTTGAACACATTGCTTTATTGTATTATAACATACATTATTTATTGAGTGCCACGATATACATATCAAGTTTGAAAGTGTTCTAGGCACTTTAATTTATATAGATATTCTGAGAAGAATATCTCCGCTATTCTACCTTGTCCTTGAGGAATTACCATGGACAACAATACCATCTTTTGTTTGATTCTTCTGTTGATGGCTTACATTCTCGGCAAACTCAATGCACTGTTTAGCAAACGTTCCAAGTTAACAAAAGATCTCCGTGCACAATTGGATTAAAAAGAAAGCGAGATGATCATGTAATGAAGGTGGGTTCCATCTAGAGATGATCTACTCTGGACCGACATCTCACATAAGGCAGGGTGCTTAAAGCGCGATTAACAAGGACAGGGCGTTTATGTCATTTTTATTACAATCAACTTTGGAGTAATCTAATGGATATATATATATATATATATATACAAATGGATCATAATAATATATGTACTGTTTTGTATTCTGTAAAAATAAATATCCATAAAACAAAAAGAGAGATAATTAGTAAATGTTGCTTGTAACTATGAAATATGTACTATCCACTAAAGGTTGCAAAATATGAAGGAACCCCTTTGTGATTCTACCCATCTAGTTGTCCATATTATATGTTTAAATACTTAAACTTAGGGTTCTTAAAAGGCAAAAAAAAAATTGGTGCTTTCTTTTCAGTATAAAATATCGGCCCTGTTAATACCTGATTATGATATAGTACAAAGAGTTAGATCTCTATTAATGCTTAATGATCAAATAATGATATGTAGTCTTCTTCTTTTTCTTAATAAAGTATATATGTGTATATATGATCTCTGAATTTTATTTATTTCATTTTAGGGGTATTGATCTATAGGTTATAAAGAAGTATTGACTTTTATATTTTAAGAGTAGTTTTCTGACTGTTCTTATAAAAGTGAGGGTATAAATGGTTTTGAGTGTCATAACAGAATATATATGTGTATATAGATACTACCTTGTAATATTTATTTTATTTTATTAATATGCATTTGTATTAATAGTTTATATAATTTTGTTTACAAAAACAAAGAATACAGATATATATTGTTTTAAGACTTGGGCTTGCACTATCTCCTGTTCCTTGAAAGAGAAGGGAGAGTAGAATGTGTTGAAAAGGCTGTCGAATGGGTGACTGAAGCCCGGATGCTTTTAGGCGTACTCTTAAGTTCATGGTCTTTGAAACTTGAGGTGAATGTGTATGTTTTATCCAATATAGTATTCTCCATACAGATTTCTGTTAGCCCCAAGTATACTCTGGAACAAATATTGACTTCATCCCCGGCTTTAGCACCTGGAACCACTGGTTTTTCCATAGTACATCTAGTTACCAGGCGAGAACCTGGATCAGTAACTAACATAGGAGGATCACCATCCCCATCAAAAACATATAAATCTAATCCAAATGTTAGCATACTTGAACACTTGTAATAGACAAATGGTATTATTTTTATAAAATAAATCAAATACCTAAGCATGGTATTCCGGGATAAAAGTATGAGAAGTTTGATTCGATATATTCATCCGTTCTTATAGTATCTCCTTTATAGATGAAAACTTTGAAGCAGCTACTACATCTTGGGTAACCTGCAGGATCAATATATTTGTTTTCTGCTGGGTGTTTGGATGCATCAAAAATATCAGCCATAATTCGCCCGTATGTTCGCCGTGATACTCTGTGTGTAATCATTTCTGGATTCATTCCAAGTATCACTGCACCTCTCACAATAGCTAGCTCGCCACGTTGAGGAACAGCAATCAAATTTATACGATCTGCAAATGTTTCTGTCAGGCATTGGTACAGAAAAATCGACTGTCCAAGCCCTCCCACCAAGAACATGGCGTCAATCTTTCCGCCAGTCTGATTAAGCTGTCGAAGGATTAACTCAGTTATTTCCTTGACAATCGGGTCAAACACCTTTTCGCGCATTTCTTTTACAGTAACACAGAGTGATCCGTTTACTATTCCAATCTCTTCCATTTCTCTTCCTTCCATCTCTATTTTTGCTGGCACAATGAAGTGTTCGTTGTCTTTATTCTCAAATCCAGGCTAATTTTATTTTAGATAGTTAGTTTATTGTGAAGCACCACCATACCCATGTAATTTTTTTTGATATACCTTTGCAGAGGTAATAAACTGGTTCACCATAATATCAATTGTTGGCTTATTAATTTCTGCAAGGTCACCAAACCGGCTCTTAAAGACTTCTCGCATATTTTGATCCAGGAAAGTCGACCCACACGAGCTTCCATGACCCTGTGTCACTTCTTTTATGGTCTTCTTTCCTGCAGTACGAGTGACTTCAAATACTATCAAATCAACTGTTCCACCACCAGCATCGCAGACCAGAAAGCGCTGGCCGTCTGTAAGCTTAAATTGCTCGGATTTCTTTTCGCAGTAAAGAGCAGCAGCTTCAGGTTCACTTGTGAGCACTAGTCGATTAGGGTTATCCAAGCGGGTTACGATATCCGCTCTAATGGCAGCTTCGCGCATAAGTGATTTGGCATAGTCATCCCACATGGCAGGGACTGTTAGACAATATCTAAACTTTTCTTTATTATAGATGACTCCAAATTTACGTTTGAAGCAATCATGAATATATTTATTGAACTCGGTAAGATAGTCAGCGATTACTATACATTAATATTAGAGAGAGAAAAAGACTTTATTCTTGCGAGTATTACCATCAAGCGGCTTTAGACCATGCGGTAACTTTACAGACGCTGGTATTCTCGAATCAAGAAGCAACTTGAATCTCTCTACCAAGATGTCTTTGTTATTTACATCATTTGCCTTTCGGATTGCGTCGTGTCCCCAGGCTATTAGCTTCTTGCTGTCATGCGCATAAAGGCACGCGGTGGGAACTTTAGCGTATGACGATCCACCAGGTCTTGGCCTATTGTATTAAAGCTTTAGATTAACACAATTTCTAGTAGTATTAATAATGATAATAATTTAATTCATTACCATGCTGTAATATCAAATATCTCATCCACACCATCATTAACATAAACACATGAGCATCCGGAATAAGTTGTTCCAAAGTCTGTTGAAAGATGTTTTATACTTCTTGCTTAGAAATATTGCGTATAAAAATATTCATAGAAGTATATTACCAATCCCTACTACACAGGAGTACTTTGCTGGGTCGAATTCTGAATATAAATCACACATCATTTTCTGTTGTTTTCTTCTTCTCTTGTTAATCAAAAAGAAAGTAACATATAATGTATATTCTTGAAAGTTTTTTGTTCTTATACACTTATATATATACGTATAGGTATAAGATATTCGATTGTTGTTAGATAATATTCCATCTTTATCTACAAAGATTGAATACTACATTTTGAATATCTTGACGACATTATTTTTTATAACAAAACAGAACAAAGCAGAAACTGCAATATAATAGATGAGACTACATGAGGCACCGCTGTTTCTTATCTCTTATTTCAAGGACTAAACTTTATTGAGATAAAATTATTAGATCCATTTTGTCTAAACTCTCGAAGCATTTTTATAGCAAATTTAAGCTTTGTAACAATGGTGTTTCTCTGATGTAAAATAAAAGGTGCGGTAATATATACACTACTGCAGTGACAACGTATCAAGGAGTATAATCAATAAATGTATCGCTTTGATCTTTATTGATTATCCTTAATTTTGCTTGTATTGTTTATTGGGAGCAAAGAGATTCATTATCTTTAAATTAAAGCCTTTCTTAAAATATAAAGCCGGTGTTTATGTTTTAACAACTCGCTTATTGTCTACTTGTTCTTCGTTTAATATTCTTGTGAATTCAATTCTACAAATTTTACTTAATTTAATTAAATAAAAAAAGCAATAAACTTAAATTAATGGACGTGTTCCTTTATTCTAGGGTGCAATGTTGTGTAATATAGACAATAGTAGGTTAAACTGAATGTTCTTTATTTATTCGGTACCTTTAATATAGGGTTTGTAAGAAGCATTTTATTAGGCTTGGGGGGTCTGGTGACACTCAAAAGAAGATAATCAAAAGAGTGATCACAGCATTTGTTTGGAGGGTTTTCTAGCTTTTTCAATGTTTTTGGGGGTTTTTGTTTTTGTTAATTATAATAAGTATAAGTATAAGTTTTAAAAGAGAGGATTGAGGTCTAATTCTTGGCAAATGCGGGTTAGGGTCTTGCGAGCCGTACCAACAACAGCAGAAGGAACAAATGGTGAATCGTCAAAAATGAAAGTCCAGTGGTGACGCCATATCGCAAGGGGGGTGCATCCAAAGACGGTAGAAGGGGGAATAGAAGAGTTTAAGAAAGAGGGAAAAGAGAAGAAGTGAAAAGCGTTGTGTAGTGCGGTTGGGGTAGGTATTGTGCCAAAGAATTCCAGCCACATGCCGATCCACACCGCGTTTTTGAGAGGACAAGTGAAGAAGAAGTGGTCTTGGGAGTCGGAGGAGAGAGAGCAAATAGAGCAGGTAGGAGAGGGAAAGGCGAGAGGAAGCAAAGAGTGAAGACGGGCTCGGCAAGAAATCTTGTCGTGTAGACCACGAAACCAAATGTTACGAGCCACCAGGGGAAGGGGGAAAGACCAAAATTTCCGCCAATGACGAGAGCCACGAGGGGGATCGAAATAGCGGGCACGGACGAGATGGTGGGAGCACAGCCCGCGGAAAGTGCGTGTGGAAAGGCGTGCCCAAGTCTGAGAAGGTACGAGCGCATTAAAGAAAGGGAACAAGTCAATTGATGTGCCATCTTGAACGAGCAGAGACGGATATTGTTCGGTCAGTTCACGAGGAGAGCAACAAGCACGAACGATTATCGAATGTAATGTGAGAGTGTTGAGTTGAACTCGGCCAAGGAACTTATGAATAACACGAGAGCGTGGATGGCTGCTGGTGATGGAAATAGACCGTAGCGACGCCAGGGCAGGGTCAAAGGTGTAGAGGTGGGAAACCAAAAGATCTTGCCAAGATGGGGGGAAGCGTGCTTGGGAAGCAGGGACAATGGTGACCGCTGAGAGAGGCAAAGCAAGGCAAGTAGTCGAATTTACCACAACATTATCAAAGTTGTGCGGCAGATGGTCAATGGCAGTGAAGGCTAAATGTAGAGGAGAGGTAAGATCCCGCCATCCAGAAGGACGCATACTTGGAAATAGAAGGGGAAATAGGGGAGAAAGAGATGGAAGTGAAGCATGTAACAATCCGGACATCCAGCGCGGGACCAAACCAGGTGGGGACCGAGGAGCGCGGACGATAGGTTGAAGCCAACGAAGTTGTAGAGCGCTCTGCTGCGTCTTAGGATCGATGATACCAAGTCCACCTTGCATGCGTGGGAGGCAGAAAGTATCCAAAGAAATCGGGGGGAAGGTGCCACGTTGAAGGAAGCTACCCATGATGGACCTGATCTTCTGAAAGAAGGACATAGGTAGAGAGACCACACGCAAAACATGCCAAAGCTGAGAGAGTATGAGAGATGTTAGAACGGTGGCTTTACCCCGAAAGGAGAGACAGCGAGATGAGTGAAGATTGCAGCTGTCCTCAATCCTTTGGAGAAGAGATGAGCAGAACGAGTCCCGTTGAGCCTTGGAGTGAATCAACGGAAAGCCAAGATAACGGAGAGGTGCGGGCGAGGTGCGGTCATGCCAATCGGTAATGTTATGACGACGGAGGGTGGAGGTCCAATCGGGGAGAGGACTACCAGATAGTGAGAAAGCTTGCGTTTTGTGGAGGTTGATACGCGCATTGGACGCAGCGGAATAGGTGGTGAGATGTGTGTGGAGTCGAGCAAGGTGAGCCGGATCTGGGAGAAATACCAGAAGATCGTCGGCATAAGCTAGAAGTTTAATAGGAGGAATAGTAGCCACATTATCAGGGACAGAAGGTCGAAAACCGAGGAAGGATTGATCACTTATAACCCGTCGCAACAAAGGTTCAAAAGCCAAATTGAACAAGATGGGAGAGAGAGGGTCGCCTTGACGGAGGCCACGCAATTGTGTGAGAGGGCGAGATAGGAAGCCATTAACGTTGATCTGAATCTGTGTAGAGAAAAACAATTGGGTGATACAAGTTATTATAGATTTAGGAAAGCGAAAGTGATCGAGAACTCGGCGCAAGTATTCTGGGTGGACTCGGTCGTACGCTTTCTCCTGATCAAGAAGAAGACCCACTCCAGTCGAGCTTTCCTGAAGTGCCTGAGCCATGACCATCCGGGTGAGCATCTCATTATCAGCAATAAATCGTCCTTGAACAAAGCCAGTTTGGTAGGGAGTGACAAGAGGAGTGGCAACAGGGATCAAACGAGAGTTAAGAAGACGAGTGAAGACCTTAGCATCAGTGTTGATAAGTGCGACGGGTCGCCAATTCCGAAGGGAGGTAAGGTCGCCTTTTTTCGGGAGAAGACACACGCAGGTGGACATCCAAGTGGGGGGAAAGACACCATCCAACAAAGCTTCGTTATATACACGCGAGACAAGAGTGGAGCATTCGGGGTGGTCAAGTATGAGTCGTAGAATCTCGTATGGCAATCCGTCAGGACCAGGGCTACTGGCATTGGGGGATCGAGAGGCACCTTGACGAATAGTGTCGAGGGAAAATTTGCGAGTGAGGCAATGTTGAGTGAGATCAGTGAGGGCAAGATTGTCAGGAAGATTCTGGAGAAGATCGTCAACAGCAGCAGAAGTGATGGGCTCAGGAGAGTAGAGAGTCTCATAGAAGGCGGCAGCAGCCTCCGTCATGCTGTCAGGCTCAGTGCAAAGATAGTCGGTAACAGGATGGCGTAGGCTGGTGATGAGTTTTTTGGACTGACGTGTAGCAACGGTGCGTTTAAGGAAACCGGCAGAGGTTTCACCCTGTTCGCGCCATTGTCGGCCAGCCCGGAGAGCAAGAATTTCTACGCGTTCCAGTTGAACCTGTTGGAGCTTGCGTTCGATTACAGGAAGCTGAAAGTTCTGGGCGGGTTGATGGCGAAACCGAAGAATCAACTTATCACGCCGACTTTGAAGTTGTGCTTCTAGAGTGGACAGGGAAGGTGAGATTCGACGAGAGAAACGTTTAATGAATCTAGTCACTTCAGACTTGACTAAATCCCAGTTTGTCTGTGGGGAATTGGAGGCGGGGAGAGTGGGAACGAAGGTGTGAAGAAAGACAGAAAGTTCGTCCTGGAAGGAAGTGAGCTGAGCAAGGCGAGGGTTCGCCCGCCAAAGGCCTTTACCACTGGTCCGAGAAGAAGGAAGGGAGAGTACGACTGTGACCAGACAATGGTCAGACCATTGTGAGTGTATATATTCCACCGAGTGTGAGGTGGCACAAGAAGCAAGGTCGGAGGAGGCGAATATGTAGTCAATTGTGGAGGATGATGTCCCACGGTGAAAGGTAGGTTGAGGTACCTTGCCGGTGGGAGTCACACAGTCCACAAGGCGGTCGGTGAGAAATTGAAGCCATGGGCGAGGTGGAGTGCTATGGGCGGTGGTAGTAGTGAGTGAGTGATTGAGGTCGCCCAATAGAATCATATTAGTGGGTGACGCGGGTATCAAGAGAGGATTGTGAAGAAGAGAGGTGAGGAACGAATGTCGTTCGCGATAAGTAGCGGGAGCATAAATGACACAGATACGGAAAGAGTTGAACATAGACTGTGCGTGAGATACCGTAGCAGTGATGCAGCGGCCGCATATACTAAACAATGGATCAGTAAGCATAATATCTTTTGAAAGGCATACAAGTCCACAATGAGGAGACCAAAGAGAAGAAGAAGATTGGAATTGCATAGTAAATGTGTCTTGAAGAGCAATAGAGTGGGCATGGGTTTCTTGAAGGGCGAGGAGATCAATTCCCTTCGAACGTAAGTGGCGTATAAATAATGAGCGTGTTTCGGGTCGTCCCACCTTGGAGAGGCCTCTGCAGTTCATAGTTCCAATGGTAATCATTGGTTAGATTTGGCCTCTGCGCCGAGGGCTTGACGGGTGAACCGGGGTGGAGGGGAGAGCGAAGAGTTACGAGAGGCAGTGTTCCTGCGTGTGGGGGACGTGGAAAGACTGCGTCTCGTGTTGCGGTTGGGCGTATGTCGGGTAAGACGACGTACTCTTTCAGTTTCAGTAGCCTGAATAGCCTCCAGGAGAGCCTACTCATCGGCGGCCTTCTCAGGCTCCTGTTGCAATTGGGCTTTGTCAGAATTTACCTGTTCTGGAAGGGCGTCGAGCATTGTGTCGTCTTCAGGATCTACAATATAGGCGGTGTTGTCGGATGGTGTTTCCTCTTCAGCATGGTTGACTACCTTGGCTTTGCGTTGTGGTTCAATCGGCAGAAGAGAAGATGAAGCTTTGTTAGCCGGATTGTGGATGGAATCCGCAGATGTACCAGTGGGGAGATTAGTTGTCAGGGGGCGGGGCAGCACAATGCGATCCTGGTGAGGAACACGGTTGAGGTGGCGAGAGCGTTTGTTAGTGGTTGCTGACCTACGAGCAGGTTCGGAGACGTGGGGACAGTTAGCTTGCAAATGGCCAGGCTTGTTGCAGCTGTGACAGGTGCGTGTTTCTGAAGAGCGTGCAGGGCAGGCATCGATGTCGTGGCCCATTTGTTTGCAGTATTTGCAATGGGAGCCCATATGTGCCCATTCTCCAAGGATGGTAGTGTTGTCGTTGTAAGAAATCTCGTAGGCAAGCTTAGCGACTTGCTGAGCTGGTGGGTTGGGTCGTTCAAGGAGGACACTGCCAGTGCCATCGAAAAAGGTATTCTCTCCACTAATCTCAGTTACTGCTCTTTTTTTTTTTAGCAGCCTCAATTTCTTTTTTTGGTGGTGGTTTTCTGATAGCAACGTGAATATTGCTAGAGGAGTGAATGGCACCAATGATTGTATGTGTTGGTGCTCTGGTTTGTGGTTGCTTTACGATGGCCTTTTTTCCACTTTTCGATCTGTCCCAATTGTGTCTCATGTTGATGTGGAAACCGGCTTCATCTATAAAAATACAATTTTTTTGTAAAATCCAGATCAGAATCTTTCCATTTCATAAACCATTCGAATCGTGTCTGGAGATTTTCTACTGAGTTTCTAACCTCAGGTTCGAAATATGGCTTTTTTACAGTGATAAGCATAGTATTACGTAAATGGTTGTTAATTTGCGATTTTGAAATTGTGAAGCCTTCGAATTGTTCAGTCAAGCTATTTATTATATCGTCCGCAAATATCTGAGGGTCGTTGTCAAGTAGCTTGGTAATGTACTCGTTATGTTCAGCTGTAAATGAGCTTTTTGGACCACTGTTTTTTTCACTATTTTTATACGGCACCCCTTCCATTTTTTCATAAATGTACCACCAATTCAGTGCAGTACGGTACTTCACGTTGAGTTCTCTTGCAACTTTAGCCACTAAGCCACGCTCTTGCGGTTGCTCAAGCATACGGTCGATAAACGATTCTCTGGTCGTATCACTATAGATACTGTATGACTTGGTTGATTTAGTCAAATTACTAGATTTCAACGGCTTCGTAACTGATGGTTCACCAGTAGCTTTTTCGGGGCGTTTAGCACTCAAGTAAGTTTCTCGATTGGTTATTGTTTCAAGAACTATATTGGGATCGTCAATTTGTGTTAAAACATCTTCCATTGGATCGTAAACTTTTTCTCCATGTTCATTGAAAAGGTTTTCTTGTCCATCTTCATAAAAGAATGTAGTCATTGTTATGTTATATTTTTATAAAGAAGCAAAAAGGACAAAAAAAAACGCCAAAAACATCTGTCAATTAAATGCAATTCTTCGGCTAATTTTAGTTACCAACTTGCGCCAAAAATAATTTAACCTTGTGACATTTATTTTTTAGAAAACGCCAATTTCCATAAGCCTGACTGTACCATTTTTTTTTAGAAAAGATGTTACACTGCGATGTTCAATTCTAGGAGGAGCTTTCACAGTACCCTGTATACATTAACATTGGGGGGGGAAGGGATAATAGTATCAAAGTAGGTCAATATATTCTAAGATACCACAATCCAGAATAATCTACCTGACTAGTTCTCGCGCTCTTTTCTTGTTATGGTACAATAATACCACAAAAGAGAATAGTGTGTATAAAGATTCTCTTGAATTACGGCTCAAAACTCTTGCTGTGTGTACAATATGATATTAAAGATAAGAGATGACTTTACTTAATTTTTAAAGTATTTCACCCCGCAAATATAATTGGTGCAATTTCAAGCTTATCTTATCTTATAATAAGAATGTATAGAATTAATGTAGAATATATTAAAGAGGTGTACTTATATCTACATATATATATATGTGTGTGTGTGTGTATGTGTTGCGGTCTATAGAAGAATATTGGTAAAATTATCTGTATACCTAGAGATTAATTGGTTTTTAAAATTATGCCAAGGATTTCTCACTTTCTTTGTTATACCTTCTCCTGTGAAAAATTAAGGCAATAGGTTATTGAGTCTCCACTGTTCCTTGGGACTCACAGTAAGCCAACTTATTTATATCTTTTTGTTTCTTTTTCTTCTTCCAAGTGCCTTTCTTTTTCAATTGCATTTTACCTCCTAATGTTCCATTCAAGACGTCTTTATACTAGACGACGTCTGGGACTCATTATTTTCTTTGTGGTATTTTTGGCATATCCACTGTATTTCTATTCATCTGCACCTGAGCGGTATGTGTACACAAGCATACAATAGCATAATAATAATTTACTTTATTTTATTTATTTATGTATTCATGTATTTATAATTATTTTTACGGTAATGTCAATAGTTTAAATAGACTGAACCTTGAATCTCCACCCGCACGAAAACCTGTTGTGTTCATCGCAGCCAACATATATAACAATGAAGAGATACTAGATCACTGGATTACCCAAGTCAATCAGCTCATCAAATGGCTTGGTGCATCTAATGTCTATCTTTCCATCTATGAGAATGGTAGGCATTATACTACTACTATTACTACTATTACTACTATTACTATTATTACAAATCTTGTCATCTCAACAATTTTTCATAGGAAGCCAAGATCGCACAAAGTCAATTTTAGAAAAGTACGATCAGCATCTGAATCTTCTGCAGATCCCTCATCGAATCGTGACAAGTACAGTCGAGAAAGATGAAAATGCAAGACGTATAGTTGCCCTGGCTGGCCTTCGTAACTATTTACTCGAGCCTCTGCTGGATCAAGATCCCAAGCCAGATAAGATATTGTTTCTAAATGACATCATCTTTAAGGCATCAGATGCAATTGAATTGCTAGAGACATATGATGGGGAATACGACGCAATGTGTGCGATGGACTTTTTTGGAGAATTCTATGATACTTTTGCTACGCGCGAGGCAGATGGAGGCTGGGTTGGGTCGGGTAACTATCCTTATTTTTCCCACAAGCCCAGTAGAAAACTACTTTATGAGGAAAAGCCAATTCCGGTTTACAGTTGTTGGAATGGCATGATTGCTCTCAATGCAAAGCCCTTTCTCGAGGTATGTATTTTATGAGCGTAAAAGTTGATATGAATATGATATATGTCTATGGATGTGGATATGGATTGGTGGGCTGGTAGGGGTCTTTGATGATTCTTTACTCATATTTATAATAGAACAAGATTTCTTTTCGTGCCATTATCCCCAAGGAACCAGGACCACCTGTGGAGGCATCTGAATGTTGCTTAGTACATACTGATCTGCGTTCACTAAACTATACACGCATATACATCAACCCCCGCATCAAGGTAGATATGTGTAAAATAAATAATAATTAAATATGGAAATCACAAGGTGGAAAAAAAAAGATGGCAATTTTTCTAAAAATTTAAAAAAATATCCAGGTTTCCTACGATACTTTCCATTACTGGTACGCTCATAGTATCATTCGACTTCTTCAACCTTTCTATCGTCTCTTCAATACCCCAACAAATACACAGACGCTAGAAGAGCAATTTGCCTGGAATAAAGCCGTCGACGATGCATATTCTCAGGGTGTTCGTTCTGAGGATTATACATGCCTTTGGCCCAAGGACTAAATATACTTATCATCCCTACGCACATCTATATACACACACCTACACATATACACATACATACATACATAATACACACACTACAATAGCGGTTATTCAATACATATTCAATGGATCACAGAGTTTCTTGATGTTTGACAAACGCGTGCCATTCCGACCTCTACTAAATATATACATATATATATATACATTGATATATTTTATTTATTTATAAGATAAATCCTTGATTTCCTACCTTGGACGAACAATAAGCCTTATTTTTACCCCTTTATTCTTTTTCTTTCTTTGTTTTAATTCAAAATATATACCACAATTATTCGCTACTATTACGCATAATACATATTACATATCTCTATTGCTACTACCATGGTGAACAAGAAACAGAACTACAGCAAACAGCGACTACAGGAAGAGTTGTCTCGTCTGGGTAATGAGATTGAAGAACTTCGAATGGAGAGAGAGGAATCAAAAAAGAATGTTCTCCATTTCGTACAAGAGGCAGACATGGCCAGACAAGACCTTCAGCATGCTCGGGAACAGATCGCAATTCTCTCCAGTAAACTAAACAATTCAGATCACAGTCCAGATCTACCATCACAATCGATTGATGAATCACAAGAGCACAAACAAAGCCAAGGGGACAAAATCCTCCAATTAGAGACCCTCCTTTCCCGAGCCACAGCTTCTCTAGTTGAGCATGAAAAGGCGGCCGAAATTCATTCCAGGGACGCCCAAAATGTAATTGAGCTCACAGATCAAGTAAAACAGCTAACGACTCAGCTGAAGGACTGTCAAGACACACTCGGTCGTTTAAACGAATCCCAAAAGCTGATCCAAGACGAGTTTGACCAAGCAAAGGACGAAAATAGAGTCCTTCGACAGACACTAAAGGTAGAACATGAGCGTGGAGAAAGACTGGAGAGTCATTGGAAGTCATCCGAGAATGCACTCGAGCAAGCAGAGATCAGAGTGGAAGTGCTGAAAAAGGAGATTGAGGGTTTAAGGCAACAGCAGACCTGGAGTCCCAAGATAGTTCAGTCCGACACGTCCAAAATAGAAGCACTTGAGAAGTTGCAAAAGGCACTCCAGCAAAAATATCAAATGAATTTAGAGCAATATTCAGTTCTTGAACAACGCTTGGAGAATGAAGTGAAATCTCATGCTCATTGGAAAAATGCATACGAAGAAAAATTAAAGCTCCTGGTAGGCTCATTTTTTTTTATAATATTATTTGATATTAATCCCTTGTTTATTGCCACATTTTTTTTCAATTTTATTAATTTAAATACATATACAAATATTATAGACATTACATCAAGCAAGGGAAGATGAGCATAACGAGATGTTAGATCAGTCAAAAGTGCGTGAACAGCATCTTCGAACAATAAACAAGGTAAGATTTAATAAACTAACTACCCTCGCTAAATTTGATAAATGATAGAGTTAATCTGGGGATTAGGTTATTGACTTGAATTCATTTATTAATTTGTTTGTTTGTTGGTTTGTTTGTTAGACATTACGTGATGAGATTCGTAAAATATCGCGCAATCGCCGAGAGGTGGTTAATGTAGAATATCTACGCAATGTTATATTAACATTCCTAGAAAAGAAACAGACGAGGGTAAGCGAAGAAGGTGGTCTGACGTATCTCAACTGACACATTCCCAATGACTCTAGCATCAATTAGTCCCCGTCCTCTCAACCTTATTACAATGCTCCAATGTGGACCAAGCGCACCTTTACAGCCTTGTTCGAAACAAGACAGCATCATAAACAAATCATTCTCTCCTAGTTTAATACAGCACAATACGAAACAACGCGACAAGAAACAACCCCAGGAAATAAATAAACTAAAAATATATATATATATAAGCATCTTGAACAAAAAAAACTTATTCTACATTATCTCTTCTATTTAATTCACTAAACCCCAAAACAACTACAACAATAATATCAACTTAAAATGGATCCCTCAAAGACAAACGCTAACTGGAACAAGGCTGCTGGTTCCGTCAAGGAAAATGTCGGTAGCGCTATTGGTAACAAGAATATGCAAGGCGAGGGCATGACCCAGAACTCGAGCGGACAGGCAGAGGAGATGGGTGCCAAGGCCCAGGGTTACGTCTCCGGTCTCATGGATCAAGCCAAGGGTGCTGTCAATGGTATGGTCGACAGTATTACTGGAAACGATACCAGCCGTGCTGGATCAAAGGCTCAGGAGCTTTCTGGTGAAGCTCAGAAGAAGTGGAACTCTTAAATCTGCTTGTATATTACTTATTTTATATACTTTTTTATAAGAATCATCTTCATAATGATTGTAATTAATAAATGAATTTATCTATATATAAATATGTGTGTATGTGTGTATGTGTGTTATATACTATAACATAAAAGACCATCTCTCACAAATATATTTTGTGAATCAAAAAAAAATGTCTATTAAACGCTCAGGATTTTATTTTAGATTTTGATTTAAAAAAAGGGGGGATTGAATGAATAGTTGATATATTCTTTTCTTTTAAACCAGACGCTCGACTTCATCCAGCAACTCTTGATAATCAAACTCTTGGGGTGCCTTGTGGAACTTTTCTACGAGACCCAACTTGCGCTCTCCGCCAGTTACATAGAACTGCTGGATGGCAAATACCAAGAACTGGGCGTTTTGGGCATCAATCATGCGTGGCTTGTCAGAGATCTCACCCTTCATCAGCACAATACCCTTGGACTCGGACAACTCTGGGAAATGGGAGATGGTCAAGAAAGGTCTTGCCTCAGACCCCTTGGTCTTATACTCGAGAAGAGAGGTGAAGTTACACTGGTGGAAGTTGAACTGCAACAAGAAGAACTCGATACCAGATTCTCTAGGCATAGGCAAAACAAACTGCAAATACAATTACAAGCAATGAGGCTCCGAGTGTGCCATATATATATATATATATATAAATGATAGATAGGGATGGATGTAGGCTATAAAATATCTCAACCTTGACTTTACCATGGGAAACTCTCGGCTGCGTTTGTACAAGGTATCATACACTTCGGAAGGGATGACAGCAGTAATACAGTCTTTGTCAGAATGGTATTCTGTCCAAATCTTGGTGATAGATTTGACGTCTTCATTCTGCAGCAAGTCCAACTTGACAATCTTATCTAGAGACTGGATTTGCATTTATGTATTTATTCATTGCAGAATGTGATATGCACTGGTTAATTCATATTTGGTCTCCCATCATTTGTATCTAGTATACTTACAGGAGCTGATGAATCATATGGCATCTTGGCTTTGGACGTGACTTTCTCGACGGTCTTGTCTGTACTTGTCTTTGGGGCAGAAGATGGGTTGCGAGCTACAGGAGAAGGGGTTGCTTCCTTGCGACGCTTGAGTGCATCTTCTTTGATTCTCAATTTGAGATCCTCGACAGTGATACCCTCTCTAATTATTCATTATTAGATTATATTGAGCGTTTTTTTTTGTCAACTCTATCACTTCCTCTATCTCTCTCTCTCTCTTTGTGTGTGTTTATATAGATTATTATCTTTATTCTTATTTACAGGAATACTTACTTTTCGGCTGCCTTTCTAAGCTTCTCTGCGTATTTAGCCTCATAGATAGTCTGGGCATCGATAGAATGATGTCTCACAGTGGCTATCGAGAAATATAATGATAATCAAAGTAATAAAAGATGAGAAACTAGACTCTCTTTTTTTTTCCAGGGGGGAGGTTTTTTTTCTTCTTCTTGCTTCTTTTGGTTTATATTCATAAGTAAACAAGTTGTTATATACCGTAGCTGTAACGGCCCCAGATAGAACAGGGCGATGATGCAAGCTTAATGGTCTGAACATTTGTAACTTGTCTTGGCATGGCCAATGCCATGCGAGCAGCATTAGCGCCAACAATACGTCTCGAGAGTGTAGGTAAAAGCATGGTTACTGGGTTTACATGTCATTCTCTCGCTCATTACTTCCTCCCCTTCAATAGCCTTTGTGACTCCTTTACTGTCTCGTGGCTTGGTATGACTCTAATATAGGTTATATCATGGGCTGGGTTGATGGCATAACTTTTTGATTCCACAAAGAGAAAGATGAATTGAAAAACTAAAAGACTAAAAGAAAGGAAGGAAAGAATGTGCATCCAAATGACATCTTTTTTATTGGTCTACAATTTCTAAGCTAATTACAAGAGAACACAATACTGTACTTTTACAAGATTTCAAATTTATCTATGTATTTTTCAAGTATTCTGCATTCATTGATTATTTTCTCGAATACACTAAAGTTAACCACCACTAAGTAATATTAATATAAATAATAGATAGATAGATAGATAGCTACACATACTTTTCAATAGGCATCCTGTACCACTCGTCTTTTGAAATAAATCAAATAAATATGTGTCTTGCTTTTGTTTTGTTTAAGCGAATTTAACTGAGGTCTTTAAGTTAATATGTTTTTTGGGACATATATGCAAATACCCAGGTATTGTGTGTAAGAATAAGTGAGATCGGGACAATACCCAGGGTACTTTATTACTTGTTGTTGTTGTTGCTGTTACTTTAATTACCAATTAACAGTTAATAACATTTCTGGAATATAGTTCCGAATTTGCAACAGCTTCTTTTATTTTTCTTTCTTACTGTGAAATGCGCGTGTTCTTTATTAGCATTCTTATGATTAACAACAAGAGCAACAAAAAGACTTGGTATCTTATTTCTTTGCATCGTTGTGTTTCATTTGTGTTTCCTTCAATTATGATGTAGACAATATATCAGGTTTTATATTTTATTTGATTTTTGGCTGTTTCTGTTGCTGATATTGTTGATGATGTTGATTGTATATGTTGGTGTGGGTATCGCGATCAGGGTCTGTTGTATGTTGTGATTGATACATTTTCATTGTAAATTTAATTTTATATTTCTACCTTTCTTTTATATATCTATATTTTTTCACAGGTCTTTTTTTTTTAAAAAAATCGATTTGTGTCTAAATTTTAGGTATATAATCACCAATAAATGAACAATTGGTGTGGACAGACTAAGAAAAAAAAAGTTCAAAATTAGTTCAGATACATATTAGATAAAATCAAGTGCTCTTAATACCATTTCTTTCATCAAAACCATGATCTTTTCCATCAAAATTAGCAATAAAAGAATACTAGCCAGTCAGAATCGTTTGAACTCTTTTTTTTTCCCTTTTATATGTGTATAGAGCTAAAAGTACCAATAATAAAAGACATCATCTTGGTTGTTTTGGTTAAAGGCTCAAGTGTAGTACCAAGATAAATATAAATCCAAGGGTATAAATAAATTAAAGTACCATAGCGTTTTGAGAAAAAATAAAGAAAGAAAGATGTGCTATATCAAAAGTAGAAAGAAAGAGTATTTTTAAAAAAAGCATACACATACATACTAGCCTAGAAATAAAGAAGGTTCTCCTGTTGAGACTCAGAAGAGTCTCTTTGCAAAAAGGAAAAAGAAGAAGGGTCAAGATGCTTCAACAGTCAGAACCATGCTTTAGATTAAGATTAAGATGACTAATCTACTTGCACCACAAAACACCTTTATCAGTTAAAGGGAAATTATCATTATTAATTAAATAAATAGATTATGGGTTATTTTATATATTTTTGATATATAAAAGGCAGTTGTGAATTATTAGGGACCAGATGTATTTATTAAATGCTTAACATCAAATCAAATTTGAGGTGTCAAGTTTAAAAAAAAAAACTCTCAAGATAAGAGGCAAAGTTATGTACAGCATTTCCGAACAATTTTAAAGTAAATATACTGTGAAATAAAATACTTTACTTAAGAGCATCTTATGCTTGGTATTTTCATTAGGCACTTCAGTTAATTGAGTAACTATAAAAGAGATATATATTAATATCACCATTCTTCTTCTTCTTGGTCAGAATATGTCTAGAGCTCCTCTTTGTCTTGAATGCTATTAAGAAAACACTCGCTTTTTTTTTGGCCTATTCTTTTTCACACAAAGTATTCTCATTATGCTTATCTTTGTGTACAATGCCTTATTTTAGGGTAAATTTTATCAACTAGCAAACATATATATATATATATATATATATATATATATACTTATTGAATTATAGATCAATTCTTTTTAAAATAAAAGAAGAAAAGGGTGACCTTTACATTACTTCTTTTGTGAAAAAAAAAAGTTCTCATAGATAATACACCTTTGCAAATGTAGCAACTCAGTTTTGCTTATTTGAAAGAACGATATTAATTTTCACTTTTTTGTATTATTCATTAGAAAGAAAAGAATATGTATATGATTGATTTACTAAGCCATATTGGATCTAAGGACATGGCGTGGCATGGCATGACAAGAAGAAAGACAATTGGATATATTACTATTATGGTAAAAAAACAGCAAAACATGTATTATACTGCCCATGTATGTGTAGGCGTAAATTGGATCTTTAGAATCCATAGATCATAGTTCAATCTCACCTTGTTTATTATATATATATATATCCATATAATTATACTATTTTATTCAGGTTTCTTGCCATGTTTGAGCTTGTCTTGGCCTGTCCTGATTTATAAGGGATTATACTATATTATATTATATATATAATAGACGTTTTGTTGAGTAATTCGGGTAACGTCAATGTGAATCAAAGTAACTCTCCTCCCCTTCTTTACAATCCATTTCTCTCGTTTGTTGAAATACCGGGAAATCCTCTTTTTGGTGTGTCTATGTATGTAGATATGTATGCATACATGCATGTCTATATCTATCTATATAAGTATATATCTCATGTATATTCGAGTGGCTTTGTTTCTTCTTCTTATTCTTCTGTTGTCGGTATTAATATTACTATTACTATTCTGCGCTGTAAAAGAAATATTACTTTTTATAGTATTCAAAAGAAGCAATCAATAAATTAACCAATTTAAAATAAAATTACGCAAAATTATTGGCCCAACCTAGTTTCGTCGACTGCATTTTGGACAAACCCCAATAAACTTTGAGCTTCAAAGCTATTGTCTTCTTTGTCACGAGAATTCAAAGACTATTTTATATTATTTCTGTATATGTTTGTGTGTCTGTGTGCCTGTGTGCTTGTGTATAGCTACTATGTATCTTTGTATACGGTTTTTCTTGTACACACTACACAAACATACAACTATGGTCAATATTAATTACTTGTTTAATTATTTAATTACTTGAATATTTATTATATAAAAAGCCTTTTTTTCTTTTTTGCTACTTTGTACTCTTTATTATGCTTATTAGTATACATTGGTACTACACACATATAAAAACATGGGGTGTGTAAAATAAAGATATTTAACATATGTATCAATGTTGATTTACTAGAGATGTGAACACAACAATTTAAACGTAATATATATATATATATTAGTCAAATAGATAATGTGGATATCCCAAATACAATGTATATGTATATACAAGGGCTCAACACATTTAGTGAATTAGGAACACATCATTAGGAAAAAGATTAAAGAGTAATTGATCAATGATAGCAATATATATATATATATCTTTATTGGTTTGGATGATAATGTTTTTATTGGATTTTATTGAATTGAATTTGTATTTAGATTTGGATTGTGTTGTTCTTTATCTATACTATGTATTAATTGTTTAATTCATAGCACAATATCTATTTCATTTGCTTTAGAAAAAGAAAAAGACACAATATATATAGAAAGGGTTGTGTATGTATATATTTGAATGAGAATGAGAGGGTAGAAAGATGATCTTTGTCAAAAAGGGAGGCAAGGGAAAGAAATATAAAATATAAAAAAAGGATTGTAAGAGAGCCGGTCTCCTCAATAAAAGTTATGAGAGATGCAAGTTTGTGGTAGTTGTTGTTGTTTTTTGGTTTTCGTTTTCGTTTTCTTTGTCGAGAAGAGGTAGCTGATTTAGATCAGGACCCACTTGATCTTTCCGACACCCTTGTTCATGTTTCCAATGATCTGCTTGAAGAGGACAGGAGTAAGATCAAGATCACCGCTCTTGCAGCCAGGGCAGGCATCGTTAATTGTGGCAGTAACAGACTTTCCAGTGGGACCGGTGATGCGGATCTTCTTGCCACACCACTTGCTCTTCTTGCTCATGTTGCCGTATTGGCTCTTGTTCAGGGCGACAATCTTGGATGAGGAGGATTCTTTTGGTCCACAGGCACCCCAGACACCACCTTCAGTCTCGGGAATGAACCATGTGGCAGTACCCTTGTAGGTTGTAGCTCTCTTTTCCAATGTGGTGTTGGAGTAGACGGGCTCGGCAATGTTGGAGACCAGCTCGGGAGTGTTGGCAACGGGGACAGGGGAGGGGGCGGCTACAGTCAATGTAGAGGCAAAGGCAACGAGGAAACCAACGATAGAAATGATGCGGACCATGTTTGTTATTTGAATTGAGATTTTAATTCGATGTAAGAAAAGAGAATTTATGAGCTTTAAAGCTTGAAAACGACCAGCGTTGGGAGATGAGTAGAAAGGTAAAGAGAAGAGAAGAGAGAGAGATGTGAATGTCAGATTCTATTGTTCTTCCGAGTCAAAGATGGGCTCCCTTTTATATGCACCGAAATTCAATCTGTTAATGTTTTTTTTCTGTTTTTGAAACACCGTGTGTGTAGCCAATTATGGGGGGGAGACCTAAGCGGGAATAAATAATCGATTGACTGATACAAAAAAAAATACCCATATGCTGAGTACACAGTAAGGTTTTTTTTTAATTTTTTTTTAGGAACTGGCTGAGGTACCGCAAGATATATTGGCTATCTAATAAGGAAGCTTCTCTTAATCCCCTACCAAAAATTGAGCAAAAAAAAATAGCTCAACAGCTTTCTCCGCTTTGATGCATTGACCAGTCCAGCCTTTTTGTCTACTATTTTGACTAGGTCTCTCTCACCCGACTTTGGTGTCTTTATTCTAAAGCAAGTAGGACTCTCCATTGAAGCCACACCACTCAACTCCGCATTCGTGCGATGGACCGTCTTCACCAGCGTTCAATTGTGCAATCAATCAAAAATAAAACATAGGGCTTCCGAGAGACAACGTCGACTTCCAGGTTTATTATAAGCACTAACCAAGAACCCAACAATACATATATAAGAAAAATAAAAACTTTCAATTGAACTGAATTGAATTGGATTTAATTGAATTGAAATGAAATGGTACAATAAAGACTGTTACATTATGTCTCTTTTACATATAAAGCTGCTTTAAGAATCACACAATCTTTACAACAACAAGACAAGAAAAGGCTCGCTCTAACTGTAAATACTTTGTAATTCCCAACTATAGTATCAAATATGACTGCAATTATCACCTCGTTGTCTTTTCCATTTCCTATCCCTGAATATACAGGCACAAATATAGGCTGGTTGGCAGGTTGGCAGGTTGACAGTAAAAGCGAGAAGTATATAGACCTCATAATTTATTCATTTTTTACATATATTCTTTCTAGCTATTGCTTCTTAGTGTGTATTCTTCAATTAGAATTTATACGACAAAATACACTATACACATAGACATAGACATAGACAGACAAGACTCTCGGTCGGCTTTGTCCGGATCTGACAGTAGGGTCGGAAACACAGAGAAAAAGGACCCACAACCATCTCAACAAAGAACGATCCGGTAGCCAACTGTCACACGTAGGACTCACTTAGCATGTAGACCTCTTGAGATACAGTCCAAAAAGATAGAGAGAGAGAAGTGTCTATTTGATGATCTGTCTTTCAAGGGGTGTATTTTTCTTCGTTATTATTGATTATTTATTTTTTGTCATTGTGTGATGAAAATCAGGATTAACAGCGCCACCCACCCAAACATATTATATATATAATTTATATATAATGTTGCGCGGTGATCAGCTACATGTCTTAATAATGGTAAATCGACATCAAGACAGTGGCTTTATTTGGCCTACTACCCAGACTTTTCTTTTCTTTTTTTTCTTTTTTTTTTATCTCTCCGTCTTTCGGTGGACGGTATCACCATAGCTTTACTTGGGCAAGCAAAAAGGAGCGCCGCTCTTCAATATACGTTTTTGTGTGCTTATAGACAAAGGCTAGAAATATGTTACTTGCCTATAGACCGTCTTTCATGATTTCTTTCATTTTTTATTTTTTATTTTTTTGGTATTTAATTATTCTATAGTTGAATTTTTGAAACAATCTTTTTTTTTTCTTCCTTATTCTTCATTTGGTTGTTTCAATTAAATGCTTCTTTTTTATTAAAAAAAAACTCGTTTAACACCATAGCAACAACAAGAGTCTGTCATTCTACGTGGGGCTAAAGAGGATTACGTCGACAATCGGACCTTTGTACTACTTCCATTGAAGGAGTCTTTTTCTCTCTCTCTCTCTATATATATATATATAATATTCTTCGTTTATTATTATAATAATTATAATAATGGATATTTTATTTTATATTGTTGTACCTTTTGTACTGTATAATAGTAGTAATGATGGCAATGATAATTATTATAGATATAGGTACTTTCTCTTGGGACACTCACACAAAGAAAAAACAGAGACGGGATGAAAAGGATGCTTTGGATCCGACAAAGATGGTGTAAATAGCCAAACGCTTCTCAATTATTATTATTTATATGCTGTGAATATATATATATTAAATGATACACCTCTTTCTATTGAACCATTCCTCCAGATAAGCACACCAGTATTGTATACATACTCATTAAAATATATATATATCATCTTTATTCTCATTCTTTTTTTCTCTTTTTTTCTTTCTTTCTTTATGTCTATCTACCTGTAAAATTATTATTATTTTTTGTGGAGCCACACCAGCCTATGCAAAAAGAGGACAAATCCCGAACATCCACATGGAGATTGTTGTGGGCCCATTTGTTGTATTACACCCGTACGACGAATCTTGCACACTGAACTACAGAGCTTTTTCTTTTCTCTTGTTTTGGTGATTCTGTCCTACGCCATGCGCACGTATGTGTGTTTGGATGTCTGTATGGACGTAAACTGGAATCTGAATCGGCTCGGTACCTCGTCCTTTCCGAAGAGGAATGGGTACGGTAACTCTGAGTAATTTTTTTTTCAAAAAAAAAAAAACAAAAAAAAAACATCATAGTGAGTAAAAATAATGAAATAATTAAATAATGAAATGATGAATTAGTGAGAAAAGGTATCAGAGGTTACGCATCAAATTGGACAAAAAAAAACAAAAAGAAGAAGAAATAGGTGCGTTGTTCCGATTACTCTCCTCTAAATCTATGTCCTTATTTTTCGTATTATCTTTAAGTATATATTTTTTACGCTGTTTTTCTTTGCTACCCCTGTAAATAATGCTAGTAATGATACTAAAAAAAGTCATAATGATATTGTTCTGCTTTAAATGTGTGGTTTCTGTTCTTTTTAACCAACTTTGGCCTTTTGGTTTGGCGTATTTTAGTCTTGCAGAAAATGTGCCTTGAGCTAAGTATGAAGTATAAACGAGGGTGATAGACACGCTTATTTAGTTTCGATGCAAGTTACCTGGGTACTGGAGATATTTTCTTTAAAAAAATAAATAAATGCTATATTTGATATCAGGAAACATCTAATAACTATTCAAAATTCCAATCATTCAATACAATTTATTAATGAATTAAGGTATATAGCTCTTTCCTTTTAATATATAAAAATTAAAAATAAAACAGGCTATAAAAATATATATATAATTTGTTCCTGAACTACTTTAGCTATCAAAATATTCAACATTCAATTTTTTTTTAATTCGTTTATTTGAAATTCATTATAAGCAAATCCCTATAAAAATTGAAACAATCTCGACCCATATTTTTATTACTATTATTAAGAAATATGATATGATATATCGTTATTTGCTTCCGTGAATTATCAAACACAAAAAAAATAACAAATCATTATGTTGTGTCGGCAAGGTGGCGAGAATCTGCCGAAGATACGGATTATAGATCAGATCTTAACCATACAGAGTAAAAATCTAATTAATTAATTAAGAAATAAATAAATAAATAAATAAATAAATAAGTTATAGTACCTTGAAGGCAGAATCTTATTTTACAGCCTATACCATTAATACCTAGTACTTCTTTTCTTTAACTTTCATTCTTGTATATGGCTATATGCTTAATGAGCTAGTTGCCAATTCTATCATTCCTTCTCTTCCTTCTGTACTTCTTCCCTTCCTTCCTTCCTTCCTTTCGCTCTATTTAAATCGATATATTTCCGAATTTCCTTATTCTATTACTTTGTACCATACAAACCACTGACTCATATGGATATTTATTTCTTCTTTTGGCTAATTGTTTTTTCTTTCTTTATAGTTCTAAAGAAGCTTTACTAACTTGCAACACAAATATTCCAAAACAAGGCAATTTATTTAGCTTTTTTTTCCCTTTTTTTTTCCAAGTGTTTCATCTTTAATACTCAGTCAAGTGCAGTACAGGGCAGCGCAGTAACATTTACACACACAAAAATATATATAATATTTTTGTCCTGTCTTGGCCTGACCCACATTGGTCTGTCCTGTCCTGTCTTGCCTTGTCTTATTTGTGTGTACTTGCATTCTGTAATCTCATTAAAGGATGCAGAATATCCAAAAAACAAAAAATTACTCTTATTGTTACTCCTTATTATCAATATTACTTAAGCAAAATGCACCTGAATATTAAAGCTTCAACCAAAAGAAAAATATTATAACACTCAACAACTACTTTATTCAAGTGTTTATTAGACTTGCATAAATAGTTGGCTCATGTCCGTGCGAGTACACAAAAAAATGCATTCTTTGATCCACACACACACACACACACAACAAGATAAGAGTACACAAGTATGCACAACTATACACAAGCATACAAGCTTTTCTTACTCTCAATCTTTCTTTCTTTTGCTCTTTCTTTGGTGGTACTTACTATCTTGTTCTATTCCCACACTCTACAGCTCAAAAATATTAAGCAAAATTCTCATAAATATATCCCACGAAATATAATATTATATTCTCCTTGAATAGACTTTCTTTTACTCTATTTTATTTTAGCTTTGTTTAAAAAAGGGACCTTCCTAGTAAAGAAGGGCAGGTGAAAATAAAGATTTCTTGGAAGAAAAAAAATGGGGGGAAAGTTTATAGAAAGCCACAGGTACCAGAGCTACCAGAGGTACTAGAGGTACCAGGCCCTGTACACACACACACACACACACACTCGCGCGTTTATATATATATAAAAATAAAATAAAGTACTCCAAGTATATTCCCGTTCTATCTTACACTAGGAAGCTTCTATTGTGAGAACCAGTAACTGTAATCTTATTTGAAATCAAACGAAAAAAGAAAGAAACAAAGAAACAACTACACCAATTACCTTTCTCTTTCTTTCTTTCTTTTTCTTTTCAACGTTTACTTTGCTGTTTCTTTGTTTCTATCTAACTTGATGTAGATTGTCTGAGTGAATTGACCAATGTTACCATGTAATTAACTGTTGGATCGTATATCTATTACAATGAATTTCAATATAAAGTAATGATTCACATGGACTATGGTTATATTTTGGAAAGTAGCGGTGGACAAGTCTAATCCGTTTTCATGGAAAACCACGCGAGATTTCTTCCACGTTTGGTAGACGCACAAACAGCAAAAGAAGGAATGGTCAAATAACAATAGTAATAAATACAATATAGACCAGTAATATAAAATAAGCAATAGCAGTAATCAAGACAGTTTGTCCAATCAGAAAGCCAAAAAAAAAAGAGAGAACAAAGGCAATTGCTTCGTTTCTTTATCTATCTATCTATATAGAAAAGATGATTTAAACCACATTGGATTTAAACCAACCATATCTATTATTTTAACAGTAAGAATATATATATAGAAAATGAACATTCGATTGTATCTGATTATGATATATTGGCTTTAAAAGGAAGAGAATAAAGTAATTGGTTGGTTTCTATTCGATCCTCTGTTTCCCCCATCCCCCCCAAAGAGAAATAATGAAAAAAAAAATGGTTAGTCAGTTGGAGAAATTGAGTGAGAAATTTAGTGAAAGACACAATGAAAGTGAAAGTACTAATGATAATGAGGGTACCTGAACCAATAGTAACATATAGATGTGATTTATTATACTTCAAAAAGGAATTAATCAAATAAACTTGCAATATAGCGTGACCTCTTGAGGAACATTCCTGCCTTATTTTATTTCATTTTATTTTAAATAAAATAAAATCTATTACAAAAAATCATCTGTATTAATTGATTACTACAATTATCACCGTTACTAACACTGAGAGGGGGGTACTTGTGCTGGCACTGGTACTGTAACCATCATTGTAACTACCATTGTATGTTAATATTCAGCAGCAGAAAAGAAAATTAATTTAATTTTAATTTAATTTAATTTTAATTAATTTTGATCGAATGTGAAAGTTTTATTACATCAATGAAAAAATAAATAAATAAAAATATATAGTAATTATGCAAGCAACATCTACAAATCTATACAAAAAAATATACTCTGTCAGAATTTCAGATATTATTTTGGCTAATTCTGTAAAAAGCTAAAGGTGGTTAAGTACTGTGCGTCCTTATGCACAATATAATCCAATTCATAACACTAATAGTAAAAAGAAACTTGGCTTAGACCAGAAACTAATATATGTATATAGTTGATCATAACAGCAATTAAACATAATAAACATAATAAACAAAAAAAATATGCTCCGTAGAGCGTTCCATCTCAGAAGTTTAGTGTCATCCTTGTGCAGGGGCCATGCTAATCTTCTCTGTATCGTTCCAATTTTAATATGTGACAGAGGTGCAAGCACTTGTCGACTAAAGTAAATGTCCCAAAATTCTATATATATGCATTTATTTTCCGCTTTACAAAAGTTGTGGGTTTATACATATATACGTTTTATTATACTTTTTAACATCATTATTTATATATGCAAAACCTAATGTCAATAACCTGCGAGTAAATGCCCAACTTTAATACAAAATTATAATTTAGTTATAACAATACATGGTTTTTCTTGCTGGTATGCATAGATCAGAATATATTTTATGTGTATTAATGTGAGTGAGCGAGTTGGAAGAGCACTGTAAAAAAAATAAGTGCATTAGAAAGTAACAGCCATACTACTTTATCTCGTAAATTATTAGACATTTTCAATATTTTTTTATAATAATATCTTGTATACAGATTTGTATTATCTTTAGTATCCAAATAAACGCTGTATTTAATATCATTTTTAATATGTTTTAAAAAAGAAACAAATAAACCTGTTTTCTCTTTCTTTATAGTATTCAGAGCCAAATAAACGCGTAAATTTTTTTTAACACTAACCCACTACACACATAGCTACGATATTTCTTTTTTGAAAATAAAAAGTTATCATAAATATATGTTTTATTGTATTTTATTTTCATTTATATTATTTGAATAAAAAAGATACCAAATCATTGATAAGATTAAAATGATTTAATCAAAACCAAGAGGTGACAAAAAATTATGATTAGTCTCCTTAGTGTCCCGCAGCCACGGAAATCTTTAGTAAAAGGCGAAAGATTTATCCGATCTGATTACAAGACAGAGACAATGGAGAAAAAAATTAGAGGGTAAGAAATGGTCTCTATTTATACTTTTTGGTTTGCTTCAAAAAAAATAATAATCGGAAATTGAAAGCCTTTGAAAAAGAAGTCATGAACCAAAGTCAGTCACATAAATTTTTAATTCCATTAATTTATTTTATTTTATTTTATTTTATATGAATTGGAGAAAATAAACAAGTTCAGTCACAAATACGCACTACAGAAATAATATAGTGGGAATAGAATAGAATATATATATATATTTATATAGCACATTCCATTAGTTTCACCCCGCGTATTATTTACACCCACCCACGCATATATAATATTATTTTCGAATTTCATATCCCTACACTATAGTCCTCTCGCCCCCTCTTCTTTCCACCTTTTCTCTCTCTCTCTCCTCCCTTATATACATATATCCTTTATACGCTACCGACATATTGGTTTATTTTATTTTATTATAAATAAATAAATAAATAAAAAGTAAAGTAAAATACAATACAATATATTAGTATGTTACGTCAGAAGTTTGGAGACTTGTTTCGCACTTTACCCCGTCACCACCGTGCCGTTCAGCGTGCAACCTTTGCCACCCACCCTACGTTTTCAACCGTAGATGCTGCCGAAGTACAAAAGTTTAGCGACAAGTCAGCCGAGTGGTGGGACCCTGAGGGAGAGTTCTCTATGCTCCAGCTACTCAACCCACCCAGAGTTGCATATGTACGCGACCAACTAAACACAAATCCAGCTCGTCCATCAAAGCCCTTTGAAGGCTTGCGTATGTTGGATATCGGTTGCGGTGGAGGTCTTTTGTCAGAGGTACATATATATATACTACCAATACTATTGTGTTGAATATAAATACCCCATTAAGACAGACAGAGAAAGAGAGATGTGTTCTAATCCAGAAAATAATACTTATATATGTATTGATGACATCCACAAAGTCTTTGTGTCGCCTTGGAGGTACTGTGGTAGGCGCAGATGCTTCTGGAGACAACATCAAAATGGCAAAACTTCACTCACGTAAAGATCCAATGTTGTGGAAAGGACCGGGCAAGTTGGATTACAGACACACCACAGCAGGTAAAAAGCACTTCATCTAGGTAAAAAAAAGTAATAATACTATTACATATACATACAAAGAAAGATAGAAAGTGTGTGAGAGATCGAGACACATTGGACACAAAAGTAAAATTTAAAGTAAAGAGGTTGCGAGGGTAGAAGGAACACATTGATTTGTTTATTAGTATCATTATCATTATTCTTGTTTTTTTTTATTTGGTGTATATATATATATGTGTGTGTGTATGTTGTGTATGTACAATGTTATATAGAGGATCTACTGGCAGCAGAAGAGAGCTTTGATGTAGTATTGGCCATGGAGATCATTGAACATGTCAACCAACCTCTGGATTTCTTGCGTACATGTGCTCAACTCACTCGTCCTGATGGCCGCCTGTTTTTGTCAACCATGGGACGGACGCCGATTGCTTATGGACTGACCGTCCTGTTGGCTGAGGACATCCTTGGCTTGGTCCACAAGGGCACCCACGACTGGAGCAAGTACATCAAGAGCAAAGAACTAATTGATGCAGTACACTCCTTTGGTCAGGAGTGGGTGGTTGAGAGTGTCCGGGGTATTCGCTGGGACCCAATTCTGCGCAAATGGCATGTATTTGAGCAAGAGGGAATGGTGGGCATTGGTGGATTCGAGAGCTTAGAGGTCAATTATATTCTCTCTGCCAGAAGACGAATCATCACACAAGAAACGTTGGTTGCATAATATAGAAAATGTTTTTATTTTATTTTATATTAATATTATGTGTATATTAATTGATTGATTGATTGGTTTTTTTTTAAAAAAAAAAGGGGGGGGGGGGGGTGGAGGGAGGAAGATAGAAATAAAATAAAAAAAGGATAAACTATATAATGAAAATAATAAGAGAGAGAGGGATAGAGAACTCCTTATTATTATTGTTGTTGCTGTTGTTGTTGCTGTTATATGTGCGTATATATATATAAAAAGGGGGATGGTTATTTGTTTGTTTTGGCTTATTGTGCGACTGCTGTAGTTGTTGGGGCAGGTGGGGCAGGTACATTTGCAGATGGTGCTGGTACTGATACTGGTACGTGTGCCTGCGTTGATTTTGGTGCTGATTTTGCCACTGATTCCAGTGTTTGTACCGGTGTCTGTGCTGGTGTTTGTGCTGATGCTTGTTCTGGTACTGGTGTTGTCGGTGTTGTCGGTACAATAGTGGGAGTGAGTCCAGGAAGGTCTGTTTCACTTCCCTTTTGAGAGATGTTCGTCTTGAGACGGTTCATTGCTCTCACAGCACCAACCACGCTTTTAAGTTTTCTGCGTGGGTTAAAGTTCTCGCGCACGGTTTCCAAAAGATCGACCTCGGGCATATCCAAGCTGTTGAGCCACTTATCTTTAAGTGCTTCTACTGCAGTGGGACGCTTGTCTGCGTCCAAAGTAAGCAATTTTTTGATAAAATCCTTTGCTACACACAATAAAGTAAAAAATAAAGCATGATATTATATGTATATATACATATTTAAGGCGTGAGATTAATGAGCACATTTATCGGTTGTTTATCGTACCTTCTTGGGATACGTTGCGCCAGTAACGTTCATGGAATTCATATCGAGCGTGTATAATCTCATCCACTAATTCCATTTGATCGTCTGCTTGGAATGGCTGATAGCCACATAGCCTGATAGATATAAATATAGATTGTTATAATGGTTATTATTATCAGCCAAGTCTTTTATCAATAAAGCGAAATTATATGAGCCAATTACTTACAAAGTGTACGTGATTACTCTAAAAAGTCATGATGAGATTAGTATTAGTATTATCATAATCATAGTAACAGTCATCTTTATTTACCCTACGGCCCACATATCGATGGCTGTCCCGTATCCTTTTTTCAAAAGGACTTCTGGTGCTACAATAATAAAGATGTATAAATATATATTTGGTTAATCGCATGTTCCGTTTTTGCTGCCCAATCACTGAACCGATCAATTTGGTTATTTATTATTTCTTTGACTCACCAACATATCCAGGGGAGCCACATACTGTGTGAAGAGGAGAAGAGGTCTCATCGGCCATCTTGGCAATACTTTTTTTTAAAATATATATATATATATATAAATGGGAATTGATTAGATTTAGTCTGATTCATTATTACTACCATAGCATACATATATAACTACATACCCAAAATCACAGATAACAAGTTCTGCATTTGCATCGGGCGTCTTGAAGAGAAGATTCTCAGGCTTCATATCTACCAATACATATATATATATATATATTAGATCAGTATACTATATAATTGATTGCTTGATTGCTTGATTGATTGATCTTTTGATCTTTTGATCTTTTGACCGGTTGATAGATCAATTGATCTTATTTTTGGCCCTAACCTCGATGGACAATCTTGTTGGCATGTAGGAACTCCAATCCATTCAACACAGATCGAATCACAGCAGTCTAAAGAAGAGAATCAAATCAATTGAAATTCAAATATTATTAGTATTAGTATTATTATTTTTTGATTCAGGCACAAAAAACAAAAAATAAGATACTATTCATTGACTACAATAAAGAAATGTATATTTAAATTTATATACTTACAGCATCCTTTTCCGTAAACTTTCCGCGTTCAAATAGCCTGTCAAACAGTTCACCACCTGTTGCACTACATAAAATGAAAGCCACCAGTAGATACACACGTATGTTCGTACGAAAATCAGCCACTGAAGCCTTTTCTTGTTTGGAATCCCAAAATAATAATAACAATTAAAAAATAAAAATAAAAATAGCTTGGCTTACAGTTCAAAAACCAGATAGAATTTCTCACTTTTCAGAAAATATCAGAAAGAAAGAAAGATTAGTCAAATTTTTCTTATAATAATGATAGTAATATTACTCTTCATTACTGTGATCTATCCATTTGATTCACAATTGCTGTAGTAAAACTAACAATTGGATTCTCATGGGTCTTTCTTACCGAGATTCAAACCAATCGTAAAATCCAATCACATTGGGGTGCTCTAATCCTTGTAATACTTTCATTTCTGCATAGACCATATCATAGTGTCCTTTGACATTGCGCTTCGGGATCACCTTTACAGCAACATCTTTGTCGTCACTCAATCGTTTGGCATATTTGACAGAACCAAAGGAGCCACTGCCTATAATGAATAAACAAATAAATAAAATAAAATAAAATAATTGTTGATATTACCAAGTAGATGTCCAAACTCATATGTTTTCTTCTTCTCATGTGATTCTGGCTGTTGAACACCACCATGAACAATCATGTCAAATGTCTTGAATAGTCCCATTTCGAATAGATTCAAGCAATCTCCAAAAAGAAATACGTATAGAGGAAGAAGAAAAGGCAATAAAAGGAAGTTGAAGAATAAAATAAAATCAAGGAAATAAAGTTTGTTTTTTTTTGAAGATAGAAAATTGAGAAGGAGAAAAAAGGAGAAAGGAAAAGGAAGAAGAAGAAAATAGGGTAAATCTTGGCTCAGCTTATTTTAACTGACATAAAGCAACAGTGTATTTGTGCTTAAAAATAGATTGATTTTATGATCACAGGGTTTAAGATATTGCTCAGTTGGCTATCTAGTCTTCGGGATTGTACCGGAACTTTGAACCTTTTTCTTGATGTTCATTCTTGACATCTACAATATATATATATATATATATATATATATATATTACTGCTTGTTCTAAGAGATACTATTTTACAAAGTTATTTGGTATTTTTACTTCATTCAAGTAAATCTATTGCTATCATTACCCTTGTACTCCAACAGAATTTGTTCAACTGTACTAAAATAATAATAATACCGTCCTTTCTTCAAAGTATGGTTGGACTTCCAAGAAAATTTCTCTCTCTCTCTCTCTCTCTCTCAAAAGGTCAAATAAACTATCAGGGTGATACCGCATGGGACACAAGTGCAATTGATATCAATGCGCTTAAATTCCGTGGTTCCAAAGAGGTATTCGGTATATGCCCCTTGCCAGATGAAGAAATAAGAAAAGCTACCAATACTAACTCTGTCGCTCAGTATTAGATAAATGATGACCAAACAATCCCAACTTTGCCAGCTTTCTAAGGAGTGGAGTATATTTGCGAATTTAGAAAAAAAATATTATAGACATTGGAACAGCAATCCTACAGGGACGATGTTTCTACTTAACTAGACTATGCCTGGTGTCTTTCTTTAAATTCTTCAGGTCAAAATGGCGTGTTCTGAATATATATATATATATATTCAATTAGTAACCCTAAATTCAGACTTCCTTGGCCATAAAAATCTACCCTATATCCATAGCCCGTTATGTGAAAATATTACAAGTAGCTCCTGTAATTAAAGTCTGACGCAATCCTTTTGAATATTTTTACTGTTTATTGGCCCTTCTTACACGTATGATGTCGTTGTCTTTGTCTTTCTTTCATCTATTGTATCTATATTACCAGAGTTCGATGGCGCCGACTGGCGAGTAATCTCCACTGCCCTTTTATTTCTATTTGTTTTGTTTTTTGCAAGATACAAAAGAAGATCTTGATACAAACATCCTATATCCTGGTTTTGTATTAACTGTTATAATAAGAAGGGAGCCTTAAGGACCAGATATAGTCCGATAGAATCAAAATGTCGCCCCCAACCAGGAAACGTCGTCTGCCTAGGATTAACGAAATCAATAACACTAACAGTAATTGGATAAACGCTGGATACGTTAGGAAATCTCTTGGTATTGAAAGAAAGGCGACACACCAGCGACTCATTTAGGCAATGGTAGACTTCATTGGAAATTTGATAAAAAAAATATTCTGTTATGTGTAATTTCATACGCTGGGTTTATCGAATAATCCTGACGACGTTGCCGTGTTTTTAAAGTATGAAAGAAAAAAGTACTTCTCGTATATTTATTTGATACTCGCTTTTGTTGTATTGTTTAGTGGAGCTACAAGATGGTCAGAACAATCGTGGTGGATTACGATAGCCATATAGAATCACTTGGCAGATATTTTCTACTGTATGGGGACAAGAACAAAAAATGGGCTATTCAAATCATGAACTGGCTGTGTCAAACGGTCAAAATAGTTTTTATTTTCACTTTTTTTTCTCATGGTAAAATATAATGGACTTTTAAGAGAGGTTAACGCATATACACTAGCGCCAGAAATTAACGGGACACTCCACAAAAATAAAAATCACTGTATCTCTCTTCTACTCTTTTTTTTTGGATTTCTAACTTTGGACTGGGTTCCGACCCTTCTTGACTGGGAGTGAAAAATAGTCAAGAAGGTTCACAAAGTTGTTCACTCTATACTCTTCTTTATCTACGTCAGCTTTCCTGTTTTTATAATATAATATATTTATATTTCTACCCTTTTATCTTTTTATCTTTTGACCTTATTTCTTTACTTATCCCAAGAAATAAGCATGGCAGCTTTACAAGACGTGTAAGGCTTCTTTATTAATGACTCTATCTTTATGCGACAAATTATTCACAAAGGAATGATAATAATGATTATCAGGAAACGACAGCAAATCGGGTCTCTCTACATACACAATTCTGCTGTTAGTGTAGCAGTTGAAGGACAGCTATATGAAATCCCCTGGAGCTCAACCGAAGATGACTTTTTTATTCTCGTCCTTTTGCCACCTCAATTCCCTGATGAACCACCAGTCATTACCATTTCACCTCCCGGTACTCGCCATCCATTGATTAAAGAAGATCTCATAAGCAACGAAGGTCAATTCCAATGGACACCTTCTTCTAATCTTGGAGTACTTGTAAAATCAATCCGAGATGAGTTTAATCGCCAACCTCCTGTAAAGAACAAAAACGAACCTCTTTATGCTCCTCAAATTCCTCGGCCCAACAACAACAATGTTAATATTAATATTAATAATAATAATAATAATAATAACAGTAACAATAGGTAATGCATACATATATAATATATAATCGACTTGGTTCCACAATAACTCACATAAAAAGCTTGGATTGATATAAAATAGTCATTATAGCCACCGTCCTCCTCCTGCAATTCCAACTGCCAATCAGTCAACATTACCATCCTCTTCTGGCTTGACGAATAACGAATATATGGCAATTTCACACACAACGTAAGCTCCAAAAAAAAACACATACAATAGCTACGAGATATGTTTTTTTACACTTTATATTCATATTATATGTAATGTTTTCTTTCTTTGTTCTTATTGTATTTCTTCTTCTTAGTCCTGAACAAGCACACGAATTATTGACAAGCGATTATGCATTCGATCTCTTTTTCCACTCACTGGAGCGGGTGCAGAATCTAAAAACAGTTCAAGGAGAGTTGAGAAATGGAAATGAAAGTATAGCATGTAAGGAACAGATCCATTTTTCCCCGTACCCTATCCTCCCTCGGCTTCTTTCATGACCAAACATTGGGTAATTCAGTGGCATATATACTAATAATACTGGCGGTGATGGTGTGTATAAATATATGAATTTATATTTTTTAGATAAGAATCTGAATAGACAGGACGGATTGACTTTGTTGAGAAGTGAGGTTGAGGCATTAGATGCCGAATACAAGAAACTCAAGGAAGAATTTGATGTCAAGGAACAGCAGCAGCAAGAGGCATTTAGTGTAAGTCATCTCATTAATCGAAAGCACAATTATATACAAACAAACATACAACAAATATTCTATTTTTTTGTTTCTTTTTATTTTATATACAAACATATAAACATTATATATACAAACACACACACATATATATATAGCGTTTCTCTGCCTCTACAGTTCTTACTCGTCTCAAGTCAGGCGTCTATGAATATGATGAAATGTCAGAATCTGTAGCCCAAAGTTTCTTGGACGGTGACTTGAACCACGATGTTTTTGTGAAACAGTTTAGAGAAATGCGTAAAGTATATCATTTGCGAGCAAGCAAGCTGGAGCGTGCACAAAAAGACAAGCTGTTTATATAAAGAAGTTCATTTGGGTCAACAATATACACAAGTTTAAAAGAGGCTACACTCTTTTTATTTATTTATCTATATATATACTGTTGGTTGGTTTTGTTAAGAAGAAAAGAAGAAAAGAAAACAATTGCTATTTATCAAATGCTGATAGGTTAGTACACACAGTATCCAAATTGTCTGCATTATCCACATGGACAGCTATGTGGAACGTGATACTGCTACAGAGTCGCTTTTATTATACATAAGATCATATTTCTATATAACTGCCTCTCTTTTCTTTACCCTCTTCCAAAACAAAAAACAAAAACAAAAAGAATAGTATTATTGCACATACACATCTATGGAATCTACTGTCAAGACACTACATACAGATATGATCCAAGAATGGGAAATAGACCAAGCAAAGGTAGTGTATTGGCAAGAACAAATATATATATATATAATACGATATGATATTATATTGCATTATCCTTGAATGTATCAAACAATAGGAAATTCTATATATACATTTATGTTAGACATGCCACTAAAGAATATCAATAGCTTTTACGTCGGTTGAGTGAATTCACTCAACAGGTTTCTTCTTTAAACAATACATTAGAAGAAGAACGCAGGCAATTTGAAAAGACAAAAACCAGTGTAAGAATCTATTTATACATAAAATACTTTATATTTGCTCTTATCAATAACGTTATTTATTTCATTTTTCTTTTTTGCTCAGCTACTTCGAGAACTCAAAATCAAAGATGTTACGTTTGACAAAAAGTACCAACAGACACAAGAGGATTTTGAACAGCAGGTACAATTTCCCTACTTGAACATTATTAGTATTGTTGTTATTGTTATCATTTGTACTCTACAAAACACAAAAACAAAAATAAAGGAACCCATTTCAGTTTCCTGACATGTCAACAATAAACATTAGATACAAGAGCTGAAACACCAGCTCAAAAAGGAGCAACAGGAACACCAGGATGATATTCAAGAATGGAAGAGCCGCCATGATGTGACCCTCAAAACAGAGCGAACCAACAATGCCAGAAGAATTTATGGTTTTCAGGAACGCCTTAGTGCAAAAGAGACAGAATATGCCCAGCTTCAAAACCATCTTAGACAGACCCAGAGCGAACCTAGCTCACCAGTTGGAGTAGGATTCAGTGAAATAAGCAAAGATGATCGGATCTTATATCTTGAGGACACCATAGCTCACATGCGTAAGGAACATGCGGCAGAAAGAAAAGCGTGGGAGGCACAACTAGAGATGCAAGAAACCCATAGCCACCATAGTCATCAAAGTCATCACAGACAACAACAACAACAACAACAACAGCGGCTAGACTCTACCTTTAATGATAACGATACTGCAACTAGTATTGCTATTGCTGCTTCTAGAGAGATATCCCCACCGCAATCTCTTGAATCGCCCTTTTTGAACATATTCTCAAAGAAAAAGAAAACTCTGTCTCTGACAGGAATAAGTTCACACGAGACCACCAGACTTAACGAACTGACACGGCAGCTCAAAGAAGCCCATGCCAAGAAAACAGATCAAATGATGCTAAATTTTGAAAATGAAATTAATCGACTCAAGGACTTGTTTATAAACGAAAGCCGCCGGGTGTCGATGCAACATGAAGCCCGGATTCAGAATCTGGTAGCCGAGCACGACCAGACGATTAAAGACATGGTAGAAGAGCACTCGAACGCAAAGGAGATTCTCAAGATTGAGCATCAGAACCAACAAGAAGAATTTGTCGAAGCACAGAACCAAAGACTCCAAAGGGCGCTCCGGGAAACTGAAGAGACCTGGGAAGAACGATTAAAAGTTGCAAACATGTCAATGTCCAAGGATGCTTCCGAAATACAGGCTCACTGGGAGACCAAGCGAGAGTTGATGGTGGCTGCCCACAGAGAAGAAATCGAGCGCTGTCGGAACGAGCTGGAGGTCATCAAGTACCGTCTCCGAATGGCTGTTGAAAAGCTCAAAGAAAGTCAATCCAAAGCGAGCCTTTTACAAGATTTGCAGAATTCATCAACAATAGAGTACACAAGGCTTAAATTTGCATCAAAAAAGGCTGGCTTGAGATTATCCAAGGTAAATCACACCTTTATTACCATCACTATGATCATTTAAAAACAGCACATGTTAATTATAACCGTTGTTGATTTTGTAGATTGAGCAGGAACATAGTCAAGCACGGCGGATAGCAAAGGAAATCGTACAGATCGCAGACCCTGATAGCCACATTGGTGAAAATGTATCTTTGGCTGAAATACTACAGAAAGCTCGATTCAATTTATCAAATACCCCAAAAGCCGAGCCATACCCTGTGACATATATGTCATATTTTGGATTCTGATGAAAGAAGCTTATGTAGCCAAAGCCTTGGGATTGAAACAACGAAATACAGTGAATAATAAAATAATAATAAAATAGATATAAACAAAACGTCTTGAAAATAATTATCAAGTATCGTACTCAAAATTTACACTTCTGATTCATGATATTCATATAAATATCTGAATACTTTATTTTTGTTTAGTTGCTTTTACAATTTACTTTTTAATGCTCACCTTTTAGCCAAGTAAATTTCCGTTTATGTTACGATTGATACAAATAGAAAGGCAGATATATATATATATACAGAGGGGTCACTCTTGAGTACTTCCTTCAAGTACAAGAAGCTTTTGTGTATAAAATACAGAATGGTAGCAAAGATTTGAGACGCACTTTACCTTAAATAAAGTGACACTTGAGGAACTTGGAGACCTTATTTTTTTTTTTTTTTTTTGGTTTGTCTATTTGTTTGTTGCTCTATTCCATTGTTGTGACACAACTGAGTGTTAAGCGCGTTTTGCCCTGCCGATGGTCCGTGTGGTTATCATATATATAAATGAGTGAGGGCAGTTGAATTCTGTTTTTACAAAAGCTAAACCCAAATCTAAAGTTTATATTAATACTCTATAAGATATTTGATGATGATTATGACGACTATGATGATAATATATATATACTTTATTATGGTCATTAAAAATTACCAAGAGTCTTGGCTTAGAAACAAGTAGTATTCGAAATACCATATTGAACTAAAGATAGTTTATTTATCTTACTCACCACATACACGAATTCACTACAGCATTATCAATACCTAATATCTAACTAATACAAGCGCAGAAATTATTATCAGCTACCTCTATTTCTTTTTACTCACTCATATTACTATATTTTTCCTTGTCTGTGCTGGTTGTTGATGAAGTTGAACACCCTTCTGACTACCTTGAAATATGTTGGCATATCTATTTTCAAAACACATATGCGCACAATACACTTTCCTTTTTTGAGTCAAATTAATCTCGAAAAAAAAGGAGAATGTCCAATTGATGGTGAAAGGGACTATAATAACCAAATGCTTCTTGTATAAGATAAAAGTACATTTCTATTTTAATGCGCTATAAACTTTCATGATTTGATAATAATGATAATCAAATTTACTCAGCAAGCGACTATCTGTCTTGGCATAAAATAACTATTACTATTATTGTTATTATTGTATTTATATTTATAAGATATATGATATTGGGTATGCGCAAACAACCAACCATCACATCATAAATGTAGTTGGTCAGTTTTTTTTTGCGCTCGACTAAAAAAAAATATGCGTTCTTTTTATTTCTATCTCAAGGATTTTGTACGACTCAGCGCCGAAATAATGTATTTTTACACCAATGTATTTATATATAAAAATGTATATAAAAATAGATTTATTGCCTGGAGAACAGCTCCCGTGTATTCAATGTCCTTGGCTTCTAACCAGAACACCATAAATATATATAGATAAATAAAGAGAGAGAGAGAGCGGTAGAGAGATAGAGAGAGAAATGAAGAGAAAAAATAATATATAAAAAATAAACCTATTTTTGGCCCTGAGAGTTGGTTCATTTGTAACCCGATGTTATAAAGCTGGGATCCAAAACAATAATAATAATAGAGAGAGAAAGAGGGAAAAAACATCTCGCATTTTTTGTCCAAACCCCACTTTTCTAAGCTTGACCTCCTCTTATTCCTCTTCTTCTTCCTTTTTGTTTTTAAATTCTCCTCATGGATACGACAGCATCTGGTCTCAACTATGCAGATTATCCTGTGATAGTTGGAATCGATTTTGGTATGCATCAAATCTACAAGTCTTTATTTTCTTTTACTGATCCTCTACATCTTCATCAGGCACTACATTCTCGGGCTGTTGTTACGCATTCACCCAAAACGAAGAAGTGATTGATATCGTCAAATGGTATGCATTCACACTCCTCATCCTTGTCTTTTTCTCTAACAACATCATTCACACAGGCCCAGACAGAACAACCATGTCTATCCAAAGGTAAGTCTATTTTTTTTTCTCTTTTCTTTTATGCTTTTTCATCTCACAATACATCTCCTCATTTAGACACCCACCCTATCGTTGTACCGCAAAGGATCGACTCAGTTAGTCGACTGGGGTCATGGTGCCCGTCGCCAGGCCATGAAACCAAACAGTGTCGATTTTATCCTTTTGTCTAAATTTAAGCTCTATCTTGATGAATACCTTCAACAAGAATCACTTCCAAACGGCCTCAACGTGATTGATGTTATCGCTGATTATTTGCGTGAATTTCACTCACATGTTTGCACCGAGCTTCTCAAAGGATTTGCAGGCAATTACGATCAGAGCAAATTCCGTTATGTATGTAAAAAAAGTTATTATTATTATATTCCCTACACACACATTTTCATGTATAAAATATATAGATATAGATATAGATAAATCTGTGCCGCTTATCCTATGTAACTCATACCTTATTGTTGTTGTTTTGTTGGTAGTGCTTGACTGTTCCTGCCATGTGGAGTGATCGTGCAAAGGCCGCAATGAGAGAGGCAGCTATTCGTGCCGATCTCATCCAGAGATCAGACCATCCAGAAAGACTTATGTTGATTTCAGAACCCGAGGCCGCAGCATTGTACTGTGAGAGAAAATCTGAACAATTTAACCTTGTTCACGGCCAACGTTTTATGATCTGTGATGCTGGTGGTGGTACTGTGGATCTGATTGTTTTTGAAATTGATCAACAATCAAGCGGAAAGTAGGTTAAACTCCCCTCCCCCTCCCCTTCGCCTTTCTTCCCCTCTTACTTCCCTCACTAGATAAAAGGCCTTCATAGCCCAATTAATTCATTCATTCATACTATAAATCTTCATCCATCTAGGCGTACACTTAAGGAAGTAACTAATGGTCATGGTGGATCTTGTGGTTCCGGGTTCTTGGATCTGAGAATGCGAGAGTATATTAAGCGCAAGTTCACACACCGTGGTAGTATCAATGACTCTGCCATGGAACATATCATGGATACATTTGTGAACATCATTAAAGTAAGAATTTTTTTTTAAAAAAAAAAGTATGATGACAGTACACTGAAAAGAGAAGGAAAACATTTTAGCCAGAGTTTGATGGATACGAAGACCATTTCCTTGACTTGCCTGCCTCCATGGGTCTTGGTGACCTGACAGATGAGGATATTGGTCTCGAGAATGGCTCCCTTTGTCTTCCTGCCCATGAGCTGCGTGACGAAGTGTTCGAACCTGTGATTACACAGGTGCTCGACCTCATCGATGGCCAGCTCAACCAGTCTCCAAATCTTGAAGCCATCTTCCTGGTCGGTGGTTTTGGTCAATCAAACTATCTCTTCCGTCGTGTAGAAGAAGCCTTTGCAAACCGTGTGGGTATGATTGGTGTGCCTCCCAGAGGTGAACTCGCTGTCGTCCGTGGTGCGGTATACTTTGGTCTGAACCCTCAGATTGTAACAGAGCGAGTGTCTCGAAGAACATATGGCGTAGAGACCCGTATGCTCTTCCAAAACGAACTCGATCCCCCAGAATATTCTGTTGTCGGTGTCGACCAAAAGACCTATTGTCGCCAGCGCTTTAGTGTTTATGTACAAAAGGGCCAGAGTGTAAAGGTTGATGAGCGGGTGTCAAAGAACTTTATGATCAGTTACCCTAATGATACAGATTCTGGTAAGATTTATTATTTATCTCCAAAGCGTGAGGTCTATTTAACACAAAAATACTAAACCAAAAACAAAACAAAAAATGTGTATATATTTATTTTACGATAAAGACTTGTTTGCATTTGATGGTGAAGGCCCACCACCACGTCTGACAACTCACCAGCTCATTAAAAAGGTTGGCCACTTCCCCATTCGTATGCCTACGTTGGAAAATGTCCGACCAGGTGATAAGGTCAACATGACAATCGACATGTACTTTGGTTTGACAGAAATCAAAATCGAGTGTACCATTCAAAACAAGAAGTTTGTCTTCACATCTTCATTTGATGCCATGGACTCGTTTTCGGGACCTGAACATGGTGGCACTCCGTATGGAGCCTATGCACAGACGCCACAGCAGCCACAGCAGCTGCAGTCGCAATCCCAGGATCCATATGGCGTGAATGAGCTGACCAATACCGCGAGCCAATTATCTATCCACAACCCACCTGGTGGATATCCTTCTCCATACGGACAACCCGGTCCGGCCTTATCGAATGCCTCCCTTTCTCAACACAGCTACATGCAACAGAACCAAAACCAGCCCCACCAACCTTCATCTACTGGTGGCTACCCACCTTCTAACATGATGGGAAATATTCCTCAGGGCTACCATCGCAACAACAGTGGACCTTATCCCCCTGTCCAGTCACAACAAAACTCGGAGTATTACCCATCCTATTCCCATTCTCAAGCAGGTGGCTACCCTCCTGCACAACCGTATTACAACTATCCATCTCAGTCTAACCAACCTTCAGGATACAGTACGAGTGGATATAGTCAGCACTAACTAACCAACTAACCAGCCAGCCAACCAACTAACTAACTAAGTAATACACATCATTTAAGTCTCCTTCGCCCGCCTTCCGCCCTCTGTATTTCTTTTATCATGCCCGTTATATATCTTTTATATTTAAAAATACATTATTTTTCCCTTTTAAACACAACAAAGCACACCTCAACTCAACACATTTAAAAAAAAACTTTTTGTTATTATTATCATTATTATCATTATTACTATTTCACTTGGTTAAGAGGAACAATAACCGTAACGACAGTGACAAAAAAGAAGCTAACTCGTGGGGTCCATCTAAACTCTGTCTTGATTATAATATTAGTGACACACAGACGTTTTAAGCATATTTGCAGTGATTTCCAAATTTATATATATGTACAGGCGGGTACTCAGGAACCTAAAATTTATGCTTAGTTCACCCAAAAGAAGTTTTTATACATACATATATATATTAAAGCATACTTTGTCATAGTAACTAATTATGTCTGGTTGGCAGGGTATTGTATTACAAACTAGCCTTGGAATTAATATGTATATTTATATATTCACAGTTAATCATCATAAATCCATTAATGAGCTATAGAGATATGTCAAGCCGTGGCTCATTTCAGTATTCATCTTCCATTAGAATATCAAGAAGCTCCACCCAAATATCTTGGCGAGTGAGCACTCTCCCTTTTCTTTTTCTTTTTCTCTTGATTCCAATGTTTATTATTAGTTATTTCTTGTACAATGCTTCCTTGTAGGCTGTGGGTTGATCATCAAGGAACTTCTTACATGAATAGTTAGTTGGTCCTTAAGGTTGTACAATCTCACCGTTTATCTCTAACAACAATTATAAACTAGACTCACAAATGATTTTATTTATTTGCTATTTTTGATTAGGAATATCATTTCTTTTGTTCCAATGTACCGAAAAAAAACAGTACTGACAGTAACAAAAAATTAATTTACCTTTCTTATCATAATGTTGCTTTTGTATATATATATATATAATTACTGCAAAAATTATCTTCTTATCCCTTCATTATTTACTTTTACTGTTGATAAAGCAGATTCTGGACACCTTGGCGCACCTTATTATTATCTTTACTTTCTAAAAAGAGTGTTATTTATTTATTAAATACGTTTCTTGACTCGTTCCTTTCTCTTTCGTTCTTCCTCTGGTGTGCATTAACCTTGGTAAAATCTTATTAATTTCTTTTATTTTATATTTAAGCTTTAAGGTATAAATTTAATAGAATTCCAAAATATTAAAGAAATATTATTCATATATATATTATATTATATTATATTATATTATAATGTAAATTCTTTTTGTAGTGTAATGAAGCCAAACCTTTATTTAAAGGTATAGATGTATAGATATATCGCTGGAAACCTCACCCTAAAACACATGTGTAAAAAAAAAATAACGGTTACTAGATTAAAGATTGTAAGCTTTATAAGACGACTACATCCACTTCCGTTTTTAAGAAAATGGCTCTTGATAACTTGTATTCTTATCTGCTCTTTATATGTGTAATGCTTTGGAAGATTACTGGAGTTGGGGTTAATGCAGTATATTTTTTCTGTTTATTCATGTGCAATGAAATACCAAGAAAATCTTATTTACAACCTAACTTTCTATTGTAGCACACTCTATTTTAATGTTAAAGGCCAGTGGTCAAGAATTATATACCATGGTAATAATCCGACTTTCTACATGTTGAATCTTACAACCCTGGGCGTCTTGACATCTATAAATCAATCTGCGACACTATTTATTATGAGATCATACATTACCTTCTTTCCCCCAACTATTTGATATTAAGCTGTCATTGGTTTGAATTATGGTTTTATTTTTGCGTTTATTAATATATATAATAGATGCTTCTTGGTTAATAGTACAGTAATAATAACACTACTATATACCTCATGTCGTCTCCATAAATATCCTTCATATGCCTTTAATAAGGCAGCTCCTTATAGATAAATACAAAAAGGGTAATAAAAAGAAAAGAAAAAACATACAGATCAAAACAAGAATTTGTCTGAAAGAGAGACAGCAAGAATATAATGGGTTGGAACTCAAAAGCAATCTTCCCATAAATTTAAACAGTGTGTACAAGTCAATTTATATTTTATTCTTAAAAAAAACTCAATTATCAATAAATACTTTTTTTGATTTCTAAGTATTTGTTAGCTTCTTTACTACACTCTTACTCTTACCGCCCGTCTTTCGTTTTGGTATGTGCATTAATAAATATAGTCATACACCTATAATTCAAATATAGTCAGAAAATATAAGAATATTAACAGCTGTTATGTATTTAAATGTATGTTTTAAATTAATAGAAAATGTCTAACCAAAACGAAAGCAATCTTATTTGGCGCACTCCTGCTGAAAGAGATGCAGAAGACAGCCTTGCCATCTTGCATCGTGACATGGTCGCTGTCATGAAAGACATTGCTGATATCAAAGCAAAAACTTTGGAATCTCCCATCTCTGCTGTTTTGCAGAGTCAGCACATGGCTGTAGCCCCTGCTGTCGCTCCCGTAAACATGGATATGAATGTAGCTGGTCTTTCTAACATGGCTTCTGAGGCAAATTCAGTTTACAAAACCAAAGCATATGTATGTATGATACATATATTAAATTATATCTTTAATATTTTACCAAAATTCAATAGAGACTTCTTCGAGAGCAATTGTGGGACCCCAACTTCAAGTCAACCAGCTTGGCTACAATACAAGTCAATAATGACAAACCAAAGTGGAACACAGCTGTTCACTTCAACCAGTCGACAAACACCGAGCTGACGGAAATCCTCCTTGCCCTCTTGGAAAGAAACCTCGTAGGAACAGGACTGAGGAAAAGTGATGTTCGTGACTGTGTCTACACAAACTTCACTAGCAGAAAACGTGCAGCCAATAAGTCTGAGGCTAAAAAGAAGTTGAGTAATGCTTGCAACAGAAAGGAGTAGCCGTGAAAGTGAAGTAGATTATAATTTATTTATTTATTATTTAAATAATTCTTATATAAGATATTAATTTAAAGCAAAAAAAGAAAACTAATTTAATATTTTTATCAACGCTTCAAACGTTGCAAGTCAGCGTACAAGTCTTACAAGGCTGTCATTGATGACAAGATGAAAAGATATTGCTCTGGTCTTATTGTAGAAGAGGCCATGTCTGCTGGTGAGTCAGACGGTGGTACTTTGCCTCCTGTTTCTGGTCGTGGGCTTCGTTTTCATCGTCTAGGTTGGAGAAGTGATGAGGTAATTGGTTTTTTGAAAGGTTAAATGTTTAGTTTAGTTTATATATTGTATTGTATTATACTAAATAAAATAATAATGCTTTTGATATAGTACAACCACTTCATCAAACTTGTTGACAAAAAAGTAGCAGCTGAATTGGGCTCAAATAGCCATCAATTGCTGCCACATGTTTTTGGCGAAACCATTAAAGGACCAGTCCCTAATGCAATTGCATCACCGTTTTCTCAGTGGGCTCTTAGAGATTGGTCCTAAATAAAAAGTTACATTTTAAAATAGATGAAGACAAGGAGATTTTACTTGTTTTTGATTTCTTTTTTTAATGAATGAAAAGAAGCGTAAATTATATTTATCTAATAAAGTTTTAAGCATAGCATTATTATTTTTGAAGTTGAGATAGCTAGTATTCTTTCTTTGTTAATTTTAGTTATATCTATAGCACCCGCGACCTCTTTATTTATAAAATTTCAAATAAGAAGATAAAAATATCAAGTTATTGCACTCTCTATATAGTATATACATTAAAAAAATGTTTCTATTATATTATTTTGCTCTTAAATAAAACTTTGCTTTTTTCATCTTTTTTTAATATTTTCACCAAAATCTAGAATCTATTGTAGTAATTGAAGTTGAACAAGTTTTTAAGAGAAAGAATTGAAGATTTGAGATTGAGGAACAAAGATTTATGAGAACTTGTGTAGGGTTAGTTTATTGAGAAAAGATTTGGTATCAAAATTTAATGATGTTTCTATACTGAACTACTACTCCTATTTATATTATTTTGGATCAGAAAAATTATATGACTGAGGTCAGATAGTCAATCCTATCTGAGCCTTAATCAGAGCAATGTGATCTTGGGATAATTAATGTATGATTAATTATATAAATGTGTGTAATCTCAATGAAGTATTAACATTGAAAGTAAATATGTTTATGAGTTATAATTATACTTATAACAATCCACTAATATATCTCATATTATGATAATATTATCATATGAAATATAATTACTATCATGTATGATAAACCTGTGTATTAAATAATAAAGTAATTAGTAGACACCTTTGACTGGAATAGCTGAGGCCTTATATTATTTCCTTCAGACTTATTCTCAATTACAGCAGTAGTCAATACTCATTTACAACAGATATAATATTTCTCTAGTCAGATCAGCTCAAGAGTTTTAGTAAAGAAGAACATTTATGATATTGGTAATATTTTACTATTCTGACCCAGATACTCAGGTAGTGTTTCATAATATTAAATAGTTGTAGTTGTAGTCTCTCAATTAAGTATTTGTATAATAAAAGAAATATGTAGATGAAATATAATGATGTCATATATATAATGTATATGTATTTATATATCTCATGTCATGGTTGTTGTGAATGAGTATTGATTACTGCTGAATCTGAGAGTAAGACTGAAAGATAAAATAATATTCTCAGCTATTTCAGTCAAATGGATCTGCCTTTATGATATTATCTAATACACAGATCATCATATACATAATTTATTATTTATTATTATTACCATGACATGGAATATACAAATACATATACATTATATATATGGCACCATTATATTTCATCTACATATTTCTTTTATTAGATAAATACTTAATTGAGAGACTACAACTGTGGTATTTCAGGTACGAAACAATAGAAAAATAAAATATTTGATAATAGAGACATATAGAAATACTTTGAGACTGTATATAAGTTGTCTTTATTCATAAATAAAAAGTGTCCCTTTTTATAAAAAAACACAATCTGCTCTTGTCATTACGTCTTAGTTTCTTAAGACTTTCTTCCTTTACTATATTTGGTTATTAGAGTGTATTTACTGCTTAACTAGTGTTGGTGTTACAATTATGACATCAAGTCATAAATCGTACTTCTTTAGCTCTTAGCTATTCTTTTCTCTTTTATACTAGAGCTTTAAGACTTCCTACTAAATTAGCTCCATATCGATCTGACACAGTTTACCTGGCAGTATGATATAATTATCTTAACAATCTTTAAGATATTATCTACAGTACTAACTGTAATAATTATTGGGCTGATTACTTAATCGTTTATATATATTTTATACTGACAAGATGATAGCTACTATGCTATCCCAATATGAATATGTTCTTATATGTGATAAATCCAACATCCGAGTGTCTGGATCACCACAACAACTACAACTATTTAATATTATGAAATATTACCTGAGTGTCTGGGTCGGAATAGTAAAATATTACCAATAGCATAAATACTCTTCTTTACCAAAACTCTCGGACTGATCTTGTGGTGATCCAGACACTCGGATGTTGGATTTATCACATATAAGAACATATTCATATTGGGATAGCATAGTAGCTATCATCTTGTTAGTATAAAATATATATAAACGATTAAGTAATCAGCCCAATAATTATTACAGTTAGTACTGTAGATAATATCTTAAAGATTGTTAAGATAATTATATCATACTGCCAGGTAAACTGTGTCAGATCGATATGGAGCTAATTTAGTAGGAAGTCTTAAAGCTCTAGTATAAAAGAGAAAAGAATAGCTAAGAGCTAAAGAAGTACGATTTATGACTTGATGTCATAATTGTAACACCAACACTAGTTAAGCAGTAAATACACTCTAATAACCAAATATAGTAAAGGAAGAAAGTCTTAAGAAACTAAGACGTAATGACAAGAGCAGATTGTGTTTTCTTATAAAAAGGGACACTTTTTATTTATGAATAAAGACAACTTATATACAGTCTCAAAGTATTTCTATATGTCTCTATTATCAAATATTTTATTTTTCTATTGTTTCGTACCTGAAATATCACAGCTTTATTTTCTCCCCACAACAATGGTGATAATAATAAATAATTAATTATGTATATGATGATCTGTATATTAGATAATATCATAAAGGCAGATCCGTTTGACTGAAATAGCTGAGGATATTATTTTATCCTTCAGTCTCACTCTCGGATTCAGCAGTAATCAATACTCATTTATAACAAAATGTTATAAATATTTAATTTTACTCAAAATTTATTTTGTAATCACATCTAAACACAATATCTCAGGTAGGTTTTTACTTTTTAATTGCTTTAAAACTTTAAAAACACATCAAAAGCCTTCTTGGCTCAGTTGGCAGAGCGTCTGCCTAGTAAGCAGAAGGTCGCCAGTTCAATTCTGGCAGAAGGCACATCTTTTTCATTTATTCAGTGTCGGGGTTTTAAATGTGCTCCTGTTGTTCCTGGCTTGATCTTTGTTTTTATTAACAACTCCCTCTTTCATATGTTTTGCAAAATATTTAATGTATATTTAGTGATTATATTACATTTTTCTTTTAAAAAAAAGTATTTCATACATAAACAATATATAGAAATTAAATAATTCTAATCTTAAATTTCATTTGTAATTTTACAAAAAAAGGTACAACAATTCTCAAACAAATATTAAAGGTTTAAAATTAATTATTTCTTGCGTGTAGTAAAGAAGGTTGTTTTATTGCCTCATAATATATTTTACCAATTTATTATACTGCTTTGCTAATGGTTCAGAACCCAAGCTCATATCCTGAGGCAACAAATAAAAAAAGGAAAGTATCAAATTCATTTATTTAGCTATAATCGGGCAAGGTTTATTATACCAAAAAAATATTAATGTATTTTTCGTAAAGTTCTTTCCTTGCATTATATATAGCGTATAATATATAGTAATAGTGAATATAATGTAAATTACATATTTACAAAGTATGTATTTTGTTGAGTCTACAAAGTGGTTAAAATATAAATTGTATGATTTAAAGATATCTTCTAAATCATCACCCGAAAGTATTTTATCTCCTCGTTTAATTTCGCTTAACTTGAGCACAAACTACATATTTCTTAGAGAGAACTTTCTCACAATTAAATCAAACAAAAGAAGTTACTGTATGTATATTTTTATATCTTAAAAAAAGTGTTAAAATAAAAGATGACAATAACGAGGGTTTTCATGCCAAAAAAAACAGTCCTTATTTCCTTTCTCGGAAACCATCAGTTTTAAAATAGACAGGCCTGCCAATCTTTTCGGTTGCCTTTGCCATTCATTATCCTTTTAGACTCTGCCCGGGAAGTACTCGAAACGAGGTCTCAGAAAATACATTCAGTTTAAACATTTTCCAGAGACTCAATTTGTTGATCAGAACTTTATATTTTTGATTGAATTCCTGATTTACAAACATGTAAGGACCTGAGTGCCTTTTGAGCTGGTGATTCATTCTTCGCGCGTCTCTTTATCTCCAATTTATTTATTTTGTCTCCTCTTTGTTCCCCAGACAAGCCACCTACGATCCCTCTTGTAACACTCCCCCATTAAGACATTGGCTATCATCATGCCACTCCTTAAACGTAAACGCTACCCTTTGCTACAACCTCCCACAGTCGATCCCACAAAGAAAGACAAGGAACGGCCAGTATGGTACTACAAGATCACAAATGAAGTCTTTGAAGACTATGCGTATCCTTTTTATATACTTGTATGCTTGATATTACATATACAGCATCATCTTTTTAGCCAAAAAACACCCTGGTCTAGATATGAACCAGAAAAAAAGAAGGATATTTCAATAAGTAAATCTGACATATCACGCCTACGTACATAGGAAAAGACGCCAAATTACAAATACGATCTTTTATTCATGACGCGTGTGACATGATTCGCACCATGTTCGGCATTCAAGCCTTCTCTTTATCCTTGACTTCCTTCTACTTTGCTATCTTTATTTTAGTACATATCTTCAACGACTATCCCTCTACAAGCGTCCTGTATGGCAATGTGAGACAACTGGTCGATCCAACCTAACCTACGAAGATGCATTGAAAAGCGAAAAAACTGAAAGAGATAGAGTCCAAGACAAATTGCCGGAAGAACTTCAGCAGCGTGTACTTGAACGTGTCCAATTCCGTAAGTCGACAGTTTGACAATATACTCCAGATATTCATCTTGGAACAATAGAAACGGCTCGTCTGGATACAGTTGTGGAAGATGTATATTCGTACTTTCTGGAGCGCTATATTGCAGGTGAAATTGTAAATTGTCTGTGGGATGATGGCATCGTGTAATGTATCAAACCAGAGTATAATATGTGTATTTTGTGTATGTATGTTTCTGATATTCTTACATTGATTCCAGGTACAATGCACGTATACTGGAGGTTTTGCCTAGTGATAAACAGGACGAAGATGAATCAAAAGACAAGGGTAATTCCTATAAAGTACAGTTGATTGATGACCATCTTGAAGGAATTGATGATTTTATCAAGGTTGTTACAAAGTCTGAATTAAAGTAGGTTATTGGGTTTTTCTTATTACATAGAATTTGTTGATTGGAGATAACTAACCTTCTGTTTGTTAATACAGGCGTGATCGTTTGTCATATTCAAAAAATTTGCTCAAGAATTTCATTCGCAGATACACTATAAAGGAGACTTATGTGGGTGCACCATGGCTTGTCAAGGTAAATAATTCCATACAATACTTTATATTAAATGTTTAGGGAATATTAATACGACAATATTAGCCAGGACTGGCAGAAAAATATGGAATTGAATCTACACTTCCTCAATCACTCCAAGAAGCCAAAAATAATGCTTACCTCAAATCTCGTAAACGAAAAACCGGAACTCCTGAAGAGCTGACTCCAAAAAAACCGGAGGAAAAGCCCTTGGATGCCAAAAAGCTTGAAGCTATGATAAAGTATCCCATGGAAGATCTCGACGTACCTATTTACAGACGTGATCCATCAGGAGAAGGACCAATTATGGACATGAGTCCGTCGACATCTAACTCTACGAAGACAATCCAAAACCCAACTGGTGGAATGCCCATCTGTCCCACTCCTTGTAGAGATAGTACAATACCTACCGAATGTTTCGGGTCATTTTTAATGGTTTGGTGCTTCCTCAGTATCTTTGCACGCCCACTCGACTTATCTCCTTTTACACTGGATGATTTTGAGAATGCGCTTCATCACAATTCTACTTATATAAAATCACAGATTTTAATCGAGAGCAACGTAGCATTGCTAAACGCAATCATTCGCCAGCAACGTAAATCCAAGCTCCAGGGTGTAGCCTCCAAGAATTTGGCATTATATGACGAACATACATCACGTAGTACTACACCTGCCCTTGATGGACAAAGTAAAGACAGTTCTACCAGAGGGAGCCAGGATGGGAGCGATGAAGAGAAAGACGAACTAGTTGGGTGGCCTGCCCAGAGAGCCTTATCTCGTCGTGCATCTTTGGTTGAAAGAGGATGCGGAAGTGATGAAATTATGAGAATCGGTACCGGATGGGACAGTGCAACGATAAAATCCGTTAATGACAGAGAAGGCTGGGAAGATGTACTAATTGGCTGTATTAATCAGGTTTGTTATTTACTTTGAAGTGTCGTATATTTGATATTAATGTTCTTTAATATCTACAGCTTGCACCATCAGAAAAGGTCCCTGAATTTGATAGAATCTTGAACTCACTTGTACCCAGACATAATTCTACTTTGGAAGAACGTCAAACAGCTTATGTTTCTCTCTGCCTGAAGGATAAAATAATGATATTCGAATTGTTGGTACAGACAGTCAACGAATGTGCATTCATAAAGTAAGCTTCTCTCTTATTCTTTTTCTTTGGAAGTGAAATTAATTTTACCACGCTATTATTATTATTATCCATAGAGAATATATGGAGGAATGCCAGGACCAGCTCACTGAATTGAGAAAGCAAAAGATCGAATTGAGCAGAGAAAGAAAGCGCATGTATGTCTTGTATTGAAGGCTTGTTAAATATATACTGACTTTACCGAATACTAGCTATGCTGCCAGATTAGAATATGAAAAACGTACCGGAGAACATTCAGGAAAGACAAACGAAGAAACAGAGAACGATGCTTCCGATGATGATTCAGAGTCGAGTGACACTGAAGATGATGTGTAAGCAGTAAATGAAATATCTAACATACCGTTTGGTTTTGTAAAATTAACTTTGACAAACACAATAGCTCAAAAGCACAGCGCCAATTCAAGAATGAGACTATACACGAATCTCGTCAGGCAATACTTAAACGTAGACAACAGGAGAGAGAGGAGAGAGAGGCGAAAAAATTAAAGCTGCATCATCGCCAAAGAGAAGAAGCTCGTGCACGTAACCTGGAACTCAAGGCACGCGCAGAAGAGCGAAAGAAAATAGATGAGGAGGAGCGTCAATTGCATAGAAAGGTAAATCATCATTTGGTTTTGATAAATCCACATGTACACGTATATTTATATAGTTTCACAAAATGAATTTTAGGAAGAACAAGTTGAGCGTGATATGCGCAAGTATAGCACACTTCGAATTAAGCCTCTTGGTCGAGATAAGTTCTTTAACAGATATTATTATTTGGATCACATCGGAGGAGCGGCCGCGCATGGTACAGGAAGACTCTGTGTCCAGAGCCCAAGCGAAACAGACAATATGTTACTGATGGAACGGGATCAGCCCTCGATGGACGAAAAGCTAACCTTACCATGCGGGCGTGGAGGGGGTGTTGGATTTGTTTGCCAACTAATGAAAGAACAAGGGCTGCCAGAAGAGAGCAAACTCCTTGAGAAGTCATTGGATTCTCAGCCACTCTGCCCGAATTTAAATGAATGGTGGTGGTTCTACCAGGAACCTGAAGAGGTAACTACTCATAAAATATAGATACAAGAAATATGGATTATGCTCATGTATTAATACAAAAGGATTTACGTCTACAGCTAGATGCACTTTTGGCCTGGCTGAATCCAAAGGGTATTCGAGAATATAGACTGAAACGTGAACTAGAGAAGCACATTTATTCTTTGACAGCCGGAATGAAAAAACGTAACAATGTATGTTGTATCCTTAATTCACAAAAGAAAAAAAATAACGCTTATACACATCATAGGAGCATATGACTGCCAAGATAGTGGATGTTCCACGACGAAGCACACGTAGCAAGATTGCACCTCAGATCCCATCTGGTTCTTGGCTAGCTTATGTTAACAAATACGCAAAATAGAAAAAAAAATGCCTTGTCTTTAGGCCGATGAATTGTCATTAATTATACTAAAAGATACAAAGAGTGGTCTAAATAATCACAAAAAAGAATAGCATCTCACAAATCCAAAAATACAAATACATTTTAAGACCTATAAAAATTAAAAGGTCATTATACTTTTAATATTAGGCAGAAAATCTCGGTTATATATGATCAGCTTGTGAAAGCTTAGTAAATCGCTTGCAGTCTAACCCTAATATATATTGCATGCTCCTACCTAGTAAAATTATATTAAATACTATGTATAGGTATATATAATTGACTCACCTGCTGTCATAAAATAAGTCGATTATCGTTTTTTTTTTCGTTATGCCAAGTATCTCAATCAACCTCAATGTACAGCTATTCGGAGCAATTAACCACAGCTTTATGACTTATAAAAGAATATATAAGAAAACTGGTACTTTATCTGGCGTACGTAGTTAGATAAGTGGATTATTATCTGCATAAAAACAATAATACAATATGTATAATGATAGAAAATAATATCGGGGTGTGTCTGGTTTGACTGGGGGTTTAATTTTTGGAAATTCTCCAGGTTTATGTTGAGCAATGGTATCGTAGGAGTGTATCAAATAATCAACTCCTACCATTCGAACGCGAGCTGAATAATTACATCGACTGTTTGTTTTTAAATCAATAAAAGTTTCAGTCTTTCATAAAAATAATTAAATAATATCAAATATCTGTAAAATTGAAAATGAAGTATTTTGTGCGTAGTATTGATCTCCATCAAATGAACAATATTTGAGTGTATTCCAGAAAAAGTTCAATAAACAGAAAATGTCTACCAAGGGATTAAAAATATCCAAGCCATTATGTAAAGAGATACGGATATGGTATCTGTTCAATTGTGTATACCTTATCGCAGTTAAAGGCCGAGATGTGCCATAACTTGATCAACCAAGTTGTAAAAAGCAATGTATGATTCTGTGACTGTAGAAATTGCGGAGTAATGAGATGTATTTAAATTGGGGTTGGGGGTTTTTTTTTCTATATTCTTCTTTCCAAATTTTATATTTCGTAAGACTATGTCGACCGACCCTTCTAAATATGTGTTCAACCACACAATGATTCGTGTGAAGGACCCAAAAGTCTCCATTAAGTTCTATGTCGACGTTCTCGGTATGAAGTAAGTTTTTGGTGAGCGTACATAGAATCCGGCCACTCAATTCGCGTCTTAGGTTGATTACCAAGTCAGAGATGGAAGCAGGAAAGTTCACGCTTTACTTCCTTGCTTACGTCGATAAGGTCCCCGAGTCAGAAGAAGAGAAGAGAAAGCTCTGCTTCAGTATGCCTGGTGTTCTTGAACTCACCCAGTAAGTTACCCAGATTACTGGAGATCAGTTTGAAATATGAATATTGATCAAAAACCGCGCGTTTCTTTTTAGTAACTGGGGTACTGAGAATGATGCTGATTTTGCCTATGCCAACGGCAACAAGGAGCCTGGAAGAGGATTTGGTCACATTGCCGTCCTTGTGGATGATATCCAAAAGGCATGTGAGCGCTTTGAGCAACTTAGCGTCAAGTTTATTAAGCGTCTTCAGGATGGAAGCATGAAACATATTGCGTTCATCGCTGATCCTGATGACTACTGGGTTGAGGTAAGTACTAGGTGGGGTTGCCTATATTTTGGCACAATGTAACTTATCTATCTTGTAGATTATCGAGAATCCTTCCATTGTTGGACGTGCCCCTATTTAATAATAATAATAAAAACCCTTTTTCTTTTTCATTTACATAATCATTTCTGAGCTTATTTGCCAGTAGTACAGCCTAGGGTATTGAGTGATAAGCACGCAATGAGATTTTGTATACGCCATTTTAATAGATTATTTGCGCATTAATCTTCGTACAAATAATTTGTGGCCATAAGAAGGTTTATACAAGACGTGTTGTATATTTTAAGTGTATATACTTGTTTTAACTTGTTAAATATTTCAAAACCTATAAACAATGTTGCTTTTGAAAAAAAGATTAGTTTATATCACATATCTGTAACATATTGCCTTTTTGAGTTTGTAGCCTAAAAAACATTCCACAAAGATCATTTTTTAACAAAAGTATTTTCTATATAAATGCCTTTTATCATGCTTATACCTCTTTATCCCAATCTTTATACAGGTATAAATAAACTAACAATATATACATATATATATACATTGTATTATACTGCTTATTAACTACGGATATTCTTAACAAGAATGTAGCTTTTTATAAAGTACTCGGTAGGTATATCAATTGTATAATTGATCTACGCTTATTAGGTGAATGCAAAACAGCAAATGAATAAACAATACGTTTTTTTAATAATTGAAACGTAAGCACAGACCTCCCAAACTTAATAAAGTGCTTCATACAAACAAAGAATAGCCGTGTCTTTTTCCGTATCTTTTTTTTTAGTACCATCATTTTATTACAAGAGATTCTCTTGATCATATAGCCGAATGTCTCACTACAGTGGTGATAGAACTAGTATTGACAGTCATAAAGGGAGGCACGGATTGGCAAAAGAGGGTATATTCAGCGGATCTGGTATTTGATAAAAAAGTGATTTGATGAAATCGTTTGAACATTTTTTATATGGATTCCAAAAACATGTTGATTTATAGAAAATTTGCGTTAATAATAAGCAGAACTACAGTAGCCAAGAAAAATTTTATTATAATTTCTTATAAAGTAATTGAGGGGTTTCAGTAGAAATTATAGACAAGATTTATGCAAATCCTTATTTTTGAGCTTGGGTTATAATGGATAAAAGATCAATTTTGTCGAAAGTAGACACAATCTTCTTTTTTTATTACAAAAATAATAATGGACGAGTGTAAACGATAATACAGAATACGGCAGTAAGCAATCTTACCATATATAATTTACAGAGAGAAATGGTTACTCTCTTTTGTATCAAATGATGTTTGCTTCGACCAAATTCGTTATTATTTTGACTTCAATGTAAATAAAGTGAGAAAGGAAGTTATGTTGCACTATTGATTTTTCTTTTCTTTATACCTACATTTTAGCTATAAATGTGCTATTGCCGAGCTTGAATGTAAAATTATATCTATATTTATGTGACTCAATTGTAATCTTTACTATAATATTTAAGTATCCATCGTACGATTCTTATACGATTATTTTGTTCAAACATGTAGCTTGACTCTCTATACATTCTATTAGCTATATTGGAGGCTCTGATTAAACGATACTAGTGATTAGCTCAAGTTATCTATGTATATATTTGCTGTAATGATCCTAATTAAGCTATGAAACTCTATATACACGTCAGGAAGTATAGAAAAAATGGAATCAATTTTATTATTGGTAGGAAAATTTTACTATCTTTGACTTATTTATCTTTCTCAAGAGCTTTTTTTTTCTCAAGACTTTGCACTTTTTTTTTCAAAGTCAATGTCTTGTGTGAATGAGGGTCTCGGCCTGTCGTATAGATACCAAAAGCTCTGTACAACAGCCATGTCATGCTCCTATTTTGCATTGGTATTGGTGCCACATTATAAGGTAGCTTTTTTTTCGATCGGACTCGAATAGTGTATTTTTAATTGGTGAACGTTTCCAATTCTTCTCTAGAGATAGTCAAGCAGAACGAGGGATTGCCCGTGCTTCCAAACTAAAATTCCTGTATTCATGACAGTCTTTGGACGATCGAAACCAACCGATGGATTAGTTGTCTTTATTTATTTGAAGCCGCCAAGATTATAAAAGCAAGAGAGCCCCTAGAAAAACCTGGAATTGTGCCTTCATCTCGCTATCCTTCTCTCCCTTTCTTTACTTTCCTCCAACACATTATAGCATGAAGTCCATCATCGTTTTTGTTTTCATGCTCAGCATGGCTCTCCTTGCTGCCGCTGCTCCCAAGGCCAAGAACTGTCACTTGATCAAGGACCCTCATGCCAATGCCGTCTGCAAGAGCTACTGTGGAAAGAGTGGTTATCTCCTCGGCGAATGTGGTAAAAGTGGAATCTGCCTGTGCAAGAAGAGCAAGAGCCACAAGAAGAATTAAAACACTTTGTCCATAACCCCTCCCCCCCCTGCCTCAAGATTACTAGTATCTACAGTATGGGTGCCAAGTTAATATCTATCCTCTTTCTCTCTGTCATATTCTCTAGTTCATTTTCATCATCTTGTGCTTTATAATTTCATAAATATAATAAATATAAAACATATCAAAAAACATCAAACATGATCTTGGTTCTTGGTTCTTGGGATTTCTTTTTCTTATTCTTCTTAAAAAAAACTCGCATTCGTCTGTCAGTAAATATAATTATAGCAACATAAAGAGGCTATAACAATTCCAGTGGAAGCCCGGATAACAAGAAAATAGAAACAAACTATACATATTTAGTTACATCTCAAGGTAGTTTAGATTTTGCATGTAGTTTGTTATTACATCACTTTAAATTAAAGCTCTAGTTGATCAATTTCTTAGAGTACAGACAAATATAAATACATCCTCTAAACTTTGCAAGCATACCGGTATTTATAAGTCGCAAAGTTACCACATGTAGTCTATACCTTTCAGGTATCTACAAATTCTGCTCTTGCCTCCTTAAATAGTTTATCAAAGAAACATGCATTTTAGAAATTTTCAAATTCTTTGTTAGTATATAATATGTATGTGTATTTATTTCATGAGTTTCCAACAAGATATATATATATAAATAAATTTAATTGAATAAGCTCATCCTTATTCTATACTTCCTCCAACCATGTCAGTGTATCCAAATATATGCTTTCAGAGCAGTAAGAGAAAAAAAAGGCGTTCCTCAATATATATTCTCTTTTTTTTTTTAAAAAAAACACAAGGAGCAAATTGATAGTTTATACTTTGCTCGTGCATAAAAGTCCAAAATTATCATAAAAAAGAAGAAATACATAAAGTATAGTTATATACAAAAAAGCTATTACTTATAAGATATTCTATTTTAAATAAATAAAATAAATCAATGCAAGTTAAATACCACATCTGTAAATCATACAGTCTGACCGGAGACTAATGTTGAGCTATCTTACCATGCGTATATACCCGCGCCTAGGCCCTTCTTAGGTGTCCTAAAGCTGTATCACAGCATAATTTTTTATTTATTTATTTAAAAGCCACAGTAAAATGCCATATTTTACAAACCTCTTTTTTTTTAAAAAAAAATGCAAGCGATTCTTTGGGATATACCAAAAAATGATACCTTACCAACGAAATAGCAGATAAAAGCTAATGTAATAATATTTTGATATTGTTAAACCTGATTCAAATTAGGAGTACCTAACCTGAGAGTAAACTAAACTTGTGTTACATTTCCTTAAGATGCCAATATGACTTTCTTCTTCTTCTTCTTCTTTAACTTGAATAGTTAACGTTGACAGGTCTTGCTCAAATTTTATTTCTTTATTAAGCACAGGATTTAGTGAGACTAAGGCATAGATAATTGGAGTGAAAATATTAAAGAAAAATCCTTACTTTGGAAGATAATTATACTCAGTTTCAGAAGGGTGATGATATTATTAGTCTATCAAATACATCAAAGTTTAAAGAGTGTATTTTAAGAGTAGCTAGTATGGTTTACCAGTTAGTCTTATCCCCATTACGCCACAACCATATACTCATCTTTATCTTTCTTTTTTCTGTGCTCTTTCAGCTTGCGTGGGTCAACGTTTATTACTATTAGGAAGCAATAGCCATAGGCTATAAATATGTAAAAAAAAAAAAAAAAAAAGAAGACTATTAGTGTAATGGTAACCATATATTTTAAAAAGTAGCACTTATTCAAGGCCGCTGAAGATGATTAATGGCTATAAAACTACATATAATACAGTCCAATGTAGCACACACAATATTAATTGTAATATTTTGGTGGGAGATCTCCGAAACGCCTAAAGGAATATTTTAATTTAAGCTCACGTTTATATTAAGATTGAGAGGCCCTGGAATTGTTATGTGTTTTGTTTCAAAGAAGAAGAAAAATGAAATAGTTTTTACATAGTATTCATAATTTTTTTTATTCACAATGGGTTTGTATTATTTTTGCAGCTTAGACCATAAAAATATTATGTCCAAGTGTATTAAGTGATAATTTTGTGTTTAATTCAAATATTATTGTAGGCCAATTTCACCTGCTCACACAGTGTCTTCTAAGTATAGAAAGATATATACAAATACACGGCCATAAAAAAGCAGAATAAATAATTTTCATTCATATCCCAAGTAATAGTAATTATACCTTTTACTAGAGAAACAAGATGAGAAGTAAAGAGTCCATATATCTTTCTCTTACTCGAGAATATGAGTAAAATATACTTCTTTTTTTTTTCAAGAACCAAAAAAAGCTAAAAAAATAATCTTGAGAGTTGAAAAGAGGGGATCCTTGTTGTTTTTGTTGTTGTTGTTTTTTTTCCTGGGACTCCTTCACCCAGTCTCCTCGCGTAACGGTTTATTGTGTACGAGCTTAAGGATGAATACCCTGAACTCGCTCTGTCCATCTTCCCATTTTACCTGATTGACGTTTCGCAACCAGACTCTTTTTTTGGTTGTTTATATCAGACCCAAATGTACTATTTCCATTCAAATGTTGTGCCATTTTTTTGGCCTGAGAATTAAGCCGGAAAACAAAGGTTCCCGGAAGCGAATTGTTTTTTGGAGCCTCCCAGGCTTCCATTGTGATACCAATTTCCTGTAGATCATGCTCAATCTTCTCTGCGTAGAGTTGGAGCATGAAAATATCGTTTTCAAATGACTGTGTTCCCAACAGGATAGTAAGGTTCATCTGAAGTTGTTCTCTTGCATAGGACAATAAGAACCGCAGCTCAGTGTTCGCCTGGGCATACAAGAAAACACGTTTTGCCGCATTGTGGATGGCAAAAAACATGACATGGTATGTGCTTTGGTCACAGCCAACCGCGTGTAGATGCTGAAGAGCTTGAAGCAGGATGATGTTTGTTTCAAGCGAATCAAGGATGATATGAAGAGATGGTGGATGTCTTGGGTGAAGGAACTGGAAGAGGAGGACAAGCCGCATGGAGTGGTAGCACAAATAAAGATGTATATCAATGCGAGGATTGAAGGCAGAGCTAGGAGAGTTCTGAATTTCTTTGAACGGTGGTCTCAGTTGAGAAGCATGCGGCTGAAGATCGTACCAAGTTTGCAGCTGGCTGGCTAATTCGTAATAGAGAGGTGATGGAGAAATGTAGGCGTTGTCCCTATCCTCACCGTCGTTCGAAATGTCAAACAAATCACCAGAATGAATCGCCCGAATAAAGCGGCGCATGTAACGCGACATGGCACTGAACTGATACAAGTTAAGCCGATCAAAAGCCCTTTCTGCATCTCCAGTGGGCAGAGAGGGGTTGCACTGAATCCCTGAATAAGATGTATCTTTAGTCTCCTTGAGGCGAGGAAGTGGAATATCGTCTGGAAGGAGGCACACAATGTTGCGAGATAAGCTCACCCAGGCATCAATGTAATACCAGCGATACCAACACAGCATTGTCAGTTCATCTATTTCTTTCCCAGCCTTGATTGCATTGGCACTCTGAAGGAGTCCTATACTTGCTAGGCTAGCCCAGGCACGCTGCTGATCGGGAAGACGCAGGAGATTAGATATGTAACTCAAGCAAAAGTAGGATTGTAGTACACTTGGCTCAAGCTCGTCTTCAAACAGAACGTCTTCCATATGTTGTCTAGCCTTTTGATAGAATACCATGGCAGCACCTTTTGCGAATAGTGACGCATTCCTCTTTGCATTCTTGTTGGCGTAGTTTTTTTGTTGACTATGATCAATAAAGGTAACGAGGCTTATAGCAGCAATAGAGTAGACAATGGGAAGAGGTGCATTATGCCAATCTCGGATAAGTTCCAGTCGAATCGGAGCAACCTTGAATCCGATGCAGCACCAGTGTGACACTGCACGGCTCATTAGCACATCTAACATGTGGGAGCTCTCAATAGTATTTCTAATGGAAGCTGGGATAGCTTGTTCAATGTTTTTGAGGCGAAGCAAGTCCATCTTGGATGCTTTTAGACAAAGGTGTTTGTGCTCACGATTTTGGTCTGTGTCGTAGTGAGATTGGGTTGTATTGTCATTTCTGGTGTAATGTTTTTGGTTGGATGATTGAGAAAGACGGGTTGTAGATGTTTCCAAGAGGCAATGAAGGTCTGTAAAAGAGCTCAGTTGAAGGTGAACGATGTAATCTATGTCTAATACGTCTGGCTTGTCAATGGGATTGCTCGAAGAAACCGGTTCTGGAGTAGTTTCTGGAGTGAATATATGGTCAGTAGAATAGTAATAAAGATCGTGATTGTGCATGTGGAGCTTTAAATGGCCAATGACATGCAAATGGAGAAGAAGAGTAAGCCAGACCCAGCTGCCCCAAATACTTATTTTACAATTCATTCTTCCCGATCTGGAATAAGCTCAAACAGTCGGAAAAAAAACATGATCGCAAATCGAAAACAGTCTTATAGGTAGGTAGTGATATGTAGGTATGTAGGTAGATAGATAGGTAGGATAAAGAAGTATCAGAATATAGTAATCACAAGAGTAGTGAATCTGGTAACGTATTATGTTGCAATTGATATTGATATTGATATTGATATTAACATAAATATTTTAAAAAAATATTTATTTAATACAATAACAATTGTCGATATATAAAAAAAAGTCCCTCTTTCTTCATTGAATTACAGAGCGATTGCACGGACCACCCACCCAACCGTTTTCCTCTAGTACTTGGTTTTTTTTATCAATCGCTTTTATTGGTGCACTGTAGGAATGATAGAGGAGTCTATAGACGATCGTCCAGGCTTTGTTCAATTTCTTTCATTTTTATTTTATTTAAGCGGTGGCAGCAACAGTCTGCTTCTTGGCTTGGGTACCTGTCATTGAATTCGATTTTAGTTTAATTTTATAACACACACTAGAAGCAAAACAAAAAAAAAACAAAGTCTTGTTCTTACCCTCACGGAAACCGTTCTTGAAGCGACGATGGACCTCCTTCAAGTGACGCATGCGACCAGTACCGGTGGTCTTTCTGCGCTGACCCTTCTCGGACCAGTTGACTATTAAGGTAAAAAAATTGATATATTTTTAAGCATGTGCAGGTGTTTTGTGCGTATGTGCGAAAGTATATCTATATATATATATATATATGTATGTATTTGTTGTTGCTGAATCGATTGGAATTGACGACTTACAAGATCTGATCTTGGCAGCAGGGTAACCGCACTGAGCACAGGTCTTTTTCTGGTTATGGAAAGAACGTCTACCGCAACGACGGCAGAGGGTGTGCGACTTGGTGTGGCGCTTACCGAACGAGGAAGTACCCTTACTCTGTCAAGTTCAAGGAAGGGCAATCAGTCGTGGGTCGTCTTTGGACGCGTAATATGTGCTGATAATAATCGTCTCGCTTCTATTCATTCATTCATCCATCCATCCATCTTGGTCTGGCATCTGCTAAATCAAAAAGACGGCTTACCATCTTTCAATAGACCGTTTAGGAGAAAGGAGGAATACCAGCCTTGAGGGACTGATAGAGGGATATGGAACAGAGACCGGATCGGACAGCGTCGGAGTCCGGTATAGGCCGGACACTGCTTATGTGAGTGTGCCTTTGCAAGTGTGTATGTACATATGCATGTATGAGTGAATAAGTCTCATTGATTATGAAATTAATTCAATACATGCATAGCTTAGTAAAAGTAGTTTATTTTAATATTCATAGTATTTTATCAGCTACACTATTCTGTATATATATATTAGATATATAGTAGTGATAATTATTTAATAAAATAAATAAAAATACAGCCCAGGTATTTAAACTTATCAATGTGCATTTAATCCGAGAATATTATTTCGGAAAATATCCAGTAATCGGTCTTAACTTATTGTCTCTCTCCCTCTCTCCCTCCCCTTTCCTATTTTATTTTATTTGTACGGGCAAGAGTCCAAATACAGTATATACCTCTTTCCCCACTCATTGGTCTTAATGGCACAGATTGGCAGAATAAAGAATCCATCCGGTCTCCGCTTAGACTTGAATGTCACTTCCTCAGAAGATGACCATGAACAATCTACCCAGGCATCCAACCTTTCAACTAACAACTGGCGCGAAGATCTTGTCCGGATGGTAGGCAATAACAAGTCTGGAACCTTCCTTCCGCAGCCATCTGACAACAACCACCCACCAGCAAACCCATCTGCTACCGAAGACATTGAGCTCAAGCCAACTGACTTTCAGGATATTAAAAAGTTGGGTGAAGGTGCGGCAGGAACAGTGTGGAAAGTACGCCATATCCCCACTGATTTGATCATGGCAAAAAAGGTAACTTGTATGCATTTTTCACAAGTGCTTTACTGATACTTCTGTATTTTAAAAACAACAAACCAAATAATAATAATAATAATAATACAAAAACAAAAACAAAAACAAAAACAAAACACAGACTGTGACAGTGGATCCTGATCCGAAGATACAGCGTCAGATATTACGAGAGCTGTCGTTCCTTAGAACGTGCGGTTCACCTCATATTGTTGCTTTTTATGGTGCATTTCTTGACGATGGTGACACGACACTTGCAATCTGCATGGAATACTGCGAGGGCGGAAGTCTAGAGGATATTTACAAAAGAGCACGCGACATGCAGGGTTTGATTGGCGAGACTGTGTTGGCAAGGATAGCCGAATCGGTGAGAGATTGGTTTCAGGGATACAAAACTGTAGGAGCATATTATTCCTTATCCATACTGACAAGGAGATATATGTATATATATATATATATATATTCTTTTAGGTGTGCAGAGGACTTATCTATCTACATTCTCAGCATGTTATCCACAGAGGTAAAGTAGCTTGGCTTTGTTTATTTATGTTATGGTTTCCTAAAAGTGCACAAGACCGATATCGACTCATAAGACCTATTTAGACATCAAACCCTCTAATATCCTAATGACTCGAGACGGACAAATTAAGATTTGTGATTTTGGTGTATCTGGTGAACTCATCAATTCGCTGGCACAAACATTTACCGGTTCACAATATTACATGGCTGTAAGATGTATATTCAACTATACATTCATTAGCTAATCAACAATTTTACACACACATACACATACACATACAAACACAAACACACACAAACACACACAAACGCCAACACGAATAGCCTGAACGTATCAAGGGTGGTGCATATTCTGTACGATCTGATATATGGTCGCTTGGCCTGACGATTATAGAAGTAGCACAAAACAGACCTGCTCTTCCACCACCTGGCCAACCTAATCTCTCTGTCTTTGAATTGCTCGACATTATTGTTCATCAACCTATGCCCACCTTAGGTCCTGATAGATCAGAAGCATGTCGAGACTTTATTGAAAAATGGTAAATTGCAATTCAGTTAACAAAACAAAACCAATTAAAAAGAATGTATCATTTTTTTATTTTATTTTTAATATGCAAATATTGATCTTTCTCCTTCCTTCTCCTTTAGCTTGATCAAGGATCCCGAAGAAAGACCTGGTCCGGAAACAATGTTGGAGCATAAGTTTATCAAGACTTGGTCTGATCCGACAAATTCCCTGGGTTCCTGGCTCAAAGAAGTTTGGGGTTGGCCCTAACATTATATCCCGTGTAATACTTGTTTATTTCCAAGTGATATATATCAATGAACATGATAAATAAATAAATAAATATATATATAAATATATAAAGGTATTATTATTGTTCGTAAACAGAGAGAAAAATAAATAAATAAGTATATATAAAACACAACAGCCAAAAGCCCAAACTCTTTGGATTTCTTCTTCTTCTTCTTTTTTTATATGCTTCTTCACAGGAGACCAGATCGAGTGAGCGAAGTCTTTAACAAGGTCTCTTCTACGACTCTAAACACAACTCTAATAAATTTCCTGTGTTAGACAACTGACGCATCATTTGATTATTCAAAGAACAAATTATCTTACACAATCTACAAAATATAAATACAGAAATATAAGTCAAACAGATAGATATGCCATATTATTTACTTACACTCTTGGTGTCGGTAGCTTGTGTCAAACTGTTTGTTTTAAGAGAAAATTAGATAAGAATCATAGGCTATATAAGAATAAAAGGCTAATCTGACAATATTACTTACTGAGGGTATATTCGTAGTTTGATACGGTTTGCTTGACTAAATCGACGAAGAATATATTTTGCACCTTTTGTAACCTCAGGACCGCCATTATAATCAGGAAAGTAATTTTCAAGTGGTACTCTGGCTAGTTTCTCACGGAATAGATCAATCTTATTGAGTAACAGGATAACAGATGTTCGAACGAACCAGCGTGAATTGATAACCGACTCAAACAATACCAGACTCTCTATCATTCGGTTCTACACATATATTAATTATTTGATCAACCAGATCTTGGTTATATTTACTTGTCTGGACTCTTCTTGCAGTACTTGATCATATTCGCTCAGGGCAACGCAAAAGATAATAGATGTCACTGCTTCAAAACAATGTATCCATTTCTTTCGTTCTGAGCGTTGACCACCTACATCAAACATACTAATAGTGTTGTAAGTTAACCTTTTTTTTTCTTTTTTTTTCTTTGCTTTCGTGTGGGACGGTAAACCTTACTGAGCATTGAGTTGCCCCATTTTGAAATGAGTTTCGCTGATCCCTGTTGTCTTGAGCCGTGCACGAAGCACATCGTCTTGGGTCGGAAGATAGTCGGTTTTTGTAACACGATTTACATTGCTCAAGAAACTGAAAAGACGACATAAAGTTTTATGTTAACTTTATTTATCGTTGTATTTATCAGTGGATTTTTTATTACGAACTAGGAAGCGGAATCCATAATGTAGAACTGACTAGTGCCACGTTCGAGGCACTCTGGAGTCTTTTCGTCTTGCCAGATGGTTGCAATCGCATTTACTATCGTCTCTGGAATAATTGGGCGTGGATCTTTGGTAGGAAATGTGTAGCTTTGAATAATGCCTATCGCCTCCTAAAAAGAAGAGAAAGAGAAAGAAATCATTAATATTAGTTTAGTATAATGAATATAAATATATCTATATATAAAATTTATTGCACACAATTTTTAATGAATTTTTTTTTCTTTCACATACTTTTGCCTTTGGGTCATCAAATTCGAGATGAAGTTTTTCAGCAGCACTGAGAAGATCTTTAATTGAATCAATTGTATTTCTGTAAACGACCAGCTTCCAGAGTTGTAATTCTTCAGGCGTATATCCGTTTTGGTGAATAATCTTCATCTGCTTTACAATAGTTGATTTTCCAGATTCACCACTTCCTATATATTATATATACAGAGAGGTAGATATATCGCGCCAATAAGTCTAGATCCACATTATGTATATATATATATAGATATTTACCAAGTAGTAATATCTTTAATTCAGTCTTTTGGCGTGCAAAGTCTTGCTCTAATTCGCGGTCGATTTGTAAACTGCGTTGTTTGCTAGCTCGTTCTTCAGATGAGGCACAGATACCCATGAGCAGTGATGTCATAACACGAAAGTAAAGTAAGAAAGAGAAGAGAGTAGGTATAAGCAAAATATTTAGATTACTTGATCAATTAAGAAAAAAAAGGGGGGAAGGAGGGGGAGTTTGGTTATGGGCATAAAAAAATGTACAGATGAGTGGAGGGAAAAGAAGAAAGGCTTGTGAGCCATTATTATTTTTTGCATTTTTTTTTGGCATTTGAGTCGTCTTGAGGCCGAGAAATAACACCCTGATGTGATCAGAAAGGAGATGGGGAAGCGTGTTTAAGGAGGTCTGTGACAGGGGAGATCGTTCATAACGGCTTACAAGAGTTTAATGGAGTCCCGATCTACGACCTCCTCCCTTTTGGGTCCCTTTTTGTACAACCACTAAAGGGTCAGTTCAGACCATAAAGTGAATGGCAGGCACACCAGGCCAGTCTATAGTGCCGACTCTTCAAACGTGTTCCTCGTATGTAACCAATAGGGGATCTGTCTCCCTTTGGCTAGTATTATAGAAGCACTATTATCTTGATCAATTCATAACTTATTTGTTATTATTATTTATTATTACTATTATTATTTTAAGATAAAAGAAAAAACTAACAAACTCGTTATTACTGCATATATATTATATTGAGACAATTCAATTGACCATAGAAATATGTTTTATATATATATATATACTGAACTAGAAAGTAGTACATACGCATATACATACATAGATACATACACAGAAATCTCGCGTGTGCATTTGAGTACAAAGACAGGCTTTCATTGTTCTTCTTATATATATATATACTTTTAGCTGCATTTAAAACCAATGCCTTTTAGCCCTATCTCGCTTCATCTCTAAATACGTATATATTTAGATATATTGTGCATACACAGAAACAAGTAACAGATAACGATTGATCTGTAAATTATAGATCGGCCAAAAACTTATCCCATTGGTTTATATCGACAATTGATTTTATATATAAATATATATATATATATAAAGGTAATAAAGAAAAGAAAAGAAAAGAAAAGAAAAGAAAGAACTCCAAAATTAATAGAGAAAGAGAGAGAGAGAGATAGTGAGAAAAAGGGGGGGATGTACATGTGTTTTTTGTGGTGATATTAAATAGACTTTTATAAGCACAATAAAATGTATTATCATTATCATGTACCACATACAGCTAAGATATGTTACAGCTCTGGCGCTTTTTCTTGGTAGATTCAGTCGAAGCCATAGTCAGTTGACTAGCACGTTTGGAAGAAGGTTCTTTGACAGGAGTTGGCTTCAATGGCTCAACCAAATCATTATTAGACAAGGCAATCTCAGTATTACGCTGGTCCTCGAGAGAGAGCGCAATAGCCAAGCTGTAGGAAAATCAAAGGTTAGACTCCAATATATATAAATTAACCACAGAAAACAACTTACTCCATATCAGATATCCGTCCTCTATCAGCGTCTTGTGTGCTTTCGAGAAAAGGCTTATTGAAAAGCCCGTCAAAGAATTCCGAAGCACCTTGGTCGATATCAGCTAAGCTTTCCCAGACAAATGAACGTTCTTTTACTAGACCCGAGTCTGTTACAAGAGTATAAAGCCCTTCAGTCTCCGGGTGTTTGTACAATGTAGAGAACTATATATATATATATATTCTCTTTATATTTTAGTTTTTATATATTTAACACATATTTCCACAAGGTGGCTTACATGATTATTACGGAACAAAACACATAGCTTGTTTTTCGGTATAGAGTCCATTAACAGTTGGAGGCCATAATAAGTGAGCTGTGTAGCTGTGTCCTGAAGAAAGGATGCTGCAACAAGACCTATAGAGATAATATAAATACGTTTGCACCACAAATTTAATTATTACCATATATTACCTTCTGTTATACTTCTTTCAGCTTCAGGAGAAAGAACCTTTTGGTTGTCCGGATTGTCAAGTTCACTACTAATTGCATCACCTTGTACAATGCACTCTACTACAGAATTATAGGATCCGCATTTGGTAACAAGGTCGAACGTCTGGCTATCCTGTAAAACAATATTCTCTTTTAACATTAATGCCTTTTCTGTAGATAACACATTTCCTTTACTTGAGGATCAGCAACCCAGCCGTGAATCAAGTCCACATCAAAGAGATCGAACATGGCAAGTTCCTCTGTAGGCTCAAAATCACGAATCGAAGAGAATCCTATATTGACATCTAAGAAAATAGTAATAATAATAGCAATAATTTAGTTACCCTCACCTGGCTGTTCTAATAATCACTCACCAAGGCCAGTCTGAAGATTCGGAAGGATGGAAAGAGCAGAATCGAGGTTGTAACGATAGGTAGCAACATGTTCTGTGGTAGATTGCCTTGTAATCATCTTCGAAGGTTTAGCTTCAGACTCATGATCTGACAGTATCAATTCGTTCGATAATGATAATGAGGAGGGGCTAGTGGGTATATCACCGCGTTTAGCCTGAAACTAAAGTATCCATTAATAAGCAGTAATTGTGGATTTAGATATAGTGTACGTACCTTTTGTTCGGCAGGTCCGTGGTTTAACAAATAGTCTCCTAGGCGTTCGATAAGATATTCAAAAGTTACCATCTCTCTATCAGGAGGGAGAATGGTGATTTCCTCTCGAAGAAGGAGAACATTGCCTGTGCGGTTCGGTAAGCACACACATATTTATATATTTTACTGATGATGTTCTTACAGAGCTTGTTACTTACATATAGCCACCAAAGGACAAGGACCGTTCTCTATTAGAGTTTTTTTCTCTCTTATTTAAATTAAGATAATTTTGTGTTTTTAGGTTTCTGTACATACCATTCTGGGTCACTATACGGATGATTTGCTTTTGTTTTTTATCGTGGCTATACCAGTCAATAGTCTTTACAAGATATTCCTGGGCAGGGACGATAATTCGTGACTGACGATGACTGCTCTCCTGAGTATCTTGAGTGTGCTCAGCAGAATCATGTATCAATGGAGGAGTAAGTGAATCTGGATGGGAAGGATCTGTTGGTTCCAAAGGTAATGAGGTTTCGTTGTTCTGCTCTGAGGCAATTTTAGCTTCTTCTAGACATCTGGCAATAGCATCTATGGAATGCGAGCCTGAGATATTGGATGAGCTCAATGTATTAATCAAGTAGATGAGACTTGCTTTGGTTATCAAGAGGTGCTGTATCTGTCATTGGATTGATTGGTACAGAACTTCGTTCCAAATTCTGGCCTTTGTAGCTCAGAGCGGCTTTTAATTCTTCAGTGGAGTCTACCATGCAAGTTCAAGAATACGTGCGGGGTTCTCATGACGCATATGCAATACAGTATATAAATATCCATTTTCCTTACTTTAATTTTTTTTTCTTTTTTATGGATAAGAGATTATGAATCACTATATCATTCTTTTTAATTTAAAAAACACCAGATGTTCTCCCCAAGTAGTTTTTGCTAAATTCTATAATATTTCAGCAGTTTCTTTCTTAAGTGGAACAAGTCTGTTCTTAAGATAATCGCCTTCAAGATCACACAGTTGCCTGAATTTACTCCCCTTTTTTTTGGGAATTGGTACCTTAATTATATTTGACTAACCCCTTCCCCTTCCCCTTCTCCCTTCTCGGTCGTTTCTCATATATATATAAATTGTAGTCGTCTTAAGATTTCATCTTGTTTTATGTACTTCCAAGTTCTATCCAAAGGAATGAAACAATAAAAAAACTGGCATGATTTCCAAGATCTTCTTTTATTTTCTTGTTCCTTTATTCAATTGTGATATTTAAATGTGTTATGTTTTTCTTCTCATTTTTCTTCTCATTCTTCTTCTTCTTTCTGTTTCTCTTAATGGCTGTGACCACAGCACGCTGAATGATCACCAGCATCAGTAGCAGCAGCAGCACGTCCTCTCTTTGTCTTGCGTTTGCTATTTTTGCTATTTTTAATGCTATCGTTATCTCCCAAAACAGTATCCTTGGTAATTCGCAATTCTATTTAACAAGTAAAAAGATCAATTATACTGCTATTTTATTTTCATTATTATTATTAGTAGTAGTAATGATATTAGTTAAACTTACTAAACGTATTGTCACCCTTGGATACACCTTGCAAGACATTTTGTTTCAAGAGTGTAGCGACCTGATCAGCCATTTTCAACTTCTAAATGATATATATATATATATTTACAAGATAAAGTTTAATATAATACAATCATTTAAATGAATCAAAATTTTATAATCACACACTATCCTTCTTTTGTTCACTATTGCTTATTTGCTTAAATTAATATTCACCTTTTCTAATACATCAGTATTGGTCTCATCTTTGCTTTGCATGAATCGAGTATAGGTTTCCTTTTTGGCAGCTAACTTTTATCCATAAGCAAAACTCGTTTCTCTCCATCTATTTTGATAGTCATTCCATTGAATACTATTTTATATTACCGTTGAATGCCTTGACGTCCTCTATAAAACAATTGTTTTTTTTTAATTATTTTTTTTTATTAAAAAAAAAAAAGAAGAAAAAGAGAGAGATTCAGGTGAATCTGACACCAGACATGAGAGATTTGGAGACATCGATAATATTACTAGTAAATTATATTCTATGCAAAGAACGTCTTGATCCCAAAATCTCACCTCCAAATACAGTCCGTTGAGTCTTTAACAAATTACGATAGGCCGAGATGGCAGCTTGCTTGGATGGACTGGTCATTATAATTATTTTCTTCTTGATCTATTAATCAAAATGAATAACTTTTTGAACTTTAAAGGGGAATATATAAAAAAAATTATTTGCTGACCAGGGTGGCGAATAAATCCAAAGTCAGGTGATCAAAGTCAGACAGACAAAACGAGTTACTGGACCAATATGTTTCTATCAAATTCTTAGCAACTAAGCAAGTATTTTTTATTTTTTTTAAAAAAATATTGTATTTATGCATACTCTTTATTGTATGTGGTATATAATTGAGTGCCCTTTTTTCATGCTCATATTTAGTGGTTAGTTTTGGTATTCTAAAATATATATATATATAGACAATTCTATTCTTCTTCCTTTTCTTCCACTTCAGTTTCTGCTGCTTCCGTTTCTGCCTCTTCTGTTTCTGGTTCTTTAACTTCTTCGTCTTCTTCATCGGCTGGGACTCGATAAATTCTGCCCTGAATTACGGGACCAATACTGGCCCATCGTTTTACCCACGAAGTGTCCTCTTCCTCATGCTTGTACATTTCTTCAGGCTCAGATACCTTGTCTTCATCCTCTTCAGGGGAAATACAGTTGGGATGGCCTTGTGAAGAATCCTCAAACGCCTGAAGAACACCTTCTTCTGTAACATGGAATTCTGCACGACCCTCAATATCCTCTGGTTCATGGTCTCTGGAGGCCTGGATATCCTGAGTAACCTTTCGCCAATGAGAAGCGGCACTAGCTACCAACTGGTCAATACGCTTCTTCTTCTCTCGGGCTATCTTGGCAGCAACGGGCTTCACAAGATTCTCACGAACGGCATTGAGGTACTTGAGACCAAGGAAGAACTTGCGATAAAGAGTTGAGATCAACAGGCCATTTTCTTCGTCTACAACAATCTTGCTCGCCGGAACATTAAGAGACGTGAAACCATCATAGCCACCGGTGAGATAGTGTCGAGTGACAAGAGAGTATTCCTCATCTAGGTCCAGAGGGGCCATGTTTTCGGGCATATATCGAGCCTTGTTGTCCGCAATATCTGGCATGCCGATCGGACGCTTGGAGGAAGGTTGGTTATTCATGTAATTCGTCACACGATACACATTCTTCACACGCTGTCCGGGGGGCTTGGTTGGGTCCCATTCCAGACGCAGACCAGCGAGCTGGGGGAACCGGCCCTCTTGCTTAGGATATTCGGATACACTGTTTTCCAGGGCATCCCATAATTGGCGACCAGTAACTTTTATCAGGACACATGGGTCTGTGAAGGGAAATATGTTCATGATATCTCCAATCGTGATCGGTCCTACATCGATAATACTGTCATTTCTGATAGTGCCACCCACACACAGTGCAAAATCAGCTCCAAGATAACGATATGACAAAAGCATCAGATCTGCAGTAAGATTTCCCAAGTTGGTTTCTTCGGTCCGGACAGCAAAGCTTCTGCCATCCAGGGGTACAGTTGTGTATCCAATAGCACGCTTTGTCTTTTCTGACACCAATTCAGCCACCTTTTCTACAATCACATCCATCTCCTCATCTGGCTCCACACTTGAATCGACTGTACGACGCTCAGCTATTTTTTTTTTTAAAAAAAGTTAATATATTAGCCAAACACGATCTTGTACTCAATGGCGCCTTTTGCGTGTCAAATTTACCTGTCATTGATTTGATTTTCTTCCTGCCATCTTCGTCAGTGTCAATTTCAAGCTTTAGTACAGAAAACTCTCTAAAATCAGTTCCACTCTTAATAACCCATACAGGCTTGTCAAATGGTTCTTCTTCAGGATCGAATCCAACATCATCCAGGTTATGTTCCCGAGTCCATTTTTCTCCCACAATGTCGACATGATTAGAAACATAGTAGAAATGATCATGTCTAAAAGTATATTATGTTAGTGTATATAACATAAAGAAGTTTAAAGAAAAATAGAAAATATTACCCTCCAAGAATAATATCCACATCATCAGAGCATTCTCTACCGAGTTTAATATCATTCGGTACACGCATATGTGTCAATGCAACTATAAAGTCTACTTTGTGTGGTCCTTCCGGATCTCTTAACTCGGCCGATAGATCCTTGGCAGTCTGAACAAAGTCATGGTAAACCAACTCTGGGGGGAATCTATTTATTTATTTTTGTATATTGCCTTACGGTCAGACCCTTGAACATTTTTACCCTTAATAATACTTACGATGGAATTGTCTCAATCCACTCTCTGCCAATAATAATAGTTATAATAATGCGTTAATAAATGATCTCAATCACAACTTATTTCCATGCCATTATATATACACATTTAACTTACTTTTCTACAAGACCAAGTACACCCAGTTTAAGTCCTGACTCAGGATGATCAATTACTAAATAACGCAGACTCTGGACAGGAGGTTCGTTTGTATCTTCAAATAACACATTGGACATCAACCAAGGAAAGTTTGTAGCAGCCAGGTTACGCTGGAGTTGAGGAAGACCGAAATCAAAGTCATGGTTTCCCAAACAAGCAACAGTGATTGGCAGATTGCTCATCACATCGGACCTTTTTTTTTGTTGATGTTATGATTACAATGGTGATGAGCTAAACAGAATTTTTTTTCTAATATAGACCATTACAAGTCATGCTTACATGTGAGAGCCTCTGGTAATAGAGCCTTCGAGACTTGGGTTGAATACGTCTCCAGAAAACATGACAAGAGGGTTTAGGTCCTCGTCTTCTTTGATACATGACTTGATGGCTGTGGAGAATCTAGAGGCACCTCCGACAGGTTCATCTTTATTAGGCGAGACGTGGTACACATCATTAAAATGGACCAATTCAAGGGTTGTCATTGTATAAAGAAAAGTGGAAAGGGAAGAAGGAGAGAGCGAGAGCGAGAGTGGGGTTTGGTGAGTGTGGTTTATATATGATACACTTGACAGAGAAATGTCATCCGAGTTCTTGTACGTGGGGATATGGGCCCGCGAAGGTCAGTGTGTTATATTTTATATAATTTATATAAATAAAATAATGTCTTATAAGAATAATAGTGTGGCGGCAATTGTAATAAAGATAGAGATAAAAAGAAAGAAAGAGAGAGAGAGAGAGAAAGAGCAGAAAGATGTAGGACAAGCTTTAAAGTATCTATAGGCCAAACGATCCAAACAAGAAAAAGAATTAGGCAAGCCCAGTAAAATTGAATTGGAACGGGTGCCTTGCCAATACTTCCTTTTTTTTCCGACCCCTCCTTTTCTTTGATCCTTAACCTTTCTTTGCTGTTTAGTACTCGAGCTTATCTTTGTAGCCTTCTGACAAGTTATCGAAAGAAGCGATGACTGGGCTGTATTGAACTGACGCCAGAAAGTAAATGTGAGTATTTGTGATGTCAATATTGTGAATCACAATGGCATGTTGAATGAATACGAGCACCGTGTTACTGCGGGGTTAATATTTGTGTGGAATAATGACCGAGTTAAAAGTATATTATATTTGTGAAGGCCCTCTCCCTTTGCGATATCTTGAAATACCTCGTTTAAAATCCCCTTTTGATCGGCAGGAGTTGCAATAAGAAGCAAGGGCATGTATATTTGTATTTGTATTTGTATTTATATACATTTTAGACTTCTACGCACAGATTTGGCATTTGTGCTCTGTGACCAGAATACAAGATTTTGGAAAACTGAGATCGGCTTTGGTGTATATGGTGTGTGCTTCTTGTTCGACTTGGAGGAACACAAGATAAATAAAGAAATAAAAAAAAATAAAGAAAACGCAGTAAAAATGTGTCAGCAAGGTCTATATATAAATATTTAAATGAAATAAAGGGACCAAAGGTGATATATGTGAATAGACTAGCTGATAGAGCAAGGTAGGGTATATAGATAGTATTTAGAAGAAGTCAAAGCTATAGAACAATAATTGCTTTTCTCCTCATTTACATCTTCATTTATTTATTTATTTATTCGTTCATTCATTCATTCATTCATTCATTCTCTCTTTCTTTCTCTTCATCTTCTTCAAATAATATTCACCAAGCTTTAATTTCTATTGTTTGTATTACACAAATCATATGCCATTGAATCATTTTTTTCGATACAACAATACCAAAGAGCTGTCAACTCGGCCAACTGCTTTTGGTAGTTTGAGAAGACCTCTTTTGTGTCTAACACGTTCCTCATTTGTGGACCAAGCGAGCAAGAAGACTTTTCAGACCCCTCCAACACCGCCAGCCTCCAAAACCACAACTACTACCACAACCATTATCACAACCACAACCACAACCACAACCACCCGGCCCAGTTGCCATTCCTTACCAACACCGCTCACTGTTCACAAGCCCGATGGGTGTGGGAAACAAGACAAACGCAGAGGAAAGACATTTGATAACAAAGATAAAGACCTCCAGCTTCTCCAACGGCAACTGGCTGCCTATGAGAAGTTGGAACAGGCTTGGGAAGATAGGCGAAAAGATCACCATCAACGTGAACGATATATGCAGAGACAACTTAGAGACACTCATCTAGGTTTAGTTGAACTTCAAAGGTTGCTGTGATCTGTATTTTCTGGATCCATTTAGATTTTTTTTTTAAAAAAAATAATCACAAAAAATAACAAGAAGCATATTGTTGCAGTCAAATAATAATAATAATAATACAAAATAACTGTATCAAAATGATTCTAGCCAATCAGATCACAGAAAGTGGCTAATGTGCAGGGCAAGAAGTTGAGAGTCAAAATTGGAGGGTCTAGCGGTCGGTTTTCCATAGGAGGAAGGTCTTCCGCGGGCTCAGACTTTGAACTATTGCCCCCAAGGACTCAACAGGCGTATAATCCCCCTTTGAACCCAACAATATATATATTTTATATTAATAAATTTTACATGTATAATATTTTAGATAGACAAACAGACTATCAGAAACTAAGAGCCTTTTATTTTTTTTATTTTTTTTCACTGTATATAAAAATATAAATTGTTATGTCATCATGTTCCAAAACCCTTATTTCCCAACCCACTTCTCTCCCCCCCCCCCAAAAAAAAAAAAATCAGGTACAGATAAATAGTCAAATACTTGTATAAAAGATCAAATCACTTTATTTTATTTTTGTGGTTTCGTACTTTGTCAATTATCCCTCCTCTCTCCCGGATTTTCCTTATCCTCTTCTTTACATCTTATATTATCATACCATACCATACAATGCCTTCCCTCGAAAAGAAGCCCATCTCTTATCAGAACCTATTGCTCGGCGCAAGTAAGTATATTCTATAGATAGACACGCTCTGGTGCCTATATCAAAATTATTCATGCACTATTTAGCACTAAACCTGTTCGAGGTATCCACACTGGGCCAGCCCTTTGAAGTCATCAAGACCCAGCTCGCTGCGAATAGAGGCCAGTCATTAAAGTCTGCCCTTACAACAATCTACGGTCGAGGAGGAGTTCTTGGATTCTATCAGGGTCTAATCCCATGGGCCTGGATTGAAGCAAGTACCAAAGGCGCCGTCTTACTATTTACTGCATCAGAGTGTGAGCATCGAGCAAGAGCCATGGGCGCATCTCCCTTCTTGGTAAGTTTGATCTTGTTAAATCCGCAGACAAAGAAGAAAAAAACTAAATTTGTTTTTGTAGGGTGGTATTGCAGGTGGAATGGGAGGAGGTATTGCACAGGCCTATACTACAATGGGAATATGTACATTCATGAAGACAGTAGAGGTTACTCGTCACAAATCAGGTAAAACAAAGATGATGTTAAAGGGAAACATTACTTACCAATATCTGCAATCAGGCGCAAAGGAATCAACTTTCAAGATTGCTGGGGATATTTTCCGAAAAGAGGGATTTGCTGGAATCAACAAAGGTGTCAATGCAGTGGCTGTACGCCAATGCACCAACTGGGCATCGAGATTCGGCATCACCCGATTTGCACAGGATGCCATCATTAAGGCACGCTATGGAACAGGACCAGATGCGCACACCCACGCCTCTGCTGCAGACAAAGCATTGGCATCTGTTCTTGGAGGATCCCTATCATGCTGGAACCAGCCTATTGAAGTGATCCGAGTAGAGATGCAGAGCCAGGTCAAGACTGTCGGTAGACCTGAGAAGATGACAATTGCTACTGCTGCACGGTGGATTTATACCCAAAACGGCATCCGAGGATTCTACCGAGGTGTGCTTCCTCGGATCGGTCTCGGCATGTGGCAGACCCTTTGTATGGTTGCACTAGGTAAAGAATACAAGAAGCTTTGTGAAATTAGAATCCAAAGAGTTTCTATTATGAGTTTAAGATTTTTATTACCTTTTCTTATTTTATTTTATTAATATTTACTTTGTACTATAGGCGATCATTTCCGTGCCCTGTTCAAGACAAACTAGACGTAGCATTTCTTTTTTGCTTTGATGCTTTATACTTTCTTTCTGGATGCACAGGAACCAATGCACTCATGTACCCCTACACACCTACCTACAAACCCACACTCACACCTACGCATTTACACTTTAATATTGCGCATATTGATAGATACTATTACACTACATATTTGATTTTTTTTATTTGTTTCAATAAATGCTAATTTTGCCTTTCTTTCGTACTAAAATGCTAAGACTCTGTCCTGTAAATCTTAGATTTAGACATTATATACAACAACAGATAAAAAAAAAACACTAACATTTTATAATATTTATTAGCTCTTATTGTCTCCTATAATCTGTGGATCTGAATATTTCCAGCTTTCTACACTAATGTTATCTAAATATTACAAATTATGGACAATATGCTTTATCTAGTTCTCGAGCCAATAACAACATGAGTTGGATCTATGCTAAATACATAGATAATATATATATATATATATTAAGATATCTATATGCATATTGAAGCTTAAAGCTTTGTTTTTTTTTAGAAACTTTTTAAATATGGATATTGAGCTAATTTTTAACAAGCGTCTCTTGGGTTATAGCAATTGAGACAGATAAACCTTAATAATCAAACTTCTTTAACTCTAGACAAAGTCTTTATTATTATTATTATTATTATTATTATTATTGGTTTCTCAATTGATCAAACCAAAGCTCTATATTATCTAGTAATTGAAAGTCGGAAACTTTCGATTCGACCTTGTGGCTATTTAATGTATGTTTGTGTTCAGTTTATTAAATCTTCTACGACATTTTCCTAGTCTTCAGAATAACCATCATTTTTTTTCACATCTTCAAAATACGCTTATTGACTTCATCCGTATAACGTTCAATAGATAATGCCCAACTTGTCACCATGATCTTCAAGTGGTCGTTCAATACTGTCTGAGCCTCCTATTAAGTAAACACACATTTATATGATTAGATATACTGCTTTACAAATCAAGGAATATGATAGAAAAAAAAAAGAAGCTATATGACAACGCATTCAAATTACCTTTGTTTTGAAATAATCAAGGACAACCTCAGAGTTTGTGATTTCTTTGATTAGTTTCTTCTGAAGTTGAATTCTAAATAAGTCCTTTCCAGTCTTCACATTTGTTTGTACGGTAACCATAGACTTTTTGGCGATCGCTTGGAGAGCAGTAAGGTTCATAAGCTGAAATACAAATGAATACAGCACATAGATAAGAAACCATGTTAAGCAAGTAGATTTCTTTTTTTTTTAAAAAAAAACTTACCACTTCATCCACCTTGTTTTCTGCCGCCTTTCTTTTGGCATCTTTGCTAGTCAACCCAAGCGATCGGTTCAACATTTCGAGAAGAACAGAGCCATAATTGAATACCTTTATATAAAGGTTAATATCTAATGTTATTTCTAGACATAAAGCTACAAACCTCCAAAACAGTGTTGGTCTTGTGGAAATCAACCCAGGATATTGTCTCTGTTGTGTAGGGGCGTGTCTCGATAACTAAACAATTTTTTTTTCAAAACTCTAGCCCGAAATTTAAAGTAAAGTAATTTCTGGTAATTTATTATTAATTACCATGTTTTTCCATGATTTCAGCTGCATCCTTTAAAAAGCCTGCAATCTTCTTTGAATCTATAAAATGTATGAATCAAGAGTTTACTTAATGTCACCCAAAGTCAAATATAAGCTCTATTTATATAGATAATCTTACTGTCAGCGTTCTTGACCGAAGATTTTGACAGAACCAATGCATTGGAGAGATCGGAAACATATTTTGCCAGCCAATATTCTTGGCAAGTTACCTTTATAAATATATAGAGAGAATTAGTTTTTCGATTTTAGAGATTTAGTCTTTTTTTTAGCAGCAATATAAATTACATTAGCTTGGATACTCTCTCGACCAAGGAATTCTGTGAATTGCTTAACAACAGAGTCCAGGTCTTTTACACCTTTAGTATCACATGCAGCACTCAGAATATTGAATACATAGGAGAACATTTGAACCCATGTTTTCTACATACAAAAATAAAAACCAAATATACTTTTAATCACCACCATTCATACATTCATTCGTTTCAGGTATCTCTTAGCTTACATTTGTGCTGATTGTAGGTTTAAACAGTTCCTGTGCAGATTGGATTTCTTTTGAATTGCAGTTCATGAACACCTTAAAGTCTCTGTTGTCGGATCGGCTGTCAATGAAAACGTCTATCTACTGCTTTAATAATCAACGCATCCCATGTACAGTACACAACAATGTTTACCATCAAACTTGATCTTAGAAACGTCAAGATCATGGAAGAATTGGACGCCGTTTTTGATCTGGAATGTCGCATTCATAGCATCAATTCTAATCAGCTCTACCAAAGAAATAGAGTGTTGTAATGAGGTATCAAGGCGGTTGCGGAACTCGATAAATTCTTGAATCTATAACCCAAAAGTATGTTTTAGAGTTGGTTATTTCATCTTAATCTCCCTTTTCTTATTCTTCATTACCTTGGAGAATGTGCCGAATTGATAGGCCTTCACGAGCATCTCAGGGGTCTAAAACAGAAATGCAGAAAATTATTTAAACTATATTAGACGTACAGAAAATCTTGGCGAAATCAAGATTTTTATGCTTATTTCTTACCTCAACCTCGTTACTCTTGTAAATTACAAGAGCGTCATACAAAGACTGCTCAATTTCATCCAGACATCCCAAAGAAAAGAGTTTATCAGTGAAATAGTGACTAATGAAATCGAAACAAAAAATAGTGAATACATTTGAATCGAAAAAAAAAGAAATCGAAATGCTTCTCTAAGATAACTAATTAGATAATGATCATACATCATAGTGTCAAATTGGATCTGCTTAATCTCCATCGTCAAGTATATTTGCTCGATACGTGTGTAGATGCCTGTTTAGCCCAGAAAGGCGGTGAGTTTATCCCTTTGCAGTAATATGCTTTATCGCGTGAACTAACCGAGAATAGCGTATAGTCGAACCAGGGCTAACTTGATTTGGAAGTTACTGACACTCTTAACTAAAGCAATCTCCAAGAGAGAGACAGCCTGGATCAATAAAGAGGTGTTGTTGTGCTCATGGTAAAGATCCAAAAGTATGTGGGTTGCAAGAATGACATATTCATCACCATATTGATATTCTGTCTTTTCAAGTCCCTTTCCTTTTTTTTAAGGTGAGTAAACCAAGAATTATAATAAGAGTATCATTTTAAGCAAAGAAATAAGGTTACCAAGAGGAAGAGCGTCCTCGTAAGCTTTCCAAAGACCATTCACAAGTTCAATTCCTTCCTTCAAGCTCAACTGAGACTGAAGTCCCAAGAACCGCTCCAGTTTTCGAATATTCGTGTCTTTGTAGATGTTTTTGACCTTTCCTGCCTAAAAAGATAAACAAATTACTATGGTTTACGCCTCTAGAGATAAACTACATCCAAAGCCATACCTTTTCACCTGTCTCCTTAATGGTATCCTTAAGGGACTGGATAAACCCTTTTGCCTTTTCAGGGGTTAATTTCAAGTAAGAAGTATAATTCTGAAGATCTTCGAAGCAACAGCTCTTGGATCCAAATTGAGCAAAGTAGGTGACAATATTCTGCAGCAAATTTGATTGATCTAAGTTCAAGTATCCCACCAAAAGAAAGAAAAATAAGTTCCTTTGTTGCTTCTAGCTTGACAGGATAGCAGCTAAACACACCAGCGATTATCCACGTTCTTTTTAGAAAAAGAAAAAGAAAACATTACCATGTCCCTGATCTTGCTTTTTGGCAAGTCTGTATTCAAATTCAAGCTCGGCCAAAAAAGGTCCTCTCTTCATCATAGGTGCCTCCAATGCAGATTTCTTCAGTTTCTCAATAAGCTGATGGGCATTATTTACGACTTCCTTGTTGTCTTCCGCAACAAGAGCTTCTACAGCGTCAAAATAAGCAAGCCAGTTGATCCAATCGTCTGCATTCTCATGCACAAGAGCCTTTTCACTAGCAGCCAGAACCTCGGACCACTTTTTGTTTGTCGACAACAGCTCGGTCTTCATCTGGCGCACTTCAGGATCACGAAGAGATTTCTCTCCGAGAGGGGTATCAAATAATGCGAGTGCCTCTTCATGTTTCTTCTGGTCCAGCAGAATCAAGAGATACAATCTAAAGTGCTCTACTTCTTCCAATCGACCTTCTTCCTGAGCCTTTGCCATCATTCTCTCGGCAAGCATGTACGAAAGACTCGATCCACCCTCTCCCTGTAATTTACAACACAATTGGACTCATTCATCAATATTCGGCGACAAAAAGATAACAATAAAAAATTCGAAAGTTCCACAGAAATGCTGTGTACCTGAAGTGCAAGAGACATAATTCCCCAGAAGAGGTACTTATTGGACTTGAAAGTACGATGTAGTTTTAACGCAGCTTGTTGCTGTCCCTTGTAATCACTACTGCGAACCATTGCCATAAACCAATGGTTGGCAAACTCTTCATTTTTCGGTTGGGAATTGGCAGCACTTTCATACAATTCAACAATAGAAGTGTCTATATATATATATATGTGTGTGTGTGTGTTAGTTTTTTTTTAAATATAATATATATATTGTTTTCGAGACATACGTTCACCGAGTTCCTTATAGACCATTGTCACAGCTTGAAGAGTGGCATCATCAGCCGGGATTGTCTTTTTAACTTGTTTGCAAAGTTCAGACGCCTCATTCTCCTTTCCTGTTCTGACGAGTACAAGGGCCTTTAAAGCCTGAATTCTAAAAGTTGAGCTGCTTTTTGTAATTTAAAAATGTCATGTATCTCAACATGCCTTGATCAATGGCCAGTCTGGGGTTTTTTTTAACATCTTGGTCACAAGCTGAAGTGCCTGTTTGTACTGGCAATCATCGATGGCCTCTGTGGGCGAAATTCGAAAAGTTTAGCCTTAAATGACTTTTTTTTTAGGAGTAAAAAAAAAAGACTCTTTACAATATATATATATATATATATATTCGTTTGATTTGATTTTATTTGAAAAAGCCTGCCTTACCATAAAGAGGCCGCAGTTTTTTCTCAGTTGCATAGTCCAGGGCCATATTTCTATTTCCAATCTGTAGACCAAGACGTGTAGAATCAGGAGAAGGGACTGCTTTCCTTAAAGAAGAGCACAATTGTCAAATTAGAAGAAAGTCACGCTAGATTTTCTGTTAAAATTGGTAAATGCGGGAACCCAATTAAATAAAGAATAAGAAACCAAGGTACGGTACAATGCTTCCACACATCGAATTTTCGGTATCATATACAGCCATAAACACACACACACACACACACACATATATATATATATATATGTACCCAATATTACTTGAGCAGCGTACATTCACTTTTTTTTGTGGAAACCTAGAGCCTCTCATGGTAGCCGTACGGTATGGTGAAAGGACTCTGTGAGAGAGGTAGCTGCCTACTCGATCCTTTGTATCTAAAAGGGCTGGCACCTTCATAAGTGACGATATTTGACCCGATTTGTCGGTCGGAAGAAGACACCCCTTGAAAATGTTTTAGCCAATTGCCACCCAAAAAGTGTCTTGTGTGGAGTATAATCTTATTTCAGGTGTACTTGCGCTGGTCACTTGCAAATATAAATGACTCTTCTGACCACCTTGACATATGCACACGCATTATGGCCATGGCTTCCACAATACTTGTCATTTGGCAAACACACTGGAATTATGGTATAGATGAGCAGCATTTTTCTTTTAAAAAAAAAGCAGTACTTAAATTGGTAATATTGTTGATACACTTGCTGTTGATCTTTCTTCGAAATCATACCAGTATTCGCGACTATATGTCTCGTATTGCTATTATTATTATTATTAAAGCAAAACTATTGATTCCATCAAGAAAAACATCTGTTTTCCTACTTACTGAATAATCATGAAATACTTCAATATAATATGTAAGTTATAAAGAGCAGAGCAAGAGTATATCTTATCGTTCTTTGTTGTTGTTTTCTTAAGTCAAGTGCAAACACATAAGAGAGAAATACGTGCTCATGAGTTTTTAAAGGAAGGTTTGACTGATGTACTCAAAGTCCTTTGGCCCAAATGAGAGAAGATTCCAAAGAACGAAGCAAATGAAAAACAATAAAGACTTGAATAGCAAAGTAATCTTGCTTCTCTTATTTGCATAAGTGATTTGTTTCTAGTATCATCTTTTAGTTTTCCACAGAGATCTATAGAGATAGCTATAAGTTATAGTTCTGGAGATTATATACTCTTTTGAATACGTTTAGGGAGACGAAAAGTCAATTGGCAAAAGTGTGTACTAGTGCAGATTTAGCAAAAAAAAGTAATAAGAATGAGAGGGTAGTGCAAATCATATACAGGTGACGATAATTAAAGATGTTGCCTTGATAATCTTGATTTACTTGGATATTCACAAAAACCAAGATCTTATGGCTCTATCTCAGTGGCGTAATGCCTATCTATTCTACACACTTTGAATATATATATATATATATGTGTGTGTGTGTGTGTATAGGCATATAATAAAGTGCAACCTCAGAAGGAAGAGTATATTTTGGGAAGATATTTTTTTTGATTTTTTTTTGTTTTGTTCAAGGAAACTTCATAAGGAATTATATAGAGACCTTTTTGTCTGCCCATCATATTTTGTTGTTGCTGATAATAAGATAAGTTATACAATGAGCAGTAAACCAGCTACGCTTAAAGAACAATTGAGTTCTTTCTTCTGTCTTTATTCCTTCTTGATATTGGGTTGGTAACCATCCATTCTTGGCTTGGTGTCCGCTTGGGGGTGTCCATTGGGCCAATAGCCAGCAGGGGCCGTGTTAGGCTGAGCAACATATTGCTGTTGCTGATGTTGCTGGCTGGGATAAAACGGCATGGGTGCACCATACTGGGAATGGGGAGGGAGATTGTAGGCTGGGTAGCCTTGTGCATTCGTAGGCGTTGTTATCGAAGAAGGAGCATATGGTGATTGGTTGTAGTTTATGGGTGCTCTTTGCTGTCTGATTGCACTTGGAGATTGCTGAGCCATATATCCAGCTGGGACATGGGGTGAGGGCTCCTGTTTATTTATTTATTTGTTTTTTAAAAAAAAGGAGTTTATTATCTTGTGCTTATTAACAGACCATAGCCCAAGGCTATGTCTATTTTTTTTTTCTGTTTCTTTCTTTCTTTACCGATTTGCGACTCTCTACTGTCAGATTGGAATTGGTGATGTTTGAACGCTGAGAGGTGACACTGGCACCGTCTGCAGCCTCATTGGCAGGATAATTGGCATCAGGCTCCTATTGGCACAAGAGCATCAATGCCAAAGTAAAAAAATAAAATAAAATAAAATAAAAAGATAATGATCAGTGTCGGTGTCAGTGTCAAACATCAAGATCAGTGTCTTTGTTCATTCATTATTCTATAATTTACAGAAGTGGATTCTTGTGGAACAGCATCAGGTGTATTCAGACAAGCTTGAATAAGATTTTTCCCTTCTGGCTTTGTAACAATCGGCTGCAGTTTCGCAGTAGTAAAAGTATAGACAAGGCCAGTCTCAGAAACAACCAGCAGAAGCACTTGTGTGCCTGTTAGGGTAGAGAGTTCATAGGCCTTTTTTTGATATTGATGATAATTTTTTTTTAAAAAAAAAGATATTGTTATTATTATGATGATGATTGTTATTATTACTACTTTAATTTTTTATTATGATTATTATGATTATGATTGTTATTAAGGAAGTTTCTGAACTTGCTCAAATAAAATCACTAGGCCTTATTTACCTTTTTCATAATACCAGCCTTGCGCTTTGAAAAAGTAATGTGTCTTCGGTTCTTATCTTCAATGTACTCAATCTTGATCTTGCGTCTGCCGCTGCGCTTGGGCAGTGCCATCTCTGAGCCGTCATCACCATCATCACTTTCGAGATCTTCCTTTTGTGTCTTTTGTCTAATGTATTAAAAGGTAGTCAGTGAGCTGTCATGTAAGCCACGCGCTCTATATAGGATTTGATAAAAAAAACAAGTAACAAACATCGTTCGAGGCATTCTTCCCAAACTTGAACTGAGTGAACAAAAATGGAAAATGCGCTAGACTCAGGTTGCGGAAAATACATGATTTTTCCTTTTGCTTCGCGCCAATTTGGAAAGTCTCGGCGTCATGCTTAACAAAAAAAGAAAAAGAAAAAAAAATTACTTTTCATCACAAAATACAGTAAAACATATTTGCAAGGCGCACAATTCGAAAAAATAAAGCGCATTTTTAGGATATTTTTTTTTCTTAAATATTTAAACAAAAAGTTGAGCATGCATGCATTATATTATTATTATTTATTTATTTATTTTTTAAAAAAAAATTAGTGCCAAAATGTTTGACGAGTTAATAACCTAAGAATACTTTTCTGTGCTGTTTATTTGAAAAAAGAGGATCTATTCATAACGGTTAGTAACTCTTTAAAAATGCGTCTTGTATTCTCGAATTGTGCGCCTTGTATAGTGTGTTTTACTGTACTAGCAACCTGTTAAAATCCCAACTTTGTTAAATTCTCCTTTTTATCAGCAATGTTATTATTACAATAATAATTCTTCCTTTGTTTTGTCTATTTACCTCGAATATTAACCATAAATCAAACCGTTATATCTGTATGCATTTAGGGTTTACTATGCTGGCAATCTGGGATTATCACTGGTAATCTGACTTTATCCCTGTCTCTTTTGTGCCCCTCTTCTGCCATAGACACTGTACACAAGAAAGATATTGCTTGTCTATACAGGGAAATTGACTTTGACTAAAAGCTGCAAATACAATTTTATTTTTAAAAAAAAGTATATCTTGCAAAAATGAATAAATAATTCATTACAATTCTTGATGTAGATTGTAATTTTTTTTTTTAAAAAAAACAGCAATTTATACTTACAATATACAATTAATGTGTTACTAATTTTTTTTAAAGGCCTCGGATAAATGGGCTCAAGGAGGTAAATATATGAGTGCTCTTTCGTTTTCGGTTTCATTCTCTTTAAATCAGCTCAATAAAGTTGTATGATAATAATAATAATAGTCTTGGTCAGAATTAGAGTCAGAATTATAGTCAGAATCACTTATCAAATATTATCTTCTTAATACTAATGGACAATCGTGTGTCACGTGAATATAAAGATATGTCCTGTATACTAATTGTTTGTACAGTGATACCGAACATTTTGCCCATTTTATTTTCTCTCTTTCTCTCTCGTTTTTTATTTATTTATTCATATTTAATTCTTATTCATTTATTTTATTTTATTTTATTTATATATTCTTAGTATTCATTAGTTGCTAACTATTAGCACTCAGATTTTCTATATTTTTATATTTGTTTTAATTTTATAGACGTCAAAAAGTAACAACAAAACAACAACAGCAAAAAAATAATAATATCATTATCCTCTTATTCTTCCTCTTCTTCTTGTTCTTATTCTCAATTTCAAATCGAAACTATCCTTGCCACACGCACTTGATTTAATTCAAGAAGTAGAATACGACAAGTATACAATCTATACATTCTCCAACAAAAAAAAATGCAAACTCCAGTACCTGAATTACAACTATCCGTCAATGACCTTCTCTACCCAAACAAGACAGCCGAAATACTTTTGGATAGTCTCACAACAGAACAATTAAATGCAATAGAACAAGCTCTTTACAAACTTAAGGAAAAGAAGCTGGCCCTTCAAAATCACCCTGTCATTTCACAACCAACAATATCATACCCAACATTACCACAAGAAGAACAAAACATAGAACAAAACATAGAACAAAAATGTGTAGAAATAAAATACGAAGAGATAAAACAAGAAGAAGTTGAAGAAGAAATGGAACAAGTCGACGAAATGGAAGAAGAAGACGATGAAGAAGAAGTCGAAGTCGAAGTCGAAGTCGAACTTGAAGCCGAAATCGAACAAGTCAAAGTTGAACAAACACTCATTCCAGAAATTTTATCATCCACAAATCCTTCAATCTGGGATTCCACTGCAGCACAAGTTGCAAAAGCACTCGCCCAGGCAATCGCAGAAACTCATCCCCATTTGTCTGACAATTCTCAAACCAAGCCACCTCTTCAACACGATCATATAAACGAAAGTCCTACTTCCTCCACTCATGAACCAGTTACTGAAGTTCGTGATGGTGTCGAATGGGTGAGCTTTGTATACTCTCATCGTCGGACACTCAAGAACTATAATATCCGGACAGATCTTGAAACGGTGGACCTGGCTACTATGGATGACAAGTTCAAAAGAGATAATTGTGTATGCATTTTTCTTTTTCTTTCTTTTTCTTTCTTTCTTCTCCTTTCAGGCCATTAGAATAACGGTTTATGCTGTGCTACCATCCAATCTCATATTATTATTTTGTTTTGTTTGCTTTATTTTTGTATGTAATTTATACATCTACACACACACATACAAACATGCACATGTACATACTGCATACTATGGACTATGGACTATATACGATCTTTACGCATATCTAGATATATCCGCGTGCAAATCTACCCAAAGATTCATATCGTGGAAACCGTTGGAGCTATGAAACGGAGTGCAATGTATTAGGCTGGCAATTGGCTTGGTTGAACCGAAATGAAATTGCTTCTAAACGGGGCCTAATTCAACGTGCAGTGGATTCATATCGGAATAGATATCCAAGCATGAGATCCCGTAGAGTTGCCCGACAGGAGAAATTATTGCGAGGCACTTTGCGCAAACGCAAACATCGAGAAGACACAGTCATGGAAAATGCGACAAAACACTCCAAGCCACCCGTACGCCAATGCTTGCCTTACACATCCACATCCATTCCAAGGCCTCTGGACTGGAAAGACAATAGCAGATCTACAACAATGTCCATCCTAGTAGGCCCAGGGTCACCTTGGCAACTAAAAGTCAATATTGAATCGGTTGCCTTGAGTATAATTGACCTTCAATTTAGAAAATCAAATTGTGTCTTTCCGCGTGCACTTTTGTTGGCGTCGGACGCGCCGTTTCTGTCGGATCGTAAACGAGACGAAGCCAAATGTAACGAGATTGGCTGGCAATTGGTAAACTTTTTTTTTTACATGTGTATTTGCATATATGTATATGTATATTTATATTGATATTGACATTTGTGTATTTATTTATTTATCTATTTACCATAGGCTTGGCTGAACCCTCATCAATTGGCCAACAAAAAGAATCTCTTGCAACAAGTTCTTGACACATTCCGTAACCATCATACTCCTCATCTCAGACCACGCAAATATTCATCCCGCGTACCTCTCACCTACCCCTCTCTCTCACTTCCTTCGCTTCCTATCGAACCTCATGCAGATGAAGACAACCACTCGTGCTTTAGTGGAACCACAGCTACACTCGACTTCAATGACTGCTTCTCTCCTCCCCCAGAACCAGAATCTCCCTGTGTGCACTCTACAAAGGAAGTCGTCCAAACCAACCAAACCATCCAAATCAAATCTGAATTCAAAAATGTGTTTGACTCTCTTCTTAGCTCCCTTCCCCTCCTTCAAGTCCCTCTTTCGTCTTCGTCTTCCTCCTCTTCTTCTTCTCCTTCATCTTTAGAGCCAATGCAGTCTGACGACGACATTAACGATATTGGCGCAAGTACAAATGCAAGTGGAAATGCAAATGCATGCGGAAGTGGAAATGGAAGTATAAGTGGATCAGGTCAAAGTTCAGCCAGTCCCCCTGTACCTGAACTGGCGTTGGCATTTGACACAATGTATCAGCATGCTTTGATGGTTCATTCTAATGACACCTTGTTTGGACCGACTGTGGAAATGAAAGATTATTGTGATGCGATAAAATACGAAGACGTCAGTGCAGGCATAGACAACTTTGAAACAAACCCACTTTTAAATCAATTATTTTAAGGAACAAAAAAAAATATAAGAAGAAGAAGAAGAAGTAGAAGAAGAAGAAATAACTGGAAACAAAAAAAAAAGCAAAAACAAAAACAAAAACAAAAACCTCCCAAAAAGAAATGTGTATATGTATATAAATGAAAACAAAAGAAAATGAAAGAAGAAGAAGAAGAAGAAGAAGAAACAATTGTCCTTAATCTTTAATATTATGCTCTTGCTTGTGTTTCTCTTGCAATTCTCTTAATGTATGCAGCTTCTGGACTTCTTGTTCGAGTTTAGCTTTCTCCTCATCTTTTTCTTTTATGTGTGTATAAATCAATAAAAGGAAAGAAGAGGGATTGATTAACAACAGTCTCTATTTGATTTGTGAATAAAACCTACCACGCCAATTCCACGACCTGCGCCGGAAAGGATGAGCTTCCGTATTAAAGACAAAATGATCAAGTGAAATGATATCTGGTGGGCTGAAGAGTAAATAAAGATATTTGAACGTCTCGGCAAAAAGAAAACTAGATACAATCAAGCAAGCAATCAATTAATCGAAATGAAAAAGAAAAGGTATGCCTGTTAGTTATACTGAATACTGTGTACACCAAGTTATTTACCTTTCCATCGAGTCTGCATGGTTCATGTAAGGGTGCTCTGCATTAGTATATTGTAATACATTACGCACAACTGCATAAGCACTTGGTGTCTTGCAGTGCTTCTCGATGGCTTCAAATATATCCCATCCCCACTCCTACAAAGAAATAATAATAATAATAATAATAAGAAAAGAGTGAATTCGGTCAATTAACCAATGAGGTGTGTTTGAATAACAATAACAATAAATCAAAATAATCAGTTCCTTACCTGATACTTTGGATCACCTGTGATTCGATACAGTATGTAAATACTCTCGACTGTCTCTGGTCGTAAAAGATATCTCCAGTCGATGATTCGCAAATGATCAGAAGCAAGTACCATGGGTCCCAATACATAGTTTTCGGGATATAGCTCTTCCTCAGGGACCTGGGCGGGAGGAATTGATGGGGGTGGAGGGATTGTTGCATTTGGCTTAAACCACCAGTTTCTAGCATAATCAAGTTCTTCTTTGGTTCGGTTGTAGGTCAGTCTGTCGTAAGGTTCCGTGCCTGCTATAGACCAAATTTCGGGACTAAGGCCAGTATTCGTGTGGCGATACATGTACACACAGGTTTCTAAAAGACCTTTAGCCAATATCATGTCCTGTGGTCGATCTAGTACTTTTGCGCCCATAGCTAACATGCCAGGTACAAAACAAGTCTATTGTAACATCGTGTATTTTTTTTTTTAAAATAAATAAAAAATAAATAAATTATTAATTGATTTCTATAGTAATTGTTGTTGTTGATGCTGTAGATGATGATCACACATCTATTTTCTTACCAAATGATCCATGTAGCTGTCTGGTGTGCGTGTTATAGAATTATAAGGAGGTAGATAAAGGAGAGGAGTCCCTGATAATTGGCGTAGCATGTGGTGTGTCATACTATCAATTGACTCGGTGTCTGGGTAAAATTAAATAAAATTAAATAAAATTGAATTGAATTAATACTGATATTGATAAATACAAAAAGGTAATAAAAGGTAATAGATACTTACACATGCGTGCATATTGGGGGTTTTCGCCTTCGACCAATAAATGTTCTTTAAGAAAGTACTAAGGTTATACATATATACACACACAATTAATTAAAGCATAAATAAAATCTTCAATTGTTTTCTTACCTCAAAAGCACTGTCGCCCATAGCACCAAATGACACCATGGCTTATAGAAACAAAATGTTAACATCAATATTTTATTTTCTGTCTTAATTGTGTGTTGTTTTATGCCTTACATTTCTTAAATCTTCCTCTGGTATCCATTTCGGAAGGATAAAGTCCTGGGATACGAAGGCCATGTTCGTACCCCATTCTGTCCAACAGATCAGTAATTGCTTGTGCCTAGCATGTAAATAAAAGAATAATAAGAATAATTTGTATTATTTGGTACATATATTTTGTATATATATATATATGTGTGTGTGTACCAATTGAATATTATTACGACTACTATATTATTTATTGAAAATGATATAATAAATACATAAATACATAAATCAATTCTTACCTTTTCCTGATATACCGGATTTCCAGTATGCCTTGTAAGCATCATAAATTCCAACTGGACAGTACCAGCCTCTGCAAAAAAGGTATTTTGGTTTGGTGATTTTTTTCTAACATTTTGGTTAATGGTAAATTTTATAGCCACAGAATAATAATAATAATAATAAAGTAAATTAACAATTTTCTCGGGAACAACAACGAAATCAAAGCAAACTTTAAAAATAATGATAATTCCTATGTCTATGTCTATAGATCCAGATACTTGTTGTTTGCTTACGTGGCTGTGTTCCAATGATGGTACGGCAATCCGGAGGGTGAATCGAATGCAGGCAAAAGAGTATTCGCTAAACTGATTGCCTTGTCGAGTAAGACTGGGTATTTTTGTTCAGAAAGTTCATATGCACTCAAAAACCCGCCCAGGTATCGGATAGTCGATTCAAACACGGATATATTCTCATTAATCGTAAAATTAAGGGCTGTGATGTTTGTTAGGGCTAGCTCAACTTCACTGTCGAGTTCCATTATCAGGAGAGTGCTGAGGGAATCGACCAGCGTTGCGCCCCAACCGCCGAATGGATTGTGAGATTTGTTGGAGATTGGCATCAGCTCATCAGCCCCCATTGCGTAGGTTTCTGTAGGAATTTAGACATTGCGCTAAAAATAATTCTCACACACACAAATACCCATATATAATAATAGTAATAACGCTTACTGTAACCAGTCCAGCCATGTAAAAACGCCTTCTTAACTAACAATCGGCGCTGTTCGCATTTCTCAACATGGTGGAGTGGTGGGGTGCCAAACGAACGTTGTATTGGTGGTATATTTGTCTCGAAATCAGTGTGGCCTTTGAGAGGATCAAACGGTGGTGGAGGTGGTGGAGGTGGAGGTGGTGGAGGAGGAGGTGGAATCACAGGCTCTGGATTTTGCTCTGGTTCCAACTCTGGTTTTGGCTTTGGTATTGTGGATTCAAAATACAGGCTTGATTCGGATCGAGTTGCATACCAAACCTGACACAGCAATAGACTGGCTATAGCGATAAGTATAATCAGTCTCCAGCGGTGGGGTACTCTTGAGGTGTATCCAAGCATCTCAAGAAAGACCTAACCAAAGACTGTAATAAAATAATATATATATATATAAAAGAGAACAAAAAGAAATAAGAATGAAAAAAAAAAGGAGAGAAGATATTCTGGGGATTTTTTTTTCTTTTCTTTAGAAGGCTTACTTACTTTGTGTATCACATACACATACGCCATGAGGGTGTTCATTTTTACCCTAAAAAAGAATGTAAGCATAAACGGATAGCTTTTATATATATTTATTAAAGATCTCATCTCATCAAACATGCTTAAAATCAATGCTTATTGATATTATTCTATACCAGCCAATCAAATGATTTAAGATGTGGGCTAATATTAAAGTGCCTACTTAATGTGTATTATATTATTGGCTAAAAATATATATGAGTTTTAATTCATTTGTAAGATAGAGGGAGGGGAATTCTGTTTGAAGCCTTGGGCTTTTTCTTTGCACTCTTACATTAGAATTAAGATTTATTTATTTTTTCCTTTGTATTTCTTCAAGTGATTTGTGCTACATATTATATATACATATTTTATTTATTTTATAATATCAGTACAATACAGAGTACACTGACTTTAATCAAGCCAAAACACAAAATCCAAGTGAGCAATGTGCAAGCCAAAAAAGGAATTAAAACAAAAAAGAGAAGGAAGGAAGGAAGGAATATTTTGTGCAGTGTCTATTAAAAGAGATTACTAGATATTAATAACTATGCATAAAAAATAAAATAAAGGGTGTCTTTAATCATCCTACAAAGTTTTAGAGTAATAAAAAGTGGAGGAGATGGGGGTTTTGCTATAAATATAAATGAATTTTGTTTACTGTAGTTTGTATGAATTAACTTGTGGGTTGATCTTTCTTGCTTCTTTGTGGTCAGCCTTGTTAAAGACTCTTAAATTTGGTCTTGAACTTGGAATCACTAGATGGCATATATAAATATATATATAATGTGTGTGTATGGGTTTTTATAGTCAATAATCAACTGATGATAGTAATGGGTCTATATGATATAATTGAGGTCAATGTAAGGTGCGCAGTATTTAACCCCATTATTTATTTATTTATTTATTTATTTATATGGTTGTTGCTCACGTAAATATTGCTTCTATTTTTATACAATACACAACATATAAAGAGTGAAGAAGAGTAAGAGTGAGAGAATGATAAACAAGTGCTGTTTAACAGGATTGTTATTGTCCAAATTTTGATAGTTTCCATAAATGGGCAATATAGGTATTTACATTTTTTTTTGCAACAAGCAATTTTCAACTGGTATAAAAAAACACACACAAAAATTGACTTCTTTCTTCTAGATCAACCATTGTTTATTACTATTACTTTTATTATTTAAAGAAACGCACATACACACTTGTACCATATATTCCTACATATAATTTTACCGTATGGGAAGCACAATTTCAAAAGTCAACCATGGCTTAAAAGCCTCTCTTCTGCCTTCGGAAAAGACCCGAAGAGGACGCACTAGTCCTACCGTAGGCTGCATTGATTCTCAAAAGCCTCTTAATGCCAAACCATCAGGACGCCACAAACCCAAAGACAAGAAATCGATCTCTGTCAAAAGAAGAAAGCCGAGATACAAGAAAGTAACCAAGAGCATGGTTGGTAGACCATCGAATTTCAAGCACATTGGACATATGGGAGCAAAAGACACCAATATTAATCCTGTAGAGGTAAACCCTTGACTACCCCCTTTCTTTTGATTCTTATTGTTTGCTTTTTTGTTTTTTTGTTTGTTTGATTGGTTGATTTGGAATACATTATATATTTGCTAATCATAAATAATATTATTATTATTATTAGGCTAATATATTTTCTGCACAAATGATGGATATTTCTACTCAACTTAATACCCCTATACGGCCAAGACAAATAAAACCTAAAAACAACAACAACAACAACAAGAAGAGTTTACCTCGGGCAGCCAATGATTACTACCAGTACAACATCATCAGCAGCAGCAGCAGTAGCAGCAACAATTGTAGAGGCTCAAGAAAGCCAGTAAATAGTAATATCCTATTACTGGAGCCACCATCATTAAGGACCCTTATGGCCTAAATTACCATTATATTTATTCTTATTTTTCTATCTATAATTATATAATTATTATTAGTATGTGTACATATTTATTTATTTATTTATATATATATTCTGTATTCTACTTATTTTAAACTACTACTATAATAATAATCTTTACACCTTATTTTAATATATATATATTTTATACACACAATAATATCATAAGCATTGTCTCCAAAGAATGACGTTTTGATAGGTCCATAAACACCCATGAAAATGAATTTATCTTTACATATACAATCGATCAAATGTTAACCGATTAATCCTGATACTAGATAAGTGATCAATGGATCATCATGTATTAGGAATGTCAATTTACACCCTTAAATTTTAGAATAACTTGAGATCAACGTTTCATAAATAATATCTTATGCTTGTATAAAAAAAAACAAAAATCAAAAGGTCTTATCTATCTATTTCCCATTTTATTTTATTTTATTTTATTTTGGGTCAATTATCATTTATCATTTCAATACATTTTACTTCACCTCACCTCACCTCATCAAAGATATAAAACAACAATAAGCAAGTGGTTCGAGGAGCAAGTAATTGGACAATCTTTTAATCTATTGAAATGTATTGTCATGAAGTTTAGTTGTAAACAGTACTACAAAAAAAAAGGCTTGACTTATTATGTAGATGATGTTAAATAAGGACCAGATGCGTAGCAATTAAGGTAAACCGAGCAAGTTCTATATAAATATATATGTGGGGATATTAAAGTGCTAGAATACAAAACCAAGACAGCCTTTTCATCCTAAAGAGTGATAGCGGCACAGACCTATCCGAACTGTTTTTAGTTCCGGTACGGACTGCATTACTACAACCTTTACCTTTTGGAAATAAGTGTATCTGACACACAAAATGTGGAATTGAACCAAACAAGATGGTACCAAGTTATCCCGATTCGACATCTTTGAGGTACAAATGAGGAACGGACCGATTCAACTGGCTTCCACTCATTGTGATTGGTCATTTTTTGTCCATTATTGATGAATGTTTCTCCGATCTTACCCTTACCATCCCCCTCCCCCCCCTTGACTTTTTTTTTTTTTTTTTTTTAAAAAAAAAACGTAAAATTTGTACATTTATAGCAAGGATATTTCCTTGTATTTTTTTTTTATTTCTTTCTTTCACTTCTTTATATCCCCCCTTTTTTTTATATTTACTATTCTTGTTTTACTTGAATACAATTTGGTCTAATGAAGCTTTTCAAATCAACTCACAATTTTGGTTACGAATGGAGCCTTGTGTCAGCAGCCAACTGGCAGAAATATCCAAACGAGAATTGCCCTCATGTACGCCATGTCGATGTGTTAAATCGTAAACTTGACCCCGAAACAGGAGTCTTGATAACTGAGAGACTCTTGACAGTAGAACAGAATGTGCCTCGTATAATTCTTAAGGTAAGCAAATAAACGAAGGATATAAAAATTACTCGAGGGGTTTACTTTGTATAACTAATCAATATATGTTATATGCTCTTAATTGTTTAATAGTTACTTGGCACTGATGAAACTCAATATGTTCGAGAAATATCTACAATCGACCCACGTAAAAAGACCCTGACAATGCAAAGTGTGAATATCACAACATCTCATCTTCTCACAATTGAAGAAGAAACTACATACTATGAACACCCGGAAGATAAAAAACAGTAAGTAATCTTTAAAGACATTAAAGACAAAGAGAGGAGGGGAGGTGATGACATAATCCTTGTGTGTCTATATATATATATATATATTGTACATTTTACTTACTGTTTTTCTCTTGTTTTTATTAATTTTTAATTAATTATCATTATCGTAGAACACAAATGTCGCAGCAGGCCACAGTCTCTGCAGGTAGTTTGTTGTCTCGATGGTCAAACATGGTAGAAGACTTTTCACTCAATCGATTCAAGCACAATGCGGCAGTTGGAAGAGAGGGATTTTGTAAAGTATTGGAACGATTTGTAGTTATGGCTGAACCACAACCTACAAAAGAATCTTTTTAGATATTTTTCTTTTTCTTTTATACATATATACATATACACACACATTACATAACAACTTCATTTCTTACAACATACTTCTTCTTTCCTTCATCAAGACAGAAAAGATAGACAATATAAAAATAAAAAATATATAGCACAAAACAAATGCAATTATTAGCATTGGCATTGGCATTGGCATTGGTATTGGTATTGTCATTACAACTACTTTTACTATTCATTTTATTTGATAAAGAACAATCAACATCAAATCTCTGTATATTATTACTATTATTTTTGATCAAATTAATATTGTATATATTGTATATCTGTATACAAAAGATCTCACAGGATGAAAATCTTGAGACAAAAATCAAAGCAAGGTGATTGGAGCCCACAAACGGGCATCCAACCTTCTTTCTTTTTCTATATATATATATCTAATTTTTTTTCCCCATCTTTTATATATATACTTTTTTTTTTCTTACTACAAAAGAAAGAATAATACTAATAATATGATGATACTTGATAAGTACGAGGACTTTCTCGTAAAGAATGCCTCTCAAATCACCAGTATCGAATCCTCCCTTCGTTCATTAACATATATATTACCAGGTGTGTACTGGCAAGAACAGAAAGGAAAAGAGCTATCCTAACACAATATTGATACTAATATTGTAAACAAAAAAAAAACGAAAAACGTAAAAGGTCGATTCCAAGATGCCGAATTCGCTTCTCAGGCCAGTAAGTAAGTTTAAACACGCTAAAGCCAACAAATCTAATTTATTTGTCTAACATTATGTAGTCTATGCAGCCCTTCACCTCATCGGTCTTCACCACAATACTATCCTGCGTCGTGCTGCACGTCAACATGCACAGGAAACCCACACTCAATTGACAGAAGAAACAAAGTTTAACAAATATTTTCTTTACTGGACTAATCGGTCTGAGATCTACAAAAGAACATCTGCACTATTGTCAGTCATTCAATATACTCAGGTGTTGACAGAGATGGCTGTGATGAAGCAATGGGGTAAAAAAGCTCAATGGCGTTGGATTGCTTCGGTTGAGTCATTAAAGTATGTCTAGCTAGTCATGTTTTCTTTTCTTTTTCTTTTTTTTTTGACTGACACATAAGCACGTGAAAATAGGGCGATATTAAAGCTCATTGTCCTGCATGTGACGTCTCATCGTATGAACTTATCACCCACCCACTTACAACGCAACGTGGATCCAGCTACCTTGGTGCCAACCATAGCACCAAAGGAACCAACTACCTGGACAGCCAAGCGTACAGGCAAACAGGTTCCTGGAATTGCATCTACCGTCTCTCTTGATCCAAAAACCCAAAAGAAATACACTGATGTTACAGATTATCTGCTGTCTAAAGTCCTCACACCAGAAAAATTACGCAAACCAGAAGACATGGTTCACACATTGTCACCTCTTGGACGTCTAGGTGAAATACTGGCCATTTTGAGACCATTGATCTACGGTGAGTTTTAATACATTACGTACATATACATGCATTCATGCATGCATACAGACATGTATATATATATGTGTGTGCGTGGAAAGGAAAGGAAAAGGAAGGAAAGGGGCTCTTTTGTTAAAAGCATAATTCTTCTTCTTTGGGTTTTGGGGTGGATTGAACAAATACTAGTGTTTTCGATTCTTCGATTTGGCAAACGATCATGGACACCTTGGATTCTTTCCCTCTTGGCTGAGATTGGGTCTCAATTGGCCCTTTACAAGTCATTCAATACCGATGGCAATCCCTCGATGATGCCACTCGAGAAACAAGAGTTCTATAGACGTATACGCGCAATGTGGTACAACCTCTTGAGAGGCGCATTCTACACGTACATCACACGGTAAGTATTTCTATATGTGTATATCTATCTATATATATATATATATGTGTGTGTGTGTACCGTGTATTAAACGCGTTCTAATCCAATGTATTCTAGACCTCGCTTTGAAAGATTCTGCAATTCTGTCGAAAACAAAACACTCATGTCTATCCCAGGAAGTAAATGTCACAATTTTATTTATTTAAACATAACAAAAAAAAACGACAATATATTCACTCTTTTTTCTTTTCTCTTTTAAGGTATCTTGCGAGACTATCTCCCTCTGTGGGAAAAGATCTATTTCTACACCTCTTCTTCGTAACTGTAATTGTAATCGTAACACGAAAAATAAAACAACACAAAACAAAACAACAACACAAATACTTGGATAGCTTATACTTGTTTTTTTTTAAAGAAAGAAATAAACAATGAGGATGACGGAACAAAGAGTGAGTAATTTGGGATCAAACTATTGTGTAAAACTTTTGAAAGAGTAAATGGCCTGTGGTTCGACACCAGGACTTTGTGTATCTTTGATTAAAAAGACCAATGGAGAAAAAGAAGAAGAAAATGCTGTTTCAGTACAGGGATGACGGGTATGCAAGAATTAGAGTTTGACTTTTTGCTATTATCTTTATTTTACCTTCATTTTTCAAATACTCATCAATATATCCCATTTTTGCACTCTCAAACATCTTTAACTTATTACAATCTACGTTATTTGCACCAAAACTTCATTTTGTTGTTCATAGGTTAACCTTAAAAAAGCTTGACTTTTATTTTTGCATTTGCTCTGCCAAGTAAATTTATGTAGCATTTTATTACAAGCCTTCCAATACACGCCTAAAAGACACAGAAATAATGTTCGTTGAGATACAGAAGGGATCCCCAAATATCAACACAACTTGTAGCCAACGCCAATAAGAAAAAAGGGAATGGTGCTATTTCCACCACGTGGATTTACTATATATATATATTTGTTCAAAAAAAAAAAGAATACACTTGGGACAAATTTAAAACACCTGTAAACATGCCTCGTCCAAAAAAAAAGAGTAAAGATCGAAAGGGCGCGGCTCAGGGATCCAAAAGGTGGATTTGCTAGAAAAGTTAATGACAATAAAGATGTGAATGAGGAACAAGTCCCTGTGGAGGATAAAGAACCTCAAGAAATGACAGTTACTTCAGATGTGAATTTCAACAACTTGCTCAAATGGCATGACATTGTTGACAAACCCGCTCGTCGTACATACACAAAGACATCGAGAACTACAGAATGGAGGAGACGAAAGGCAAAAGAGGCATTGACTGCTCAAGGAAATCAACAAATAGACCAACACTTTCTTATTAAAGACCAACAGGAAACCGCAGACCAATCGACCGAAAGTATCGATAAACAACCCAAAGGGCCACCTATTGACAAGCTTGCCGCAATCAAGCTTGCCCACCAGGATATCATAAAGGAAATCACTCCATACACTCGTATAGGTCCTGCTTCTCGGGCAAAAATAACCATATATGAGCTCTGCAAGCTTTCATCAGTCGAGCGCTTTTTTCGGCACAGAATAGCAGGCGATAAGAAAATGAAAGCATCCGAAAAAGCATCGGCTGAGGTCTGGCTAAACGAAAGCACTTACCGCCCAGCTTTAATCAGAAAATATGCAGATGAATACATTGAGTTTCGATCAATTAAATCACCCTAACAATGAAAGCAAACAACCCATTCTTTGCTATATATAATGGGTGGGTGAGGGAGTTTTTTTTTCTCTTTTGGTTTGCAAGGCGTTCCAACGCCAAAAGCCATTAATATATAATCCAATTATTATGATGAAGAAGTATACCGATGTCTTTTATATTAATGTTATTGATGATCAAATATATATATAAATGTTTATTTACAAGGCAGAAACGGCGAGTTTTGGTAATAATAATATCACATAATGGAAATATGACTATAGCACATTTATCAACTGATTAAGTAGAGCATGCTCTTTTACATCCATGTGTCAATTTTCTGCTAAAATTACGGGAGACAAGCCAAGTGACTATAGGGCAAGTCAGAACAAATAGCGTCTTGAAGAATAAATCATTCACTAGATAGATATTTTGAGTTGTACTGGATATCATTTTGTCACTTTCAACTACTGATATAACTTATTTTATAAAACTCTAGCCGTAATTTAACATTTTGACATCCATTGTGATGAGATAAAGATCATTTATTTCATTTTTTGTGCGTCTCTCTTTCACACACACAGTGAATTTGTCAGTATACCGTGTCCTTACCATATTTCCCTAGAATTATAATTAAAATAGAGAGAGAGAGAAACACTTTGGATAATTCATAACAAGCCTTTAAAAAATAATAGTTATATCACATGTAAAAAGCCAGCTTATAAAGTAGCATATACTAAAGACATTTTTGCCAGCAAAAGATCATCTCTTTATTAACCCTAAATTTTTTATGTTCTTGCTGCACTTCTATATCGGTTGACAGTTGGTGATTATGCTTTGTTTGTTTGCTTTGCTTTTTTTTAAGCTTAAAAAATTGATCTAAAAGGTCAACTTATAGATTGGGTATTTTCAGAGATGTCATATCAATACAACTAAACGGTTTCAATTGCTGCTCTAACGCTTGTTTTTCATCAAAGGCTTTAGCATCCAATCTTCCTACATAACCACAACGCCACGTAGTATAGCCTCGAAGCAAATCTTTTCTCCACAGGCGCCTGGGCTCCCATCCATAATATCCTCGTTTTATAGTTGAACGACTGAGGAAAAGCTGCCGCGTATGGGGAAATGATTCTAGATATCTTTTAGCATAGCTTTCTTCGGTTTTTCCAAGCGCACGTATCATTGCCTTTGGCTCAGTCGAGCTGTTTAGATAAGTGTGGAACCATGTTTGCTTAGAGAGACCCCTAGGAACACAATCACTATTGAGGGAAGCGTCACATGTCTGCTCAATGACCATCAAGTTGATCAATACCGCCTTTTTTTCATCAAAGTTGTTGGTGTGTTTACGGTACTGAAGGCTTCCGTGCGAGCCTTGAGTATCATCCAATGAATAGTATTGTACGCCATGCATGTGAAATATTTCTAGATTTGTGTAGGGCATCTCACAGTAAAGGCTTCCTGTGTCTTTCCGAGCCTTTCCGAATATCTTTACATTCTCCAGAGTCATGGAAGACAAGTTTCTACAGCGTGAGGATAAGTAGCTGAATAGACCCGAATTTACTTTTGAATTGGAAAGGGATAAAGTAATTAGGCCATGAGAAGGTGTATCAGATCCACTTTGGTTGGCAAAGACACACGGAAGATCCAGGCTTAGGTCTTCCAAGGAAATACACTGGTCCAAAATGACATCCAGAGCAAGACAAACATCAAACTTGAGCAAGCTTAACTTGGTGAGTCGAGGGTATATCGAAAGGGTTATTGGGGTCGTACACTGGAAATTTAATCGAATGTCTCTTTCAATTATCAAGGTTTCGAGACTTTCTGAAAATGATCCGGCGCAGCTATCGATGATGTTACGTGTTCCTCTTGCCCCGCCCATTCCACAGTCCATATTGCAGTAGATCGCTTTCAAGGGCACCTTTAGACCGTGAAACAACTTGAGAAGGATCACGGCCGGTGATCCTTCTCGGAAAACACATTTCTTTAGGCTAATTTCTTTGAGGTGTGCGAATGGAGACCGGATAGTCGAAAGCATAGAGCCTGCTCGAGACCAATCTTCAGGTCTTCCGTTATGGTGATATTCAACATTTAATTCCATGAAATTAATGTTCGGGGCCTTTATAGCAAAGTAGTACAACCACTGAGGGTTTGTGTATCGGGTGTCAGCGCACAGGGTGGTAATGTTGCTCGTGGGGATAATATTTTTGACATGTGTCACTTCATCCGTAGGTATGGCGTCAAATTGTATGTTCATTTCTAGTTTATCCAGCCGTGGAAAACACACGGAGATGGTTTCGATATCTTTCCATGTGTAAGTCATCTTTCTGAAACTTGTGTATTCTGATATTGAGAGTTGTTTAAGCCGAGGAAAGAATGAAAGGATATGTACTAGTCCATCGAGCCCGTTGGTTATAAATGGTTTGGGTTGCTGGACGCTCAGCGTCTCTATGGATCCCCAGAGATTCCAATATGCTGTGTCTTCGAGTCGCATTGTTTGTAGCATCTTACACTGCATGTGCAGATGCCTCAGGTTCTGGAAATGATGTTGCAGAACAGAAAGTTGCTGGTGGCTTATGGAAAAGTAACATTTCAGCTTTAGTTCATACACAAGATGGCCGTGCGTCTGAAATATGTTTTGCCGCTGAGATGATGAGTTGCAGATGTATTCAACCTTAGTCAGACTACTGATAGAGAGAGTTCCCCACAAAGCTTCTTGAAATGGCAAGGTCCAGGCTTTGCAAACAGTGGTATAATCATTGACCCCTTTTGTGGGTAAATATCGACCAATGCAGGCAAGGATTTCGTAGGGTAGTTCAGATGCCAGCATAAGAAAAAATACGAGAGAGTGAAAAGAAGAGTAGATTGTTATTATTTTCTGTTTCTTGTCCTGGGTCACTGAAGGGTTTTTAATGGTTTCATCTTGGCGGAGAGACAAGCAATGGAGTAGCTTTTCCCTTGTCAAACCATACTAAATGGAAGTACAAGTATCAAGAGAGCCAGCCCAGGATCAGTGGTCTTTCAGTGCGTAAAAATAAGGCGTACATTGTGCAATCTGGCTTTACCATCAAAATCTGATTAAATTTGATCGAATATAGACGTTTCTTTTGGATATCAATTATTACACTTTTTGTGTATGCTCAAGTAGCATTTTTTTAAAAAAAAATTACTCTCATATATGAGCATTGTTTTGAAAATGTGCCATATATCTTGTACTTCAAACACTTGTGCTAATATTGTACTTTATACACTAGCTTAAATAATCGGAATTACCATAAACTCTTTCTCGGGAAGGATAAAAGAAAAAATATCGTTTTTGGATAATGACTGGTCAGATGGTTATACATGCTTTGCTTTTGAAAGGCTTGAAAGAATGAGAGGTATTTAATCCAATCTTTAAAGTGTCAAACTAGCTATACTATTATTATTATTGTTATTGTTATTGTTACTGTTGATTATACGCTTGTCTTTCATGACTGGTCTTACACTGTAGATTGATTAAATAAGACAAGCAATATGATGAAACTACATTCACCCGTTAGCTTTTTTTTTACCACTAATAACAATATTGTACTAACATTCTTTGGGCCGCTATATATTTTAAAAGAACTTTATACAAAGAACGCAATCTTTAAAGCTTTGATATCCCAGGTATCCATGCCATTCCGTATGTCTTTGATAGCAAATTTATCACACATCTGTATAAAGATCGTCTCTAACCCCCCCCCCTTTTTTTTTTTAAAAAAAAAAAGATCCTGTCAAAGCTTAGATTAGGAAGACATTGTATACACGTGCTTGATGCTCATCATATCAATATGTAATTTTACTCGTCCATTCAATCAATGTTTGAATTTATGGCATAGAGTTATACTATAAAAATATAGCGATTTGGTCTTCACAGTTTGCGCCTAGGTACGCCACCAAGAAATATAAATAACCAGACAAGCTCATTAATATCGATCGGCTTAACATCGGGATAGTAACCAATTGTCAAAAGAGATGCAAGCTTTTTTTTGGGGGCTTGAGAGATAAGATAGATATAGACTTATTAAGCTGTACAACCAAGAGGTTTTAATACTATTAATTGTTTATATCTGGTGTTGAATGGCTGAAAGACAAATAGATGATTGGATTAAGAAATAAAGGTTTGTATAAGCAAGATTCTTATAGATATGCTTTATAATTATCGGAATTCAGTACGGACTCGGAAGAAGATAGTCTGGCTAATGCCTAACCTTACTATGACACTTTCTTTTCTTTTAACTCTTTTGCTGGGCAGCCTGGCTAAAATTAAACCTTATTTGATTTACTGAATAGAGTCATTTAAAACATTAAAGCTGTGTCTGCATTTGATAAATCTTGTCTGTTTTACTTGAGATTCAGTAATTACTATCAGAACAATAAAATTCTATACTCAATTTTTGAAAATACAAACCTTCATATAAACCTCCCAATGTTGCATTGAATCAAAGGACAGCAAATGAAAGTAAATAATGACGACTTTGACGTGGAGTTATATAATAAGCGGCTATATACAGTTTATTCTAATGGAAAAACATTAATTATGATATTTTACTTATATATATTCCAGTTTGAGCCCAAATTTTTCTGATGGTGCAATTGAAAAATTGCAAAACACTTGGAACAAAACGCTGTAGATATGACCACTTCTCGTAGTACTGTTTAGAGCTTCAAAAAGTTTAGAGTGTATCAATCAGACAAGCTCCAGTCCCCATCCTCTGTGAAGATTAATCGAGAAAAAAATTCAGCAAGGGTTAGTGCTGAGCCCAGAGAATGCCAGAAAATTGACTTGATTTACAACCAATTGTGTCTTTCTTGAGGAATCAAATCTGTCATTAATTTGAAACAAAGTATTACGATTTAGTCAATGAAGGGAACTCTTACAATAATTACTAGCACTACAACTAAAGCAAACACAGACGCAACTTCGATTTTAAATAAAATACTAGAGCTCTAAATTATAGATAGTACAAAACAAAGTCAAAATGATTTAGTTATTTTTTTTAAAAAAAAAACACACACACATATCAAAGGGCAATATTATATGTGAAATCCAATTATTTAATTTTCACTTGCCGACATTTTTTTTGCTACTTTATTTGCAGCACATAAAAAATAGACCGTTTAGTAAGATTTTTTTCTAAAGTAAGCTTCTAATTCCGAAGTGATAGAATTTTGCTTTTTTGATTATACGACATTAGGAGAAACAATATATTAAAACACCGTCACATTTTTTTCTGTGTACGAGAACTGCTAGCCTCACAAAAATGCCACGCTCTCAGGTGTTTTTAAATTACTAAAAACGTCTTAGACCGTTTGAGTTCCAAAAATGCCCTGCAATCTACCAAAAAGAATGGGCATTTGAAATTTAAATTAATTATTTTATTTTACTTTACTTTACTTTTTTGCTTTTTTTTACAAGTTTTCAATTAGCCTTTAATTTTTTATTATTATTTGATAACAAGTAATTGACCCTCCTTTTTCAAATTATAATTTTATTTAAATATTATACTGCAATGCAATTAAGGTATTTGTGATTGATTTTGGATTAGTATCTCAATATTAGAAAAAATAGATACTGCGAGAGTTTTATTTATTAAAAAAAAAAGTTAAAATAATATTCGAGGTGCTCGAAACTGATTTTCGGTTAGAAACTTAAGATTAGAAAAAGTGGATACTGTGAGAGTGTTATTTATTAAAGAGATAGAATAATATGCTTATTTACATATCAATCGATAAAGACTCTTTTTCTTACTATTCAATTTAGCTCTCTTAATATTTGTACCTCCGCTGTGCCATGTCTGGCACTCAAAAAGCTTCCCACACACACACACAATCTACCCACACACACACAAATCCACCCACATACACATACAAATCTACCCACATACACACACATCTTTTTTGTGATGAATTTATAGACCTATATAAATAATAAATAATTAACACTTTTTGGAAGTATAGCTCTTCCCCACGCCCCCCTCAAGCTTTATGTACATCTTTGCTATAAAAAGTTTAGCGACTATATATTACAAGTAATGTGTAAAAATGAGTCGAGCAGTTTATTAAATTGATAGTAGACTTTAAGCGATGTGGTTGTAAAATGATAAGATTTTCAGAATTTAAAGGCAGAGTCTAAGTCATGTAATTATATTCCAACTTTTTAAAGGCATAGACTTGATAGATATGTCACTGGTTTATAGTGTATTTTGTTTATAATCAAGATTTTGGGGATTTCGGTCATTCTTTTTGAAGGGAAGCTCTTAGCACCAAAAGAAAATGAAGAACACTACATGCCTGACAGCTTTAAAGAAAGAAAAGTCCAAAATATTGAAATTTATACATAGACACAACGTTTTATATTTTTATTATTTTAATTTTTTTTTAGTCATGGATACCAATGCTGCGGTGAGATTTACTGATTCTTGAGGTGAATTTCTTCACCTCAGCATCAGCATCCTTAGCATCCAAAAACTTGCTATAAGCCTCAATATACCTCCAGGTCTTCTTATAAAATCTCCTGATCATGGTAGGAGGACCAGTCACAGGAGAGGCACCGTCCAGTAAGGATGGGAGATTCTTTTCCAACGACTTGAAAGAATAGTCGCAGTTTAGGCGAGCCACACGTTTGGCTGCACCCCAGTAACGCTCGATCCAATTGCATTCACAATGGAACTTTGGGTACAGCTCGAATATGTGACCAGGCACTTCTACAATCTCTTGAATGGCTGTCTTCTGTCCAGCAAAGTCAGGTTGAAAGGCCAAGAGGTGGCGGGCACAGAAGCAGTGATTCTCGGCTTCCTCTCTATTGCAGTCTATTCTCCATTTTCTGGAAAGATTGGATATATCCAGTTCAATCCAAAGTCCACGCTCCTGAAGAATCCTTTGGACGCCAATAAACTGCCTCTTCTCAATCGGCCCCTTTCCTTTTCTTCCAGCTTCAGTAACTGTCTCATAAAACGATTGAAGGATGATGCATCCATCCCTCAAAAACGCAATCTCTTTGAAGTGAAACTTATCATTTTCTGTGACGAGTTTCGACTTCAAAACCATGCGGCTGGCAACCAAGGCATCTGAGGCATACACCGTGTGGTTGCTGCTTTGGTCAAACAAAAAAAACACCGGTGCATCCCTCGTGCAGACTTTCGAACAGAGGGATGGCATGCTTCTTAAGCTGGTCAAACATGTCTTCGCTTGTCCAGTAACCTTCATATGCGGCACCAACGTTAAAGATCTTGCAGGATACCCATCCCTTCACTCGCATGGTGCCGTGGCAAGCACATTGGAACTCGCCCACCATAAGGACACGACCTTGCCCTTTCTTGCGGGTGTGGCTTTCGTTCTCTTCAAGCCACACGTCTACCTTTCCACCATGCGCGTAGAATGTGGACTCGTCATGGGTTACCATGACCAGCTTCTTCTGGTTCTCCGAAAGAAGAGGAGACACCTCGATCTCTTCGTTTTCCCTGGTAAATTCTGACATATACTCCTTGTATGCCATCATTCTTTTTGCCCATGCATGACGGTACTGGACAACGTCTTTTCTCTCATCTCCATCATACTATACGTCCTGGTTGTTCTTACAGTGGAAGTACCCCAGGCTCTCATGCATTTCCATGCTGTGCTTATGGCAACGTTGCCTTTAACACTAGGGCATGATGGAAAAAAAATTCGAGGTACTTTTCCAACTCCGCAACAGTTCGTCTTTCCGCTTTTTGAGCATGAAGCCAAACGATTGCTTCTTTTTCAAGACTTCATCGTCTACAGTTGAAGACCACTTGGAATACTTGTCCTGTTGATGTTCGGACATTATTTCAAGCTTAAGAAGTTCTTTTGTCTAAGCACGGGCTGTTTCTCCACGGTACTTGGAAGGTGATTTCCAAATGATTTCGGCTGCTCTTGCAGATGCTTTAATTTTTCCAGGGCTTTCCAAAAGGCGTCTGTAATAATTCTTTATAGTGACGAGCTTATTCACTTCGAATAAGGACGTCTTGCTCGAGTTTTTTTTTGACGGTTGTGTTTTGTTACAAATTAATTCAAAGGTGGCATGGATCTCTTCGAGTCTCTAATCCTTCATAGGCTTCAAAATATCTTTAGATTCAATTACAGATGAGGCTGCTGGGACAGGAGCTGAGAAGCCAACATCAGCAAGTGTTCAGATCATTTTGTCTTTACTCGCTTCTGGATCTTGCGCTGCTTCTCTTTTGCTATGCAGAATTATCGAATAAGAGTTTTCTTTATATAATACACGCGGGTTCTTTTCGGAATCAGGCTTCCATGTCAGGAAGCTTTCAAGATGTGCATCCAAATTTAGGAGCTCTCGGTCGTTCTCTTTTACGAGTTGATCTTCTGCGAGCTCATTTTCTGCGATTGTATTCTTGGTACTATTGGTAATAATCGGGAAGATCGCGCTGAATTTTTTGCCAGCTCTTCAAGGTATCTTAGAAGTAAGGCTGGAGTGAGAGTTTTTACGACGTGCTTTTTAAAAGTTTGTTTTGGTAGAGGCAAAAGTATCTGCAAGACAGTCTTAATAAAAGGAATTGTATACTCCGCATGCTAAACACATGCTAAATTGGGGTATACAATCCTCTTCATCTGTTGTTGGATATGGGGAATCAAGTCTTAATACTTTTCTTCCTTTTACTATTAAATTGAGACACTAGGTTTTTTTAAAACGTAAAGAACTTTTTCAAAAACATCAAAAAAGGAACTGCTCGCTCATGCCCATTAATAAACACTTTCTCTATGTCTTTGAGTGACCAGATTTTTAGTCTTGACATTTTCAATAGTTATTTCTTTTTGAAGAACAAGACATAGGATTCATGGTTTTACCTTCGTACCAATCAATAATATGTCCCTATAAATCCTTTTAAAATAAAAAAGAAACACTCTGCATACTGATTTTTGAATGTCTGTAAGATAAATTGTATATAGGCAAAACAAAAAACAAGGTTTTATTGCTGGATCAAATATATATTATTACTCTTAGGTACATATATCTTTATAATATAAAGTTTTCAAAGCAGCAACCTTACTTTATTATTAGTATTATTGGAAGATACTATAAATTTTCAATAAATTCACCTAACACTAATGTTCTGTACCTCAGGTACTAATACAACGCTAAATCAATATCTGTTATATACACACCGTACATTTTAACGCTAGTTTTCATATTGATGAGTTTTGGGTTTAGTTGAAGGCTAGGAATATGAGTATTGGGCGTTTACCTATGTAATAATTACAAATTTGATATATTATATAGATTAAATACATCATCAACATTACATACGTTATATTATAGTACATACGTTAAGATACTTTTTTTGGGGGGGTTTTTTTTTGGGATATATGACCTCACTGTATTTGTTTCTTTTGTTTTTATATATACTATATGCAGACTAATGGAAAATACTGTTTTGTAAATACTCATTAAAAGATCAGCTTTCTTCTATTTCTCTTTCAAATCCATGTACAATATAGTTTTTTAGGTATTCATATTTCCAAACCACACAATATTGCACAGGATGAAGCTTTCTTTGTGACTTTGTATTATTTTCGCAGCTTCTTGATGTCATATTTGGGCTTCGGTATAGGATCTATATTGTGTAAACGATAGTCGTGAGTGCGTATATGTAGGGTATGTTTATTTAACTATTAATCTCTAAGACACAATAATAAGAAATAAAGAGAGTCTTACAGAGCAGTTGAAAAAGCGTGGTGATTTTGTAGTCGTTTGCAGAATATCAGCGTTTGCATCCATTTCAGGCTTATTCGGCTCAAATTCCATTATACTTATTATTGTAGCATCTTTCACTTGATACGTATTGTGAGCGTTTTGGCGGTAATTACGCTCTAAAACATCTTTGTTGTGCAGTGCATAATATCGTACATTATACAAAAACAAGGAATCAATCTGGGTGTGAGACATGTCGCACTCAAAAGAATTTTCCTTTCCTTCTTCGATGTGTCCAAAAACCTTTACGTTCTCAAGTCTCATCTTCAACAGTTTTCTGCAACGTAAGGAAACATAATTAAACAGTTTTGAGTTAACATTTGTGTTTGTGAGTGATGCGGTCTTTAGCCCATGTGAAGAGAAAGCGGTACTGGTACGGGTACGGGTGCTGACTGTAACACATGGCTGGTCGAGTATCAAGTCCTTTAAAGCAGGGCATTGATTCAAAATATCGTCCAAAACAATGCAGGCTTTGATTTGGCGCAGCTGTAGTCTCACAAGACAAGGGAAAAAATAAAAGCACATCGGAAACGTGCACTTGAAGCTTGCAGAAAATCTGGATATGATATTCATGTTTTCCATAGTTTTTGAAAATAATCTTCCACTTTTTTCAACGATACTTTGGACGGCCTGCACTGTCGTAAAATCGCGTCTCATATCATATGTGAGTGTTGTGAGAGGTACTTTTAGTCTACAAAGCAAATCCAAGAATGGGACATAATATTCGCTGGTCGCACAGTTTTTTAATTGTAACGTTCGAAGGTTCTCAAACGGGGAGGGCATGGTTGTGATCATGCCTAGCATATTTGACCACTGGTTACACGTTCTTAGGTCAGGAAAGTCGATATCTAAGTCCAATGTATGGATCCTTGGAGCTTTTTCTGTAAAGTAGTACAGCCACTTGTGGTCTGCATTACTGACAGCTACACACAGGTGTACAAGGGAATTGATCGGATTGATGTCTTTTGAAAGGGGCGTATTATCTATGGCCCTGAGTCCAAAAGCGATGTTAATCTTTAGCTGTTGTAGATGCTGAAGAGGCTGTAGAATAATTTCTAGGTCTTTCCAGGTATATGTTGCCATTTGGATTCCGAGATTCTCATCGACTACTAGCTGCTTGAGCTTAGGATAGAAGGAAAGTATGCTTACAAAGCCATGGAGTCCGTTTGTTACAAATAACTTTGGCTGGAGTACACTCAGTGTTTCCAATCTCTCCCAAAGCTTCCAGTTAATTTTATTACTGCTAAGAGCTGTTGGCAATATACTGCAGTTTATGTGAAGATAATTTAAATTTTGGAAACAATTCTGTAGAACAAAAAGCTGCTGGTAGGATATTTCAAGCCGAAATTTCAAGGACATTTGGCGCACAAGATGACCGTTGGTTCTGACAATACTTTGTGCGGGAATCGATAATTTACAGATATTTCTTAGTTGGCTAGTGTTTTCGATACTGAGACTTTCCCATAATACTTCTTGAAACGGTAGTGTCCATGATTTGCAAACGAGTGCGCATTGTCTTGAGAAGTCTTTTGATAAATGTTCTGCGATCTTGAGAAGAATTTCATACGGTAAGTTAGATGGCAGCATAGTATTATTAAAAGAGTAGAAAATAGTAGAAAGAAGAGTAGAAACCAGGTTTATAATTTTTTGATTGTTTGCATACATGTGTACGTGTGCTATTACGAGTATCAAAAACATAATATATATATACTATCATCCTCAGCCACACTCGGATCTTGTCCGATGTGTACATTGTGGCTGTTGAGTACATTATTTTCTCATGATTAGATTATTAATATCAAAATCTGTTATCCAATTCGATGTTTTGTCAAACATATATTCTTGCCACAAGCAGTTGGCAGTAACTTTACAAGAGCATAAAAGAGAGATAGAGAGAGAAATATATAATTATCTCTGTGATGACTTGTAGGTAGCACATTAAGTCGAAAGAGGCTGTTTATAGTTGAAGTGGAACAAAAAGAAAGGAAGGAAAAAAAAGATAAGCATTAAAGTTATATTAAATCACTACTACAGCCAATGCTCAATATAGTGATCTTAATTTTGAGACTTTTAGTCCTTTCCCTGTTAACTTTCTATATTTGTTTTTAATATAGTGATAGTAATAAAAAAACCAAAGCTACAATATACTACTGTATCAGGCGATTGATGTAATTTTGATCAATTATTTGAGGAAACCATGTCAAACAGCATTTAAATACGGATTACGATGCACACCATCAATTTATTCACACATTTAAAAACACTACTTAACATGTCTGTATTTAATCTTCCATTTTGATCAAAATAAGCATTTTTATTTAACAAATCTTCGTTTTAGTGATGAATTCAATAACTCTTCAAGGTATAACGTATTGCTTAAACTAAATGCGCTTTCAATGGTGCTATACTGCTGTTAAGTAAAAGTAAATAAGCTAGGGTGTGAAAAGCAGAAAGGTAGTTACTCTGAATTAATTTGGTGAAATAAATAGAAATTACTATGACCGTTGGTATTGACCCTCACAATATTGCAAAAAAGAAAGATCGCATATTATACTGTTTTACACCACGTATTTAAAAGTAAAAAGCCATTGGCTTCTCATAATAGATCATTCGAAGGAGTATTTGATAGTAAAGTCAAAGCCAAGATAATTTCAATAATAAAAATAGAGTGTATATATATACTCATTATTGCAAACAGTTTATTGTATGAATTACAGTCTATGCGTACACAGACATGCGTTCATACCATTCTCTTAAAGACTTTCCTCTGTTTGCATCATCCAATATTCTGGAAACAAATAATTCGTAATCGATAGCGTCCACGATCCTCAATTGAGAAGCCAATACAATGTCGGCCCATCCAACTAGAAGTGAATATTAAAACAGTGTTAAGTAATAAAAATAACAGATACAATAGTTTTTAATAGCCAATACGGTACCTTCAGATCCAGTCAAATAAGGAGTCTCTGCCAGAGTCTTTCTGAAGTCTTTCAATACATCTTGAACTGCCTTAATGCGATCCTCTGGATTTCCTGTAAGCTGCTCTAGTGACATTCCAAATTTGAATTCACAATCCTTTTTGAACTTGGCCTGCGAGGCCTCATCGCCGTATGCCTCGAATATTTTTAATCCAACAATACAGGTGAGATTAAGATTCAGGCCAATATCTAATGTCTTTTGGATAGATGTGTGTAGCTGCTCGTTTCCATGGAATACACTAGGGGTTTCGGGATATGTGGCTTCCAAATACTTTGCAATTTCGAAAGAATCCTGAATAATCTTGTTTTTCTCAACATCTATAATTACAGGTACAGTAGGAGTCTCGCCAGTCTTGCTGTAAGAGTAAAGAATAATGATGAGATTAGTAACTATATGTGTGTATATATATACATGCGCGCTTTACAGTGATAATATAGTAAAATAAAATATAGACTTACGTGATATCCGGAATTATAGTATGAACTTCTTGAAAAGTAACCCATTTTGTTTCATAAGAAAGACGCTAAAGGTGGTTTAAAACGTATTAGTTAAAAGTCGGATGAGTGTGGGTATATATATTGATATTGATATTGATATTGATATTTTGCTTGAGCACTGGGGATGATGGAGGGGTACCTTTATATTCAGTGTATAGCGTGTCTTGTTGGTATTTAGAGACCAACTTTTCTCTCCGAGAGCTGGAAGACGGAGATCATAAAATTGGATAGGCTTCGTAGACATAATGTAGATAGATGGTAAAGAGGTGTGAGAAACTAAAGAATATGAAGTTAATAATCCATTTGTATTTATAGTTTTGATGCGTATAATCGTTATTTCAACTTGAGTAGCATGTACTATATTTCGTCTTGCTTCAGTTTGGTTTACTTTCATATACATTTATCCTTACTTTTCTGTACCTTAATTCCTTGCCTAATAAGATAAATTGACATTTATTCGGTAATACAATGCTCTTGTGTATGGGTGTGTGTGTGTTTACAAAAAAAAGCCAATTGATTTGTAAGCAAATAGTCAAAGTTCTTATAGTACTAATGTAACTTTTTGAAAGAACATATAATTTAACAAACATGGCTTTTACTAGTTGGAACACCAATGTTATATCAAGGTCAAGGTCTATTTTATTAATTGGGTTTTTGGTTTTCGAAGAAGCATTGATTATTGATTATACACAACTGTATCTTCTTTTAATTGTATATTTCATGAATAGTATATCAGCCATAAATCATATATTTCAACGTGGACAATTTAAGAAATAAAGATTTTTCAATTTATGTTGTTTTTAGAGAGTAAAATACATTTGTATTCTAGTATATTGGATATCACTAATATTGACTTATACGTATTTGGCCATACGCTCATACCATTCCCTCAAAGTATTATCGCCCGGAACACCATCCAATATTCTGGCTTGGAAGACGTCATGGTTAAGAACGTCTACCATCACAAGGTATGAAAGCCATACAACATCAGTCCATCCCACTAAAACAATAAAATACAGTAATTGATTAATGAAAATATATTGTCAAATTTATATATTTCCATTTAAATGCGTATCTTAGCAACGCATACCTTTAGATCCAGACAAGTAAACAGACTTTGCTAGTTTAGCTCTAATATCCTTCAGTACTTCATTGGCGAGTTTAATTTTATCTTCTGGATTTCCGGCAAAGTTCTCAAGAGTAGTTCCGAACATGGCTTCACGAGTCTTTCTAAACTCGTTTTTGACAGCTTCATCACCAATTCTGTTTGCTATATTCACGATAACAAGACAGGAAAAAGGCATTGATAACATATCAATGCTTTCTTGGGCAGCCTTGTATAAAGCTTCATTTCCATGAAAAAGACTGGGGGCGTCAGGATAGGTGGCCTCAAGGTACTGAGCAATTTTCCACGAATCTTGTATGACAAGGTTTTTACTGGTATCCACAATAATGGGAACAGTTGGAGTTTCGGTGGTCTTTCTATAAGCAGAAAAGAAAGAAAAATGGAGAAAACGTATGTTAGCTGTCAGTCATGCTTCAAAGACGAAAAATACGCAAGAATAGCGTGTATTATGGCGTAACTTGACTTACGTCAATTTAGGAATTACAGTTGGGATCTCCCCAAGTTGAACCCACACAGTGTCAAATGGAATACCCTTTTATAAACACACAAACACATACATATAAGTATATATATATATACTTGATTAGAATATATATATATATATATTCGTAGCTTTTGGATTATGTATACTGGTTTTTTTTGTATTTACCTTGATGTTTAAAGAAATACGGGCTTTCAAGGTATTAGGAGACCCGCACTTCTTCTCAAAGTCGTTGAGTGCGAGATCATAGAGCTTAATTGACTGCATTGGGTTGATACGTGTAGTAAGGCAATAAAGAAAGTGTATGGTACAATTTCAAAAAGGTTACTGAACTGAGTATTTATATATATTATTTTTTCTAAAAACAAAATGGCTTATCAAACTTAAGCATATTCTTTGTTTTTCTTGTTTTAATGTAAAATTGGTAGGTGTGTATGTATATAGGTAGGTAGGTAGGTAGGTAGGTAGGTAGATATTTTTTAAGGCGTACTCTTTGTCGCAAAATATGCTATTACCTTTAAGAGGTTTGAGCATATTCTGAACACAGAGGGAAGGTGTACGTATTCATTACGAATCAACCTTTAAATCGCTAATCTTAAAATGTCCCATAAATGTACAAATCTTGAACACTCACCTAACCGAGTGTTTGATATCAACTCAATTGCTTACTAATTCGTTTTTTTTATCTAATAAAAAGATTTAAAATAATGACTCCCAAAGTCCCCCCCTCTCCCACCCTTCCCAATTCAGTCCTTGTTCAGTTTCACTAATAATATATATATACATGACGAGGGTTTAACTATTTTCTTATAAGCCACGTTGATACTCAGGAAACTTTTACACATTTAATGTGAAACTATTAATCTCTAAATACAAATGTCTTTAATATTTGTAAGATCATATTAGGGGTTGTATTAATGATTTACTAGGAAGTCAATAAATGTACAACTAATTTCATTAGAACCCTAAAGCCGCGCCCTCCCACTCCCCTCTCATTTTATTAGAATTATATTCAATGAACAATAAAGCACAAAATATTCTTTTTTGAACAGGGTTTTTAGAGCAAACAATCAGAAAAAGTAGACATAGTTGGGATGGACACACTAAAAGCTCAGAATTGTAAGCTGTATTATTTAATGAGAGTCTAAAACAAGAGTTCAAACAACTATGTCTGGTTTTCTTTTATTGTCCATTGAATTGAGAAGATTATGCTTTTGAAGGAAGATATGCTCTTCAGGCCCTTCAAATCACCTAGTACGTGGTGCAATTTGCGGCTGTTTTTGTTTGTCTTGTCCTGTCTTGTCTTGTCTTGTTATGTTTTTTTTTTGGAAATTACATCATCTTATAACCCGCCAGAAGAAAAAGCTCATGGTCAAATCTTCATCGACTTTGCAGTAAAATTTCGTATTAAGAAACAAATCCTTACTCCCAGAATCCCACTACCTCCCAGAGAACCTGTTCCTGATAATCCCTTTTCTCAGCTTATGACCGGAATCTCCGCCGTTCCTCACCAATCTCAACAATTTTCATTCGTCCGAAGCTGTGCCCAGTAGGACCAACTTGGTCTGGTGTTGCTGTACATTCTGGACTCATCAATGGATCGTCCAAGTTTCTAAAAGGAATTAATCTTTGTAGTTTTTGACCCTGTTGAGACCCCCCCAAAAAAAAGACCCTGGTGCTATCAGCCTCTAGTTACTTATTCTTGATTTTTCTGTGACCTTTTATTATTTCTTATATGCCTATTTATCCAGTATTCTTACCAGCTGTATGATTTACTTTAGTTTAATATTTCTCAAGCCCTTTTTCCCCTCAATGGGGGTTTTTTCAGTGCTCTTTTACTTCTAGGTGGACTAGTATTTTTTTGGTCTGCCTTGTTAATTTTTTTTGTTTCTTGATTTATTTCTTTACATATTCCCCTTCATATTTAGGGCTTTTACTTTTTATTTCATTTCAATTATTCCTCGGCTCTCATTGAGTCGCATACATGCTGCAGTGTGCAAGGCCTAGAAAACCCCGTAATAAAGTATTTCCACCTGGGTACTGCTACTATATCAAACTTTGACTGTACACTCCAACTAAACAATAACTTGGTGTCTGAGATCTTCTTTTTAAATATATATAAAAATAAGACTAATTATCCAGTACAATAGTCGTGTACTTTAACTTTGTAAAGAAAAAAAAATTAACAAAAACAAATAGGGAGAGAGAACGTTATTTCATAAAGTGAATTTTTTTACTTTTTTTTAAAATATAAACAAGACTAGATGAAACAAAAACCCAAATCCAAGACTTTTTGCCTTTACACAGAGAGAAATTGATCAGGAATCAAACCGTAGTAAGATCGATAAGATAACTGGGAAAACTAGATGAGGTTTAGTTGAGAAGAAGAATAAGAGAAATGTTAATTGTTTATAAAGATATCAAATTTGCACAGTAACGTACGGCATTACATGGCATTATATGGAATTATATGGCATTATATGGCATGGCATGGCATGGCAAGGTACGGCACGGCACGGCACTGCACTGCAAGGCACGGCAGAGTACGGCACGATATAGCAAATTTAACTGTTTCGGGATCTATTTTTATCTGCTTCCGCTACAAACCCAAAATAATATATTTAATGTCCTAATAAAATAAAAAGTGATAAAGATTGTATATTAAAATACCGAACATAAAATTTAACAAAAAGAGAAATTATTTGTATACCAGGATATCGGTTTACAAAATCTAATTAAGCTCAGTATAGTCTGGGGTTATAAATAACTATATGCATATATAAACAATATAAAAAAAAACTCAATACCTCAATACCTTAATACCCCAATATTTAATCTGATGCTACTGCTCTTTCTTCTTCTTCTTCTTCTTCTTATAATTCTTTTTATATTAAAAAGATCTTTATGAAAGCCACTTTGGCTTTACTTTAGTTTGTATAAATTGGTGGTATAAAATATATTAAGCTTATTTTATCAAGTTCAGTTTCATTATTAACCATTTTTTTATTAAAGATGTATATTATGCAGAATGATATATATATATTCAAATGTTACATTAACAGCTTGCTAGTCCTGTTTAAGTATTGCTATACATACATAAAGCAATATGCCGTTGTCTATGCAAAAGAATTTTTAAAAGAGGGATCTACCGATTAATCTATACACAGAAAGAAATGAATCATTTATTTACTGTCTAGAAAACCATTAAGGTTCTTTCCTTCCTTCATCATTATCTCTTCCTATCTTTTTTATTGTTATATTTATATTTATATCTATATGCAGATATGTCTGATTACAATTACTTTTTTTTATGGACCCATTTACTAGGTTTAATCTAATTCTGGGACTTATGTGGCGTCGATCGGTGGCACACCAGGTTTGGCTAATTCTAGCCAGGCTAAGCCAAGTCAAGCCCCGTCTGGTCGCAAGGGCTTCAATGTCATTAACTTGTTCCACATAGCCCAAGATCAGGTGAATTATCATGTATGACTTCAATAATTACTTGCCACACATGCACACAAGAAGTCAAGACCTACAAGCCACAATAGTTTTGGGCTATCTACTGGGATTGGTGAGAAAAGAAAATGGATCATTTGTAATTTTATAATCAAGCTAACTGACTCTGATGTTGTACTTCAAGATTTTATTGAAAATTAATGTTATTGCAAAAATAATGAATAAAATAAACGAATGCTTATAGATTATTATTATTAATTATTCTTTGGTTTTTGTCCGTTTTAGCCCACAGTGTGTACAAATATTGACCAAAAATAATAATAATGATCGTCGTTTAGAGAGTGTCTGTGTTTGTGTAAAGGTTTATTAGCTTTAATTATTATTATTTTAAAAACAGAAAGAAAGAAAGGCGGTTATTGATGGTACTCGGGTTTATTGTCCTTTCAAATCAGTACGATAATGACTTGACTTGATTAAAGCCAATGAACTCGACCAATAGACTTTACCGTATTGAATGTTGTCAAAGAAAAGTAAGATATATTCAATAGGAGCTCTAGTCCTTTTTTCTTTATTTTGCAATGTAGCATCTAGAAAGGCGGTTGAATTTTTTTTTGTTTAAAGTCTGAACTGATTTTATCATTATCATCATCAAAGCAAAATATACAGTTGATGATTAAGTGATATTATCAAAGGGAAGAAACAAAAAGGTGTGTTGTCAATCTAATTGCTACTGTTTCTTTGATTGGCAATACCTTTCCCTTGTCTGCTCTTCTCTAATTTGATCTTCTTTGCTGGGATCTGGTCAACCCACTTCATTCTATCAGTAAAATAGCAATATTCAAACCTTGTTTGTAATTTTATTAAAGTGGAGCTTTTATTATAGTGTGTGTGTGTCCTTGTGTCCTTGGATCTTTGTGTTCTTGTGCCTTTGTGCTTGTGTTTATCTGGTAGGAGAACCTAAAGCAAAATCTGATAGGAAGTATATTTCTTTATTTCTTTCTTTCCGTAGTCAACTACAATACAATTCTTTAAAGTGGTTGAATGAGGGAAATTACAGACTTTTATTGCCATAATTGAACAACAGGACAATGAGGAGGTCGAGTAAATCAACTAAAGGTGTATGAGGACATTTTTTAAGAGTAAAATCAAAATCAAAGTCAAAGCTAAAGTTAAGATCAAAGGCCTACAAGTAAATCAAAAGACTTTATATTGTTTTTGCTTGCTTGTTTGTAGTATTACAGAGGAGAATTAATACCAAGGTTAGAGGGTTGTACATTATTCTATTGCAGTAGTAAATGCAAACAATTCGTTTAGTTTTTCTTGTATTGAAATGACTGATCTATTGATATTTGATTTGCACAGGGGAAATACTCAGTAAGCAAAACAAACAAACAAATAAATACATAAGTTTGAATAAACTATTTTACACCCACACCCATACAAATGATATTATATATGTATAAATTTAAGCTTGGAAATATCAGGTCCAAATAAATAAATATAATACACCAAATAATTAGCCCTATTCCAATTCCAATTCTTTCTTGCTCTTTCTCTTGTTCTTTGTCTTGGTCTTATTGTATTTTTAATGGTAATGTTTCTAATAATAGATTCTAAAGAAGTGTCTATACAATTTGGCTGAGAAAGGATATAGATGTATTAGTATCATTATGCTTTTACAAAGTATTTTAAATATATTTTGTATATACATATACATATACATATATATATATATATATATATATATATATATCTTCAGCCATATTTATTATTTACTCTACAGCCCTCTCTCTCTCTCTCTATCTGTGTGTGTATGTGGCTTGTATATATGTTAAATAAATAAGTATATATATATGCAGAAAATGGAAGCCACCCCTTTGATGTTTGGTGATTAAAGAAACAATTGTGAATGTTTATATATGTATATATTTCAGTATAGATTGGCAGCTTTCTTTCTTTTGAAGGGGGGGTTACTTATGAGTTCAATGCTAATATATTTAATATATAATATTTATTTATTTATTAAACAAAGACTAATCAATATTGGTATCATGTATTGTTTGTTTGAGGTATAGAATATTCGTACAATAAATAAAGGCACCACATTAGAGGCTTTCAAATATATACTTTTATATGCTATAATATGTTATTTATTTAAAGCATGTGGTTCGACGGATATAAAGATGAAACTGTTGAACACAAGAAAGAAAGAAACAAAAAAAAAGCCGTGGTCATCGGGACAAGAATTAAAATATTTTAGGGTCAAAACAATTACACATTTATTTTAGTTTGGTTTAAGCAAAATCATCTTCTTCTTCTTCCTTCTTCCTTCTTCTTCTTCTTTATACATATATTGTAGATATTCAAGACACAATAGAAGAGAGCTTCATTACCATCATGTTGAGCTCAAATGAACCAAACCAAAAAAGTCGACCTTGGTTACTAGGCTGGCTATCATACTTTAGCCATCGCACATCTCCAGACACACCACAGGTGTTTATTAACCCTTCCTGTGCCAACGAAGACTGCACAAAGGACTTTAGATCCTATTCAAACCCTATCCAAACATCTCCTATCCTCTCCACAAACTCAGTAGCATCTAGTCCAACATCAAATGAAGATTATATCCGACAACACATCTTTAACAGCCACAACTACAACCACAACCATAGCCATAGCCATAGCCACAACTACGGCTACAGCCACGGTCCCAACCAAAACCAAAATCAAAGTCAACCCCACCAGCCTCGACAAAGCCTTACCTTGTCACTCACATCAGAGCGTCGAAACTCACAGCAGACAAATGCTTCGTCAGTCATGTCAGAAGACCAATTCTCATCAGCATCCTGCCACCAACGAGACTCCAAAGAAAGATCACGCCTTGGAGAACTCTGGTCAAAAGCACGTCGCAAACATCCTCACTATCCACGCTTTCATTGGCCACACCGTCTCCGCTCTTCACTCGCGTCTACCACATCCCTGAGCCATGAAGATCCTCACGAATGTTTACAACAACAGCAGCAACAACAGCAACAAATGGACCAATATCAACAACAATCTCCACAATTCTTACAACAGCAACAACAGCAGTCAGACTCTGGTCGTCTATACCTTTTACCATCCATTCAACAATATTCGAAGCGACAGTCGATTGGATCTCTTATCTCGGGTGACCTCCCTCCTGTACCTTCACGTCCATCATCTGTATTTTGCTCTCAACCAGCATCACCAAACTTTGCTGCCCTGATGAAAGACGGCTGTTTGTTTGATTATGAAGATGACGATATCGAGCCTTGTTCCTTGGAACCACCAAGTATTGACCGATGGACAGTAAAGCAAGAACTAGTACAGCTTGCACTTGATGGGTAAAGTGTTTAATTTTTATTTTATTTTTATTTTTATTTTTTGCTTGCTTGCTTGTTTGTTTATTATTATCGCTGCTTATGTATACACTCACCCACCTATAGAATAAAGAGAAAAATTATATATTGTACTTTAATGAACAAAGAGAATAAGGTGGGGTGTAGTTAAGTAGAGATGATGGTTATGATGATAGTAAACTTAGATAGGGATTTTTTTTCTCTTTTTCTTTACTCTACTATATAATTTTTTTTTTGTATCCTGCTTGGTTGTCATGGTGACCTAAACCTTGTTCTTTTTCGTTCTTTAGTGTATTTTGTAGCCCGATTGACGCACACACGGCTTCTTTGGATAGACATGTGTTACAAGTTGGGTAAGCTCAATAATTATATTATAGGACTGTTTGTCTACTTGTCTGTTTATGTGTACCAGGGTGTAATTTTTTTTTTAAAAAAAAATTGGGTTTTGTGGAATTGATACCAAGCAAAGAAAGTAATGATGAAATATAAAATCTTTAGATGTGGTGATGCTTCTTGGGCTATCAATGTAGCATTAGAGTATCCAAAGTCAATAGTTGTAGCCATGGATGATCGTGAGGGTGGACCACCTCCAAACAGACGGACTGTACCTCGGAATTTCAAGTTTATTCGGTGTTATCACACTCTTCTGGATGGACTGAGAAGCATGCCGGATCATGCATTTGATTTGGTTCACGTTCGATTCCTACTGCTGTCCTACACTGGGGCTGAATACCAGGCACTGATCAATGAGTGTTGGCGGGTCTGCAAACCTCAGGGATTTGTTGAGATTATCGAGATGGATATGAGAATGTATTTTGGAACGATTCGTGTAGACACTTCTGCAAGTCAACGGCTCAACTCAGAAGGTAAAGAAAAAGAAAAGATATATTGGGGCTGTGTTTACTGACAACATAAGATATAATATTTTTTACGCTACAATCAAATTTTATTATCACTAGTGATTCATGTGATCGAATCTAGATCTCTTGATCCTCGTTTGGCTAGACGACTACAAGATTTCTTCCATGATCTCAAACAACTCGGCCAGAGCACTTCTGCATACACTTCCCTGCCACTGGGAGTCTGGGGAGGAAGGCTAGGTGTGATGTTTAGAGAAGACGTGGAGACTCTGTTCAATATCTTCCAGCCAAGTGTAGCTGATCTCAATGATACAACCGAGCGTTCTGAGCAAGATATGGATCATCAATTTGAAAAGGTCAACCGTGAGATGGAGCAGAGCAGAGCATTTATGAATCTTCATTATGCTTATGCTCAAAAGCTTTAAAACACACAATATATATGTATCTTTGTAATTTTGCTTTTATTCTTTCATTTGTACATTTCACATTCTGTTATATTTTATATTCCTTGCTATTTTCATATCACTATTCTTTTCTTGTAATTTTTCTTTATTAATTAATTAATTAATTATTTATTTATTTATTTAATTATTATTCCTATTGTGATTATATCTTTTATATATATATATATATATATATATATTATACCTTCCTTTCTTTTACTATTACATTCTATTCACTTGATAATTTACCCACTTGTATACCTATATATCTAATCATAATAATAATGGTAGTAAAATGGAGGAGAAAGAATGAATGGAAGATTGGCCCTTGTACTGAGCTATCTCTGACAAAGTATCGGACTCACGTGACAAACAGAGTCACAGTGTCAAGTATAAACAAAAATGTTGGATTTAGTCCTACTGCTCTTCATTTCTAAAGTCAAAGAAGAAGAAAAATGTCGTTCTACAATGCCGGCATGCAGTCCCAGCAAATGGTGAATCCCCAAAACATTGCCATGGCAGAGCAAGAACTTGAATCAGTAACCGACCTTTTCAACCGGTAAATGATAATAATAATTAATTAATTAACTAATAGTGTGTATAAACTGGATAATTTCTTATTTTCAATACATATATATATATATACATATATATGACTTGTGATAAATTTCTAACTATTATTATTATTATTATTATTGCTAGTATTGCTGAATCGTGTCATACAAAGTGCATCTCTACAAAATATACTCAAAGCGACCTTACTCAGGGAGAGGCTGTCTGTATTGACCGTTGTGTATCAAAGTTCTTTGAAGTCAATGTCAAGATTGGAGAGAAGATGCAAAAGATGGGACAAAATTAGAAAGAAATTGAACAAAAAAAAAAAGAACAAAATAAAATAAAATAATTAATTAAATAAAGATATATATATATATATATATATGTGTAGAGAGAGAGAAATATAAAATAAGAAATAAGGAGAGGAGAGGAGAGGAGAGGAGAGGAGAGGAGAGGAATTTTCTGTATTATTGGTATTGAATTGAATTGAAAATTTAATTTAATTTTTTTTTTTTATTGAGGAACATTAGACAGATATACAAAGCGCACAGAAAGAATATCAAGTGTTTAATATATTTATAATAAATGTCAATAAACCAAATATATGTGTGTGCGCAGTGTATGTGCATACAAGATCTCTGTTGTTCTCTGTATGAGTTGGATTGTACTGAAATACATAATAAGATACAGTCAGATAAGACAGATAGACAGACGTGTATTTAAGAAATTAGGATATAAAGATATACATTTGAACGAAGCTTTATGTGGCTGGAATGACGTCTTTAGCAAGCCAATTGCAGAATTTAGTGTTAGTGTTAATGTGCTGATGTTAGCACTGGTGCTTATAAGAGTGTTTATTATAATGTATATTTAGATATTTGAAAAGGAGTGTAATGATGTTTCGTTCCTTTCACTTATTAGCCAAAAACAGGAAATAATTGTGCATTGATTTTTTTTTTAAAAAGATATATATCTTGTAACTTTATATAATTTATATATAAAGAAAACAAAAGAAGGAAAAGAAGAAAGAAATGTAAAAAGTATATAAAAAAAAACTTGTTTTGTTGAATAAAATATTTCTTGCCGACAACAAGGGAGATGTATATATAAAAGAAATAAAGGGATGAACGGAAGGAATAATGGAAGGAAGGAGGGGTTGTATAGAATATACCATATGGAAGAAAGAAGAAAGAATCTTATTGCTTGAATGATCGTATAATTTAGAGATCAAGAGAGAATCGATCTGAGCAAATTCGATTATAGTACTAATATTATTTATTACAGAAGATTCTTATTTATTTTGATTTAACAAAAACCAAACTGCATCTACAGATATTATACAAAATTGGCTGATAACCGATTCAGGTAAATTCATGGAATAAACCCACAATGGTCTAAACCCTTCAACTCCGAAGTCTAAAGAAGTATAGCGGCAAATAAAGAAATACTACAAACAGAAGAAGAAGAAATTAAGAATCAAATCGAAATCATCGTTACCATGGGAATTGATTGATGATGATGAAAATATATATATATATATATATATATATATAAAAAGAACAAAAAAAAGAAGAAAAAGAACAAAAGAATAAAAAAATAAAATAATTTAGACAAACAATTTTAGGACTGTAATGAATGTGCTGTACTACAGAACCTTTTGTTTTATTTTCTCTCTTATTTTCTTTTACTTTTTAATTTATAATACAAAATATACAAAATATCAATCTTAACAAGCAACCAAGCAAAAGAGAGACAACAAATAAATGATCTTTTTATATATACATATTTAAATAGAATAAGAAATTGCTGTTGATTTGGTACCCAATAGAATTGAATACATTAATATATATATATATTGTGTGTGTATAAAAATAGCGATAGGAAAATAAAAAAATAAAAAAATAAAAAATAAAAAGGAAAAAAATGGAAAGAGAATGGTAAAAGCTTCTTTCTTTTTCTATATATAATATATATATATATATATAAATACTGTAGCCTGCAAAACCAAAACCAAAAACCAAAATCAAAATCAAAATAAAAATAAAAAATTATATATATATATATATTAAGCATAAAAAATATGTGTAGTCCTCCCCACAAACCATCCTCTAGTCCTCTTCTCTTCTCTTCTTTCTCTCCAATGAACTACATCAGCCCTCTCAGACGTACTCACTCTCGTCGCCAGAATCGATTCAACCACACAAGCCTAACTACCTCTGACCGCAGCTTTGTCGAATTCATCCGTTGTCTTTCCAAAGCAAAGGGTCTCGTCCACGACCTCCAGTTATTCAACCAGCTTGTCTGTCCTGTACTTGGCTCAGCAACACTGCCGACAACACTAGGATCATCATCAATTCCATTTCAAATAGAACCTTCCTCACGCAGACATTTGATACAACACATCAACTCATATCTCAACAGCACATTCACAAGATTCTCACACCTCTGCAAGGCACTACTCATCATACTCACAAAAATCGAAGCAAACCACCCTGTCCGCAAAGAGCGAATCGACTCCTTCCGTCAAGACGTACATGACCAATGGCAGACTGCGACAAAGATTCGGACAAGTCTCCTATTATACATCCAACCTTTTCGATCTCTTCCGTTACCGATCTCTTACAGTACTTCATCTACCATCTAAGCTCAACCAAAACCAAAAGGGACAGCATTTTCTTTTGTTAAACTGCCATTATCCCATTATTCTTCTTTACCAAACACATTACACAAAATCTATCTATATTCCCCATTTCTTTGTCCTTTTGCCAATATTGTACATACGTTCTTTCCTCTTTTCATTATCATTAATATACTATCCTTTATTATTTTCTTGTACCATAAATAAATAACTAGCTAACAAATCATTTCATTTCATTTCATTTCATTTCAATTAAAATCAAATCAAATCAAAAATAATAATACATTTTTCTTCCTTTTCTTCTTTAAGCGCACGCCTTAAAATAATACTACTATTGCTACTATAGAAAATACCAAAAAATGAAAAATAATAATAAAAACATCTTAAGAACATTCCACATCCTTCTACTTGCTTCTATGCGCCTGAGTTCATATTTTACACTTCCTATATTAGGCTTTCATTTGATCACAGATCCTTTGTTACAGATAAAGTATAAAAATGTATATTATATTATTTATATATAAAAAATATATATGATGTATTTTGGTTGCTTGCTTGCTTGCTTGCTTGGTTGGTTGGTTGGTTGTGTATGTATTATATATATATATATATATATACTATATATCTATTTCTTTTTACTGTCCACCGTTGCTGGTGCTGCTACAGACAGTCTTGTGTCCAGACTTCCAGTGCTCCTTTTGGCACTCACGCGAGCAGTATGCAACACGCTGGCATTGTCCACAATGCTTAAAGCTATTTTCTTCTTCCTCGACCTTTTGGCAACCGCTGTTACCACACTTCTTATGCTTCCCACTCTCAGATGTGGCTGTGGCTGTAGATGTGGACGTAGCGGCCTCCTTGGCCAACTGACGGATCAATTTCTCCTTGTCTGACTGGCTCAGCTTCTCAAAAGTGTCTGCGTTCTCTTTCTCGAGTGCAACCTTGGCTGCCATCTTGGCACGCAGAATACGCACCAGGTAGTTGTAAGCCTCAAGCTCACCACGGATCAATGCCAGTTCCATATAGTTCTGAGCCTTGGCCATATCGTACAATCCATACTCTTTAGATCCAAAGATCAAACCCAGCATCAGCATTGCATCAGGATCACCACTGTTAGCAGCATTCTTTTTTTTATATACAAGAAAATATATATTATTATTAGTTTATTATCATTTTTTAAAAAAAATAAAATAAAAAAATTACCTCCATAAGCTCCATTCCAGTAATAACGTACTCTTCAGGATCATTACCAGGGTTACCAGCATCAGCTGCTACCTTGCTGTCCTTGGACATCAAAAGATAAAGTCTACCCACTTTATACAAATAAATTTATAGCTCATTAGTTTAGGAACTACCTCATCTAATCTTCCCTCTCAATAAAAAAACAAAATTAAATACAGGTACTTACAAGCATTTGAAGAGGGAGCATAACCCCACTGCTTGGCACGCTCAAAATAAGAAATGGACTTCTCAAGGTCCTTGATATTAACTGTAGCTCCAGAGTTTCCCTGGTAAATGATTGCCAGGTTGTGAGCAGAATCAGGATAACCTTATTATCAATACATGAACCATAGCATAATACACATTTTTTGTTATAAGTGAGTAGGTTAGTGGAGAGGTCAATTTAATGTTCTTTTTTTTTTACCTTGTTCATAAGCCTGTTCATAATATTCAATAGCACGCTTAATATCCTGCTTGCAGCCAATACCATTTTCATAAAAGAATCCGAGCTTGTGACATGCCATCTAATAAATGAATCATGCACCCAAGAAAAAAAAAGTATTAGATAAAAGCATGACATGATATATAACACTCAAATAAAAACAAATAAAAACAAAACCACAAGACAACTATATCCGCACTTACTGGATTGCACTTATTGGCAGCCTTGGTATACCATTCTAGTGCCAATTTCTTGGGATCCTGGCCAGGCAAGTTCTTGCCTGAAGCCAACTTCTCTTCCTGGGTGTAGAGCGATCCGATCTGGACAGCTGCCATAGTATAGCCCTTTTCAAATGCACGTTCCAGAAGACGTTTGGCTCCTGCGAAATTAGGGCTGGCCACCGGACTCAGGCTGGCTCTGTCCTCTGGTCCAGAAGGTTCACGGCGAAGACCACCATACAGCAAACTGCCCAACAACAGATCGTGCACACTGCAGTCTTTGTTCTTTTCGTCCAAATCGAGACCCTTGGCAGCCTTGTCGATGTCCATATCAGTCTCTGAAAGAGCCTGGACAGCCTCTTGCTGGACTGTCTCGAACAAGGTACATTCATCGACATATTTAACATTGGCACGTTCAAGCTAATTTTCCACCCAAAAAAAAAAAAAGACAAAAAAGACAAAAAACCAAAAAAAAAGGGTATATTTTTATTTAATACACACAGGTCATAGATAGATACATATATACATATGAATTAAATTTTCTTTTAAATAAATAATAATATGATATGATATGATATGCATATAAATTTGAATTATAATTAAATTAAATTAAATTAAATTACTATTTATTTATTTATTTATTTATTTTTATTATATATATATCTCTTTCTCTTAATTTTTTTGGTACCTTTTTGGCAACACTGTTACGCTTCTCATATTCCTGAGAAAGTTGCTGGGCAGCAATAGGCATTGCAGTAGGCAGCTTTTGAGCAAACTCGGGATCGGTTTCATTGTACAGGGCAACCAAGAGCGAAGATTGCTGCTGAGTCAAACCCAAGAAAGCTGGGATTTCAGAGGCAGTTGAGTTCATGCCATCGTCCATAACTTGTGCAGTTGCTTGAATCTGTGCCATTTCGAAACTTTTTTATATATATTATATATATATATATATAATGCTGATTAGATCACATTAAAAAAGATGTTCCAAATCTTGCAAGTAGAAAAAAAGATGACAATTGTGACAGCTTAATACATATGTCACGGCTTTTTTTCTTATTTTTATTTATTTTTATTAGAGAAAGAGACACAGATGTTAGAAAAATGTGTGTGTGTGATGTCTTTTTTGGACTTTTGCTATACTTCTAAAAAAGGATATATTATGCTTTTTTAAAACACATACTCTAATAAAAAAAATAATACATATCAATGCTGAAATATAACAGTGAATATTTGAAAATGAACAAACTTAACTCAATAAATAAATACTAGGCACCAGAAGCAATGGGAGTAGTAACAGTGGCAGTGGTAGTAGTAGCAGTAATAGAGAAAGTGTAAATCAATGTTCGAATACGTTTTACAAAGCGTTAAGAAATAAAACTTTTTGAGTTACCGCTGGTAACAGAATGATAAAAATTAAATCCCATCTGTACAAGACTCATAAATACTGCTATATTAGGATATTATATTAAACAAACGCCACAATCCCCGTATAATCTGGGATTACAAATATCAAAAAATTAACAAAAAAAGTAATAAAAAAAACACACAAAAAAAAAATATAAAAAAAATTCAGAAAATATTTTGTCAAGTCAAAGCGTATTTTACATAATTTAGATGAACAAAAGAAAAAGCACAATGAAATGGATCAAAACCGAGATTAAAGTCGTATATGTACCAATAAATTGTACTCATATATTATATTATTATTGCTGTATATATGGCTAATCTTAACATATACACACAATAGTGGTAAGGAGTGATTTTAATACAATCAAAGCACAAAATTATGATGACGTATGTATACTTTTTCGATGTTAATTAAACGTCGAGTTTTTTTTTTTTTTTGCTGGCCTTATTTTTCTTCTTCATTTATATATATAAAAATACAAAATAAAATATGCCTCCTAAAAGAAAGACCAGAGCAGCCGCAGCAGCCGCCGCAGCCGCAGCAGAAGATACAACCACAACCACAACGTTAGATAAAAAAGAGACAGAAACACCAGTCGTCTCTCAAAAAAGCATCCCAACCAAGACCGAGACTATTACAGAGACGATCGTTGAAGAAACTACCGAGACATCCAAAGGCAAACGCAAGCGGACCACAACCCAATCGAAAGTTACTGTTACTGTTGACAATAGTGCACAAGATGCATCAGAGGAATCAGAACAAAACGTAGGATCGGATGATACCAAAATGATTGAATCCAATGACAAGACAAACGAAAACGAAAAATCTCAAAACCTCGAATCTGGATCCACAACAAGCGTAAACAATAACAACGATGAAAACAGCACTGATAATAGCAATGATGACAATAATGATGACGAGGCACAGCCAGCTACTCCTAAAGGAGCATTAGCCGAACGCATGGAAAAGCTCAAAGCATTGAAGCGACGACGAGTAAGAAATTACAAATCCACACTATATACATAAACTAAAACTAAAACTAAAACTAAAACTATTTAAAATTTAAAATATGAACAGTATTGATGATTGTGAGAATGTTTCTTTTTATTAATTTTATTATTATTTATAAAGGTTACCGAGGTGGAACAAGGAAATCGTCGAGACCGTAATCTTGAGTTTCAGCGTAGCAAAGAGAATCCTAGATTGGATGCAAGGAATGAGAGAAAGAAACAAGAGTCATTGAAACTGAAAGAAAAGCAGGTAACGTAACGTAATTAACGTTTATACATACTACATTATACTGCACAAAACAACTATTTGGCTACTTTAACTGTCGTTATTATTGTTATATATTATTAAATTAATAATAATGCTTTTTTTTGTTATATTTGATTTTTTTTTACTAGGACGCTAAAGATAATGGTGAAGATTATGAAAGAAAACAGTTTTGGAAATACTCGGCAGAGTCGGTTGATTCTTGGGAGAAGAAGATGGCCAAGAAAGCAAAGATGGCCAACAATGGATTTACTGGTAAAATAATAATAATTTGCAATATTACCACTATAAAAAGAAAGAAAGAAAGAAGAAGAAGAATAAGAAGAAGCCTTTGGATCCTCCATACACACAGACATTCACACTTTTGCTCTTTGTAGATCATACTCAGGCTGCCCACAAAAAATACATCAAGTTAATGTCAGACTTCAAACCTGACATGAACTCATACGCTGAAAAGAAATTGGAAAGCATTGAGCGTGCTATTCGAAATGGAGAAGATCCCTCAGACTTTGCTTCTGCTGCCAATAACCTTGAATACGCTTCTGTAACCGACAAGACATCCAAAGAAGCAATCGAGCGCTTGGCCCAAGACACCAAGAAACAGTAAGTCAAATATATATATGCGCGCGCGCTTGTGTTTGTATATTCTATTGAATTCATTATAACCTCGCTTTCTTTCTTTCTTTTACTTTAATAGGATCATTCAACGCGAGACCCGTTCGCGTGATCGCAAGGAGTCTTCTGATGATATTTCGTGGATCAATGAAAAGAACCGCGTCTTTAACCAAAAGATTTCCAGATTCTACGATAAATATACAAGAGAAATTCGCGAGAACCTCGAGAGAGGAACTGCACTGTAGTATAATATATTTTGTCTTTTTATTATTATTATTATTTTTTTGCTGTTACTTTTCTTTCTTTCTTTCTCTTTCTCTCGCCTTTTTCTTCTTTCATACTTTGCACAAAACCCTACAAAGAAGCTCAATACACACACACACACGTGCACATGCACACACAAACACACACACACACACACACATATATATATATATGCTCTTTATAATTTTCTATGAAGATTAATGAAGATATGTAGTATGCTGTTATTATTCGCATTACTTGAATTATATTAGCACGCACAGCAGTTGGTTCCAATAACCCCCTAGTAAATAACGCGTATACTCTCTTATAACTTGTTAGATCGATATAATAAATGATGTAATTATTATGGGGTTGGCTTGCTAGTAGCCAGTTTGTAGAAATTTTAACTTTTACAAGTATATATATGCGCATGTACACGGTGTAAATATGATTGTTTCCGTTTCTTTTTTTATTGGCTCTGACTACAAGCTATATTGTTTTTTGGGGATCCTTTGGTATCTCAAGAAATATTCGAGCGTGCAAAAATGGGATATTTTGATGAGTATTTAAACAATGAAGGTAAAATAAAGTTTTAAAGATGGACCTCAATGGGCTTAACCATGTTACTTGATACAATCTAAAATGTTAAATCAGAGAGTATTGCTATAAAGCCAGATTTTATATATAATAGTAATAATAATAATAATCATTTGAATGAAAATAATAACCATAGCATTATTGTGTTTGATTATGACAATGCATTTTTAACAAATCTTTAAAAGCAAACCAGATGGATGAATACGGCTATACAAGAAGAATAAAAGATATTATGGGCACGATGATTTCAAATAATACGATGTACATATTATACATTTATCAACTTTGAATGTTTAATTTCTATGCTACGTATTTATTTTGACGTTGCAAATTATAAACTAGAATCAGTCCAGATAAATACATAGTTTAAACCAGACTTAATCACCTCTTCTACGCTTAAAGATTAGGCATACTTGAAATCGTTTCTTTCCGGTTGGTGTTGACTGTTATTGGTCAATGTTTAAATAAACACTGTACTTGAGAGTCAAATATCTAAAACTATTGAAACACATTAATATATATATATATATATATAAAGACCTAAACAAATAATAGGATGTTTCAATTTTTTTTTTAAAAAAAAATTAGTTTCAGGTGTTAAATCTTAGCCAATGCGAGTCGATATCGAAGAAAACTGTAAAGTGCGCTTAGCTTTTAAGCTCGGACGTAGGTTGTTGAACCTTTCTATTGTTTTGCTCAAATCAGATTGTATTTTTTGGATATAATTTTTTTGTTTTTTTTTAGTTACATAAGAAGACATTGATTTCTGTACAAACCTATAAGAGTTGTTGATTTTTCTCTCTCTATAAGAACCAGCAATGCTGTACACAGTAGAAATGAAAACAAAAATATAATAGAATAACATAGAAAGAGGAATACTGGTATTAAAGAATAAAAGAATAAATAAGAGGTCCAGTCAGAGGAGATTGGAACATTTAAACGTAGACTGCAGGGACTTTCATAATTACCAACCACATCAGCTGGAACAAAAAAAAAGTACCTTATCAGATGTCTACCCAGTAAAGGTATCTCAAATATCGGGATGCAAAAAGAGACTGACACTCATCATTACAAAGAGATACAAATTTTCCGACATCTCTACCTCTCTCTCTCTCTTTCTCTGTATCGCTCATGCGCTTGATATTATAGTCTTGTTTTCTCAACGTCATCATAATCGATTATTGATCTTGTTAATACATTAACCTGTTCTGCTACGACAAATAAGGACAATTAGCTCACTACTTTATAAAATTTAACTTTCTTTTTTTTATTTTGCACAACCCCATTACACTAGTTTGAGATGAATAGCCCTCTTTTTATATTATTACCTACCTCTGAAATAATAATATTAATAATAAAAAAGACTATCAAGGTTGTCAAGAAGAACATTAAGAATTGACAGTCAGCTCAACTACTGGCTCTAAAACTCTTGGCCATTTGTTCACCGTTTTATTTCTATATTTCTCTCTCCTCTTTCTCTAGTATCCTTCCCTTATTTTAATCGGATTTTTACCTATATACTTATATAAGTATATAGGCATATCCAATTCATCTCCAACCACACCAACCTTTTTCTTCAATTTCAATTACACCTCTTCTTCTATTCTTCTTCTTTGGATAATGATTTTCCGGACTTTACTTTTATTGCTTGTAAACAATCTTGCCTTTATTTTAGCCGTATCTGACAGGACAACCGAACTTGGAATGGAACAATACTGGATAGCACCCATGCCTTCCCAAGAACGACGTTCGGATGCCGCCAAATACATTCGAGAAGAATGGAAAATGCCATCGTCATATTTCTATGGAACAAACGATGTTGGCTTTTCGGACGATCCTGTCACAGGAAATACAACCGAACCAGCCCTGGATATCCTTTATCGAAATGGATCCTTTACTCCAAGCGGGTCTATGCAAGAAGGCGGCCAAGAAGGAGGATGTATTTTTTATTCAGAACCTTTTGGAGACCATGCCTTTGAGAGAGCTTTATTGAGTTATGATATTGCATTTCAAGAAAACTTTGACTGGGTCAAGGGCGGAAAATTGCCTGGTTTATTTGGTGGTAAGTTTCTTTTATACATATACTGCCAAGCTAACCTTGATTGTGTATATTTAATCAATCGGATTCAATTAACTAAAAAAATAATAATATTTGTAAATCATTAGGTGAAGGAAATAATCAATGCTCCGGTGGTTCTGATGCTAATGGTGAAAACTGTTTTTCTCTGAGACCCATGTGGCGTGCCAAAGGTACACACACACACACACATATATATATATATATACTCAAATAACCAGTGGTGATATATTTACTCAATTGATATTTTAAATAGGTGCTGGAGAGATATATGCATATGTTCAGACATCTCCTGATTTTTGCAATTCAAAAGACACAATTCAATGCGCTAACAACTATGGTGTATCAATGTCAAGAGGATCCATCAAGTTTACTGCAAACAAATGGTCCAAGCTTGAAATCTATTCACAAATGAACAGTCCTGTCAATGAGACAAATGGTGTCCTCAAAGTGTGGCAAGATGGAAAGGTCGTGATGAACTATGAGAATATCAACTATCGTTCCGTCGATTCACTCGCCCTGACAAGAATCTATTTCAACACATTCTTTGGTGGAAACTCTGAAAAATTCGCAGCAACCTCAGATAGTCACATCTACTTTAAGAATCTAGAGTACAGTGTTGGAAAACGAGCAGTGGCCTATGAACCAACCGTAGAATCAAAATCCTCAGTCGTTTCAATCTCCTGGATTGTCTTTGGTGTTTCTATTGCACTTGGTTTATTTTTAATATAGAAAGAAAGAAAAACGTCCTCCACGTACAGAATGTAATTTATTTATTTATTCCCTTATATAATAGTCAATGACTATGTAGTTTAATTTGTTTCTTGTCTTTTTAGTATATATATATATATATATATGCATTCAAATCTTCCCACCTAAATTTCCTTTTTATTCTAGTTCTTGTATTTCTTGTATTATTACTCTTTTGTCTATAAATCCTTGTCCTCTTTTTTTTTCTCATCATTATCATTCTCATGTTCCTGAAACATTGGCGTCGGGCTACAAAGAACACCTACAACATCCCATTAGGTAGACCAGTATTATCAGCGTGACTTGTGATATTAAATTCTGTGACCGCCCAAAAGTTTTACTCTTTTGCAAGCGAAAAAAAAAATCCGGAGAATCTTCAAGCATCTTCTCCATCAGAAAGAAAAAAGTTTAGATCATGCCCGCAATTAAGAGTAAAGTTACCAAGGCAAAGGCCCAGAAGACCGAGGCCAAGTCCGAGGTTACAGCAACACAGAGATCAAAGAGAGTCACATTCGCCGACGATAAAAAGACTGTCAAGACTGTCCAGAGCAAGAAGTCTGTTAAAGTAGAAGTCAAGTCGACTAAAGATGCAGCACCCAAGAAGACTGTCAAGGCTGTCGAGGAAGTTACCGAGATTGTTAAGCCAGTAGAGAAGGCCGAGCCCAAGAAGAAGGCCGCTGCACCAAAGAAGAAGGCTGTTGCCGCTCCTGCTGCTGTTGCTGCCCCTGTTGAAAAGGCTGAGCCTAAGAAGGTCGAGCCCAAGAAGGCCGCTGCTCCCAAGAAGGCCGAGCCTAAGAAGAAGGCCGCCGCCGCCGCTCCTGCTGCTGCTCCTGCTGCCGCTAAGGAGGCCCCCAAGAAGGTCGCTAAGGCCGCCCCCAAGAAGGCTGCCAAGGATACATTGAAGAAGGTCGCTGCCAAGGTTGTTGAGGAGGATAAGTCTGCTGGTCTTGATAGCGATGATAGCGATGCTGAAGAGTTGAACGAAGAGCAAGAAGAGAAGTTGAGAAAGGATATTTTAGGTGATCTTGCCAGTGATAGCGAAGGTGAGGACAGCTCAGAGGATGAAGAGATGGAAGACGATACATTTGGTGCAAACAAGAGTGTGATTGCATTAAGCAGCGAAGACTTGGAACAGAGCAAATTGGAGACAAAAGCACTGTTTGATCAGAATAACCAGATCAAGGGAAAGGTAAATAAGATTTGTTTCTTAGTAAAAGGGGGGAATATTCCCTTTATATTACTGCTATTATTATTATTATTATTATTCTTTTTGCTTATAAACCTCGCGCATCTTACAATAGGCTAGCGATAAGACTGGTGTCATCTACCTTGGCAGAATTCCCCATGGTTTCTTTGAAAAGGAAATGAAGGAATACTTCAGCCAATTCGGAGAAGTCACTCGTCTCCGTCTGTCTCGCAACAAGAAAACTGGCAATTCCAAGCATTACGCATTCATTGAATTTGCATCAGAAGATGTTGCTGCCATTGTCGCCGACACCATGAACAACTACATGTTGTTTGAGCGTGTGTTGATGTGTAAGCAAGCAAATAGAAATCATTCATATACATTTCTTTATTGTTTAACTAATATAAACCTTTATATATTTTAGGCCACGTTGTACCCAAAGAAAAGATCCACGAGAATCTCTTTGTCGGTGCTAACAAGAAGTTCAAGAAGGTTCCCTGGTTGAAGGTTTTTGCCAAGAAGCATAACAAGCCAAAAACACCCGAAGAATTGGCCAAGCAGGTCGCCGGTCTCACACGTCAACAGAACAAGCGACAAAAGCGATTGGAAGCCCTCGGCATCGACTATGCCCTCCCCTCATACGCATAAGCATGCCTCAACTACAGCTAACTTCATGAAATAGAACCAAAAACCTCATCTTTTTTTTTTCTTTCTCTCTCTCTCTCTCTCTTTTGTTTTATGCCTCTCTTATTATTTCTCTTATTATTTCTTTTTTTCTTTCTTTCATTAAAAAGAGGAGAACAAACATACTTTATCCTTGTTAGCAAAAAAACAACAACAAAACATATTTATTAACATCACCACTTGGTTCCATTGATAATAATGTATGTGCAATTCATGTGTATGTGTGTGAGGCTGTCAAAAATTTGATCAAAATGATTCTAGTATTTTAATAATAATGCCAAGATGTTGATTGTTTTTTATTTGATCTTTTTTTTAAAAAAAAAAGTGTGTACCAGCACCGTCCTCCCTGCTTTTAAGAAATATATATATATATATATATATGTGTGTGTGTGTATGTATGTATATGTGTGTAAAGGATAATAAAAATAAATGTTACTGGTTTATCCGGTAAAGATTTTCATGAACAAGTACAATATGGCGCCTATAAATCTAAAAGCTGACAATCCAGCAACAGACCAGAGGATGAAGCCGAGATAGGCAACACTGCGCTGTTGATATGTACCGAGCAACTGCAGAATCTCACTATTGGTAATACCAGCCACCAGGGCCATATTGGTAATAATCCAGGTGACCACAAGGCGGGTACGGAAAGATTTGTAGTAATCTTCCTGTTTTGTCTTTGCATCACGGTGCTCCTTGGCTACCACAACAATCTTCTTGAGGTCTAAGCAAGCTTCTTCGTATTGTTCATTAAGATCCTTTTGCTCGGTTGGCAATTCGACTTCCACAGTGTTATTGCCATCCTTGTCCAGCTTGGCCTTGACCACACCCAGATCGGTGGATACAGCATTGTCGCCCTTTGTACCCCAAGAAACATCGTGAGTGTTGCAGAAAGCATAGATGTTCAATACGTTTGTGTAGCTCGGCGACATAAAGATATATTGCAAAAAGCTGGTAAACATGTGCCAAGGATCAAAGAAAAGAACACTGGCGACAAAATACATAACGTATGTTGAGCAGAGAGAGATAACGACCTGTTTGAATGATCCCTCGTTTAGTAGGGCTAGAATGATGTTGTCGGCTCCTTTGGCGGCGTCAACTGCTGTCCGGACTCCAACGAATGTAATCCATACAGTACAGAACAGAATATAGCCCATCAAAAGTGCAAAGAAAACCATGATAAGAGTATATGCCCATCGAAAACCCTGAGGACGGTTACCCATCGCAATGATAAATTGTACAACAAGAAGGAGAACTACAAATTTATATACACATTAGATTGTTTATCTTCAATATTATCTATTACTTTCTTATAAATAATATTGTACTTAAAACTTACCATAAACATAATTAAGAACTATATGGAGAATACTAGCAACGTAAGGAGAGAATGGTTTGGGATCCAGACTATCGGAATACATTGAAGTGGTCATGATATAAAAGATCAAGTAAAAGTTTCCCTAATTATGTAAAAGATTAGGTATTAGTAAAGCGAGTCGAAACACAATAGATATACAAGGCACTTACGAGGGCAAACCACGAGAAGAAGAGATTGAAAAGCTGGTAAAGATCCTCGATCATGAAAAAGAACTTTCGGATTATATTATGGTCCGAGCTCCAAACCTTGCGCCAGTGTACCATTGAGTAAATTCCAGCAAAGAATGAGCCATTGAGCCATCTTCGGCGTTGAGAGATAAACTCTGCTACAGAATCAGGGACATCGGTCTCGCCATAAGCACTTGACACATAGTGGAGTACCCAAGCAGCCTTTCGTTTAGCCACGAGCTCATAACACAGAATACGATCCTCGGCAAGATACATGTTGGCTGTAAAGATATCGGCATCACTACCATGCATCTTCTCACCCAAGAAATACTTTTCGAGCGGACCATGTCCTTTAGAGTCATTTTGAAGCGCTTCATACCGATACGCTGAAAACGCACCAGGAAGTACAGAAATATGTCCAAATACGGATTCAAGTGGTTTGTCGAGAATATTGGACATCTTGTATTCAAAGTTCTGGGAAGCAACGAGAGGGTTTAAGAGCGCACTTCCGCCACGACCCAACATGGCCTTGATCTCACCACATGCACCAGCCACATTTTTGTTGATATCAAATGCTCGCCAAAGGTTGTAGATAGAGTTCCCTCCTGGCTTAGTTCCGACATCCAAAAGTACGCAAACGTTTGGTTTCAAAAGAGAGCCAAAGGCTTGAAAGAACCAACGATGAGAGTTGATTTTCTTTTGATTCTTTTCCTTCAAACAAAACAGAATCTGACATGGTACGATTCCTTTCTCAGAGCCTCTGAAATTCATATCGGAATCTACCGAGAGTTGTGTAGTATGCTGATAATAAAGATGTCCGTAAATGGGAATATGTTTAAGGGGAAGTTGGTCCAAAGATTAATAAGCTTGGAAACTATTATAATTATTATTACTTTTTTTTTTTAAAAAAAAGGTAAGCCTACCTCATAAATATGTGCTGTTACTGGCTTTCCTTCGACCACGTTCTTGGCCATACCATCTTGATATACACCCATTGCAGCCAATACAGATAACGTACGCGGATGAATCTTGGCTCGTCCGTCCGAAACGATACACACCACAATCTTCTCCCAGCCATTTTCGTTCCATTTTTTAGATCGTTTTCGAGAACACAAATTGGCAATGTTTTTCATCACGCCATGCATTGTTCTGCAAAACAATATTTCGTCTTCCTATAGGAACAGTATTATAAATCAACCAGCCGTTGCAATATTTCTGCTAGTATTATTATTATTATTATTATTATTATTATTATTCCCTGATATTCTTACATTGTACATCGTCAGGACAATAAAGAGCTCTGTCTGTCGGTTCATCAGATTTTGTCTCAATCGATAGTTCTCACTTGCAAAATCAGAAGGATCGCAGGTAGCAGCGGTGTATCGCATGTGAGTAAACTCCTTGTTATCCTTCCGGGGTAAATTGTTCAGGTAGCGTGTAGGCACAGGATTCTCAAGAACGAGATTTCCGCCTGTCAGCTTTACCTTTCGCACTAAATAAATCAAAGTTTAATTAGTATATTAGTATATAAAGCTGGATATCAATATCAATATTTACCTGTCTTGTAGCGACGTGCTTGCCGTCTAGGTGCTTCTGTAAACCCCATTGGCTGATTCATCATCATTGGCTGGCCAAACTGAACGCCTGGACCTGTGGGTGTTCTGCCTCCATCATAAACAGGAGTTGATATAAGAGGTTGGTTCATTCGATCTCCAGAGATCGGTGTGCTATATGGCCCGATAGAAGAATTGTCTTGATGATAGGTTTGTTGGCTCGGATATTGTGGATTCTGGAGGGGGTGTTGATCTACATTATACCGTGTCATTGGCGGAGACCTTGCTGGCATGGGTGAAGGAACTGAATAGTCTTTGTTGAATTTTTCTTTGTACATAGCGAACAAAAACTATATCAGGAAATCGAATAAGATAAGATATTGTATTTCTTATTTATTTATTTTTAATAAATTATTAGGTTGGTCTCTTTTGTTTATTAATCTGAAGATGGTATTTTACCTTGAATTAGAACAATTTAATGAATAGGATGTAAAAGAAGAAGAAAAGAGAGAGAGAAAAAGGAGGAAAGGAAAAGAAGCTTGGGGGAAACATTAGAAATATTATTTCTTTTTAGTTTGCTTATAAGACTATTGGACATTGAAGTAGTAATATATATTAGTTACACCACTTTGACCTGGTGGATAGTTAATAGTAGTAATTTCAAATAAATTTAGGCATCAGATCGTCGTGCTGCCCTATTTGATTAGCATACGTGCTTAATGGCCAAGACATATAGCCTGATTCTCCACTCATAATTAGACAGTGAGAAGAGTTATATTATGGTGGAACCTTTAATTTTGATATATTTTAATTTTGATCCAATAGTAATTAGATCCATGCTCATTTTGGGACATACAGTTAAAAAAGACACAATTGGCTTTTATTAACCAAAGTAGGCAAATCATTTTTTTGTTGCACGCATAAGTCTATTTCAAACTCGGTTGCCATTCTATGTGGGACAGACTCAATTGCCCACCAACTAAGAAAATCAAAGGAAGCACAAATGTAAAGGAGGAGTATTGGGACATCGGTAAGGGAGACTATGTCTTCCCAAGAACTAGCACATATTATTCTTCTCTCCTATGACATGCGAAAAAAAAGAAGGGGTACATCTTCTTTGGTAGTTGAGATAATCTAGGTTAAAAACTAAAGACCTTTGTATGATTATATTGAGGTAATGTATACTATCTATGCTCTCTTTGAAATGTATATATAACTTTATAAGCGCCGTATGAACAGACTAGAATAGGATATGGTTTTATTAATATCACAAAAAATATTACAGTTGAACTTCTCACGCAGAAAGCAATACATTTCATGTCTATGAATAAACCTTTTAATTTGTAGAGTTTCTCTTATATCCTCCATTAAATTCAATTTAATATTTAAGTATGTCTGTAGTACCTGTATATTCTGGCATAGTACTAATAATACTAATATTAATATCCAGAATAATGATCAGAATCATAATTATAATAATAATAATAATAATAATAATAAAGAGGGGGAATGTGAAGGAGGCTTGCTTTACTTATTTTCTTACTTTATTTTGGAATATTTTTTTGTAGTTGCAATAGACATCAGCGGGGTATTTCTTGTGACAGATGCATTGAATTGCTGAGAAGCTGATACTCTCTTGGGTATTATATAAAGATCTGTTAGGAGAAATATGTTCTGCTAATCGTTAATAAGCCTGAGAAGCAACAGAAGCTTAGGAAAGCATAAAATGCGATTATATGAGCAGTTAAACCTCACTTCTAAATTGGCCATCGAGAAAGCGCCTCATAGTTCAATTGTGGTAATATTCTGCCCAGTCTTTTTTTAAGATTATAATTATTTTTATCTATTCATTAAACGCCTCTAGTTCTTATTTCTATTGTCATTGTATATTTATAATGAAATATTGTATTTATTATCCAATGTATAAATATATATATATTGCAGAATATCGATACTACAGCTGTAGGAAAAATAAAAATAAAAATCCAACGAGTTTCAAAAACACTGTGTATTTTTGGGTTGAGGTTACAGTGCACAATCTTAGCATCAAAAGAAAAATGCTAAGCCGGGTCACCTTGAATGTATGGCTTGATATTGCCAACACGATATTGGTTTATTTTCTAGTAAGACACGCAGTATTTATTCATAAAACAAGAGTAAATCGGATGCCAAGGCAGCTAAATAGGTATTCCATGCTTTGAATTTCTTAGTCATAGACTGTATCTTTAGCTTGGCATTCCACTTGCTCGTAGCCTCAAACGTGGCTGGCTTACCCTTGATGCATTTGTCTCACGTGGTAAATCTCAGCTGTAACACAATTAATGGTTTTTTTCTAATAAGGCTTGATTCCACTTTTCACTCTTTCTTTTATTAAGGGTATTTAGGCACCTTCTTTCTCTCGAGTCTAGATCTCGCTCATACGAATGTCAGAACACACCTGTCCAACCCACGGTGGACTTGTCGAAGATGGATTGTAAGCAGCTCTCAATAACCTCCCGGCAACTCTACTCACAAACTACCGATTAATATAGTAACCCAGACTTTGATCTAAAACAGTTGATTCTTGATCCAGAGTAAGTCAATGATCTACCAAAACACATTGCTAATGCAGTTTGATTCACAGTTCCAACATGCACATCTGGGGATGGCTGGTATCGGGATTTCTTACACTCGGATCACTTACTATCGCAGCTCACAGCATTACACGCCATCTTACACACTATTATACACCAAAAATTCAACGACACAAAGTGAGAGTATTAGCCTACCCACCTGCCTACGCGATCCTGGCCTGGCTGACGTATTTAAAGTACGATTATGCAACAGTTATCATGTTTTTTGCCAAGATCGTTGAGTCTTTTGCAGTCTACAACCTCTTTGTCTGTCTCCAGTCCTATTTGGAAGGATACCGCAAGGAAAATGATCACGTCAAGGTAGCAGTGGACACCAAAGTCCTGGGCATCTATAAATTCCATCTGTAAAGATCAATTCCTATTTTCTTTCTTTACTTTACGACTGTCAAAAAAAATACCATTTATTGATTCCACTGACCTTTGATAAATATAGGAACTCGAAATGGGGGCTTCATTTCCGTGCTATTATAGATATCTTGGTCTTTCAATTCCCTATTTGGTGAGTTCAATTGGCTCAAAGGGAGTAAATATAGAAGAAGAGCTACTGAATACTAAATCCATGAAAATAGGAATATAATTGCTTCTTTTATTTCAATCTTTGCCCAGATCAAAGGTGTCTATTGCGACGGTCAATTCAGTCCACATGGTGCATATCTGTACCTGGCGACGATCAGTTTTATTTCTCTAAGCATAATTCTCATGGCGCTATTTACTTATCTTGCTGTGTTTAATGATGAATGGAAAAGGGGAAAGGTCAGAGCACACGGTATGTTCTGGTGTGTCAAGGGACCTATCATGGTCATCTTTTATTTTGGTGATATTCTACTATCTATCATGACCTATTTTGGGGTGATCCACGACAAAGTACCTACAAATGGAGGCACTGTGTGGACAGCTGCTGCTATCAAGAACGGTTACTATGTGCTCTTAATCTGCGCTGTCATGGTATTTGTTGCTGCCCTTATGGAGCGATACTTTGGGTTGGATTTCAAGGAAGATATTTTTGACGATTCCGACAAAACGCGATATGGATATATGCATGCATTTGCTGACAGCTTCTTGGGTTTCATACCTCACTTCTTCATCGATCTTTTCTCGTGTGGAGGTGAAACAGTAGAACTGGCCAAAAAACGCATTAAGCTCCACAAGCAACGACGCCTAAGTGATGATCAACTCGACCTCTTGGGAGCCGAGCCTGATGCTCATGAAGTGACACATATGGATGACCCTTCATCCCTTAGTCAACCTGCCCGTGCACACCAGTCAAAGGTCTATGTTGATCCAGACAGCGCACGGTTGAGCCAATTCAACAGTATACCCCTTGAACCCTTGAACCCTGCGTTTGCCGACCATTCTTACACAACCACCAGCGTAGACCGTAACAAAAATGAGACTAAAATTGAGATGACCCGGATTAAAATGGACCAGGGGTCTAGCATAGATAATTTCCCTATTCCTCCTCTTCAAAAGAGCTCTTCTGAGCAAAGACCCGCTCTTGCTGAACCCCAGCCATCACAAGCTACGTCTCTTTCTATAAGCGATCAGGTTGATCCAAATCGACCTAAAGACCACTTTTCACCTCACGAGGGTAGAAATATTCCACCAGGATATTTCTAATTGCACTTTAATTTGTTTTTTTTTCTCTTCTTTTTTTTTCCCTTCAGCACTACTTCCCTATTTCACTTTACTTTACTTTACGTTACTCTATCTTAGTACCTCCCCGTCACTTCTCTTCTTCTTTGTATATCATCTGTACAGAATTAATGAATATTCTCTTCTCTAATCTTCTGTCGCGACTGAAGCTATGATAGCCCTGACTCTTCTTCTTTTTTTTTTGTCTTCTATATAAAAAAAAGGCTTGAGCCAGGGTAGTCAGCAAGGATGTTTTTATTAGCCAATCAGCGGCTGTATTGACGTGAATAAATTGCAAGTGGAGCAGGAATGTCTTTTGTCTTGTTCCCCTCTTGTGTGAATCATCAAGTCTTATGAATCATTCTTTTCTTGTCCATGTGTCAAGGACGATCCCTCGTTCCAAGGCCAGCCAGTCTTTGATTGCACAGCTTCAGGGTGGCAATGCACCAAAGCCACTAGGCTCCCGCCAATTTTCTTCTCACCAGACATCGCCGTCTGTCACCTTTTGGGGCGAAGGAATCGCTCATTCATTACGCGCCAGTCCTTCTAAATCTATCTTTGTAACTCTCCAGCCTCTGCGTAACCCTGCTGCCATTAGAAGACAGGCAAACAGATCGGCATCGACGTACACGTCAGCAACTATGCACCTCAAAGAGCGTGATCCAAGCGATGATCCTTCTGGATTGCCACCGTCTAATGGTGCTGCAGCTGGTGGACAAGGTGAGAATGGCGATGGCTGGGACGATGGAAAACCACCATCCGGCTCGCCAGGTGCTACAGTCGAAAATCAGTTACAGAAACCCACCGTCCCCGACGTTTATCCTCAGGTTCTGGCCCTACCTATCACCAGACGACCTCTTTTTCCGGGCTTTTACAAGGCTGTTGTCATCAAAGATCCTCACGTCACAGCCGCAATTAAAGAGCTTCTCAAGAGAGGACAACCTTATATCGGTGCATTTCTTTTGAAAGACGAGAAGCTTGATGTAGATACAATCACAAGCATAGATCAAATCCATCCTGTTGGTGTATTTGCTCAAATCACTAGTGTATTCCCGGCATCAGCAGGGAAAGACGGGAAGGAGGATGGTGGATTGACAGCTGTGCTCTATCCTCATCGTCGTATTAAGATGACTGAACTTTTGCCGATGATGAATAAGCATAGTACAGCCACGGTAAAACCATCCCCAACAGAGCAAATAGCGGGAGTAGAACATCCGGCTGTAGAACCTGCGGCCGTCGAACCTGCAGCAGTCGAGCCACTGCTGCGCACGCCTGAAGAAACTCCAAAGGAAGAGGAGATAATGAAAACCGATCATGAACCAGGAATGGCAAAAGAAGATCGCGTCGTGAAGCATCAAGGTAGGAATAATAAATACTTTTTTTATGATAATGGTAAACTAATAAAAATCCAATATTTTTTATTTTGGTCTTTCTTTTTTCTTTCTGTGTGTGTGTTGCTGTAGCTGATATAAATGGAGCTGTCACAAAGGATACACAATATGCAACTGCATTTTTGGCAGAAGACTATGCTGTTTCAGTTGGTAATGTGGATAACTTAGTTGATCCTCCTTATTCGAAGAAGAGTCCAATAGTCCGTGCAATCACGTCCGAAATTGTATCTGTATTCAAGGAGATTGCATCCCTGAACCCTTTGTTCAGAGACCAGATTGCTAGCTTTTCCATGTCTCAGTCTGCCGGAAATGTATTTGAGGAACCTGCAAAGCTCGCCGATTTTGCTGCAGCCGTGTCTGCGGGTGAGCAAGCTGAGTTACAAGATGTACTGGAGACCTTGCCGGTGGAAGATCGTCTTCAAAAAGCCCTGGTGGTTTTGAAGAAGGAGTTGATGAATGCCCAACTACAGAACAAGATTTCCAAAGAAGTTGAGACTAAGATTGCTAAGCGTCAGCGTGAATATTACCTGATGGAGCAAATGAAGGGTATCAAGAAAGAGCTGGGTCTTGAGAGCGATGGAAAAGATAAGTTGGTAGAAGGATTCAAGGAAAAGGCCACCAAACTTGCTATGCCCGCTGGTGTCAAGAAAGTGTTTGATGAAGAGATCAACAAACTTGCCCACCTGGAGCCTGCTGCTTCTGAGTTCAACGTCACTCGTAACTATCTTGACTGGCTGACTCAAGTGCCATGGGGTCAGCGCTCGAGAGAAAACTACAATATTGTACATGCCAAGAAGGTTCTTGATGAAGATCATTATGGTCTTCAGGATGTCAAGGATAGAATTCTCGAATTTATTGCAGTAGGAAAGCTGACCGGCTCAGTTGAAGGCAAGATCATATGTCTTTCAGGTCCCCCTGGTGTTGGTAAGACTTCGATCGGTAAGAGTATTGCCCGTGCACTGGATCGTGAGTTCTACCGTTTCTCCGTTGGTGGACTGACAGACGTGGCCGAAATCAAGGGCCATAGACGAACCTATGTTGGAGCTATGCCAGGAAAGGTTATCCAAGCTCTCAAGAAAGTCCAGACAGAGAACCCGCTGGTCCTGATCGATGAGATTGACAAGATTGGCCGTGGTCATCAAGGTGATCCGTCATCTGCTCTGTTGGAGTTGCTTGACCCCGAGCAGAACAGCAGTTTCTTGGATCATTACATGGATGTGCCTGTTGACCTTTCCAAGGTTCTGTTTGTCTGCACTGCTAATGTGCTCGACACCATTCCAGGACCACTTTTAGATCGTATGGAAGTCATTCAACTTTCAGGATACATTGCTGAAGAAAAGGCTGCTATTGCATCCAAGTACCTTGCACCTGCAGCCAAGTTGTCGGCTGGTCTTGAGCATGTGGATGTCAGCCTCACTGAAGAAGCAGTTGATACACTTATCAAGAGCTACTGTCGCGAAAGTGGTGTTCGTAACCTGAAGAAGCATATCGACAAGGTCTTTAGAAAGGCGGCATTCAAGGTTGTACAGGACATTGGTGAGGACAAGTTTGAGCAGCAAAAGGGAGATTCTCCCAAGGTATTGGAAGATGATGTTCGATCCAATGACCCAGAGAAGGTTGAACATGCTATTGAGCATGGAGCTGAAAAGGAAGTTGGGCAAGAAAAGACCCAGGAGGAGAGAAAGCGCCTAGAGGTTCCGGACAGTGTTCATGTTGAGGTTACTGCTGGAAACCTTAAGGATTACGTTGGTCCTCCTATTTTCCACTCTGATAGACTTTACGAGCAAACCCCTCCAGGTGTTATTATGGGACTAGCATGGACTAGCATGGGTAAGCCTTCTTTTTATTTTTTTCTATTTTGGATTACTGAAAAGCGATTTTAACGGATGCATACTATTAGGCGGTTCATCTCTGTACATCGAGTCTGTTCTGGAATCGTCTTTGTCATCAAAATCTAGCCCCCACCTTTCTACCACAGGTCAGCTTGGTGATGTGATGAAGGAGTCTACAACAATTGCCTATACATTTGCAAAGTCACTGATGGCCAGCCGTTTCCCTAAGAACAAGTTCTTTGAAAAGGCGCGCCTCCACCTTCATTGTCCAGCTGGTGCAGTACCCAAAGATGGTAAGCTAATGTAGATTGTTTGTGACATGGTACACAAGAATTTACAGAGTGTGTCTTATCGTTATCTTTTGTATATAGGTCCTTCTGCTGGTATTACCATGGCAACTTCATTCATTTCTCTGGCTCTCAATAAACCTATCAGTCACAACATTGCCATGACTGGTGAACTCACCGTGACAGGCAAGGTTTTGCAGATCGGCGGCCTCAAGGAGAAAACTATTGCTGCCAAGCGTTCGAATGTGACGACTATTATGTTCCCCAAGGACAACCAAGCTGACTGGGAAGAACTTCCTGCTCATGTGAAGAAGGGAATTACGGGAATCCCTGTAGACTACTATTCAGATGTCTTCAAGGTTTGCTTTGGTGATGTTGAAAAAGAGGAAGTAGAAAGACTCTGGCAAAAAGAACTAGCAGAGGATGAGAAGAAGGATGAGAAGAAGGATTAGAAATTGAGAGATGTTTAGTTACTCTTACCCTATACACTGTATTGTACTGCCTTGAAAATGATTTATGCTATTTAAAAATAAATAAATTTTATGCTCCAAGAGAGTGAAAAAAAATTTTAAAAAAAAAACAATCCTCTGTAGAGGATCCAATAAGTTGATACGGTAAATATTCAAATGACTTTCTATGAGCCTTTATTTGATTCGACGTACTTTCTAGTTGAATTCTGTGAGAAAAAAATTGGTTAATAAAAATAAAAATAAAAATGAAAACACATAATCCCACGCCTTTGATATTTTATGAATAGCTGTTAGACTCATTTCTTGGATGGTAATTGGTAGAAAGGTTATTAAAATCGCCTTTTATTTTGACGTTTACTGGTCAAAAAATAATATGGATTTTGTAAGGGAAAAAAAAAAGTAATTTCTCCAATATTCATACTATCACAGCTAAGAGTGACTCGAATATTTAGCCTTCTATTTATCTATATCGCTATCTTTACATTTGCTGATTAACATATTATTTTATAAGGTTAGATAGTGGAAATAGGTTATAAATCAACAGGGTAGTTTTTAGTCTTTTAGCCTTTCAGCCTTTCTGTATATCTTGATATAGATTTGAATTAATGTCCGATATCCTTTATCTCCTGTGTTACTCAGATAGACTTCTAGATCATCTTTGTTTTTTTCTCATAGTGGAAAAGGAGAATAAATAATATATAAAATTTAAAAAAGGGTGGTGACAGTTACGATAGAAAGAACATTGAATTCAAAAAAAAAATTATATGTATTGGATCTGGCCGGTTTTATACGAAAACCTATATTACAATATCTGTTTCTTTTTTAGTCCCACATTAATATGACCTTCTTTATCAATATTAAGTGTCTTTATGCTTGTGGCACTTTAGCAGATTCGCATGTCTGTGGACACCACGGGGTACTTGGTTACTTTGATGAGACGAGATTTGTGATATGTAGATCTACTATACATTGAGAGTTATGCTTCGATCGTACTCGCTACATATTTGACAGCCAAGTACATATTTTCACATAATGCTTCCTAATTCACATACTTGATTTACAGACTTGCAAAGTAGCGCTCTTTTTTTTACGCTCATATACCAATAATAGTAATTTATGCCTTGAGACAAAATAAAATAGAAAGAAGAAGAAAAAAGGTTATGCCAAGAAATCAATGTCTAGGTGGTTCTCTGAATAGCCAACTCTTTCAACCGTATTATCCGCTTCCTCGGTAGCATTTTCCAGTTTTTCAGTTTTTCTTTTTCTCTTTTGGTTGGTTGATTGGTAGGTTATTGTACAAGAATAGATTTGTGTCTGTCAGCTGTAATTGTTTTTCTCACGAGTGTAATATGTTTTGTTTGTATGAAAGCCGAAAGGTATGGGACAAATGGCAAGAATCGTCGACTGATTGAGCTTAATAGCCTTCAAACCAGGGCATCTATCTATATTAATATACGATGTACCCGAGAATAAGGTAGATGATGGTAATTCAAACTCGTGCTTGGATTTTTTCTTTTTGTGATATTTGTGAGCTGTCGATATTACTGATGTACGTATATTTTCTCCCTCCAAAAAAAATGAGTAAAATTAAATGGTAAAGACAAAGGGTTTTATATTATAAAGCTCAAAATTGTAGGTTTTTTTTATTTTATTTTTTGGTATAGTGAATATACCCCTCTGATTCGATTAATGATATTATGAAAACCAAAGACAGAAATAACATAAAATAAAAAGCCAAAGAATAGTTTCGTTGGTCATTATTATTCACAACGGTCACCAATTACGGGTCATCGTGAAACTTTGACTTGTTCCACTAGACGTTTCTTTGTACTAGGATCTGTAAATCACCCAAACCAGCTGCCACATCTTACCTTTCTTATCTTAGGCCTACAATTCTTTTTTGATTTTATTTTTATTTTTATTCTTTCTTACCCGGAGAGCGGAGCTGCATAGTTAAAGCCCAAGAAAATGAAAACATGAAAGGTAACAATGATCAAAAAGGATACAATTGATCTTGAAGCACCATCAAGGTTTCGTACAACTCGATATTTGTCATCCAGCACTTCTGACTGGATCATTCTCTATTTCTATTGCCTTTAATACACTTTCAACTTACCAATTTTGGCCTATAGTCAATGCCTTTTTTTCATATACCAAAATCACCATAAATAAATATACAAAAAAAAGTTCATAAAGACATCATTTAGCATTGGTCAGGGTGGCGAAAACCGATTCATTTTGGTTCAGAAGAAGGGAATATTAAGCGGAGTCCCTTTTGTTGCTGTTGTTGTTGTTGAAAAAAAAATATTGGAACAAATGAAACTATGGATGAATATCCGACAAGGGAAAAATAAATATATAAAAAAAGAGCCTCACATCTCCTTCTTTCCCTCCTATTCACAATCCCTTTTCCAGTCTTAATCTCCTGTTGGCTTTCTTTGAAGGATCAATACACACCACAGCAATTGTTACAATTTATTGATTAAAAGTAGCTCTTGTTCCTCAATTAGTGGCGTATATCCCATAAAACCAGAAACAAAAGCTGAAATTTATACCATCAATTCTAAAGTTAAAGAACAAAAGGCCCCATAATACAACACATTATTCCTGGCATTTAGTCCCTTCCCCTTTTACCTCTCACGTCTTCTTCTTTCGAAAATTCCGCTACTCCCGTCAAACCTTCGATGGCTGCCATGGACAGTAACATAAATCAAATCACAGAGGTCTCTGAACCCGAGGTTAAACAATTTAAAACCGATGAAGAAATCCTGGCGTCCTTTGGCTATAAGCAAGTAGGTTCAAATTACTCAAACTCAGCTGCATAGTGGAAATATCTAATGACTTCAAAAGGAAATGAGCAAAAGTATATCGACCATCTCAAATTTTGCCATTGCTTTCGGCTGCTGTTCAATTCTCTCTGGTCTTACTCCTGTAAGTCAAACTGTATTCAATTAAACAAAACAAACGTCTCACTCATAAGAAATACAGATGTGGGGTGATGCTATGCAATCAGGAGGAAGTGTAGCCGTCGTCTGGGGATGGATCATTGTATCAATCTTTACTTTTGGTGTCGGTCTATCTCTGGCTGAGATTTGTTCAGCATATCCCGTTACCGGTGGTCTTTACATATGGGTCTCTCGTCTGGCTCCACCTGAATGGGTTCCAATTGCCTGTTGGCTTACAGGCTGGTGCAACTGGTTGGGTTTGGTAAGTCATTCCTTCTTTTATTCATTTATTTTCATACACTCATTAATTTTGCTCTCTCTCTCTCTCTCTCTCTCTCTCTCTCTCTCCTTTTTTTTATTGTCCCGTTTATTACGCTATTATAGACAGGTAAGCCCCAAATTAAATATATACATATGTGTATAATTTTAACTGAATAATATTGCTTCTTAATAGTTGCCATCACATCTTCTGACCTTGGCCTTGCCCAGTTCTTGGCCTCTGTTATTGCTATCAGCAACCCAGAATACAATGCCAGCATTTACTGGCAATATGGAATCTTCTTGGTTATTGCATTCATTCACGGTGTAATCAACTCAGCCAGTATTAAATACAACGGTTTCTTCAACCAGACTTCTCTTTATTGGCACTTGGCCGGAACACTTATGATTATCATTGTAGCTCTTGTTTTGACGCCTAATAAGCCCGATGCCAAATGGGTGGTATGTACATCACAAAGCATACACGACTTATAAATTTTGCTAACTTACGCTTTTCTATAGTTTACCTATTTCGAAAACGATACTGGCTTCTCTTCTGGTGGATACGCGTTCCTTATTGGACTTTTGCAGTCTCAGTACACTCTTTCTGGATTCGATAGTGCCGCTCATATGTCAGACGAAACTCACGATGCTGCCAGAAATGCCCCTCGCGGTATTCTTTATGCCATTGGAACTGCCTCAATTGTTGGTTTGGCTTTCATGATTTCTGTCAACTTCTGTGTCCAGGATTTCCAAGCTCAGGTTGTCAGCGAATTGGCCCTTCAACCCCAAATGACTCAAGTCTTTTTGGATGGTGTTGGGTACAAATGGACTATCGTATTCACAGTCATTGTTATGGGCGCCATGTTCTTTTCTGGCTCGGCCCTTACTCTTGGAAGTTCTAGAATGGTTTACGCTTTTGCTAGAGATGGTGCAATGGTAATATACATATATATATATATATATATATATATATCTACAAAGAATTATCAAAGTTAACCTTGTTTGTCGATGTATTACTAGCCTTTCAGCAAATGGCTCAGTCATGTCAACGAGAGAACCCAGACCCCCATTTACGCAGTTTGGGGAAATGTAGTCTTTGCTGTCATTGTTGGCTTGCTTGTAAGTATACATTGCTAACCTTTTCTTTCTATTGTTATAGATATATTTTTAAAAAAAAATGTTTTCATTGACTTATATTCATTTCAATAGTTCATCGTTAATGAAACTGCCTTTAACGCCATTGTCTCTATCAACACAATTGCCTCTTCACTTGCCTACTTGATTCCTATTGCTCTCAGATTAACTGTAGCTCGCAAAACTTTTGTTCGCGGTCCTTTCCATCTTGGTCCTTTCTCGGATATTATCAACTTTAGCAGTTGTTGCTGGATTCTCTTAACTTCTGTTCTATTCATCTGCCCTACCGAATACCCTGTCACAGCCGGTAAGCTACAAATAATAATTTGTTGTAAAAAGAAATTAGACAAGATAATTAATCAATGTACGTATGATTCTATCTATAGATAATATGAACTATGCATGTGTTCCTTTGGTTGCAGTTCTTGGAGGATCTACTGCTTACTATCATTTCCGCGCCAGAAAGTGGTTCCATGGCCCTGGAAAGGCGACTGATGGTGGATCAAGTACAGAGTCCATGAGCGACTTTAACGTCGATGGTTCTCACAACACTACTGATGTCAAGCACGAACGATTCACCGAAAAAAAGCATGAGAAGGTTCTCTTGAGCAACATATCCTCCCTTCATGACTCTTAGATCATACCCCCCCTCCTCCAATAATAATAATAATTTTTAGCTCTAGCTGACCGCATCCTTTTAATTCTATACTGTATTTTCACTAATTATTCACCAGCCCTGGATTTATTTTTCGCATATTTTGTAAATAAATTTTCACGTATATATTACCCTAGTTAAATTCACGCGCTTGACTTTTTGTTTTATTTATTTCTTACAATGTCCAACATGAATGCTTTTTCACTTCAATATCTGTCATGGATGAAAAAGGGTGATATCTAAACTCACGTTTAATATTAGTGATATATACACAAAATTTAGAACAATTTATGTAAAATGGTAATAGGCAAATACATAAAGTCTAAATATTTATCTAATTAATTACGTGTAAGATTCTCATGTATCAAAGCCATATACAATAAGCATATAAGAAAGTATATAAAATAGAACACAATTAGAAACCAAGCTTCAACTTTACAAACTCTCTTTTTTATTTTCTCCGTAGTTCCATGAACACGATGCCTATAAGAATAGACATAATGTTTTAAATATGATACTGATGCTTCTTTTTTATAAGCCCCTTTTTTCATTCGGTTTTCAAGACATTCGAAAGTAACTTTTAATCTAGCACCTTATAAACAAGCTTATTCACTAATGATTCATACTATTTTTTTTTTCTTCTGGTTATTGGTTATTGGTTTTTGGCTTAGACCAAGGGCCAATGGTCAATGACCTACATTTATTATGTGAGCAAGAGAGAGAGAGAGAGAGGGACTCTTGGTAGTCTTATCCACATTTTCCGATTTATTATATATATCTTGGAATTATGACATGTGAAGGAGTATTTGAGATTAACCTCCCGCCTAAAGCGTCGTGCTCATCTTTCCATACAATCGTGTCCCTAAAATCAGTGAAAACTATCTTACCAAAGTCGTTTTCTTTTATATTGATATTCTTGGTATAGAATCTATAACAATCTTTAATATTACTTTTCTACCTTCTGTAGAATATATGAAGCCATATATGGTTACATTTAAATTAAATATACGTACTATATATATTTTTTCTGGATACTCTTGGGCTTATGATAGACACTATCTATAGACTCTTTTTTTTTCTTTTTCTTTTCTTTTAAAAATCAGCTTGAATAATACATTGGAAAACATAATATCATGCATGGCTCCAAGTAGAACCTACATTACTATTAACTTAAAAGCATTTTTAAATAAGTGGAATATTTATTACAAATACAGTACACCTCAGTTGTAATAAAGGACAAAAAGGTGGCAGAATTTTTCTTTCGGTTCATTTGACTAGGCACACACATTAGCGTGTCTTGGCAGGAGATGGAGAAGGGGAACGGGAACGACGACCAAAGTTTTCAAACAAAGATAGGCGGTTGGATTTCTTGTCGGTCTTTTCGCCTCTTTCTGTCTTATCTGATTTATCTATCTTGTCTATCTTTTCCACTTTGTCTACTCCTTTAGTTTTTGTGGGTTCTGACTCGTCTTCATCAGAAGAAGATTCGCTTGTGCTTGACTTGAAGCTACTGATGGTAGCAACACTACTGTGGCTACTCAATCGCATCAGCCCACTCAATCGATTTTTCTTTGTCTTGTTCTTCTTGATCTTATCATCAGGGCGTACTACAACGACGGGAACAGGAGAATGCTGCAAGCAATATTTTGAAACACTACCTAAGAGCATATTTTTAAAATCGGACAAACCGCGAGTTCCCACAATGAGAAGCGAGGGCTGGTACATGGCAATCTATTGATTTGTTTATATATATATATCTGTGAGATTTGGGTCTCTTTGCGATCCTTTGCATACAAGAAGTTTTGTTGCTTACCATGTGTTGGATCGTCTCCTGGACTTTTCCAATGACAAACTCAATTATCACACTAACCTTTTTGAAAACAAATAATAAATAAATACTCGTGCTGAAAATAAAAGATGTGTATGTCTTTTGCTTACTCTCTTTTCGTCGTTACTGCTGGCCATAATTTTTTCCATAACTCTCTCAGCATTCTGTCGGGCTTGTTCTTCTTCGTGAAGCAAGAGAGAAGTACGAATTTCTACAAATAATATTTTAGTTTTAGTTTTCTTTAAAAACACACACACACTAAGTGGAGTTTGTTCTAGTCGTACCAGCTGTCTCCAACGTGACTACACGCAGTACAATAAGTTCATCTCCATCGTCCATGACTTCCTACAGTATCATTAGAGACCATTAGCCGATTACATGATGATTATAAGAAAACCAAAAAATAAATTTACATCACTGGCCCAGTTGAGAGCAAACTCGCTGTAATTTGCCAGGTCTGTGGCAATCATAAACGTCCGGGTTCTTCTGGACCGTTTGTAGCCAGGGGTTTTTCCTCTCAGGGTAAAAGAATAGTTGTGAAGGTCTTTGTGAGTCATTGTGTCAAATGAAACTCCCCGTACGTATTTGGAGGACGTTTTGGAATTATCTGTAGCAGACAGCATATTGGCACTGTGATAAATATGTGATCGAATTTGATATTATGAAAAGTAGTAAAAAGAACAAGAATCGCAAAAATTGTTTGGTATTTCTCGGACGATCTTAATCGTCAAAAGAAATAAAATTCCGATAGAATTTATTGACGTCAGGCACAATGTACGCTAGATTTCTTATTGTACACCTTATTGCATTTGTTGTCATGAAAACAAGTCGTACTAGTATTAAGCATAAAAAAATTGCCTAACGTTATTTGAAAGACTAGATTATAGCGTGCTGGATCAAAGCCTTTTGTTTTTTTTTTAAAACAAAAAGCATTAAAAAGACAACATTAACAAAATCCATGAATAAATAGGCTTTTTTGATATACAATAAAAGTGTATACTGAGTAATTCTATTGGTGGGACAAAGAACAGTAACGCACATTTAAACTTACAATCAAATGTTCCTGAATTTATTCTACGACAGAATTGGTCAACAGAAAATGATAATTTAAGGTGCTCACGGAATCAGTTATTGATATAAAATTTCCTATTGATTACTTTACTAAACACCATATATAGTGATTTCCAAAATTCAAAAAAGGCTATTTCGATTTAAAGTCCGTGAATTTTTCCCCTGCTCTCTACTAAGGGAAAAAAAAATTAATACCCATATATGGTGATTTCCATAATTCCTATCGACACTGCGTGTAAGAATCATCTTGTTTTTACTATATTATCTCATTTTCTAGGCTTTTTTATATATATTAAAGCTAATATTTTTTAGAGAAGCATGCAATACATTACTGTAAATAAAATATATTGTTCCGAGCAGTATATTTTGTACTTCTTTAACAAGAAATGGGAAAACAATCGATTTTAATATGCTATATGTTCAAACAAGGTCATATCTCTTGAGTGTAGTACTGATTACAGCACCGACTTAAAATTACGTAAATAGCACCTATACTTGGTAATTAGCGCTATCCTAAATATGGTGTTTAGTAAAGTAATCAATAGGAAATTTTATATCAATAACTGATTCCGTGAGCACCTTTAGACTCACTAAGTGGCCCTTGCTTTTGTTACGTTGGCATTAACAAGAAACATTATTTTTCCATCAATAAACACTATTACAAATAACTATGCTAAATACTTAATTCGAGCATCCAAACAGCTATTAAATAAGATCTCGGCTTTTTGGTTTTATTTCTTAAATAATGCCTATTTTTATTTTATTTTTATTTCCCTGGCGAATAAAAGTGCTGGATTTTAGATTTCTATACATATTTAAACCAATCAGATGCTTCAGATATGACAAAACTAAACCTTTTTGAGGTATCCGTAAACCCCTGACACAGGCACACACTGTGGGAAACACGGAGAGGAAATGGCAGCATTTACAATTCCGAATGCGCGGCTTTGTTGCTCATGGGCTACTCTCTTTTAGACCAATAGGAATCAATGCTTTACATCTCCGAATGGACAACTTTTATAGCCAATAAAATTTCAGCCTTTAACTTATTAGACTTTTTGGCAAATAAATTTATACGATTCTGGGTCTTTTATCTGTTTAAGCCAATCAATTTTTTTTAAATATGGATAACATATACCTTTTTTTTTAGGTAACTCTAGCAACCTTCATATTTGTCTAACAAACTTTTTATGTTTTATAGCTAAATATTTTTATTTACGATTTTATTATTGATCAAAATAGTCGAGGAAGGATAGAAGAACTATGTAAAGAAGAAGAGGGCTTTATTTATTTTATATTCAGTAATTAGTCTAGTGAAAATATAGCTTAGATTATAAAACTATATGTTTTTATAAACTACCAGACATTGCTTTGTCCAAAAATCAGAAAGCGTTTTTGTTTAATCTACAAGAACTATAGATATACACCATTTTATCTATTAAACATGTGTATATGTGCTTATCTACTTGAAGGTTCGATGCAATCTATTGTATTGTAGTAAGTTTCTGGTTCAATATTGTTATCTTCCAAAAGTTATAAGCTATAAAACCTCGAAGTCTCGTTAACAAGTATAATAGAGAAAAAAAATATAGATGTTAACAATTTACAGAATAGAAGCAAACTTTTATTTTATTTTATTTTTTTAAAAAAAAAAACTTTGCGAGCAGATATGGCGGTTTCTGATATAAAAGGCAGACATACGTTTATATTGAGGATGTATATAATTTATATGATTTGTTTGACCTTTTATTCGATTTTCTTAAAGCAAGCAAAAGCAGCTCATTGTCTATTATGTGTTCCAGATGATTTTTTAGATTAAAAAACAAGAGCTTTGTTTTTCCAGGTCAAGTTTTAGAACTTAAATATAATTGAAATATCCCAAGATTTATAAGTATGCAACGCTATTAAAATATGCTATTTTTTTACTAGTAGTAATGTTTAATCGAAATTCAATCTTAAAACAACCCTTAAACCCCGGAAGATCGTGCAAAAGTCTCCAACTAAAGGCCTTTTTTATGTGTACCACAACAAATGCATGATGCTTTGAAGCGGGATATTGTATTTATTTGAAAAGGCATCCTTACACGACAATGAGCTCGAAATTTAGAGCAAAAAATAAACGCACTGAAAGCTCGGTTTCACTTATCATGCAAACTTTTTAACATGTATTTATAAGGGTTTTTGTAAAATACTAGTAATAGTCATAATATTATATGCTAAAGTACAATTTATTATTTTCCATTCATGGCTCTAATTGACTTGTTACAAGCTTTCTTCAACTAGCTCACTAAAAAAAAATGGGCTGATTATCGTATAGAAATAGTTTCTAAAATTGAGCGAGGACTTACGGTGAACTTTATCTGGTATGGAGGTGACTAGATATAAATGTTTGTTGGTTGTCTTGTACCGTAGTTGATCTTTTTACACGACCTCACTTTTACTCCATTTATTCAATTTTAAGGGTCAACAACATCGTTATTAGTTTTGTACAAGCATACTTTCTCGTATATTTTTATTTGGGGGTTTGGTCATGTCTGTGTGTACAACAGTTGCTTTTAATGCAATAAGTTGCTTAGTACCGTAAGCAATGTTCTTGCGCTTCAATTATATTGTAAATCACATCGTTAGTTTGGATAATGCGCATTCTAGACCTTAGGGGCTTTGATTTTCTGTATTTTCTCTATCTATTAAATTAAATAGTGTTTAAAAGTGAAAAAAAGGGGGCTAACTTTACTGTGTAATAATAATAACAGCTGTAAATGGTATTATTATTATTTTCAACTTGGTCCCTCTGTACAATTTTCATTTCTCTCTCTCTCTCTCTCTCTCTCTCTAGTATTTAGTTACCTCATCAACGCAATTTATTCTGCAAGTTTTGTCCAGAGAAACCTGGAACACTTCCATATTCAAAATGGTATCAAATTCTCTATAAATTCTTAAAACATAATTGAAAAACTATAATATAGTATAACGATTAAACAGAAGGTACCTTCTTTGGTACTTGTAACTATGCATTTTTTGTATTGCTTGTTGAAGAATAAAGTAACTGCTACATAGGCAGCCGCTAATAATTTGCAAAACATATTTAACCTCTAAATTATAAAAGAAAATAAGCTCAAACTTTGATCCTTATTTACACACCTTAGCCACCCTTGAACACAATACTCTTTTATAGTTTCTCCAAATTTATTTTTAGCCAGACGTAAAATATGTACAAAATAAAAATTGAGATTTGAGAGAAATATGATAATAGCTCCACTACAGTAATTATATAGTCTGAAGCTACTAAATTTTATTGCTGTTTTTGTATATATGTGTGTATGTATATATGTATATATTTATGCTTAAACTGTAAATGCTTATAGTCCACTATTTTTGGATATATGTAAGGCTATACTCTTGACCAAAGATCGCGCAATTTATTTGTACTTGAAGATTTCAATCGAGGTTCGATGAGGATAGATCTCTTGTATTGTTCCTAGATAGGTGTTTAAAATGATGTGAAAGTGTGAATTATTACCATCAATGGTAATGAAAAATTACTAAACGCACACACACACACACATTCAACCTAAAAGCTTACATCTTCTGTCATTACGACACTGTCTGCTATGAAATTAAGAATTTTTTCGTCCGGACTGATTTTTTGATAGCTTGGACTTTGAAACTTCATCATACCCATAATGCTCTCGCCCATCAACCTAAACTTCTCCCAATGAATCGTTCCATCAGCCTTGAAGTCTTTGTTTGCTTCGGATAAAGAGACGAGGTCTTGGTTGTGAATTCCACTATAAAATTAAATTATCAGCATTAATTAACTGCATTATTTATGGTTTGAGGTACACGAATATAATACACTTACAGATAAGGTATCCCAGGAGTCTCGGATGCCTTGAGTGCCATTCGATAAGAGCTGAAGGACCTAAATGTAAAATATGTTAATAGAGATATTAATTATTACTATTTTTTCTTTTACTTTACCTATCTGTACTCATGAGTTTCTCCAAGCTTTGGTATTGTTTGAATATCTTTTTTGATGATATTGATTCTCGTGTTAACCGAAGACGAAGGACAGCAGCATTATTGATTCCGGCCAAAATAGCCATCAAAGAATTGTAGTTATTATGATTACGTAGCTCCTAATTATCACCAAAAACAAATACATTAGGATATGTTATAAAGAGTTGGCATCAAAACACTTTCTATTTATCGAAGAATAGCAATACATTACCACGGCTATAGACATAAATTTTTCTAATACTGCCGCTCGTTTATTGAGTTTCGGTTGTGCCACAATACTTGTAGCAACCCAGGCAGATATAAAATTAAAATGTGATATTGATGCTACAACGGCACTTGGAGCAATTTGCTGCTGTGGCGATGCTAATAAGGTCTTTTTTCGTGTTGATTTATCGTACGTCCATCGTTCGTATTTTGTCTTGACCTGATCGTCAGATGATACAGATGTAGGTCGTCGAGATTGGGATGAAGTCCATATACTTCGTACAAATTCTCTAGCCTGTGGGTTGGTTGGTAGTCAGCGTATCGTATCCACCACAAACACATACGTACACGCATACATATATATATATACATATATATGTACACATATATATATATGTGTATGTATATATATTTTCTGTATGTCTGTGTAGTTGAAATATGTCTTGCCTTTATCTTTCCAAATACTTCGGACTCAATCCACGTTAATTGCTCTGCTACATTTTTATCGGTCATGTCTAGAAATACTTTTAAATTATATGCTGCCTGATCTTTTTCTGATCGACCAGCACCTGATGGATATACGGCACCAAATGCACTGGTAATACTGGCTGCCGAGGAAATTAATGTTTGTGCTCCAAAGGAGGCCCAGCTAGTAGATGCCGAAATTCCATTATAAGTTTCGAGGTTAATTAACCCCCCTGAGAATTCTGGTCGACATGGTTCCCCAACCTTTTGTGAAGGGTCAACAGACAGGCGACGGTGGGTCATTGAAAAATCGTCAGTAATATCGGGAGTTCTTTCTTGTGGGGATATTGGCGTTGTGTATTCGTTAGTTGTGATATCTAAATCATCTGGAGGTGTCTGTTGTTTAGGGGTCATGGGCTTTAGGGATGCCAAGGAAGCAAGGAACTGGATAGAAGATGAAATTGATGACTCTCGGGATCTTCCAAAAAGACTACTAAAAGATCCTGCACTGGACGTTCTTTTAAGAGGCGCGGATGATTGAGGAATCTTTGGGGTGGAGGGGGTGGAATGTACTGGAGAGGGGGAAGAAATAGAAGTTGCATCAATTGGACAGTGTTGAATGGTTGCATTGGATCTGTTTTGTTCGCTGTCCATAAAATTTGATAGCTTGAAAGAGCCGGATACATATCCACTATCCTTTTTTTTGTTTTTCTCGTGTTGCTTTGGCGTTGAAGGAGCGTCAGAAAAATCATCTGTGTCGGTATCAGAGTCCATGAGACCCCATTGAGCGTCTGGATCGTCTAAAGGGGGTTCACGTATTACCAATGGAGCAAGGTCATCGCAAATAGGCCGCATGCTTTCGTGCTGTGATATATCCTCAATAAACGCAATTAAGGCTTTTCGTGTCTGTGGACTGTGAAAGTCTCCCCAGTAGTGTGACAACCAAAGTAAGAAGATTGAATGAATTCTACAGAAAAAAAAACCGGTATCAGTCTTGATCTCCTTAACTTTTCGCAATTTATCCTGTTGCTATCGACCTTTCTTGTAGAAGTGTTGGGGATGAACCTTCCGCGATATCGCCTTGGAATCTACACACACATATATATATATATATCAGAGCATATTGCTGTGATTAGCATGTGGTTATTAGGTAACTGGGCTGGGTGTACCTTTCGATTAGCATCTTTACAAGCTCTCCTGGCTTCATGAATTTACGAAAGAAAGTGATAAAAACAGGGACAATATTCTCATCTGCAAGGGTTGTAGTCAGTACTAGTAGTTCATGCATATCGCTATGTCTATATGTGTATTTATGCTTGCAGCACTCCGGCAAAGAAAAAATCCTTACCGCCGCGGCATGGTTCCGATGCGATGAGTCGATCGACAATGTCTTCTGCCGTTAGACCGGTGCTACAGGAGTCGCTGTAGCTGTGTGAAAAATACACGGTCAATTAGCGGCTTGTTTAGTTCCTGTTGTTGAGACTAGTCTTTTACTGTGTCTAGCGCTCTTACCTACTATCCTTAGATCCGCGACGACTACTTAGAATTATTGGGTGAGGAGCACTTCCACGCCTTTGAGTATGTAGATCGCGGTTGATGTGATGGTTAGATGACGATGTGGATGGAAGACTATTTTTACGATGTTTTTGCTGAATATTACATGGCTTCGACGATTGTGGTGGTGGCGGTGGCGGAGGTAGTAATGGTAGTAATGGTAGTAGTGGTGGTAATGTTGGTGAAGGTGATGTCAGTTCAACTTCGTCTGGTGTATCAAAAGGTTCGTCTTCGATGGCTGTCAGACTTTGTTCTGTCAGGCTTGCAATGGTCTGAGTGTTTGATCTCCGAAAAGAGGCGTTCTTTCCTCTTGGAAGGTCGCTTTGTGCTGTTGGCGCGTACACAAAACCAGTTGGGGCTCGTGTTCCGGCAGAGATGGGTGCCTGAACCCGATCAGCAATTGGAGGGCCGTCAGAATGTAACTCATAATTGGCGTAACTGGTGTCTGGCTGACTGGCAGTTGTGGTGATAGGTGGTTTTATTGTGTTCTGAAAAGTGGACAGGATATTATTGTGATCGATCTTGATGCGGATACTGGATTCACTAGCCATGCGCCGTTCTCGTAAAGTCGGGGGCTGGGCGGGAGTGGGAGTTGGTGGGGCTGGCGCAGTGATCTGATAGAGTAGTGTGGCATAAACGTCTTTCATACGAGCGATTCCTTGGTCTGAACATGCGTCGACCTCAAAAAGCTGTACTCCAAAAAGACTTGCGAGTTTGCAGCCCAACTGAAGATCTACCTGGCGTAGACCGCTGAGATCAGCTTTTAAGCCGATCAGACACGCTGGGATATTTCGAGACACATAAGTGTCTCATCAGATAGAAGAGAACCGTGAGACAAGCGAGGCAATAGGATTAATGTCTTGATTGAACTCACTAAGTAAATCTGGTAGACAGTCCATCGAATCTCGGTTGGTTATGTCGTAGCATATCAGGCCACCGTGGACGGTTGTTAAACTCTAAAGTAATTAAAAAGGGAGGATTGGGAGAAGAGAGGTGGAGTTCAGATTTACGTTGGCTCTTTGTGTCCGCCCCTTTGATGAAATGCGGTCTTTTACTGCTTTGTTACCTCTGGAAATTCGGGGGGGTCTTCCGTTGCATCAATCAGGGAGTCGTCTATTTCCATTATGTCGACCAGATACCTAACTCGATCCATAGTCATCGTTGACTGGTGGCGCTGCCAAGCCGACCTAGGTTTATCTATCTGTGTAGGGGCTCCAGATGATATCGGGGATCCTGGAGCCACATTTGGATTTTGTTGTTTTTTATTAGAGTCCTGTAAGCCAAGTTCTATCAACGTTGATTTCCCAACGTTGCACGCGCCTGCAACAACAATAACAAGTGTTTTATCATGGGTCTTTAAAGAAGTCAGTTTTTGCGTTTGCCCTTCTATTGTTCTTTTGTTACTTTAAACGTCGTCGGTATATCGGGAGGAGGATGTACTGGCTTTGGTGGCACGGGCTTTTTCTTGCTGAAAGATTTTTGGGCCGATTTGTTGTTATTCTCTGATTGTGTGAATGCGGCTAACTTTCGCGTGAGCCACATAGCCTTTGGGACTAGGTTATGGATAGAGAGAAAGAGAACTGGGCAAAGTAAAGTAAAACAAAATAAAATAAAGATAAAAAGAAGGATAATATTAAACGGGAAAGAAGACGGAAGAAGAGAGGAACCCAAAAAAAGACCGGGAGAGGAAATAAAGAGTGACAGTAATACAAGTGTGTGTGTGTGTGTGTGTGTCGATTATTTAGGGGGAGTGCTGTTGTTGACAACTGACGCTCAAAAGAAGGAACTCATTCTCACATCTTTTCCTCTTTCCATCGCTCTATTTTCCCCTTCCCCTTATTTATTATACCATAATTACTCTCCATATTTGTCCAAGGCCAGTAAAACGCATACTTCTCCTACTTCCATTAATTCATGGGCTCTCTCATTTTTTTATATGTGTACACTCTCTCTTTTAAAATGACCACACATTTGGTGTTTCTATTATAGATATACATGTTTGTATGTGTTTTTTTGTATCTCCTTTATCAATGAATATATAAAACAATGTACCAGTAACATACGCCATTTTAAAACGAACTGCTTGACCATTAAGGAGAATAGATAGAGACACATAGGCATATAGAAAGAGCCTCGAACATTTCCCCTCATAAAGAACTTCTTTTTGGCTTATTATTATTTTTTGAATAATATAGATAGATAGATATATATATATTCTCTTTCTTTCTTTCTCTTTCTTTCTTTAAGCAATGTTCGCCAAATAGTCTTTCACCTCGTTCAGAGACAATTTTCTGAATAATGGAATCTCCTTTCTCTCTCCACCATACAAACCAACTGTACTGGTTCCAATGATGCCAATCTCCAAGCTGTTTTCGGTCATTTGCCCCTCAAATCCTTCTTTAAGCTACACACGCATAAAACATGTCAAGATCTCATTGAGATTAACACGAGCATAACCAGCAATGTAAACATGTCTTACCGTCAAAATTGCAGTGTGAACAGCATCTTCCAATTCCATTTCCTCGTTATATCTTTTTTATGCAGAATCAAATGAACAAACATATATATATATATACAAATAAAATATTAAGTATAAAATATAAAAGAAGTTTAGGGGGTAAGTTTCCATGGTATGGGATAATTGACAACAAGGCACAAATACATCACATCACATACCTCTTTTCCAAAAAAGTCTTTGCGTTAATCATGTTCTTGCCAATTGCACTGGCCTTCCATGCCCAGTATGATCCAGTGGGATCCACTTGATAAAGAGAAGGACCATTGACTTCATCGTAGCCAGCAATTAAAACTGACACACCAAAAGGACGCACACCACTAAACACACAGATACCCATAGACAATCTGATAAGATATTTGATCCAAAACAGGTACAATGTGTCTTACCCGCTTTGTGTGTATTCCTGCACAACACTAGCAACCTCTTGTACCAGAATACGGACTGGGGGTTCTTCCATGTATACACGCTTGTACTGCTGTGCTGCCTTACGTGCCTTACTGACCAGAACACGGAAATCAGGACCCATTCCTGAGTAGATCATGCCAATGTTGGCACAGATCGTGGCAACCTTTTCAAGGGACGAATCATCAACAAGACTGGATGCCGATTTCTTCTCGGTGGCGATGACGATGCCATTAGTAGCTATTTAAGTTATAGTAGCAGCTATTGTGAGCGGATTCTCATTCATGCACAATTCTCGTGAAGGTAACAAATATAATTGGAAAAACAGTGCCCTAAATTTAGGCGTCTCCCTTGTGTAGAAAGCTTCTAAGGTTTTAGGACTCAAATGAAAAAAGGTATGTACCTTTAATTCCAACGCTGGTTACTCCCGAACTAACAGCATTTAAAGCATATTCAATTTGGACAAGCTTTCCAGAGGGTGAGAAAGTTGTGAGTGAGAAACTATATCTATCGGCCATGGTAAGGTCTGTAAAGTCAAGTGTAAGGACTCTTTGGCGTCGAGGTATGAAAAGAAATGGCGGTTACTGTACACGAATCATGTACGCGTCGTCCAACGGATTATCTGATGACGTGTTAGAACCTATATCGGACATTAAACACAGTAGGTAACCTGAAGTTTATGCAGCAGAGCGCCATTGTCATTGTACACGCAAAGTTGGATATCATTGTTGTTCCTGTTATTGATTAGTTTTATAAGAGACCGCATACATGCTCAAGATTAGCTTTAAATTTTTGGATACTTATAAGCTATTTGATATGCCTACGGATGATCAATTGATACAAGCAACATTTCCTCGTATAATAAATATTTTAGGTTAAAAATATCAGAAAATTGACAATTTAGCTCTAGTCACTCGTTATTTAACTATATCTTTGTACCTTATATTCCACTCTAAATTCATTTACAGAGTATTCTTTCTAATACGATATGCATACGCACTCTATAATTTTCATAAGATAAAATAAATAAGTATTATATAAAAGTATTTATCGCAAAAAAAAAAGAACTTTTAATTATATTTACTGTCGATCGGCCGTGAATGCATCGGAAGGTACGTTGACAAGCAACAACAAATTGATATATGCATTTTGGTCTTTGAATCAGGTACAAAATTGATTACATGACAATAACTAGAGTATATATTTTCACACTTTTTTTTAAACACTTGACCATACAGCGCTTATATGATGTTGTATATGGTAAGCTTCTTTTCCTATAAGCTATATTAGGTCTTGGTAATTTTACATCCAATATTTACTTTGAGATTTACTATCCATGAGTTATTTAGTAGTAACGATATATATTATTGATATATACAGTATCGTAACTCATTTTATTTTTTTTGGAAATAAAAAATGGAATCCTCCAATGAAATGTCTTTATTTTTACTCCGAAATTTCTAAATATGGTAGTAGCGAGTTGATTAAACTGAAAGTCGAGTTGAGAATACTATTGATTCTGCTGGAACTTTCTAGTATTATCACCTAGCGAGTTGAAATTACTGGTTTGTCCACAGTTTGATTAACTTTTAATATAGAAATTTTCTTTTTCTTTCAAAAACCTATTTTACTATGTCGCCCTTTGCTTACTAACATCACTGCTTTTAAAAGACGCTTTGTTAACGAGCTTGATGCAGAAGAACGAGAGCGTTTACTCGAGCAGAAAGAAGCTGAGATTTCCAGCAAAATTCAAGTACAAACAAAACAGACAATAGATTTTATGCAAAAAAAAGGCCCACCAATATTAATAATACATATTTATAGTCTACTAGTATGACTGCAACCTCTGGAGAGGTTTTCAAGAAAGCTCATAGGGTCGACCATCAAAAAGTATTATGCTGGTTGAAAATTCAACAGTTGAGTCGCCCAGTTCAGCCAATTTGCATATGTTTGTTAGCTCAAATGCCTTTATTTCTCTTCAGAGTAGCTCGTCAATCAATGTGTCTGAGTTTGAGCTCGCACTTAAGGCTTTTCCAATGAAAGTACATGCTAGCACTGCAGCAATTTACAGAATGCCCTTAGAACATTAGAAAATATGTATCAACTCAATAGAATAATAATCTATATTGTATTGATTGTATTCATTTTTTTTAATGATGCTTAAATTGAAGGACTTTTGCAAAAAAAAAAAACGACACATATATTCGGTTGATTTTAGTATCCATACACTGTTGGGCCTACGGAATTTGTTATTCTTCTTTAAATAATTTGTTTTCAAGCTAACCTATATGAAAAGTGCTTCAGTAGAAACTGATGTTAAAGCATATATTGGATTAAGAACAGAAAATAACAAAGAAAGTTATCGAGGTTTCTTTGGGTATAGAAGCTGTCAATCAATACGAGAAAGTCTTCATGTTCTTGCATTAATTTCATTCCGAGCGTCGAGAAGTTGGATGTCCATATCCCAAGAAGACTAAAGAAGTGATTAAATCGATCAAGATGTATGAGCATGACCTTGTTTAGGACCAAGTGCAAAAAAATGTGGATAAGGCAGCCCATTGCGTGATTCGGGATTCTTATAAGTCTGGCGAACTTATCAGAATTCTGAAGAGCCTTTGGACTTCTGACAGTGAATCAAGCTTGCGCGAGATGTTCTCTATCTCTTCCCGTCACCATATGTTACTTCGAGATCAAGATTTAAGAAATCTCAACTTTGCGGATTGCTTTTGTACGATCATTCCAAAGAAACAGCACAAAGGAATGTAACAGGCTCTTGTTTTGGTCTTTAGTCTTGACAAGAGAAAGACTCTGAAGGAAGGAGAGGTCAAATTTGCATGTGCCATGCGCCATGAGAATGTATTCAGATGTCCTTTTGGTGCTTTTGCCTTTTTCATGTTTAGTTTGCTTCAAGTAGGTTGCCCAACTAAAAAAGTGGGACATCTTAGAATAAATACTAACTTTCTTGATAAAAATAACAGATCAGTGGTGATTTCTTGAACGAAGACAGATGGCATAACTGGAAAGTATTGCGTGGACGCACCAGCACTGAGAAGAGTTTAACTGGCGCTTCTCAATGGAAAACGGCAAAAAAGGCACTTGCAGATGAAGAAATATACAACACACAAGTAACACACGGTGGCCGTCATGCTGGGTCAATGGAAGCTGAGGGCTTAGATATGTCCTTTGATTTGATCAAGCAAGAAGGAGAATGGAAGGATCGACTTGGTCACTTGGAGACCCATTACTTGGGTAAATTCCCATATCCTTCTGCAAGAAGTATGGCCGACTTTTTGGGAAAGTCTTTTTCATTAGCAAGAAATGGTGTGTCACCACCACTTGAATTGCAAAAGATGATTTTTCCATGGATCGAAGACTATTTCGGTGTTGGGAATGCAGGGTGAGTAGTTGTCTATGAGAAGGAGATGAATGAAGTTGATGAAAACAAAGATGAAGATGAAAACGAGGATGAAGATAAAAATATCACAAGTCTGGAGATAGACGAAGAAGCCAATTCCGTAGAATTCACGGAGGAAGATGGAAGAAAGCCGTCGAAAGAAAAGAAAAGAAAGGAAAAGCAAAGAGCAATTTAAAGTAGTATCAATATAGCAAAGAGAGGCTTTTTACGAATTTTGATCAGATGTAGACGAATTGTTTTACAAGATGCAGCCGTCTATTTGTACTTGAACAAGGAGAACAGACGTGTCAACACAAGATGTTTTACATTCTTAAGTAACAGCTTCAGAATGTTTCAAGAGGATATTGTAGCTGCTATTACCAGTCCTTCCGTTGATAGACTGGAAGAGTACAAAAACCTTGTGCCTAAGATTGTTGATACGAACAAAGCGGTAGCCAGCAGAGTGACAGAAGCGAATCATCGAATCATACGCTTACAGCAACAACAAGACAGCCGATTTGAAAAAAATGAAAACTCTTTCAACAATTACATTGAGCAGAATAACCAACAGAATTTCCTTCCGATGAATTTGACACAGCAACTGGCTAAGGATGTAAGAATCCTTGGGATGCAGCAACAGTGCTTAAATTTACAAATACAATTACTCATAGCTACTAACAATGCTTCACAAAACACAAATACCAATACCAGCTTGCCTCAACCGCCAACCTTTCCAGTTATTTCCACAGTTCATTCAATGTCAACCTTCCCTTTCCGTTACTCTACTCCCTTTACTCCTTTTCCTACTCATCAAACAATTGCTATAAGTGCCGCCCACCTTCACTCAATTTAAATAGACGCCCCATTGTTTTGCTGAAACCCGAACCCAAAAAAAAGGCTATATGGGTTAGCTACAAGCCTAGAAATTAAAAATAGTTTTTTTTTAAAAGCTGTTATATATACACTACTATGTATCTATTACTTATTATTTTTATCTGTTACCATCCTTCAACACACTATATATTCACATTATTCTTTATCAGCTACAATAAATTCTAATATAAATAAATATATATATATATGCATATACAGTCAAAGCTCGATTTAGTAATACTTTTGGGAGAAGCCAAATTGTATTACTATTACTAAATCAAATGGATTTTCAGCTATTATTCGGGCCCGATGCTTTTCCTCTCAGGCACGACGTTTCTATAGAGTACTAAAAATATTCTAAACACCGATTTTAATTGTGTACCGGACTCCTGAAAAGTGACTATGGTCCGGCCTTTAATGGTAACAGAGTACCTGAAAGCAGAAAAAAGTTGTGTCCTGAAGAAATTAGTGAAAGACCCGTTATAAAACCTTCTTTTCTTTTATATACTCATCTTGTAAGAATTAGACATCTTTTACATAATATAATGTTTTTATCAGAAGAAACAAGAGTACTACTTCTATCATTACAAATTAGTATTTGTAAAAACGATGTTAACAATCGCTCAATAGAAATCACTTCAACATGAATACTATCAATAAAGAATCAATTTTTATCGACGGAAATGAATATTATCCCGTTCAGCAAGACTTTCCCACTACACCAGTCAATGGCTATGCCAACATGACTGTGGCTATTTCTAAGATGCAGGAGTATGCACTTGCTAACAACTTCACTCTTGCAACTAAAGACCGTAAACCAACCCGGGTTTACTTAAAGTGCGCCAGGGGTGGTCACTATAGAAACACCCATAAACTTGAAGACTGCGATCGCGTAAAAATCCGCCCTAGTTCGAAAACCGGATGTCCTTACATGATAAAGCTATCTTACAAGAAAGGAAACAAAGGATATCTTCCCTTGAAAGCTTCTAGTGAAATGGAGAGTTATCACAATCATCCTCTTGATGACAAATGCTTGGAATCGACTCTGAAAGGCAGATTGTCGAGAGTTACTGCCGAAGACGCCAAGCAGATATCTAAACTTGTTGAGACAAAGGCCAAGACTCGTGAGATCCAAAGGGCTATCACAGACGAAAAAGACGATGGTCATAAGCTGTACGTTAGCGATATCAACAATATCAAGGCTGCCTTTGCTCGAGTTTCTGCCCCTGTTGCCCAGAATGCGGGTACTGGACTTGTTAAGATGATGGAAGCAAAAGGTTACCAGGTGCATTATGATGTAAACGGGGACAATTCGCTGGAGAGGGTATTTTTTACCAATCAGAAGATGATGGAGAGAGCTCGTCGCTTCTCAGAAGTTATGGTGGTAGATGCTACATATTCTACCAATAACTTGTCAATGCCGCTGATTTGCGTGGAAGGTATTCACAACCTTGGAGAAGAAACTCTCAAATCGTTTCCCATTACCTTTGCCTGGGTCTCTAACAAGCAGCAAGGCACATATCTTTGGTTCCTCCAGCAACTCAAGGCACTTGTTTTTGAAGACAAGGCTCTTAGCACAGTTTTTGTGACAGACAAGTGTGCTGCACTTATGAACGCTCTTGATGTTGTGTTTCCAAACAACAGCAAGCTGCTTTGTTACTGGCACATGCTGAATAGTGTGGAAAAGGCTTTTTCGGGAAAAGTTGGCTCAGTACAAAAAAAGGAAGAGCTGACGGGATATATATCCAATATGATCCATAGCAAAAGTAAGAAGGAGTTTGACTGGGCGCTGAATAAGTTCAACGCTGTATCTGCTGGTTCCGAAGTAGAAAATGGCAATGTGAAAACGCCAGTCTCGGCATATTTTCATGACAGGTGGATTACATGCCAAGAGAAGTGGGCAGGTTATCTTACTCAGAAGATAATGCATTTTGGATGCACAACATCTCAAAGAGTGGAAAGTGCCCATCAAGCCTTAAAGAGAGGTATATCTGCAATAGCTTCTTTGGATCTCGCCTTTGAAAATATTTCAAGATATATCGAGAGGCTTGAGAGAGACTTCCGGAATGTGGAGATCAGGGAATCTACCACGGTTGACCCTCTTGTTGGACGAAACAAGCTTTTGTCTAGACTGCTCATGAAGGTCTCAAAGCGAGCTTTACTGGTAATAGACCAAGAGGTTCGACTGAAATGTGAAAGCAGTATTGTTTGTGAATGCATGAACAAGCTCCAGTATGGTCTACCTTGTCGCCATTCTTTGCCTGCTGGAAGGGATATCTATATTTCTGATATCCCTGAAAGGTGGGTTATTGATCCTCGTAATGTAAAGCCAAGGGACAACACTTGTCGGGAAAACTTCCAGCTTGAGGAAAGACCAGAGGTGTGGATGGAGGAAGTAATTAAACTCGAGTCACTGTTTCGGTCCTGTGAGGGCAGCCAGCAAGTGGCTAACCTCCTGAATAAGATCAAGAAGGTCACTTCTGAATTCGAAGGCAAAACTGGGCACCCTTCGATTAACTTTCAAGCCCTAGAAAAAATCAAGTACCCTGGCAGACGGAAGGGTAGTGCACGTCCAAAGTACCTCCCCAAAGACTTTGGTCGGGCAAACTGGAGAAAGATCAGTGTTTCGTCTGGTCATGTAAGATAAAAAAAAATAACATAACAAAGTATTAATATGTATCTTGAAGTACTAGGCTGGCCTTAAGGCAATGGTTAGACTGAGAGCTAAAATGAGGGAGGGAAAGCCTGCAGCTACACAAAAAACAAAAAACAAAAAACAAAACAAAAACAAACAAGAGCCTCTCGACCCAGGTAAGATGTGTTCTTATTTTACAATGTAATTGAATCTATGAGAAAGGATTCCCATTTTATACTTTCATGTTTTTTTAGTCGATGCTACCAAAAACAAAATAAAACAAATAAAGCAAGAGCCTCTTGACCCTGGTAAGATGTGTTTTTATTTTACTTTAATTGAATTTATGTGGAGGGATGTCGTCTTACACGAATATGCTTTTTAGTCGATGCCACCAAAAATAAAACAACAAAAATAAAACAAGAGCCTCTCGACCCAGGTAATATGCTTTCTTATTTTACAGTGTAATTGAATCCATAAAGAGAACTATCGTCTTATACTTATATACTTTTTAGTCGATGCCCCCCAAAAAAATGGGTTCAAAAGACCCGCCACCGCCCTAGAAGATTACCAGTATGATAATCGCACCTCTGTTGGCAAGAGGGTCAAATTCCAGCCCGGTTTTCCTGTCTCTCATGAGATAGTCGATGATGTCAAGGGTGGGTTTAGCCTTACTGCTGACGGGTGGTGTGGTTTTCGGGTCCTTGCCCACTTGATTTACAAAGATCAAAATAAGTTTTCACTTGTAAAAAGGGATATGCTAGCCGCCCTGCCGAAATACAAAATATTGTACACAAATACCTTCGGCACTGACACAAGCCAACTAGAAAAAATCATTCAACATGGCTCTCAACTCGATTATAGCAACACCAGCAACACCAACACCAACACCAACTTCATCCCAGTATGTTCAGATGCCAATATGTGGTTTAACACACCCGACTGTGCTCAACTAGCTGCGGACACATATACACGACCAGTTTGCGTCTACTCAGACAACCCCAACTCCCCCTCAACAACTTTTCTCCCATTCGCCCTTCCCAACAACAAAACCAAACAACGACAATCTCTGATTTTTAATCATGTTAACAGTAATCACTGGACAACAGTTGACCTTTCCCATAATATCTCTAGAAAATGGCCAACCGTTCCTGAATTATTTTTTTTAGGTTGTGCCAGAAATAAGATTGATGATAACTTTGATACTTACTGGAATAAGTTCAAAGAATTTAACAAGCATGATCGCCAAAATGCCATGCTCTCTCTCCATTCTGATCTAGATCAACCAATTGATCTTACTCCAAAATAATTTCTTTTCGATATTCTTTTCTATTTTATTACTCTTTTAATTATACTTTATTACTTATATTTTATTAGCTAGATCTTTTCTTATTTATTTACTCGTTTACTTTTATATTTTATTAGCTAGACAATTTTTTTAAATCTTTATAAATCTTATCAATTTGTTTCTTTGCATCAACATAAGCTATCTATCACTTGTGGGTTAAATGACTCTCCGCTCTGTTTTTTCCTAGAGATCATTCGTGGGAAGTACTTTACCCTTCGAGTTACAATTATAACCAGCGAATTAAAAATCATAAATATCGGATGGCATTACACAGATCGAGCCAAACTATCTTCGAATATGTTATATTATGCATTTGCATCTATTTATTTCATCAATTCAAGTCTTGGCTCTCTATAACTTTGGATCCAAGTAGTGTATAGGTATATGTATGTGTTCTAGGATTTTTAGTTGAATTGAAAAGGTTGATCATGAGAAAACTAATGTAATATCTCAAAAATTTGCATTTTTTCAATAAAATAAAATATTGTATTTGCTTGTAGAATTACTTTTTTCTCATTTGTTTTTTATGAAACTTTTACTGAATTCATATATTATCTGAATATATGTAATTAAAAACTTTTTTTGGTTCTTTATGAATATTTTTTAATTTTTTATATTTTTGATAAAATATCTCATGTACATGCTGTAAAGAAATGATAGAAAGAGTTTTTACAGAAGAAATAGAAATAAAAAATAAAAAATAAAAACATGAATTTTGTAAAAATATATTAGCTTAACTGCTATGTAAACTTTCTTAGGCATAAAACGCTTCATTACCTTTATATCTATTATGAAAGTTTTTGAAAAAAAATGCAAATTATATGAATTATAATCTTTTCCACTTAAATCACATAAAACTAAAATATATGATTTATGTCTCAAGTTAAATCGTGACACATGGCTCTTTCCACTAACACTCCGGAACCACCAGGGGTCAAAAACCCCTCCACCACTGGCTCATCTCCACCATTGCCAACCTCATTCACACCACTCTCACTCTCTTCGACACCTCTTTACTCGCAAGTAGCTACTCAGAACGCACTTCCACTTCTCGAAAAGCAATCTCATGTTATCTTCAGCTCTACAAATAATGCGACCCCACGTACCTGGTGTGTAGGGTCCTCTAAGTTTTCAGTTTTTTTCACCGTCCCACCCAAATCCTCACCCAAGTTTGACCCTTTCTGGAGAGCTCTTCTCTCAGCCTATCCTCGCGAGGTTAACATGGGCATCACTCTTGGCTCACGCTCTTCCCCTGATACATGTGAACTCCATCTACCTACCAGTGCTGACTGCGAGCGAGCATGCTCTCAACCTTTGGTAGTAGGCGATTCGTCTTTCCCCGCTCAACCTGCTGTTCCCATTGGCACAATTGTTCGCCGTGTTTTCCTAACCAAGCTTCCTTGTGTTCCTTATCATGACCTGGCTACACAACTCGCCAAATGTATGTCTCCTTTTGGCAAAGTGCGGGAGATCGCCATTCATGAATCATATGGGTTTTTTGACAGTTCTGGCTATGTTGTCCTTGCCAATACACCTACTGACGATGTGCCATCAGATTCTCTGACGTACCAAATTGCATATGACGATATGCAAAAGATTCTTGGTAAGTGGCCTTTCATGGGCTCCCACTGCACCTACTGTAAGGAAATGGGGCACGATGTTGCAAAATGCACCAAACGCCCAGCCGAAACCTGAACGTGTTTTGGATGCAACAAGACTGGTCACTTACAAGCCAATTGTCCATACATTACTGATCCTTCCAAGACATCCAAGACGTCCAACAAGCGCTCCCGCCACCCCAACTGCAATTCAAAGCTCGATTGCCCCATCATTGTGCCCAAGCCTTTGATTCCCACTGAGCTCTCACTCATCTATGGAGGATCGGAGGCCTCCAAGCACAACCCTCGTCAACCTGCTTTACGTGAGTTGTCTAAGCTGTCTCCCACAAAGACCACCTTTACTCTACTGACACCAACTGAGACGCCCACGTCCTCCGGCCCTTGTCCTCGAAGCCATTCTGTCGACACCCCCACGCGTGGCTGGGACAAAGAGATAGACAACAGAATGATAACTAATCTCATGGATAGATATGAGACTCAGGCTCTCCGACTCCAGTCTGCCTCTTGCCACACTCATCTCCATTTTTTCTGGCCGGCACGTCTAACAGGCCACAATACATCTCTCTCTCCTCCTCGCTTTACTCACCCACAAACCACAAAAGCCCTCGGCGCAGAGGCCAACATTAACCAATGATTAAAATAGGCACTATGAACTGTAGGGGTCTACCCAAAGTTGGACACCCTGAATCACGCTCCTTTTTCATACACCATTTACACTCGCAGGGAATCGATATTTTAGCCCTGCAAGAAACCCATGCCTCATCATCTATGCTTCAATCTACCTTTGACCAACAATTTCGGTCCTCTTCATCATTATGGTCTCCACACTGCGATGTTGTATGCCTTTCCCCTCACATTATCTTCACTGACCCTCTATTTAGCCCATGTGACAGGTGTATCACGACAACTATCACGCATGTGGATAATAATTTTTCGCCCTTCAGGATAGGCGTCATCTATGCGCCTGCTTTCCAAACTCCACGTTATTGTTTTCTTGCCTCTTTACTGTCCACTCCTGACCTCATCCCTCCCAATCCTTCAAACTTTATTCTATTGGGCGATTTTAACCATGCAATTCACTCACACTATGCTCTTGGACGTCGTGCTCCAGCTGACTGGCTACAGTTTATAGATACCAATATGACTGACTGTATCACTCCTCATGGCCAGCACCCGCAGCCTACGTTCCACCAAGCCCTGTCTTCCACCACCATTGACTACATCCTTGCGTTCTCAGATCTTCACCCTCGCACTACAGACCCACAAGTGAGCTATATTCACCAGAAATGGTCTGATCATTGTCTGGTTGCAGTCAGTCTGTCCCTCCCTTCAACCAAGTCTTCTGGTAAGGGACTTTGGAATGCTAACTCTCACCTAGCACAATCACTTTCGTTCCGTACCGATCTCAACACTCTTCTCTCCACCCTCGTTCCTGCCCTTCGTGCTGATCTTTTTCCTCAAGCCCAATGGGATGCGATTAAGCTCGAAGTCATTCGTTTCATTAAATGTTTCTCTCGCCACCTTTGCCCCTCTCTGAACGACCTGGAAACACGCCTACAAAAACGACAGGACTGACTCATTCACCATTTCCGCCACCAACCCGCCCAGAACTACCAACTCCCAATTGTGGAACGATTGTTGCAGCAAGTCCAACTTGAACGGGTCAAGATTATGGCTCTCAAGGCCGGGAAACACTGGTGGGAAAAGGGTGAGACTTCTGCAGGATACCTCAAACGCACTATCGCCATTCGCCAATCCCGCAAAGCCATTGCAAGCCTCTGTCACCCTGTTACAAATGGCATTTGCACCACATCTGACGCCATGACTGAGGCTGCAGCAGTCTTCTATGAAGGCTTGTACACCCCTGATCATATAGACCACTCTGCTGTGGATGAGCTGCTCTCTCATTTGCCTTCAGATCTCCATTTGCCAGAACTTGCACAGGACTATATGACTTGGCCATTCGCTCTCAACACAATTCAGTCAGGCACTGCCTGCTCTCCCAGCTCTAGTAGCCCGGGCCCAGATGGTTTGCCATATGAGATTCTCTGCCTCATTCTCGCCCATCCCGTGTGTGGTGACCTCGTTTCCCAGATATATAACGATGCCTTGTCAAAGGGAATCTTTCCTCCTTCTTGGCAGTCCACTTGTGTCTGCTTGTTGGCAAAAAAAGGCGATCTCAGTTCTCTGAAGAACTGGCGTCCCATCGCCTTGATTAATACTGATGCAAAAGTGTTTACCCGTCTTATGAATGCTCATATGATTTCTGCTGTTACCACACTTATCACCCTGTATCAAACTGGTTTTGTTCAGGGTAGATTTATAGCTGATAATAGAATGCTGACTCGTTTCGTCATGGCACAAGCTGCGAAGGATGGATCCTCAGGGATTGGCTTGCTCTTGGACCAGGAAAAGGCTTATGACCAAGTACACCCAGAGTATTTTCGTCAAGTGCTCGCTCATTTCCGCTTCCCTCCTTCCATCGTTAATTCTGTCTCTTCTCTATTTTTCTCTACGCAGCTACAGATTAATGTCAATGGCTTTCTCTCACGCCCTCTTATGCAAGCCTGTGGCCTTTGACAAGGGGATTCTCTCTCACCAATTCTCTTCAACCTAGCTTTTGAGCCTTTGCTTCGCCGCGTGATACACGATCCTCTGTTCCTCGGTGTCCTCCCTTCTGTCCCTCCCACTCTTCCCTCTTTACCTCCTGTCAAACTGCTGGGTTATGCCGATGACCTTCTGGTGTTTCTTCTGGACACGGATCACATGTCTCGACTTCACCACCATCTCAACACATATGCTGCTGCATCTAGTGCTCGCATAAACATGCACAAGACTTAAGCCTTCTCCCTTTCAGGATCGCCACTCCTCGACTGGAATACTTTCCTTCGTGCATATGATGTTACTGATTGGCATGATCGTACGTCACCTACCTCTCTCCAATATCTTGGTTTTCCATTATTTTCCTCTATCACTCAACAAGACTCCTATGGGACCACCCTCCTGTCAAAAATTGAGACCTTTTGCAGTATTCATGGATTACAATCTCTTTCCTTTTGTGGGCGGCAACCATCATGAACTCTCTTGTACTTTCTCAACTATGGCACGTCCTTCGTGTGGTTTCGTTCCCTTCTGCCTTCCTTGACCGAGTTCACTCCATCATGCACGGGTTCTTCCATGTCAACTCTTTTCCTCCCATTGCTTTTCACACTCTCTGCTTGCCCTGACTAAAGGGTGGCCTTGGTATCTTGGATCCTGGTATACAGCAATGTGCTCTCCAACTTCGCTGGCTGAAGCCCCTTATTCGTAATCCTCTACTGCCTCACAGTCTTGTTCCCCAATGGTTCTCCACTCTTCTTCACTCTGACGTCCCTACCATTGATCCTCTTCTTCCCTTACTCTTTCCAGACTGTCATCCTTGCAACCATCACACCCTTGATTCCCTGCTGCACCTGGTTCTGAAGGCTACGGATACTCTTCCCCGAAACTTTGACAGAGTGGTGCTCAACCTTTCCAGTTGTCTCATCCTGCCATTGTCTTCTATGATATCCAGTATGCCCTCTCACCCTCTGTATCGACCTGCTTGGCGTGATTTGCGAGTCCACCATCTATACCAAATCGAGTTCAATTTGGATATACTCACACCCATCACTCCCTCTCGTCCTCTACTCCATTCTGTCACACTTAACCGCATCCTCAACAGAATTCGCGATCATACAATGGTCTTGCATCCCATTCTCTTTTGAGCATGCATTCCTTCTTTTGTACTGGCATTCCAACAGCCAGATCTTCCTATTTGCGATGGGTCGTCCATTGACCTCCAGCCACTTCTGTCAGCCCAACTTCCCGGTCAGACCTGGTCCCAGCTCACCATGCGCTCTTACCGTTCTGCCTGCTCCCATCAACTGTCTAATGCTCATTGTTGTAAATGTGTATTGACTACTGCTGTAATTGAGAATAAGTCTGAAGGAAATAATATAAGGCCTCAGCTATTCCAGTCAAAGGTGTCTACCAATTACTTTATTATTTAACACACAGGTTTAGCATGCATGATAGTGATTATATTTCATATGATGATATCACCATAATATGGGATACATCAGTGGATTATTATAAGCATAATTATAACTCATAAACACATTTACTTTCGATGTTAATACTTCATTGGGACTACACACATTTATATAATTAATCATACATTAATTATCCCAAGATCACGTTGCTCTGATTAAGGCTCAGATAGGATCGATTACCTGACCCCAGTCATATAATTTTCCCAATCCAAAACAATATAAATAGCAGTAGTAGTTCAGTGTAGGAACCTGGTCAAACTTTGATATAAAATCCTTTCTCAATAAACAAAACCTACACAAGTTCTCACGAATCTTCGTTCCTAATCAAAAATCTTCAATTCTTCCTCTTAAAAACTTCTTCAACTTCAACCACCACAACACTCATCCCATCCACCCTTCTCTGATCCCATGACAACTTCGCTCCTTCTGGTCTTTTGCCCTCCCTCACTGGGCTCGGAATGTCTGGTTTTGCGGGTTGCACAATAAGCTTTTGTGCCGAGCACTTCTGTACTGCATCATGTCATTCACCATCTCTTCTCCTCTCTGCACTATTTGCCAGGTGTCCATTGAGACGCAAGAACATTTTCTTCTTGCTTGCCCGTTGAAATCTGCTGTGTGGACAGGCATTTTGTTGGAATTCTTTGGCACCGTCCCTCTGCCCTCTGTCCTCTCAAACGCTTTCCAATCCTTTGTCTTCCCCTCCATACTTAACCCTGCGATCCCTGCTTCCTCCGTCTTTGGCCTAACTATCCTGGCTATTTGGGATCACCACTGGTCTTTCCACTTTAACTCTGTCCCTTTCCTTCTCTCTGCGATGCTCCACATTGTGTGCAAGTCAATTTCTCGTCTCTGCTCTGAACTAGAGCTAGACTCTCCATAACTCCTCCATTTTTTTTAAAACAAAACAAAACAAAAACAAAAACAACCATAAAATTTAAAAGCCAAAAACATCATATAATCTACAAAACCTTACAAACAAATATTTTAATTTTCTCTTTTCCTATTCAATCAGAGACCTTTAATAAAATTCTGAGCTTTTTCTTCCTGGCTCCATACAAAAAAAAAGTTAAATCGTGAAAATATTACTCATCAGCAACAGCAGGTATATGATTTGCTGATGAGAACCAAATAGATCTTGTGTTTTTACAGAAATAGGTGTGATCACAATTTTTATTTATTTATTTTATATTGTACGTTTATTGCATGAGAACTACAATAAAAAAGACATTGCATTGAATATGAACTCTTTAAAATGTAAAGTAAAATTCTAGAAACCTCTATAATTATACTTATAGAAGCTTTACTTTCAATAAAATATTGCATCAACAGTTTTCTTGAACACAATTATTCTACCGCCACATTTAGGACACAACATTATGCCTCTCGAGCATAATGTTTCTTACACAGCCATGTTTGAGACATGATATTTTGCCTCTTGAGCACAACATTTCTTACATAGTCACATTTGGGACACGACGTTTTGCCTCTCGAGCACGACGTTTCTTACACAGTCACGTTTGGGACACAACATTTTGCCTCTCGAGCACGATGTTTCTTACACAGTCACGTTTGGGACACGACGTTTTGCCTCTCGGGCATGATGTTTACAAATTATATATTTTGTATATACTGCATAAAAAAAATAGAAATTTTAATATGGTTACTACTTAAATACACCTAGAAATTCCGTTATATTAAATGAAGATATACTTTATTCATGAATTAAATTATTTATATTTTGATAGATTGATTTTACTCATATAAACTACTTTGGGTGGTTAGGGACCAGATAAAATTGCTGGATGCTGGACAACAAGTCACTTTTTATGAGGCCGGTAAATGGTGAAAGGCGGAGATTCAATAAACGTAGTGCTCCAGAGAAACGTCATGCCCGAGAGGAAAAGTGTCTGGCCCAAATAATTAGCAATGTATTTTTTCTTACTCCACATATGTTTTTTAGCAATATTGCAGATTTGCTCTATGTGACTGCGAATAAAAGTGCTGAAAAAAATATTACTAAATCATGATTATTACTAAATCAAATATTACTAAATTGAGCTTTGACTGTACCATTCTTTCTTTTAAAAAAACACTGCCAAGTTTTAAAAACCCGCCAAAAAATAACTGAGTTTTATGTAAGTTGTTATGTATGAGATAAAAATAAGGTATAAAATAAAGTAAGTGCAGACGAGAGTACGGTGAGACTTTGTTTTATTAGAAGAAATGAAAGAATCAGAAAAGAGATGATGTTCTATTGCTATTAGTATTGTGCGTTTATATAGACATTGTATTTAGCTTGGTGATGATATGATGATATCATGTAATGTCTGTTTCTCTACCATTATCTTCTATGATTTAGTTCTTATGTTTTTAGTGTTATTGACTAGAGTCTTAGTATTTGTCTTAGTATGTTCTTTATGTAATTTCCTTGTATAAGGGAAGGTATATCTTTTAGTATCGTTACTAGTTGTTGGTAACTCAATATACGTATTTATTGAGTGTCTGTACTTTTAATTTAAATCTACAATTATGCTGGATACAACATAAGTCATAAGAATCAGATACTGCACATTATCTGCAGTAGTTATTATATTATATTTAAATAAAAGAAGAATCATTATATTATAACAGTATAAAAACTAAACTGATTCTAATATAGACAGCCAATAAAAAAATTCTCTGACCTATAGGCCCAGGCAGTTGAAAAATTACTTATGATGTGTTCGAGAATAAATATCTAAGTTTTTAGTTGTTTTTCAAAGTTCTATGACTTTTGCTCCAGACAAGTTATGTATCGTAAAATATTATTTTTTCAATTTTTTCTCTATATATACCGGGAATTAAATATATTTTACTATTGGAGTTTTCTTTAGGTAAAATTGAAAAGATTTCAAAACTTTGATATTTATGTTCAAACACACTATAAAATAGCAGTTTTTTTTTAGGAGAAAAATATGTCAATACTGAAATCTCATACTGGAAAAAAAGTTAAGTTTTTTATCTATGAAAGTCTTCTTGAAATGCGAATCTTGAGTGTCATATCAGATGCCAGAGATAAGATATGTTTATCTTATACTACTACATGGTCTATATGATACTTTATTCATCAACTTTATTTATTTTATATTATCTTTTTTATTTTAACATCTTTTAAAATGACTCATACAAAATGTATAATTGTGTAAATATATATATTTAATTTTTTATTAAAATGTATTGTATGGTGTATGTTTTTTATACACAGTAAAAAAAAATTGGACTCTGACTAGTTTCTTCAAGACCTAAAAAGTGTTGTTGGAAATGACAAAACTGAATATATTATCAGTTTACTTTGTAGAGAAGCTGTTTATTAACAAAGTAAACTAATAACATATTCAGTTTTATCATTTATGTCAACACTTTTTAGGTCTTGAAAAAACGCAGTATTCGAATTTAATAGCATAGGAAGAAAAATGTTGACCCTCAATTATTCATTTCATATGGCAGACTGAGAGAATCGATCCCCTAATATAGTAACATTATGTAGTACTTGGTGTTTGAAACATATTTTGCTGTGAGTATATGACACTGTGGCTGTACACTCTTTCCGGAAATTATTGGTGCACAAACAAAAATATATTTGGTGCACAAACAAAAATAAATTTGGTATAAAAATAAAAATCAATTTGGTACAAAAATGGAATGCACCAAGTTGTTGTATCCAACATAATCGTAGATTCAAATAGAGTGCACAGACAATAAGACAAAGACATATTGAATAAGCAACCAGTATCAATTATACATTATTTCTCACACTATCATTAAATAAAGAATATACCGATAACAAGGTCACACACCTTAGTCAACATCACTAATCACTCAAACAAGAGCGTGGGTAATAACTTAACAATATATTATCTATGATATAAGAAAACAGACATCACATGATATACTTATATCATTATCCTAAATACACACGCAATGTCTATATAAACTCACATAGCAAATAGCAATAGAAGATCATCTCTCTTTTCATCAATAAACAAAGTCTCACCGTACTTCTCATCTGCACTTTGTTTTTCTTTCTTTTCTAAAAATATAACACAAGTATACCAAAAATTAAAGAATTTATTATAGGCATTTTTGTTTTAAACAATTGTCAAATCTGGATTGTGAATATCTACAGAACCCTTGCAAGTCACTGAGCAATACTTTATTGCAAGCATCTGAGATCCTTGAGGTTAATGTTTCCTCCTCCAAAAGAGCTTCCCTTTTGAGTTTACTCTTTACAACTGACCAAAACTGCTCAATAGAATTAAGCTCAGGCAAATATGGTAGAAGATAGACACACCCATAGCCTCTACCCTCAATGTAAAGCTGAATATCTCCATGCTTGTGAATTGGTGCATTATCCATGATCAATTAATAGCCTTTGAACTTGCTATATATATCCATCACATTCAACGTACTGGCAACAAAGTTGAAGTAATGTCCAGTTACAGTCCCATCTTTGTCTTTTTGATTCTGGGTAGAACTGCCTACAATCTTTCTTTTTTTGGAAGCTGCTATAATTTTTGGGAGCCTGACTTTTACATTAATAACATCATCAGTGGATATGGTGGCAAGGATAGTTGTTGTTTTAGCTCTTGTTTTTGGTACAGTTACAATAGCTCAAGTTCCTTTTAAAGACCAGGCATAATTGCGTTTTATATTGATATGAAAAGCTGCTTTGTCAACGAAGATACAATTGCTCATAAAATCCATGTTGGTTTCCTATCAACGAGTAACCCATTTGTGTCTTTCTTCAATGTTCTCAATACTGTTTTGTTGTATTGAATAGAAGTAAGCTCTTTTTAGTGTGAGCTGGAATTTCTTGGTGAGAAAGTCGTGTAAAGCAGTTTTTTTGATTTTGAGACCTATAAACTGGCCATTCAACTTCTCTATCATTTTCTCCAAGACAATATCTGGTTTTTCATCTACTATACCAACCACAAAATCTTTGTATTCTTCGCAAAGTTTGGGTGGTCTTCCAGCTGAACTACTGTTCAAACTGCTTCCACTTTTCCTTTGAGATAAATCTTCATTGTTCATCAAGCTTTCCACACCTTTCTTGAACCAGTTTTGACCAGTGCTGGGAGGTATATTGACCATTTTGCAAGCAGCACAAACATTAAATTGCTTCTCATATACCCAATAAAAAAACTTCTCCTTATCCTCTTTTTTATATGACTGATAACTTGCTTTTACAACCGGTTCCTTTTTATTGCTTTTGAGTGTTTTTTTTTTAACTTGCTTTTCTGAGGGTTTCAGTTCCATGTATTGTTTGAGATTTGTAATGTTGTGTAATAGATATTGTTCATTGTCTACTTCCATGTCTAGAACAGCTACTGGAATCTCTTTCTTGTTATAAATATTTTTACCTTTATCTTTGTAAAGAAATTGATTCATGTTTAATGTTGAATGGTGAATTTTTTTTAAAAAAAAATCAGGAAAAAGGAAATTGAAAAGTGTGCCAATTTTGTCAACTATTTTTGCACCAAATCAATTTTTATTGGTGCAGTAAAATTATTTTTATTTTTGTACCAATAATTTTCAGAAAGAGTGTATATGATTTAATATTTGGGATTTTTCTTAAGTTTGCGGACATTTAATTACATTTTCTTATATCGGTATTTGAAATATAAAAATTGACCCAAAATTCAAAATTTCTGATTTAAAAGAAAATACATCATAGCTGATAAAGAATAAGATGAATACATAATATGATAAAGAATAGTAACAGATAAGAATAATAAGTAACAGATATATGGTAGTGTATATATCATGGCTTTTAAAAAAGAGTATTTTTAATTGCTAGACTTGTAGCTAACCTATCTAGCCTTTTTCTTGACTTTGGGCTTTAACAAAGCAATGAAATGTCTATTTGAATTGAGTAAAGGTGGGGTGACACTTATAGCAGTTGGTTGTTGAGTAGGTGAAAAAGTAAAAGGAGCAGAAGTAGAGAAAGGAAAAAACAATATTAAATGAATAATAAAAAAAACAGGAAATATAGGCGGTTGAGACAAGCTGGTATTGGTATTTATGCTTTGAGAAGCATTGTTGATAGTCATGAGTAATTGCATTTGTGAATTTAAGTACTGTTGCTAGATCATAAGAATTTTTATATTCTTAGCCAGTTGCTGTGTCATGTTCATCAGATGACAATTCTGCTGGTTACTTTATTAAATGAAGTTGTTGAAAGAGTTTTCATTTTTCTCAGATTGGTTGTCTTGTTGTTGCTGCAATTGTATGATCCAATGATTTACTTTTGTCACTCTGTTGGCTACCTCTTTGTTTGTATCAACAATTTTAGGAACAAGGATTGCATACTCTTCTAGTATACCAATGGAAGGGCTGGTAATGGCAGCTACAATATCTTCTTAGAACATTCTGAAACTGTTACTTGAGAATGGAAGGTTTCTTGTGTTGATGTACTTGTTTTCTTTGTTCAAGTACAAGTAAATGACTGCATCTTGTAAGATTATTCTTCTGCATTGTATCAAGAGTTGTAAAAATTTGTGCTTTGCTGTATTGATACTGCTTTGAGTTGCTCTTTGCTTTCCTTTTCTCTTTTTTTCTTTCGACTGCAATCTTCCATCTTCCTTCACGAATTCTACGGAATCTGCTTCTTCATCTATCTCCAAATTTATGATGTTTTCATCCTCATCCTCGTTCTCATCAACTTCATTCATCTCCTTCTCACAGACAGCTACCCACCCTATATTACCAGCACCAAAATAGTCTTCGATCCAAGGAAATACCATCTTTTGTAATTCCATTGGTGGTGACACGCCATTTCTTGCCAGTGAGAAAGACTTTTCCCAAAAGCCAGCCATACCTCTGGCAAAAGGAGATGGGAGTTTACCCAAGTAATGGGTCTCCAAATGACTAAGTCAATCCTTCCATCCTCCTCCTTGCTTGATCAGATCAAAAAGTATCCCTAAGCCCTCAGCTTCTATTGACCCAGCATGACGGCCACCATGTGTTACTCGTGTGGTATATATCTCTTCATCTGCAAGTGCCTTTTTTGTAGTTTTCCATTGAGAAGTGCCAGTTAACCTCTTCTCAGGGCTGGTACGTCCACACAATATCTTCCAGTTCTGTCATCTGTCTTTGTTCAAGAAGTTACCACTGGTCTATAATTTTTATCAAAAAAGTCAGAAATTATTTTAAAAAAAGTCCCTTTTTTTAGCTGGCCAACCTACTTGAAGCAAACTGAATATAAAAAAGGCAAATGCATCAAAAAGACATCTGAATACATTTTTATGGGACATGGCACATGCAAATTTGACTTCTCCTTCCTTCAGAGTCTTGCCCTTATCTAGACTAAAAACCAAAGCAAGAGCCTGTTGCATTCCTTCGTGCTGTTTTTTTGGAATGATCGTGCAAAAGCAATCAACAAAGTTTAAATTTCTCAAATTCTGATCCCTAAGTAGCATATGGTGGCGGGAAGAGATAGAAAACATCTCATGTAAGCCTGATTTGCTGTCAGAAGTCCAAAGGCTCTTCAGGATTCTTATAAGTTTGCCAGACTTATAAGAGTCCCAAATTACACATTGGGCTGCTCTATCTACGTTTGTTTGTACTTGGTAGTAAACAAGATCGTGTTCATACTTCTTGATCAATTCGATCACTTCTTTAGTCTTCTTGGAAGACAGCCATCCAACTTCTTGGCGCTCGGACTGGAATTCATACAAGAACATCAAGATTTTCTTGTATTGATTGACAGATTCAATACCTAAAGGAACTTTGATAACTTTCTTATTACCGTTCTTGTTAGAAGGAGCATTCTCAGCAACTATAAAAATGGGTTGATGATTAAGTATAATTGATGGATTTTTTTTTATATATTTCATGCAATTTTGCATTACTTTGGAGCAAAGTCAATTGTCTTTCTTTGTTATCTTCTGTTCTTAAGCCAATTTGTGTTCTAACATCAGTCTCTACTGAAACACTTTTCATATACATTCGCTTGAAAACAAATTCTTTGAAGAAAGCAATAACAAATTCAGTAGGCCCAACAGTGTATGGATACTGAAAATCAACAGGATATCTGTGTCAGTTTTTTTCGCAAAAGTTCTTCAATTTAAGCAACATTAAAAAATGAATACAATCAATACAATATAGATTCTTATCCTTTTGAGTTGAGACATACCTTCCAATGTTCTAAGGGCATTCTGTAAATTGCAGCAGTGCTGGCATGTACTTTTATTGGCAAAGTCTTAAGTGCAGGCTCAAACTCAGACACATTGATTGACAAGCTACTTTGAAGAGCAACAAAGGCATTTGAGCCAACAGAAGTAGACAATTTGGCTGAACTGGACGATTCAGCTGTTGAATTTTCAACCAGCATAATCCTTTTTGATGGTTGACCCCTACGAACTTTCTTAGGTACCTCTTCAGAAATTGCAGCAATACTAGTAGGCTATAAAGATATATTGTTAATATTGGTGTGCATTTTTTTGCATATAATCTATTGTCTGTTTTGTTTATACTTGAATTCCGCTAGAAATCTCAGCTTTTTGTTGCTCAATTAAATGCTCTAGTTCTTCTGAATTACACTTGTTAACAAAGCGTCTCTTAAAAGCAGTGATATTAGTAGGCAAGGGCGACATAATAAATAAGTTTTTGAAAGAAAAAGAAAAATTTAATTTTAAAAGTTAATTAAACTGTGAGCAAACCAGTAATTTCAACTCGCAAGTTGATAATACTAGAAAGTTCCAGCAGAATCAATAGTATTCTCAACTCAACTTTCAGTTTAATCAACTTGCTACTACCATATTTGGAAATTTCGGAGTAAAAATAAAGACATTTCATTGGAGGATCCCATTTTTTATTTCCAAAAAAAATAAAATGAGTTACAATACTGTGATTAACCATCTTCAGATTTTACAGATTCATCAAAATAATATCTAACACTTGTATTACCAAAATTAAGCTGTCAAGTCTCGATCTGATATTTTCTTTCTGGCACTTATAATTAAGTCGCAGAATCAATATCACTGGGGATTGTTAAGTTTTTAATAATAGTCTTTAGATAAAAATAAAAATGTTTTTTATTAAATGTAATAGAGACCTTGCTGAGACTTTGTAAAACATTTGGAGGAGTTTAAACCATTCATATAAGGAAATCTGGGTGTGAAAAATGTAAATGATTCACCACAGCAGATTTTTTTGTGTAATCTTGTTCCTTAAAAGGATTCTTGTATACGGGGCGAATTTTGCCCATAACAGGAAATTCATTTTTTTGGGGGACTGAAAAGTGGGAGGATGGGGGGACTACTCTCAGCCAATAGATTTCGATTAAAAAATGTACTGCACAATTTCAAAAATGGTTCAAATTTTTAATTTGTTTCAAATAATTTTGGGTTGTAAAAAATTTATTTTTTATTTTCGAAAAAAATTAGGCTAAAAAAAAGCTAGACTGGACCATAAAATCCACAGGCAGTAGCACACCAGTATATCCATACCACTAGAAACACTAGTAGTATAACTGTTTGTACTTATGCCTGTAAATTACGCGATCGGTTTGCTGCAAACTACTATGTCTAGCTAATCCAAGAGACCCGGTGCCAGAAATTCCAATAAACCCAAAGAGCATAAAGATTTGAATTTCGAGAAAAGCTAAAGCAGAAGAACTAATAATTAGTAATTAAACTTAGTTATATATATTTAACAGAATTTTACCTTTGACTCTATTAAGGCATTTGCAATAAAAGGCAGCCAAATCTCTGCAAGTGAGGAGTAAATAGTTAGTCTTCTGTTGCTTTGTAAGAGGAACATGTAGTTATTACCTCTTTATTGATTTACCGAGATGATGAAAAACTAATTTATAAACTAGAATTGTATGATTAATAAACACAATGACATAAAAAACTTTGATAGCATAAATACCTTTGAGCTTATAGTCTTTAAGCAAAATTCTGCTTCTATAAATACTATAAGTATACTGGAATATCTTACAAATGGAAGCTCATGCAAATAATAAATATTTTGTGGAAAAGTAAAATGAAAAAGAAGACAAAAACACGCGATATTTTCTTAAAAGAAAAGAAGTAAAAAAAATTCTAATTGGTCCGCTGACATTAAATATCGATCTTTCCACATTTTATAAATTCAATTATTTTCGCAAAGTCATTTTCCCCCCTTTGTTTTTACAATCAATTTACTATTATGCAAAAGAATACAAGACAAGAAACATATAAAATCGTTAAGACTCGCCCCCCTAAAAGGCAAGGCGAACTTAACTTTAGCATCAATTCAGGTATTTTTACCTGCTCCGAATGCGAAAAAGAGTTCGAAAAGCCTTGGTTACTGAAAAGGCATTCGAAGGTTCACCATATAAGTAATCAAATGGCAACCAATACTGTACTCGACGAACCCGAGCAGGCCGAATTGATAGTCGAGAGCACTATTCTGGATGCTAATGCATTTGATTACTCGAGTGACGAAGATGACTCCTCCAGTATTGGGGATGAAGAAGACAACATTGTAGACGAGGAAAACGATATTGTCGATAATTTCTTTGATATTGAAATGAACAGTAATCCAGTTTTCAACGCGTTCTCTGACATGTTTTCTTCTGCTGCTGCTGCTGATGAGGTATCAATGACCGATGATGACTCTGAGATCCCGGAAGAAGTCTTTGAGACAATTGGCGCTGTAAATGACCCTACAAGCTGTTATCCTTTTCGCGATCTTCAAACCATGATCCTTTTCGCTTTTATCGATGGGGATAATGACATGATCTCCCAGCGAATGTTGAAGAAGATACTGCTTGCGATGAACTTGATCATTAAGATCCAGCAAGAAACTCCCATAGGAAGAACATTTAAGTTACCTCGTTTGGATGCTCTTTTAAATTATCAGGCAAGAAAGAAGTCCAAGATGCCTGTCTTTCCTTCACAAAGAATATCAGTACCTGGATCAAACGGGAACGCATTCGCCCATATTAACCTTCCGTCCGACCACTTGAGATTTCTTATGGCAAACCCAAAGAAATCCAAGTTGATCTCGTCCATGCCCGATCGTACCCCAAACCAATCGATCTGTTTGGAACAAGGTGAAAAGTGGAGAACCCACCATCTCTTTCAGCAGCCTATGCACACTGTAAATGGTATAGATGTCTGGTTTGGAAACATCGTTTACTTGAAGACAAACGATTGCAGCATCTGCTTTTTGGTTGAATCGTTCCACACGGCAAATAAAAACATTTTTGCGAGAGGGTATCTGGTCAGAGCGATTTCGATTGTATGCTATGGCGTTGAGGTTGCTGTTACCGATCTTAGAGTAGAGCAGATCTCTCACGTTGACACCACTCCTGTTGAAAGAGATCACTACTACAGTATCTCAAGTAGCCTTACCAGATTGAGTCCTGCTCATGACTTTCTTCTTTTTGGAGTTCATCCAATGAAGAAGCCTATGCCTCTTTCTGTTTTGCCCAGTAATGTAGATTGCGATGCAGTGTTTTACAAAGTTAGGATTGTTTCAATCATCCTTTTTACAGACGACACTTCCGGCAATCGTTCAAAGCAGTACAATCCGTTTGAAAGCTGGTTAATGAGATGCACTGCCTTGCCTTTTAAGGATCGAAATTCGATAGCAAACATCCAGTTTCTTTCTACAATCCCTAAGAAAGATGGTGCAAATGGTATGTCTCTTCTGCCAGCAATCGTTGATGACTTTAAGAAACTCGAGAAAGGTGTAAAAATGTTCTCCGCTGAAGACAATGAGTATGTTCTGGTTGTTGCTCCCATCCTTTGGATTGAGGCTGACACGCCATGTCATTCGGAACTTTGCGGATTGCTTGGGCCGGCCACCACATTTCCTTGCAGAAGATGCTACATCGAACTTAGACGTGCAAAAGACTTTGTGAAGGACTTGTCCTACTTCTGTGAGTGCCATGAGAGACGAACTCGAGAGCACTATGTTCTTGCAAACTCGTCACCTGGCAGAGACACTGAGATCCCAAATACTCCGAAAATTGGAATGAACACGCCTGCAAACGAGATAAGCTTTAGAGATCGTTCGACTGGCCGCTTATTAGAATTGCAGTCGTTTGATCCAGAAAAGGATACACCAGTGGAAATCCTCCACACGATACTTCTTGGTGTTGCAAAGTATATGGTAATTGACTTGGTTAAGGTCGTGCTTAAGAATGACACAGCCACAATAGCAAGACTTTCAGAATTCTTGACAGATTACACGCGATCAACTGGTCTATCAAGAAAGTTCACCCGAAACTTGAGACATAGTGGTTCATTCCTCGGTAGAGATTTCAAGGTTCTGCTTCAAATACTTCCTGTAATTCTGATTACAGAATTCTCTGGAAATCATGAGCTAGACCTTGTAATACCATGCTTTGTTGAACTTGGCCGATTGTGTTCTCTGGTATTCGTTCGTCAGGTGACATCAGACTTTGATAACTATATTATCAGAGTAGATAATGCAGTGAAGCGCTTGATCAGAGCATTATTTGACTACGATAAAGGAACCAAGAACGAGCTCCACAAGGCATATTGCACCAAGCCGAAAGTTCATTACTTGACACATCTCAAGGAAGATATAATTCGTTTTGGCCCAGCCCTCAATTATGAAACAGAAAAGGGCGAACAGTTCAATAAGCACATTCGCGAACATCTGTTTCATACGAATCGCCAAAACACTTCCAGAGATGTTTGCCTAAAGTTTGCAAAGCAGATAGCATTGCAACATGTAATTGACGGCGGGTCGTGGATTAATAGCTCTGGCAACCGAGAGAAGTCTGGAACTGGAATAGAGAGGTTCATTAAGGACAACAATGAATCTTTGTTCTATTACACCTTCTTTGGCGGCTCGAGAGAGCTAAAGGACAACAACGACACTGGAGATATTGAAGATGACGCCGTCCAAAACAACAGTTTTGGCGCGTTTGTTTTTAAAGATGATCCAATCTCTCGCCCTCGTATAGGACTTGTCTCAGGCTCTGTTGTTAAGTTTCTTAGCATTGTTCCTCGTACGGATAATGACAGAAACAATAACTATGCCAAGGCTGTAATGACAGGTGAGCATTCTGATGTTGCTAACATGAATCTCGTTTGTAAGTTAGATTTGCACATTTTCCGCAACCCATTTTACATTGTAAATTTGAGCAAGTTCGGTTCCTACTGGTTCATTTTCAATAATATTCTTTTTGATGAATAAAATGATGCTACTTCTTTATTATTATTATAATTATTATTTGAACCTTCTGTTTTCTTCTTCTCAACATCAATTTTTTTGCGTAATTTCTGTGAAGTCATTTTTTGGTTACTCAAACCAACCCCCAACTTTCCTTAATAAATCCTTTGTCTCACTTGAACACTTTCTGACTTCCCTAACAGTTTTTTTTCTTACTTTAAAAGCCCACAAGTAGTACTGAACTTAATTTTATCCTTTATTCGGATGAAAAAAATTGAGTACGAAAACAAATTACAATATTTTGGCCTCTAAGCCAATCATATTGCTTAGGTGCCAATTTTCACCCAAAATGATAACAAAAATCTCTGGTGGTGTTGATAAATTTTTTCAAAAGTTTGTCAAACTTGAAAAAAAAAATTCGAACATTATAAAACATAATTAACCAATCATGTTGTATTATTTCTTTGCTGCTAAACTCACAAAAAAATTAGGCTTGAAAATATTAATAGTTGTAATTTTAATATACACATATAAGAATATAAGCATCCCTTCAGTATACTTTTCTCTACTTATTTTTTTCATTATTTTTTAATAAAGTTAGTATTAATATTTTTGCTCTAACATAATACCAAGAAAAAAATGATTATTATTTAATAAAAGTTAATGGATCTCTCATTAACTTGATTATATGAAGCAGTGTTCATGAGTATAGTACTACTCCTTTTCTAACAGGCAATGATTACCAAATGTATATTATGTTTGAGATATGATATTTCAACAAAAAATGTTTGATAGAAATTCATATTTGATATGGTGCATTTGGAGATAAACATCTAAGTTTATGGGTGTTTTTCAAAGTTCCATGACTTTTGCTACAGAAAAGCTATCCAAAATTGCTTAAACATGTTTAAACAATTCTGGAAAAAAGGCTTGAATAAAAAGTCATGGACCTTCAAAGTCAAGAGGTATCTGTAGAATATAGTCAAGTTCTAGTTCTTTTTTTGAATATTGAAAAATTATTTTCCCCTGCCCATGGCGGGGATTAATAGTACCGTTTCTATAAAAGGATATTTGTGTAACATGGACTGTCATGTTTAATATGTACCTTATATTTACTTTTGGCTCATCAATCAAAATATTTCTAAATACTTAAACCTTTTAATCTACAAAACAATTTTGTCAAAATGCCTCCTGCCAGCAAGAAATCAAGATTAGCAAAAAGTAAATTTCAATCAGAATCTGGAAACTGTTTCTCTAAAAACATAGAAACCAGCAATGACGACCTGGTTGACTTATTTGAGATTGATATTGAAGAAGATATTACTGTGGATGACAGAGAACTTCAGAGAATTACAGATGATGTTACTTCTGCCATCTATTCTAGCCACTTCCTCAAATGGCATGAGGGAGCTGATAAGTTCCTTCGTGGTACATATCAGAAGAATTCATTAACAATTGAGTGGAGAAAGAGAAAGACTATGAAGGAATCTTTTGATTCTAAAGGAAGTTATCTTCTAACACTACAGGAAAAAAAGAGGGTCTGCCAGGGGTTCACTGGGGGGCTGCTCAGAAGGTTGCCCAGGTGGGTGTTTTTTGCCTACCCACTTTTTCACCTCCTGCCTGTTATGGATTATTGTATAACCTTGCTCATTGACAGATGTGAGGTTTTATTCAGTTACCAATACACATTTTTGTAATATATATTTGCCTTTTTATTGGTGCTTATATATGAAAGTCTTGGTTTATAATTCTTTTTTATTGGATATTATAATTTCTATTTTAATCTTATTTCTAAAATCATTGGTCACTTTATAAATAATATTCACTTGATTGGTTTTCATTTATATAGAGATTGGGTTATTAATCATTTTAATTGGATTAAAAATATATTTTTCAACAAATATTCTTATAAACAAGTATTTTATTGGTTGTTGGAATAGAAATAAATTTTACAAAACATAGTTTATTGGTTGTCAAAACAAAAAATGGCTTATTATATATAGATTATACTAGCTAGATATCATTTTATTTACTACAGACTTTATTGATAGTTGATATTTTATTCTATGATATCTACCAGGCGTAGACTTACAATTTACTGTCACTTTTTACAGTTTTTCTATAATTGGCTAACCTTTACAACAGATGCTCAGTTTTTGTGGCATCTGGTAAAGTCTGTACTACTGTTTCTAAGTAGACAGGCATGTCTGGTGCACACCCAGTTCTCGTCCTCTTGAGAAATTGCACTCCAGTTTGGATATTGTTCTAGAGCTTGCACAGAAGGAAGAGTGGCCAGCTCATCACAGACAAGGTCTGTACAAGTGTGAAGGATTGCTTTGTTTCTTTTATCCAGCTCAACCCCGATATCGTGACTCATAATTCTGTAGATATGTACCAAAGTTATATCTTTAATATTTGGTACTGGTCTTGGAATTGCTAAACCGAGATTCTATATTATCTTATATTAGCCTGTATACTTTACTTCCTTTTATTATATTTTACGTTATGTACTATTGTTGGCTCTGGGCTTTCTTGGCCATTCATATCTTTACAAATATTGGTGATCTCCTGTCTAAGCAACGCTTGTTCTTTCTGGAATGCCTCTTGACCTTTCTTGAGTGTGTCTTGTCCAATCTGGAGTTCTTCCTGACCTTTTTGCAAAGCAAAAAGTGTCTCTTGGATACCCTGAAGTATCTGGAGAATTGTATAATCAGTCTTATTTATTGTCTTAAAAAAATTAGGAATATGGGTTTGTTATAAAAAAAAGAAAAAAGAGAAAGAATTTTTTTCTAATTACTATCAGATTTATTTTGGTATATCTATTGGTTTAACAGGGTTTGTTGTCTTTATTATAATAGCTGCAATAACTACATACCACATGTTATTATCTTTTTGAGTCCTGTGAGGGAGTTCAGATTATCTATATCATTGTCATCTTCAATAGATTAAGTATAAAGACGCGTATTGGGAAAATAATTATCTCTATTCTTACCAAAGTTACTCAATTACCTATTTAAAAAAGTTATTAATTAAAAAACTCTCCCTCATAAATGCAGCTCTTGCAAAAAAGTCTATAGTAATATGAAAATGGCTGAGAAGTGCTTAACCTTGTGCTTGAAAAATCAGTTGGAAAATATGAGAAATGCGCACTTGTCTGCAGCTCCTTTGCTTTTGATGCCTAGCCAGTCTGTTTCAGCTGCGATTCTAAGCTTGATGCTTAAGTGAGTTTGAGAAAAACAAAAGTTAAAAAGACAGACTATGTATTAACAATATTGATGCTTCAAATAAACAAAGAAAATACAAGCACAATTAGTCACAAAAGCACTGATGGTAATAATAACACTGACCTTGATGGTCCCATGGTAAGATATATATACAGTAGTCCCTCGATAATTTCAAGGCCTAGGGAAGGCCAGATGCCTTGAAATTATTGAAGAGTGAAATTAACGAGTTCGGAGTATATATTTTCCGCCAACTATGGGCGGAGTTTACATTATTCTTTAATAGAAAAAAAATATATCAAGTAATGATTCGATATGATTCAATCCTCTGTTTAAATTCATTCTAGTTAAATATAACCCCTGGCTGCATTACTGTTTTCTACCCCCTCTGTCTCGTAACCAATTATTGTTTCAAATTCTTATTCAATCAAATAATAACAGCTTCTCGGTATGCTTTTAGCTTATTATATAATGCTTATCTAATATCATTTTCAATTTTTTTGATACTTTAATGAAATCTATCAAATCCAGAACTAAACAATAAATATGACCAAAAAAAACGTTTTGCTTAATATTGCAAATCATCTTGAGATTTGCGATATGAAAAAGAAAAAGCTGTCTATGAGTAACCCTCAATTGGCTGACTGGGCAAAGAAAACCTTTGGCCTTCAGAAAGCTCCTGATGCTTCTACAATCTCGAAGATTTTGAAGAGAGGAGACCAGGGCTTGATAATGCAAGCCAACGTAAAGAACAGAAAGCGTGTTAGAAAGGGAAAATGGCCTGTATGTAATATATCTCAACATTATGCATTTTTGCTCTATATAAAAAATAAAATTAATCTTATTATATTGTCACATAACTATAGCAAATCGAAGAAGCAGTGATTCTTTGGATCAACATTGCTGAAAATAATCAGATTCCCATCACTTGGGAATTGATTAAGACTAAAGCTACTATTTTTGCTGAAAGAATAGGCGTTAAAGATTTTAATGCTTCTCAAGGCTGGATGGAGAAGTTTGGAAAGCGTCATTATATCAAGATGAATCGAATTCATGGTGAGGCTGGTTCAACAGACATAGAGTCGCTTCAGATTGACAAGGCTGCTATCAAAGAGAAGATAGAGGCTTATAGTGCTTGTGACATCTATAACTTTGATGAAACAGTACTTTTCTATGCCGCCCCACCAAGAACAACGATTTCCTGCCAGAAATTTTCTGGTTGGAAGGAAAATAAGAAGCGGCTTACAGTAGGCCTTTTGTGCAATGCCGATGGAACAGACAAGTGGTCTGACATATTGATGATTGGTCATGCAAGAAGACCAAACTGTTTTAACAAAAACAACAAAAAACAAGAGGCAGTAGATCATGGATTTTCTATGTATCATTACAACAGTAATGACTGGATGACACGATCAATCTTCCATGTTTTCCTCCATCGCTTTGATCGTTCAATGAAAGCGCAAAACTGCAAAGTGCTTTTGATCCTTGATAATTTCTCTGGCCATATAGTAGATTATGCGCCTACAAATGTTGAGCTTCTTTTTCTGCCTCCAAACACCACGTCCCATCTTCAGCCATTGGATGGTGGTATCATTTGGGCTTTTAAGGCTTATTTCAAGCGTAAACAGTATGCCAAGGCATATCAGTATATTGGCATGATTCAAAATGACCAACAAAATAAGATTGGGGCCATTGATAAAATCTTTGAAATTGATCAATTGTGGGCCATGAAATGGATAAGAGAGGCTTGGGAATCTGTCTCAGCAAAGACTATTGAGAACTGCTGGAATGCAACAATCTTTCACTTCATTGAAGACAAAGATAGTGAAGGTATTAGTAAAACAATTTATTGGTTATAATAGTACTATAATCTTTCAATTCCACTTTCTTAATATTCTAAATATAATTTATAGATGTAAACCAGGCTATGATTCAGCAAAGTCTGGCTGAAAAGGTTCTGGTCGAGGGCTTGGAAGAAACCCTAGACAAGATTGCCGGATCAGATCTTCTGTCTCTTGAAGATTGTCCGACCAGCGAATCAGATCCACTCTATGAGAGACAATGCACTCATAGAGTGATCAATGAGAATGAGATCGCTGACATTGTCATGAAAGAGTATGACGCAGACGACAATGCAGCCAACAACAACAGCAATGAAGAAATTGCTGAAGTGGAATCAGCAGTTCCTTTCAAGAGAACTTATTCTGCTTCGGAAAAGTTTGAGTGTGTTTGCACGCTTTTGGATATCTTGGAAGACAAGGATATTGACAGAGACTTCGTCAGTAAGGTTGAAGGCCTTAGAAACAAGTTCCAGAAAACCGCGAACTCAAAGCAAACTAAAGTAACCAGCTTCTTTAAGTCTTTTTAAAATTTATTCTTTTTCAAATAAAATAAAAACAATTTTCTATAAGAAATATATTTTTCTTCATTTAAAAATAGAAAAAAAAAGTTAGCAGCCAAGTACAGTCAAAGCTTGATTTCGTAATATGTTTGTAAATAGTAACAATTGCAAATAACAATAAATAGTAATGACAGATAGAAATAATAAAATCTACAATAAAAACTTTTATAACAAACAAATTAGAATTATATTTATATTTTTCAAGTGAATAATCTTTACTAAACAATTAATAAATGAAACTTAATCAAAATATAGCACATATAGTTTTATTTTATTTCTGAAAAAAAAAATGAAAAAAAAAATTTTAAAAAAAGTAAGCTAGATGACAACTTGATAACCCAGTGTTTGGCATGAAAACTTAACGCACTTGACATTGATGTCAATTACAAAATCATGAAAAGCTAGAATTAAAAAAATTTAAACCAAGCTGTAACTATATTGCTCTCGTCTGATTGGCTAATTTTTTTTCTTTAAGGATTCAAGGCCAAAAAATTTCGTGAAAGTGAAATTAACGAGAATCGTGAAAGTTAAGCCCTATTTTTCGAGTTGGGTCTTCAGAGCCTTGAAATTATCGAAGCGTGAAATTAAAGGGGCGTGAAATTATCGAGGGACCACTGTATATATATACATATACAAATGCATTGTACTAATTTGCTTTTGCATTATCAAAGTGTGATATCGAATATGAGAATGACATTAAAAGTGGCACTTCTCCCTTGGTTTTTGATTTTAGCAAACCTTCTCCTATTCCCAGCAACAACGATGCAAAGAATCTGGAGTTGATTAAGATAATCAATGACTTTGGCATTTCCCATCAAGCTTACAAAAAGCTTGCCACCCATTTCAACAAGATTCTGGAACTGTCAACTGAGATCACATACAGAGCATGTACTCCATACCTTGGCAGTAAGCTCTTAAAGTGTTACTCTGATCTAGAAGAAAACATCTACAGTGTCTGCCCTAAAGGTTGTATGATGTTCAATGAGGCCCACAAAATTGTATGCAAACATTGTGGTGAAGATTGTTATAAAGCAGATAAAAACAATAAGGATGGTATGCCAGTTGCTGCAAAGAACATGGTTCAGATTTCTTTGGTGAGACAGCTTGCTCTTGTGTTGGCCAACAGTACTACCAAAGCTGAGATGCTTTACCGCCACAACCATGAACAGATTTCTGACGGTAGCAAATCAGACATCTTTGACGGACATGCATATCAAACAAGAGACATCTTTTCACCAATGAGAATGATATTGCCATTTTGCTGTCAGTCAATGGCTTTGTGTCTCACAACGTCCCTGGTTCAGTGATAATCCTGAATGCCACGATTCTCAACCTTCCACCAATGGTCTATTACAAGAAAAACCAAATGTTGCAAATTGAAATGATCCCAGGCCCATCCGCACCACTTGACTTTTGGTCTTTCTTGAAGCCAACCTTGTTGGAACTCAAGGTACTCCAAGAAGAAGGAATGGTAGTCAAAACCCAGACTGCAATAATTTGAGCAAAAGTTCACGTCCTCGTAGTGACTGGCAATATTCCAGCAGTTGCAAAGCTGGCATGTCATGCTGGCCATATGAGTAAAAATGGCTGCCAGATATGTAATGTTGTGGCCCAAACTCATGGCCATAGACAGTATTTCCGATCCTTACTAGGGACTAACATCTGCACTCTGGAAAGCTTCTGAAATTTCAATAGTACAAGTTTGTCATGCAAGGGCTGCACAGGACAGTCTCCTTTTGCCTCACTTATATCGTTTAAGGGCCCACTCCTTTTTTGCTCTTGACGAAATGCATGGACTTTGCCATGGAATTGGCAAGTAAATTTAGGAATTGGTATGTGGTAAGTACAGGAGTAATCACCCTCTTTTCCTGTCTGTTGATGCTCAAAAGGAAATTGGTTTGGCAATAGCAAACACAAGACGTTAAATCCAAACATCTTTCCATGGTGCTTGGAGTGATATGGCAAGACACGCTGGATATTTCCAAGCTGTAGACTGGTTAGACTTTCTACTATTTGTAGTTCCCACGCTGGTGGCAGAGCATGTCTATGATTAAGATGCATGGAAGACATTGCTTGGTCTTGTACAGGCATGTAATTTACTCATGAGCTGGAAGTTATCAGCAGAGAAGCACACCTCTTTAAAAAGATATTGTTAATGCTAGTCAATGTTTATCTTTCTCTGAGACTTATTCTATTTTTTCTCTTAGAAAACTTGTTTCATGGAACACATACCTTGAAAATCTCTATGTGAAAGATTTGGTTGAGTTGCCAGTGTCTACAATTAACCAGCACTTGCTGCAGCACTACCCAGAAATGGTAGACTCATATGGTTCCCCAAGAGCATATAGTGCCAGATCACTAGAGTGTGCTATTGGTGAGTACTCTCGTTCAATAAAGAGTAACTCTGCCATTGGTGTTAATGCTGGCAACATTATGGTTCATTTAACTTGGACACACCATATAGATCTGAAAGATTCTGGTGAAGACGCCAATAGAGCTATTGTGTTGGAGTACAATGATATGTCTGCTGGTTGGCCAGTGATGGAGAAGGGCGAGTATGTTGGTGCCAAATCAGACATTGAGTTCTGGGGGCCTTTGAGTCGTAGATTGATTGATGAAAGTTTCGAAGGCATCTCTTGCCTTCTGATTCTGATTCAAGCTTTCTACAAATCGAAGAGGGTTGAATGTAGCACAATTGAACCAGTCATGACAACAAGCTGCAAGGCTTTTGTTAATGGCTGTGTGATTGACTCTTCATTCACCCAAACCCCGTTAAGAGAGGCCCATCATATTTGTCTACAGGTCCAGATTGACTTGTTTTATAATGTATGTTGGAGGTATACTCCTATCATAAAAGATTTTTTTAGTAAGGTTGTTCTCTTTTTTAAGCATGAGAATTCTGGAAAAAGATGGCCACTTGTCTTAGTGCAGGTTTATTCTGTTGAAGAATACAATGGTATGCTGGTGGCAAAAAATGGACAAATGAAGCCAAAGGTAGTCCATCTGGTAGATGTCAAGGAGTTGGTTGGTCTGGTAGTTTCAGATGCAACAAGCAGCACAACAACAACAACAACAATAAAATATATTGTCTGGCTGGAGCTAAACCGTGGGCAAAAAATAAACCTTGATCAATACAGAGACATATAATTTGTGTTTTTTTTGTAATATATTTTTTTTCAAATTGTCTTAACTTTCGCATATTATTTCAAATTGTTTTAATATATTTTGTCCTCTGCAAAAATTTTAGATATTTTCTTCTCTTTTTACTTCTGACTTTTAATAACTATCAATTGCAAACTACACTTGCTAAAAATGTAAAATCTATAATCAAAATGAATGTTTGTCTCTTCTGAGATTTAATTTTAGATAGCCAATTTACTTTCTGTCAGCTATTTTAAAAAAAAGAGAATTTTTAGTTTCATTTTGATTTTTTTGGTGATTTTTTAATTATTATAGGCTAAAAATGAAGTCACAATTATGAAAAACGCCCCATTTTTCCCATAGTGTAGCAGAAAAGGGCTTTACAATTTTAAGTCGAAAAGAGTCTGTCAATAAATAATTAGAGTCAGTCGAAGTTACTTCTAGAAAAATATCTGCAAATACAATTTCTCTTCTCAAGCTTGCCTTTAATGAGATAAAAGAAGAAATTGCTCTATTTATTTGTATAAGTAGTTCATCTCTGCCAGTAGACCATTATGAGCTTTGCAAACTCAAATCTGTCAAAAGTTACTTAAGACATAGACTCTTAGGAAGTAAGACACTGGAAGCATCCGAGAAAGCAGCTATGGAAGTATGGTTACATACCAATAGTTATTGATCAGCAATGATAAGAAAATATGTAAAAGAATATATTGATTTCTGATCAATTGCATCACACCAGCAAGGAAAACATGCTATTTGTTTCTCTTTGTTTTCTGACGAGGACTTTAAGGCATTTATTTGCAAATGAATTCAGCAACAGAAGCCAGAAAGTTGCAGTACTATTCTGGTTAAGAAACATATTGATGAGATCATTATACCAAAAAAACTTGGAATTCCAGGAAGTGTCTCGATGAGTACAGTTTGAAAATATCTTCACAACTGGGGATATATCTTCAGAAAAAATTCTTAAGATATTTATTATGATGATCACAAGAGAGCCAATGTTATTGAATACCAAAGAAATAGGCAAATCAAATAATGGGGTATAAGACAAAGATGGCGAGCTTTGGTGAGAACAACGAAGTAATTATGCTACAGCTATCAACTGATGAAGTAGAACATGTCCTTGTCACCTATGATAAGTCAACTTTCTATTCAAATAATGGAAAAGAAGCTATGTGGCTAGTGGAAGCTGAAAATCCAATTCGAAAGAAGGATCTGGACATATCACATGATTAGTGAATTCAAATGTGTATGTCATAGTACAATGTCTAATGGTGCATAGTCTAGTTGGGAGGTATTTCATCCTGAAGCCAATAGAGATGGGTACTGGACTAGTGCTCATATGTTGAAGCAATTGGAGAGTAACCCAATTCCTCTATTCAAAGTAATTCACCCTGGATGTAAGGCTGTCTTTGTATTCAATCAAAGTACAAAACACAAGGTGTATAGTCAAAATGCTTTAATAGCAAACAAAATAATCTTAGGTGACAAAGAGGTTGAAAAAGATGATCTTTGTACACTGAGGGATACTACTTTTGTCCAGGATGGTGAAAAACAAGTACAGTTGATGTACTAAAAGAAGGACTAGTGGTTCACAAAGAAGAGCGGGCAGTAGGTAACAAAGAAGGTAAAATACGTGAAGGGTATCCATACAATTCTAGAGGAGCATGGTATGTGGTTGGAGAAGGACATATACAATCCTATCAAGAAATAGAGATTGGACTATAAAAAAGACGCTTCTGAAGATAGCAAGTGCTGTGCACATCATTTTCTGGCTTCTCAGCCAGATTTTATGTCACAGAAAACTGCACTTCATGAGGCTGTCAAAGTATCTGGCCACATATTCGAGTTATACCCTAAGTTCTATTGCGAATGCAATTGGATCGAGAGATACTGGGGCACTGCCAAACGTGAAGCTCGGCTTCAGTGTGATTATAGATATAAGTCCCTGGATAAAAATATCCATTCTTTCCTTGATTATGCTGGAAAGCTTCAAAACATCTAAAGATACTACAGCCACTTGTGGCGCTACATTGAGGCATACAGCCAAGACATGAATGTGAAAGAAGCCCATGATGTTGTCAAGAACTTTACCTCAAAAAAATATACTTCTTATCGCTGTGATGAAGGAAAGGAATAGACTCTTACTCTCTTTTGTAATATTTGTATTTGTACTTTTTTTCTTTACTATAATTTGTATTTCATTTTTTACTTTTTTTACTTTTTTTTAAAATATATATATATTAACTTTACTTGTCTGATCTACTAAGCATTAACCCTTATATACCAAATACAATTTTTTTAATATCACATGCGGACTTTAAACCAATTCGTTGTTGGAGTTTTGTCAAGAGGAAATTGAAATAATTTCAAAAACTTCAATGTTTATCCTCAAACACACTATAACTCAGTGTCTAAATTTCTCTTATTGTCTCATTAAAATCTCTAATTTTTGACTATTTATACAAAACAATTGTTGTTTTCTGGCTAAAAGAATAGCAATGATAATATGTTTTAGATGGTGGTTATTCAGTAATATTTCTACAAGTATATTTCTCATCTCTAACATATAAAACGTAAACAAAAGACCAATTGGCAAAGTCAAGATCTTTTATCCTAAAAAGTCAACCATTACTGGTTACTTGTAACTTCTGATTTTGGTTACCAATGTCAACTATTCTTCTTGATCTAAACTATTTTTCAATTTACTGTAAACGTAGCCAAATTGGTCAGGCTTTAATAACACAGAAGTAAGCAAATAAGAGAGAGGATAAAAAGATGATTTTTATTATTTTGATTTGGGTTATCTTATATACTTTTTGAAATGAGTATTTATCTTTGACTATGTTGTGGGGAGAAAATAAAGCAAAATATAATATAGACGAAAGAATTTGTGAGAACTTATGTAGGTTGTTTATTTCAAAAGAAAAGTAAAGAATGATAAAATTCGATTCTCTTTCTACACGAAACTATCTACTGATATTTATATGTTTTTCTAATTTGTAATTCAGTGTGTGCTTAAGTGATCTTTATCACGATGAGTCATCTTCCAGGAGTATTGTTCTTCTGGAAAGATCCGGAAAGACCAATTGATATGATACTTCTCCAGTCAGATCAGTCCAAGAGTTTTGGTAAAGAAGAGCATTTATGCTATTGGTAATATTTTAGTATTCTGACCCAGATACTCGGGTAATGTTTCATAATATTAAATAGTTGTAGTTGTAATCTCTCAATTAAGTATTTGTATAATAAAAGAAATATGTAGATGAAATATAATGATGCCATATATATAATGTATATGTATTTGTATATCTCACGTCATGGTGATAATAATAAATAATCAATTATGTATATGATGATCTGTGTATTAGATAATATTATAAAGGGAGATCCGTTTGACTGGAATAGCTGAGAATATTATTTTATCCTTCAACCTTACTCTCAGATTCAGCAGTAATCAATACTCATTCACAACAGACTACACTCAAGTAGTGTCTAGTAATATTACAAATTATTATAAACTGATTACAAATTTCTAAAATTACAAACTGATGAATAATCATTCTAATTCCTGCTTCTTTTGTCATGCTTAATTTTTGTAATACAAATTCTAGTGACTTGTTACTACAAAAGAAGTAGGAATTAGAATGATTATTCATTAGTTTGTAATTTTAGAAATTTGTAATCAGTTTATAATAATTTGTAATATTACTAGACACTACTTGAGTGTAGTCAAAGATGAATACTCATTTCAAAAAGTATATAAGATAACTCAAATCAAAATAATAAAAATCATCTTTTTATTCTCTCTCTTAGAGCATCTCCAGCAGTATCTAAACCCAAATACTAAATATTCAAATTAGGAAACTGATGTTTAGATTTTTCAAAAAACGTCTTCAGCAATTTCTAAACAAAAATCTAAATACCTAAATCTGGAATTTAGATCTAAACGTTTTGAATCAAAATCTAAACTTTTATAGATTTTCTCAAATTTTGTTTAGATTCCGTCAGTTTCGTCAGTTTCCTTTTTTAGAGCAAGACTTTGAATTTTCTTTCACTTCATTACAATGATAATTAGCAATGTCCAATAACATCTCCAACATTAATGCCTACCAAGATGGCAATTCTGTTGAAATTGAGATGCTTACACTACAAAAACATTTTAAAATAATTGAATTCTACTTACCTAGAATTATCAATAATAGTAGTAAAAAAATTACAGCCCAGGACATTTCCTGTGTTTAGCAGCGAGTGTTGTATCCAACATAATTGTAGATTCAAATAGAGCGCACAGACAATAAGACAAAGACATATTGAATAAGCGACCAGTATCAATTATACATTATTTCTCACACTATCATTAAATAAAGAATATACCAATAACAAGGTCACACACCTTAGTCAACATCACTAATCACTCAAACAAGAGCGTGGGTAATAACTTAACAATATATTATCTATGATATAAGAAAACAGACATCACATGATATACTCATATTATTATCCTAAATACACACGCAATGTCTATATAAACTCACATAGCAAATAGCAATAGAAGATCATCTCTCTTTTCATCAATAAACAAAGTCTCACCGTACTTCTCGTCTGCACTTTGTTTTTCTTTCTTTTCTAAAAATATAACATTTTTTTACGGTGAACTCTTATCACAATCAAAACATGTCTTCCGAAAACCAGTCTCCCGCCCCCAGTGTTCAGGGCAGCCTCAACACAAGTGAAATCGCAAGCAATGAACAGGCCAACAAGTCCATGTTGGCTATTACCAGACTTAGGGATCTCCTGGCTGCTGCTTCCATCGCCCTAGCCGATGCCATCGAACAAAACCAGCCTGAGGACACCAAGAATCAAATAAGGCTGACAATTGCAGCCACAGAAGGCGATCTGGCTATCCTCATGTCAGCACATACCCATTTGCTTCGTTCTGGTCCTGCCCGCGCTGAGCAAGTTGCTCCCCAGTCCCGTGTTGTACCTCGCGAGCTACCAGTTCTTCAGTGGCAAGGAAACGAGTGGGACAACACCCAGAAGGTCTACTCGTCCATTGAAGAGTGTCTGGACAAATTCGAGGATGTGCTCCACTCATACAGTCTGGACCTTAATGTGGACTGGCACCGTCTACTCCCCATTGTTCTGTCAAGAGAACAGCGTTCCTGGTATGACAACTACCTTCGTAGTTCCCCCGAGCTTCCCTGGTCCTTTGTCCGTGACGCCTTTATCAAGGTATATGGAATCAACGATCTTGAGCGTCAAGTACAGCTCACACATGAGCTGATGCTCATGAGAATGAGCCCTACAGAAACCGTCAGCAACTACACGGACCGTTACCAAAGGGTTCGTCGGGAAGCTGACGTGGCAGACAACATGCAGGCAGCCATTGCATACACTGCCACACTTCTGCCCGAGCTGGCAAGACAAGTCTCCTTGCTACAAGTCAACATGCCCAGGGAAAAACGGGACACCATTGACAAGGCTGCTTCCCTGGCCCGGTCCATCTATAGCAAGGTCTTTCTGATGAGCTTGCATAACGACCCTGTGCCCAAAGGCCACCATCTCAGCCCAGAACAGACGACCCGCATGTCTGCTGCCACCTCTTCTGCCCGCTCCCCTGGTTCTCCCCGTGAAGCCACACAGAGCCATGAGCGCTCTTCCAGCAAGAGGTGCTCGCTCCATGGCAAGGGCAGCCATGACTCCGAAGACTGCCGCATCCTCAAGAACGCACTGGCAGCAAAAGGGGGCAATCGGGTTGAAAAAGCCCCCTACATCAACAAGTACGTTGGTTCTGCTCCTTGCCGTTGGTGTGGTGAAGTTTGGTCCCACAAACATCGCTGTTCTTCCGTCACTGGTTCCTCCAGCTCTTCCAGTTCTGCGTCTGGCTCTTCCAGCGGCTCTGCTCCCCACTTCGCTGTCCGTTCTGCCCACACTGTCTCTGACGACAGTTCTCCCTCAGATGTCAGCACATCTGAGGATGATCAGTCCATGCACATGGACTTTGAACAGTGCTCCCCATGTAAGTACACGGGCACTCACGTAGATCTCAGTAAATGGTCTACTCACTCCTATCTCATTCCTATTTCTTTAGAAGAGGAAAAACTATGGGCACTGGTAGACACCGGGGCCACCATCAGCTCTGTCAACACCAAGCTCTGTAGCAAGTTTGGGTGGTCAATAATTCCTCGCAAAGGGAAAATCGTGTTGGCCACTAGTAACGCTATAGCTCATAGACTAGGAGTAACAAAACCAATAAAAGTTTTTTATAACAACAAACACATTACACATTCTTTTGAAGTTTTGGATCTCGCTGAGAATATAGATGTTAGTATTGGTACAGATTTAATGCCAAGCCTTGGTATTCATTTACTGGGACTAGCAGAGAGTTGGTACGGTTCTAATACACCTCAGACCCCTACACCCATAGCTGAAATAGAAAAGCCCAATAATTCACCAGCGGGTACACCCACTGAACATTCTCAATTCATGAAGGCTCTACTACCCTTTATTAAAGCCAATGAAGCCATACCCATCACTTCATTTTGTACAGTTAAGGAATCTATTGTACGACTACCAACGCCCCCAGGTCAAGTAGTCTATAGACAACAATATCCTATTGCTTTACAACTTGTTCCACTGATGGCCAAACACATAAACCAATGGCTTACTGATGGCACTATACAAAGGGCACCCATCAATACTAAGTGGAACAGCCCACTTACATTTGCTTCTAAAAAAGATGAGTTTGGTAATCCCACAGGCAAGCGTCCTTGCTTAGATCCCAGAGCCATTAACACTCTGCTACCTGACGACAGATTCCCTTTGCCACTCATCTCTGAACTCTTTCACAGGCTACGAGGTGCAACAATATTCACTATGCTAGATCTCAAGAGCGCCTTTCATCGATTCAAGATTCATGAAGACGATAGACACAAGACTACATTCACATTTGATGGCAATCAATATATGTTTTGAGGATGTCCCTTTGGTCTTAAGCCATTATCGTCCAAGTTTCAGTGAGTAGTCAATTTGATTTATCACGATACTCTATATGTTACTGCATTTGTTGATGATATTGTAGTTTTTTCCACTAACATGTCTGACCATGTTAGACATGTCCAAACAGCTATTCAAAAGCTCACGGATGTCAATCTCATTCTCAATCTGCAGAAATGTCACTTTGCATAAACTTCTGTACCGTTACTGGGTTTCACTGTAAGCACTAGAGGTATTGATCTTGATGCTCACAAGGTTCACAATGCTACTATGTGGCCACAACCCAAGTCCGGCAAAGACATTCAATGCTTCATGGGTCTCGTCAACTATTTTCGTGAGCACATTCCCAACTTGTCGCAACTGTCTTCTCCTCTGGACAAACTACGCAATGCTGACTCACTACACGGGTTATGGACAGAAGAACAAACGCAAGCTTTTTCCAAGCTCAAAATTGCACTTACACACGCACCAGTCCTAAGCCACCCTGACACAACCCAACCATTTCTGGTTGCCACAGACGCCTCCAACACAGGTATTGGCGCCGTGCTCTATCAGATCATAGACAACCAATATCGCTACATTGGTTTTATGGCACGGTCACTTTCCAAATCTGAACGCAACTATCCTGTCACCAAACGTGAACTTTTGGGCATCGTTTATGCTTTGACTAAATTCCATAAGTTCTTGTGGGGTAACAAGTTCACGTTGTACATGGATCACAAGGCTCTCACGTACCTTCACACGCAAGAAATTGCCAACCCTATGATGATAAACTGGCTTGATGTACTCTGCGACTATACTTATGACATAGTCCACCGCCCTGGCATTGACAATATATTGCCAGATGTTTTATCGCGCCTTTTCACCTTGGAAAAACCGCTGGGGGAGGGTAAAACCGTAGAAATCTCTACGAATCATTGAATAAAGAACACACAAAATACACATGCTATCCAACGCATGCACAACACAGGGGATATGATAACACCACCTATCAAAGACAGACAGCATCTACTCAACCAAGCACATCTACTCGGCCACTTTGGTACAGATGCTATTGTCAACGCTATACATAGTGATGGACTACACTGGACTAATCTCAAGCAAGAGGCAACAGAAACAGTAAAGCGCTGCTTGAATTGCCAACAGTTCAATGTCTCAAAACACGGCTATCATCCGCTGAAGCCTATTACAGCCAGTCAACCAGGTGAACACTGGGCCATAGACTTAGCTGGCCCATACACCACCTCGCACAACGGCAATTATTACATGCTAGTAATGGTTGACATCTTTTCCCGATTCTGCATACTCCGCGCAATTCCAGATAAGACATCTTTAACAATTGCAAAACAACTCATTCAAATCTTTTGCGACTTCGGCCTACCCAAGGTTTTACAGTCAGATAATGGTACCGAGTTTGTCAACGAACTCGTCAAGACTTTCACAAATACAGCAGGAATTGATCATCAGCTTGTAACACCCTATCATCCGCGAGCAAATGGAGTTGCTGAAAAATGGGTACACACAGCCAAGGAAGTCATCAACAAGAGAACACAGGAAGCAAAGCGAGACTGGGACATATACATCCCAAGCACACAGCTAGCCATAAATAGCAAACATGCTAAGCTACATGGCACACGCCCATTCACTCTAATGTTTGCAAGACAACCAAACGATTTTGCTGATTACAGAAAAACAGAGAGCACACACAACGCTCCTAACAGTCTACCAGATATGAAAAAAAGAATTGAACAAATGGAGACTGTCGTATTCCCAGCAATCTGCGAACGCATCAAAGCTACACAAGCTGCTGATAAAGGAAAACACGACAAAGACCATAAAATAATAATGGAGTTCCCGAACAACAGCAACGTGATGATAAAGAACATATTAAGAAAGTCTAAGACGGACCCAAGATATGAAGGACCATTCACAGTCAAGGGCAGAACAAAGGGAGGCAGCTACATTTTGCAAGACGAAACGGGAGCACTTCTATCACGAAACATCCCACCTTCGCAGATAAAGCTGATCTCACAAGATACTGTTATATCTCCAGATAGCTTTTACGAGATACAGGCCATCATTGATCATCGTCAAGAAAAAGGCGACTATCTTTACAGAGTGCGCTGGAAAAACTATGCACCAGATCAAGACACTTGGGAGCCCACAAGCAATTTCAACGATCTGAGCATAATTGACAAATATTGGCAAAGACGAGGTCCAGAAAAACCCACCAATAAATCTACAATTATACATAACAAGCATACACACCCAACACAAGAACCTACACGCTTTAGCAAACGCATACGCAAATAAAGACATTTGCTCTCATACATGTACAGATACTCCCCTAAGCAATTCAAACGGTTGTTCCAACCTGGAGGGGGGTAATGTTGTATCCAACATAATCGTAGATTCAAATAGAGCGCACAGACAATAAGACAAAGACATATTGAATAAGCGACCAGTATCAATTATACATTATTTCTCACACTATCATTAAATAAAGAATATACCAATAACAAGGTCACACACCTTAGTCAACATCACTAATCACTCAAACAAGAGCGTGGGTAATAACTTAACAATATATTATCTATGATATAAGAAAACAGACATCACATGATATACTCATATTATTATCCTAAATACACACGCAATGTCTATATAAACTCACATAGCAAATAGCAATAGAAGATCATCTCTCTTTTCATCAATAAACAAAGTCTCACCGTACTTCTCGTCTGCACTTTGTTTTTCTTTCTTTTCTAAAAATATAACAGCGAGAATATATTTAAAGACATATCATTGGCCTAATATATATCAGAGTCCCTGAGAGAATTTTTTTTTAAAATAATAAAGACAATTATAATAAGCAACGGCTGTTACACACTTCTTGTATTATTAAAAAAATTAAGTAAAAAATATTTGCCATTGCCAATCCCAATGAAGTTCGTTGCAAATACACAAGATGCAATCGCAATTCTCTCGGATACACCATGACAGATAAAAGAACTGCCAAGCGTCATGCCCAGAATGACAATGACAGAAAAATAGATAAAATCATTAATGGTAACTAAAGTTATCATTTTTTTATTTATTTATATGATGTATTCTAATTAATTGAAACAAATAGTTTTGACAGCCAAAGTAAACACTAGTGAAACTGATATGGACGTAGATCAAATTGAAGAATATGTTGAAGGTAATAGTATTTTATTTTTTATACCCAATGTGCACTCTATTTAAACTCGGTACTAATAGATGACAATCACTCTGTTGGTGCACCCTCACCAGAGCAGTATGTCCATATCTACTTACCTCTTTTGGTGGAAGAATCTCTTTTTGGAACAGAGGAGTATACTTCAGAGTATGAGTCTGAATATGAATCGTCAGATGAAATTGAGCCAGAAGAGCAAGACAGAGAGGAAGAACAGGGTAAGTATTAAAAATAAATGATAATTGAAATGAATTGACCTGGGTCAAACCAAGAAAACAAAAATTAATACTATATCATGATAATCTATAGAGTCTACAGCAAACCTCCCAGAAAATCCTTGGCATGAAGTAATTGCTATTTTCACTGTGATGTTTATTTCGACTTTCATTATGGATGACAGTGCTGTAATCTTGATCACATTCATCAATACAATACTTGAACATTATGGAGAGGATTTCAGACTTCCTATAAGTATTCTTGGTCTGAAGAAAATGACAGGGTACAATGACTTAATGAATAGGGTGTCTAATTACGTAGTATGCAGTGATTGCCACACCTTGTATGACTACAGAAACATCACACAAACATGTTGCAATTTTAGAAGAGTCGGCAGCAAGACCTTTTGTGGAAACAAGCTTTACAAACACAGTATAAGAAATGCAATGATTCCCAAACGTACTGTGGTATTTCAGGTACGAAACAATAGAAAAATAAAATATTTGATAATAGAGACGTATAGAAATACTTTGAGACTGTATATAAGTTCTCTTTATTCATAAATAAAAAGTGTCCCTTTTTATAAGAAAACACAATCTGCTCTTGTCATTACGTCTTAGTTTCTTAAGGCTTTCTTCCTTTACTATATTTGGTTATTAGAGTGTATTTACTGCTTAACTAGTGTCGGTGTTACAATTATGACATCAAATCATAAATCGTACTTCTTTAGCTCTTAGCTATTATTTTCTCTTTTATACTAGAGCTTTAGGACTTCCTACTAAATTAGCTCCATATCGATCTGACACAGTTTACCCGGCAGTATGATATAATTATCTTAACAATCTTTAAGATATTATCTACAGTACTAACTGTAATAATTATTGGGCTGATTACTTAATCGTTTATATATATTTTATACTGACAAGATGATAGCTACTACGCTATCCCAATATGAATATGTTCTTATATGTGATAAATCCAACATCCGAGTGTCTGGATCACCACACGTACGTTCATCTACAACTCATTGACAGCTTCCTTGAAGAAATTGTTCATGCGTCCTTCTTTCAAAAAGAATATTAATCAGTGGAACCATGAGCCAAAGGTTGATGGTACTTTATTTGATGTTTACGATGGGAAAATGTGGAAAGAGTTTGTTGATGATGAAGGTGCCCAGTTTGTTGCAAAGGAACGTTCATCGCTCTTGACATTAAATATCGATTGGTTCCAGCCCTTTGATGGGGTGACATATTTTTGTGGTGCCATATATCTCACAGTAAACAATCTGTCAAGAGAAGAGTGCAACAAGGTCGAAAATGTTATCCTTGTGGGGTTAATGCCTGGACCCAAAGAAGCAAATACTGACAAGATCAATAACTATTTGCGTCCTCTTGTTGACGAGCTCATAGTTCTCTACAAGGGTATAACAGTAAATATCTATGACTGCCCTGATACTCTTATTTGTGCTGCTTTGCTGATGGTTGCTTGCAATATATCAGCTGCAAGAAAAACGTGTGAGTTCACCTCCCACAATAGTACATGTGCGTGTAATAAATGCAACTGCCATTTCAAATGCATTGATGAATCCACTATTGTTAACTACTCTGGGTTTAAGTTTTCTGACTGGGTAAGCAGAACCAAGAAAGAGAATATTGAGCATGCCATAATGTGGAAAAATGCCAGAACACTAGCAGAAAGAAAGCAACTGGAGGTTGAGAATGGCATTCATTGGTCCAAGCTCCACCAACTCATGTATTTTGAACCAGTGCATGCAACAGTAATCGATCCCATGCACAATCTTTTCCTTGGGATGGCAAAGTGCATGATGGACAATTGGATCGCATGTGACTTGCTTGACAGTAATGACTTTGCAGAGATGCAGAAGGAAGCTGATTCAATGACACTCCCAATGGGGTATACAATTCTCTGAACAAAGATAGGAAAAGGATTTCCATTTATGAAGGCGGATGAATAGAAATCCTGGTGCCTGATATACTCTTCTGTTCTGCTGAAGACGTGCCTGCCAAGTAATCTTCTTGTAAACTGGATTCATTTTGTTGATGCATGTAGAGCACTCACAAAGCCAGCCATTACTGAAGAAGAGATTGATAAAGCTCATGTCAGTTTAGAAAAATTCTGCTGTAGTTGTGAAACAATGTATAAGCTTGACTTACTGTTGCCAAACATGCATCTTCATCTTCATTTGAAAGAATCTATTCAGGATTTTGGACCAATCTGCAGTTTTTGGTTGTTTAGTTTTGAGTGTTTCAATGGTGTCTTGAAAGGATTTCAGACAAATCAAAAGAGCGGCTTCAAGAAAACGTATATGAAGAAGTTTGTTGAGGACTCTTCCAAGGGTGATTTCTATCACACACATCTCAGCACTATTAATAACCCCTCTTACATTTCTGTTTTCAACAAACTTACCGACAGTATAACTGGCACAATTCCATCTGGCAATCATCAAAACTTGTTATCATTCTTTCATCTTTCATCATTCCTGGAATCCACCACCAATCCAGAACAACAAACGTTTGGTAACGAGCCTCTTCCACCTTCCGCCTTGCCACTGGCTTTAAAAGAAGCAACAACAATGAGAAAAGCAGAATACGGCTGTCTTTTAAAGTTGTACAAGATTGAGTATGATGATGACACTCTGTGTAGTGCAAAAACTATGCTAAGGCACAGAATATTTGTCAATGACAGAATTCAAAAGATTGCATCTATCAATCTTCTTAGACAAGTCTATAAAGGTGGCGAAGGCTTGATCATGAGAGGGTCCTATATACAGGCCAAGTATATGGGGACCAACAATAATAGTAAAGGGATATACGCTGGTTATATCAAGTAACTTTTTACACACAATTTTATACCCAATTCTATCTACACCAACCTCCATGCTTGCCACAATCCTGAACATGTATTTGCTTTTGTTGAATGGTACCAAATCCCTTGCCATCAGCCAAGAATTAATCAGGGTATCAAGTTGTATGACGCAACGTTTTTAAAATACGACTATGACAACATTCTGCCTGCCCACCGCATCTTGTCACCAATTGCAATTGGAAGTCATGTGTCTGGTAGTGGTGCGGCAAAAGTCATTGTTATTTCTCTGCCAAGAAAGCTGTACACTTAATAAAATACTTTATCTTTTTTTTAAAATAATAATAATAATATAAAACATAGTTCAAAGACATAAAAAGAGATGTGATAAAGAGTGTAACTAAAAAGACAGAAATTTTATTATACGCGTTTTGACCACGCAGGCATTTTTGTAACCAAGCCACAAGGAATTGTCTTGTGTATCAACACATGACTCCGCAACTTCAACTGCGTTGCTCTTTTTCCCAAGTCATCTCTGGCAAGATTGTCAAGAAAGTCAAACATGGCATTCAACTATAAATGTATATATATATCAGAAATCAAATAACAGAAAAAATCATTTTATATAAAACATTACCTCATCACTACGCCAATCAGGACGAGATGCAACAACAGAAGTGTCAGTTTTTGTATCATCACCAGACATTGCGTCTCTATAAAAAACGTCATTGTAATTCTGATTAAACTTTTCAGTAACTGCATCCTTATGTTTTGTATACATTTTTTTTCTCCTTTTATTAAGCTACGATATATATATAATATTTTAAGTGTACTTGTCAAAATGGAATTATTATAGTAAATTCAAAAACCAGGCCAGCAAATGTAAAATTTGTACTCCACAACTTATATCTTCTTGAGTTCTTATTCTTTCGTGATAGTTTTAATACACTCTACAACATCTGTTAAAGAGCTACAACATACTATGCTAGTATAGATATATATATAGTATTAATAAAAGGTTATATGAAAAAAAGTAGAAATTTTCAGTGACCTGGTTTTTTAGGTATAGGCCAAAAAATAGAGTAAAGCATTATTTCTTTACTTTCAATGCAGAACTGCTTTATGATAATTTTTATAAGGAGTGTGTCTTGTCATTACATCACAATCATGCAAACAAAATAGATATATTATATTGAATTTTTCAGAGTTTTCCTTGTTCCTTTGCTCAACTTTAAAACAAAAATGTCTCCCATCTCATGCGACAAAATACTTTCAATTGAAGTTGAACTTAGACATGGAAAGTCTACAGCCAAGGTAGCAAAGATTGTTAGTGTTTTGCAGACTTCTGTCAAGAGATATCGAAGAAAGTTGAACATCTCTATCTCAGTTTCTGGGGGTAGATCTGCCTAAATTGATGAAAGGCTCACCCACCGTATCATCTATGCATTCCTAAATGAGAAATTTATGACAACAACAGAGGCAGAGAGACGGCTATGTGGTGAAGGTTTTGCTGTCAAGGCTCCAGCAATCCGCACCTTGCTAAAAGCATCTGGGTTCATCTGTATCTTGGAACCACCTCTGAAGGTAAAAACAAACCCTGCTATCCGCAAGCAGCATATAGAGTTCGCAAGGAACTATATCAACTTCACCATGGAGGACTGGAAGTGTGTTGTCTTCTCAGACGAATGTAAGGTGAATTGCTTTGGCTCAGATGAAAAGAGATGGAGGTGGAAGTTGAAGAAGTTGGCAATTAAAAAGTATAAGGGTAAGACTTCCCCTGTTTGTGCTGGAGGACATGTTATGATTTGGGGATGCTTTTTGTCCAGATGTCACGGAGAGCTTCTCAAGATCAATAAAACTATGACAAGCTCAAAATACGTAACAGTTTTGGAGCAGGGCTTACTGAAGACCTTGTAGAAGCAGAATCTCATCAAGTCCAATATCATGTTTTTGCATGATAACGCCAGGTCACACACTGCAGCCAATATCAGAAAGTGGTTGAAGGCAGAGGGGATTGAGGTCATTGATTTCCCACCATTTTTGCCTGACCTTAATCCCATCGAAAACCTTTGGGCATACACAAAGGGCAAACTCTACCAATATGAAGAGCCAGCTAGCTCAATGAGGGAATTGTGGTCCCGTTTCCAGAATGAGTGAGATAGTATCTCAGAGGAGATGTGCAAGAATCTAATTGAATCCATGCAAAGCAGAATGCATAAATGCATTTTGAAGAAAGGGTATCTTATTAATGAAAAATAAAAAAAGATACCTTTACCTAAAAAACCAGGCCACTGAAAATTTTCACTTTTTTCATATAACCTTTTATTAATACTATATATATATCTATACTAGCATAGTATGTTGTAGCTCTTTAACAGATGTTCTAGAGTGTATTAAAACTATTGCGAAAGAATAAGAACTCAAAAAGATATAAGTTGCAGAGTACAAATTTTACATTTGCTGACCTGGTTTTTGAATTTACTATATAAATAGAAATACTTATAGCAGTCTTTCTATTTCCTCTTCTGTTTGAGATAGTGTTTGTCTGTATGTCTTCTTCAGTAAGCTTACTGGCAGTCAAGCGATTGTAATAGCTGTTTACAATAATACTGTTGTGGTGGTTGAAGTTGAAGAAGTTTTTAAGAGGAAGAATTGAAGATTTGAAATTAGGAACGAAGATTCGTGAGAACTTGTGTAGGTTTTGTTTATTGAGAAAGATTTTGTATCAAAGTTTGACCCGGTTCCTACACTGAACTACTACTGCTATTTATATTGTTTTGGATTGGGAAAATTATATGACTGGGGTCAGATAATCGATCCTAACTGAGCCTTAATCAGAGCAACGTGATCTTGGGATAATTAATGTATGATTAATTATATAAATGTGTGTAGTCCCAATGAAGTATTAACATCGAAAGTAAATGTGTTTATGAGTTATAATTATGCTTATAATAATCCACTGATGTATCCCATATTATGGTGATATCATCATATGAAATATAATCACTATCATGCATGCTAAACCTGTGTGTTAAATAATAAAGTAATCGGTAGACACCTTTGACTGGAATAGCTGAGGCCTTATATTATTTCCTTCAGACTTATTCTCAATTACAGCAGTAGTCAATACTCATTTACAACAAATACCACATAGCCCTTTTGGTGGTACCATGGCTGCTACAGGTTGACAACGAATGTAAAGCATAAAATCACTTGCCAGATTCTTGTTAAACTTGTCAGACAAACTAATATTGCCATCCCAAGTTGGTTTATCATTATTCTCTCTAATCAACTCCAAATCATTCATTTTGAGATTAATATCTCTTAATCACCCCCAAATAATACTCTATTAAAGGTATATTGATATTAGATTTAAAGGGAGATTTTTTTTTACAATTTTAGTATTTGAGCTTACTGAAATCTTTGGGTGTCTTGAGCTGCTTATGATGTCCTGAGAACTCATATCAGAATCCAGAACAGCTTGCATGTCAGTCGATTGAGCACCTACCTGGCATTGTACTGTTCCAATAATTAGTCTATTAGAAAACAATATAGTTTGTGTTTGATTACTTTTCAATTCACTAACATTGGAACTAACAGCTGTCATTTTGTCATTGAGTGTAGCGAGAAGACTGATTACATCATTAAACTCTGACACTGGAATTGATATATTGTCTGGTCTAGGAGCAATCATTGGATTAGATAATCCTATACAGTCAGTGTTGACTGCGTTGATCAATGGCCTAGATGCTGATCCATTGGTACATGCGTTCTGGTTGATGTTAGTTCTTGGACCCATTATCTGTATTTTTATATAATAAAATAATAAGTTTCTGGTATATATTGCTTGATATTTCTATTTTAATAAATTTTTAAGAGAGTAGTTTACATGTAAAGAATTTTAGAATAATTGAGTGATTGAACAATTATGTTAATGATTAAGCGAGCAAGTTGAGCAAGTATATGAGTGTGTAAATACATCTTTATTTAAATGATCAAGGAGATCAAAATATATATTTTGAAAAAAGTTGAGCTAGAAAACAACTTCTTTAGGTATATAGCAAGTAACAATTGTTTTATAAAACATATAAAGCTATAATTAGTAGACAACTTTTTTTTCAAAGTAAGAGAAACAGTCTAATAACTTTTTCAGGGTCTATGGCTTTTTCAAACACTGTTTTTTATTTTCCCATCTTTTTCTGTTTTTCTCTACTTTTTAATAATATTAATAAGAATAACACTCTTTTAATACTACTATGTTTCACTTTAGGCACCCTTAATATATACATATGATGCAGGTGTCTTTCATTATACAAGAGGTACTTTACCATTAAATATATCATTATTTTACTAACTATAAATTATTTTAAATAGTCATTATATATATTTCTCTGATATAACCAGTGCAGACAAATAAAACAAAAACATATTGGTGGCATGTATGTATATATCTATATCAGCAGCTTCTTTCCAGTATTAAAAACAATATCTAACATCTACTTTAAATATAGTTCACCCTTACTTTACATATGGTCAGTAAAAACAAATCATTTAAAGAATATAAGGGTACGTGTTATTCATTTTATTATTGTGTTGTTTTTATTTTGTTTTGTTTTTTTATATCAGCATTCTCACTCTCTTTTTTTATAGTTGAAATAGTTCTTCACATTCTTATATAACTGGTACTCAAGGATAAGACATGTTCTTTTAGTAAATATGTATGTTGTGGTATTTCAGGTACGAAACATAAGAAAAATAAAATATTTGATAATAGAGACATATAGAAATACTTTGAGACTGTATATTAGTTGTCCTTTATTCATAAATAAAAAGTGTCCCTTTTTATAAGAAAACACAATCTGCTCTTGTCATTACGTCTTAGTTTTTTAAGGCTTTTTTCCTTTACTATATTTGGTTATTAGAGTATATTTACTGCTTAACTAGTGTCGGTGTTACAATTATGACATCAAGTCATAAATCATACTTCTTTAGCTCTTCTATTCTTTTCTCTTTTATACTAGAGCTTTATGACTTCCTACTAAATTAGCTCCATATCGATCTGACACAGTTTATCCGGCAGTATACTATAATTATCTTAACAATCTTTAAGATATTATCTACAGTACTAACTGTAGATAATTATTGGGCTGATTACTTAATTGTTTATATATATTTTATACTGACAAGATGATAGCTACTATGCTATCCCAATATGAATATGTTCTTATATGTGATACATCCAACATCCGAGTGTCTGGATCACCACATATGTATATGTTTTATATTCCTTTCTTTGTAATATATACTTGAATGACGCATTAGCTTGTAGCTTTTGATAATATAAATCTGTGTTTTATTCCATTATTAACAAATTATTCTAACAGTATGTAAGTATCTTTCTACTCCCTTTAATCAAATAGCTTCAGTAAGCATATATACTCACTATCCGAGTTTATTAATTCAAAAAATTCTGAAACAAAATTTATAAGAAATACAATATAACAGATTAGTGTATTAAATAGTAATACTATATAGAATCCTTATTATTGCCAGAAAAAAAGGCTTTTTTTATCCAAAATAAAAACAAATAAAAAAATCATTTTTCAAAACAAAACAATATCCAATTGAGAGACTCGTGCTTAGCATTTGCATCTATGAGAATTTTTTCTTCAATTCATTTAGCCAATAAACATTAAAGAAGTGCTCTGTTATTACGTCTGTTATTACAAAAACAAGGCCTACATCAAATTACAGGTGTAATCAGCAGTAGATAATACATTGTTCTGCATTTGGAATAGTCTATATAATTGATCCCTGGGAACAGCTGATACACAGACATTATACCTAAACTCCCGGTTTTTATTTTTGGAATAATATAATATTCAATTATATTTAACACTTTATTCAATAACTTGTCAACTATGATTTCCTTAATATTTACGAGTAATTCATTTTTATGTGACAAAATATCCCAATAATCAAGACCTATTATTATAATAATTCCCAATGATTTTTGCAGTGTTACCTTTCAAGTATCCAAAGCTGATACTAATATTGAGCTTTAATTAATATGCTACTTGCTATAAGTAATACTAATGCATCCGTAAAAGAGTCTTTTAATCCCAATAAGAACTTTGTCATGGAGGAGGATTTACAGCTCTGCAGTTCTTATATGTTCACTTTCACAGATGCTATTTATGGCAATGAACAAAAGAGTGACACTTTTTGGTCCAAAATCTCTGACCATTACAAGGGCTTCCTTTCTGAGCTTGTTGAAGACTGCAACACTTGGGCCCTGACCAACTGTTGGTATAACATCAACAAAGTGGTTAACAAGTTTTCTGGAATCATGTCTCAGCTTTGAGCAGCAGACCAGAGTGGGGCAAATGAAGAACTCCTTGTAAGACATCTTTATTTTTTATAGAAATTTTTATTTTATGATAATTAAATGATATATTTGGAGCTCAAGGCTAAGTCAATGTATAAGGCTGAAATGAAGTTGAACTTCACTGCCTACCATTGTTACCGCTATCTGTCCTGGTATCCCAAGTGGCAAGAGACAGCAGAAAAGTCGCTCAAAAAGCAGAAGAACAAGAGGAAGGGTGGCATGAAGAAATCTATGTCTGTTGCTGTAGAGGGTCAGCAACAAGATGATAATGACACCTCTGACATGTCTGGCACTTGGCCTGCTGGGAGAAAGCAGATGAAAGCAAGAGAGTTGGGCATACAAAGATTCAAGGAGATGATAGAGAAGATGTATGCAATGAAGGCAAGCAGTGCATTGGAGCTCAAGGAAAGGTCTGCTTGCATCCTCAAGTCCATTGAAGATCAAGCTGAAGAACAGATACGTGCAGCAAAAGCACATCAACTTCTAGACAAAGAAGAAATGATGTCCTTTAAAAGACACTGTCTTCTGGAAGAAGAAGAGATAGCATTGGCTAAAATCCGCCAACAGATAAATTAAGAGGAACTGGCCTTGGCCAAAACACGTTGGGATATAGATAAAGCCAACACAAGGTTCATCAAAATAAATACATTGATTGCCGAAAGAAAGTTTTTGTCTTTTGATACCAGTAGCATCTCAGACCCTGCCGCCTGCAAGAAGTTCTTGGACTTACAGCCGCAGGTTATGGAAGATAACACTGACAGCAAATAAATAAAAAAAAGATACAACTAATATATATACATATTTGTTTTATTCAATTTGCTAGTACTTGTCGCCTTCTCTCTTCCATAAGCTCTCAATCAAATCCTGTCTCAATTGGAAGTGCTGGTCTCAGTTTCAGATTTTCATATGTCTCTGAAGGTACCTAGCAAAGCTCCCCTAAGGAAATGGGCACTCTCCAAAACCAGAAACCACAGGTGGCAAAGTTGAGACAGGATCAATATTGATACACTATCTTTCGTCTGCTATCCTTTCACTATTATCTGCATGACCAATTTCCATGCTCTTTCTCTTCTTCTCAACAATCATATTATGCAATATAATACACACTGTCATGATATCATGAAGAGTGTCTCTATCCCACATTCTGGATGGTCCAGAGACTATGGCAAAATGTGCCTGGACAACATCAAAAGCGCACTCAACATCTTTTCTTACCCCTCCTGTGCCTTCGCAAATTTCTTGAAAAAGAGAAGTGATTAGTTAAAAGAATTGAAAGATCATGATATATATTAAGATGTCTTTTCCTTTGGTGTCCTAGGATTGTTAAGACCCTTCACAAAGGCACCGTATGTAGGGTATATCCCATCTGTTAGGTAGTACCTCATGTTATATTTGTTGTCATTTATGGAGTAATTGACAACTGGGGTTTTCTCAGTTGCGAGGTCCCTAAACAGATGGGATCTGTCTAAGACATTTATGTCATTGAGACAGCCAGGCAAGCCAAAGAACGCATGTCAGATCCACAAGTTGTATGAGGCGACAGCCTCTAGCACTATTGTCAGTGTCTTCTCCTTTCCAACAAACTGCTTATGCCAAGCAGTTGGGCAGTATTTCCACTCCCAGTGCATACAGTCGAGGGAGCCCAACATTTCAGGAAAGCTTCTTGATTTCCCTTCCTCCAAAAGTCTTTGAATATCCTCTTCGGTGGGTGCTCTCAGATACTCATTACCAAAGACAGCAACGACGGAAGAGCAGAAACGCTTTACACATTCTAAAGCTGTCAACTCTGCCATTCTGAATGACCTGTCAAGGGAAACGGCTGGTAGTCTGTATGCAAGCATACGGATTGCTACAGATACCTTCTGCAGAGAAAAAAAACCAGATGCACGAGCAGCATTCAACTTCTGCTCAAAGTAGCTGTCATGCCCTTTTACACTCTCTAGAACACGCATGAACAAGGCTTTGTTCATTCTGAATTGCCTGCAAAATTGTTCTTCAGTGTAGGTTGATTCAAGATTGAAGTAATCCTCACACAACTGCACATGACCATGTTGCCTGTTGCAATTAATAACGGTGCAAGCCTTCTTTGGAGCCTTCTCTTTGCAGTCCAGGTCCAAGTAGTAATGCTTTGTCATAATAGCAAGCTCCTCCAAGTCACATTCATTGTCTATGAGATTGTGCTCGTCTTCCTTCAGCAATGCAAGTAGTAGTTCAAAGTTCATTTTTGTAAGATATTATATGAGAATAAAAGCTAAAAGAAATAGTAAAAATATAGTAAAAATCGAAGCAGTCATAATTGTTTAGAATCTGTATTAACAAACTGCTGGAGTGACCTTCATATTCTTCATACTAAATCGCCTTATTTGTACTAGTATGGGAAATCCTAATTTGGATATTTAGTATTTGGGCTTAGATACTGCTGGAGATGCTCTTATTTGCTTACTCCTGTGTTATTAAAGCTTGACCAATTTGGCTACATTTATAGTGAATTGGAAGATAGCCTAGATCAGATGTCATGCCCAAATTCTTGTCAGCCAATCAGGATGACAATTACACAGAATTCTCTTTTAAGAACAATGACCGAAGTGATTTCCTTTTGCTCACACAAGAATTAGAAAGCACATAGCTTAACAAAAGTAGAATAGAAACTGAAATAGACATTTATAATGACTGGGTAGGTTTAGAAAAGATATAAAAGAAGACGTTATTTCATTCAATAAAAGTTATCTATCTTTCTATCCTCTTTTTATTCTTTTATCTTCATTTACAATTCCCAGTGGGTTTGACCAATTTTGGCTGTGTTATAGTATTGGAAGAACTGTTGTTCCTGATCTGGGTTGGTCTTCCTTTTACTATAACAAAGTCAAAAGGTCAAACCCACTGGGGATCAAGGAGTATACGTAAAATCAAAGAGAGGATAAAAGATACTTTTTATTGATATGAATTGAATTGTCTTATATAGTTTTCTAAACTAATACTGCGCATTATTCACAGTAGTTATTATTTATATTTAATTAAAGAAATAGTCATTATATTGTGGTTAATGCTCAGGAAGATATTACTGCGCATAAAGAAGTACTGCGGTTAACTATCTTCAGATTTTACGGATTCATCAAAATAATGTCCAACAGAACAACCCAGATCGAAAACGACACAGGAACAACAAAAATAAAGTACGACAGCACAAAAAACGACAACTGCAGGATTTGAACCTGCGCGGGCAAAGCCCATATGATTTCGAGTCATACTCCTTAACCACTCGGACAAGTTGTCTGAGATTGACAGACTACAAGTGTTAAAACATTTTTAAGCATGTACTAAAAACGTATATTTGTTTGATGTGACGTCAACTTATGGACAGACTATTAAGTTATGGACAATGCAAAGTTGTGACTCCATCTCTGGACACAACAAAATCCGATTTCTTGGATTTATTTTCTCTCTCCCTCTTTTTCCTTTTTTCTTGCTATCGACATTTAAATTCCCGCTGGACTTTAAATGCTTTTCCTCTTTTTTTATTTTTTCCTTGATTTTTATTTCCTTTTTAGCTTGCTTGCCTTTGCATTGCACTTGTTCTTTTATACTTCTTGATATTACTTTTTTAGTATACCTTCCGAGAGTTCATATTTTTTAATAGTTTGATTATTTTTATTTTTTTATTATTTTTGATTATTTTCTTTTGTGATTATGCCCAAAGACTTGTACACTTTTCTAAATAATCATCATTTAATATAAGATATATCTAGATTGTTACCTTGGATGCAGATGTCAATTAGTATATAAAAGAAACATTTTTATCCCAATAAAATTCATTCAGTTTTTCTCTATATTTCTTTTGAATATTGTCACTGAGCTTGAACTATTGTCCTGTGGGAAATACTAAGTTGCACACTGTTAGGATCTACAAGTACTGTCTCACCATTTGTCTGTTTGTCTGCTTGTCCATTTGTCCATTTGTCCATTTGCCTACTTGTCTATTGTCCATTTGTCTGTCTGTCTGTCTGTCTGTTTGTCTGTTTGTCTATCTGTCTGTTGTCCATATATCTGTTTCCATCTATTTCAAGTCTCATTCATTATTTAAATTCCTTCTTATTGGATTGTTTTGAGCAAAACCACAAGAATATAACTATACATATAATATATATTATATTTCTGACCAGTTGCACCACATACCATAACTTAACATACGTCAGATTGTCACGTATGTTGTAAGCCTTTTAGGTTTTTGGCCATGTCATGGTGTCCAGTACCAGAAGATCTGTCTGCTTGGTGGGTTTGTCAGGTGATTTGTCATGATGTGTTGTCCTGGTTATGAGAGGCTGATGTCAACAGTTTGTTGATGTGGTGCTGTGCCCTCGGTCATAAGAGGAGAATTTTTCTGTGCACAGGAAAAACCTTGTTTCCATTCCCTGTTCCTTCTATACGTAATACTTTTTTTTCTCTTATTAAGATATTTGTCTATTACTGGAAAAATAACAATAAATACACACGGGGAAATTCATGCATATTATTGTGAATATTCTGCATTTTACAGTGGGGTTTTGCCTATTTCCACTGGTACCAAAGCTGATCTGGTTACATGTGCACAGACCTGCTATCTACAAGTGTAAAGTTCGATAGCACTAGTGAAGTTGGGGTCAATAGTAATTTTATATCTTTGTATATAATAGAGTACCAAGAAAACTTTATTTCAAACTTTGTTTTTTACTGTAATACAATGTTTTCATGTTAAAGGTTAATAATCAGGGACTACATTGCATGTGTATTGTTGAACTATCCCTGGGTGAATAGTTAGAACCATGGATATTTTATTGCTTATAAGCCAATCATTAACACTCTTTATTATGAGGTCATAGATTATCTGCTCCCCCAATTACTTGATATTCAATTATTATTGATTTGAATTATAGTTTATTTTTGTATTTATTAGAAAAAATAAAATGATTCTAGGTTGATAGTATTGAAATAATAATATATGTCTCGGGCCATCTTCACTGGTATTCTTCATATGACTCAAATCAAGTAGTGCTTTATATATAATGTTTGTAAACCCTCATATTCAGTAGTTATCTTTGGCACAGATACTATTTAACATAATAGAAGAGAAGTTAGATGTGTATTTAAATATTTACATGTTGTGAGTGATATATTAATTTGAGGATACATATAATATAATGACTGAAGAAGATAAAAATAAAACTTTGAGAGTTCGAGGCATGACATCAAATATAATTTCTTTAACAATGAAAATAATATAGAGAAGTTAGTTTGAGTGAATTAGGTGAAAGAATATGTAATGAACGTACCCAAAGAAAGTCGATTTATTTGTAGACCTAGATAGTACTTGTCAAAAGTTGATATAACCTTTAGTAAAAAACATATATTAATATACAATATAAATAATACTATCATACATATTAAGAGAATAAAAGAAGAAGTCTTACCATGTCAATGACGGCGCCAAGAGATAGAGGTTCTTGATTTATTACGTGTTTGGCAGATGAACATTCACCTGTAATAAAAATTATATTCTGTCAGATAAATATTAAAAGTAAATAAAAAATAAAATATTACTATGTTGATGGTCTTGTTTAATTGTAGAGAATATTTTTGGCAATATTGTCTATAAAAAAGAAGGAGAAAAGTCAGAATAATTTTATAGGATGATGACATGAAGTATAGTTACTAACCTGGACTAATCCAGATAGCCATTGTAAAGAGAATACATCAGAAGGAAAAAACACACTAGTATCTATGACAACTGAAATAATAATTATTATTTAGTTACATTTGAAGAAAAGAATTGCTTTAAAAAAAAAGAAGATATGTTACCAAAAAAGTTTGCAAATATAGTAAAATACTAAGAAAGTATATATGTATCTATGACATCAGAATATGTTAATCTTGTTGTTGTCTGTACAGAAGTATTTTTAAGAAGAATGTATCTTACCAGTAAAATTCACAGTTATAACAAAAATCAGAAAGAGAAAGAAAAGAAAAGAAAATGGTCAATAAGGAAAAATATGGAAAAATATGAAAAAATAAAAAAATAAGTAAATAAAATACAAAAAAAAACAAAATAGGTAATTAAAAAAAATGAAACTCAAAAAAATATTCAAAAAGCATAGTAGATATAATGATGTAGTATCTAAAAGCAATCTTTGTATCAATTTACACAGTGTGTGTACAAGAAGTTACTTTAGATATATTCTTTTAACCAAGATCAATCAAGACTAGATATTCTTTTTTTTGGAAATATAAATATACGTTTTTGCTATAATCTTACTCACTCTTGCTCACACACTCTTACAATTATTCTTACTTGTACTCGCACTTTCTCTCTCTATCTCCCCATCTTTTTCTGTCTTTTATTTTGGTATGTTTGATAATAAATATAATTGTAATGTATAATAGAAATTTATTCAAAGAATATAAAAACATTAACAGTTAATACATATTTGAACTTATATTTTTAAATTAATAGAATATGTCTAACCAAAATGAAAGCTATCCCACTCAATGCACTCTTGCTGAGAGAGATGACAAACTCTCTTGCCATCTTGTGTCGTGACATGACTACTGTCATGAAAGGCGTTGCTGATATCAAAGCAAAAACTTTGAACACTTCTGTATCTGCTGTTTTACAGAGTCAGCCAATGGCTTTAGTGCATGCTGTTGCTCCTGTGAGCATGGAAATGAATGTAGCTGGTTCTCCCACCATGGCTTCTGATGCAAAATCAGTCAACAAAACAAAAGCCTATGTATGTATCATACATATAGTAAATTATATCTTTAATAACTTACCAAGATTCAATAGAGACTTCTTCGGAAGCATTTGTGGGACCCTAAGTTCAAGTCAAAACATTTGGTTGAAATTCAAGCCAACAATGGTAAGCCAAGGTGGAACACAACTGTCAACTTCAACCAGTCGCCAAACACTGAGTTGACAGAAAACCTCGTTGCCTACTTGGAAAGAAATTTCATAGGAGCAGGACTGAGAAAAAGTGATGTTTGTGACTTTGTCTACACGAACTTCACTAGCAGAAAGTGTGCAGCTAATAAGTCTCAGGCTAAAAAGAAGTCAGAAAATGCTCGCAACAGAAGGAGTAGCCGCGAAAAGGAGGTAAGTTACACTTTATTTATTTATTATTTGAATAATTCTTATCTAAGTCATTAATTTAAAGCAAAAAAAGAAAACTAATTTAATATTTTCAACAGCACTTGAAACATTGCAAAACAGTGTACCAGTCTAACAAGACTGCTATTGATGACGAGATGAAAAGAGATTGCTCTGGTCTCATTATAGAAGAGGCTATGTCTGTTGGTGAGTCAGATGATGGCACTTCGCCCCATGTTTCTTATAGTAGGCTTCGTCTTTGTCGTCCAGGTTGGAGAAGTGATGAGGTAATTAGTTTTTTTAAAGTTGAAATATTTAATTTAGTTAATATATTATATTGTATTATACTGAATAAAATATTAATGTCTTTAATATAGTACAACCACTTCATCACACTTGTTGACAACTGTTGTGGTAGTTGAAGTTGAAGAAGTTTTTAAGAGAAAGAATTGAAGATTTGAGATTAGGAACAAAGATTTGTGAGAACTTGTTTAGGTTTTGTTTATTGAGAAAGGATTTTGTATCAAAGTTTGACCAGGTTCCTACACTGAACTACTACTGCTATTTATATTATTTTGGATCGGGAAAATTATATGACTGGGGTCAGGTAATCAATCCTATCTGAGCCTTAATCAGAGCAACGTGATCTTGGGATAATTAATGTATGGTTAATTATATAAATGTGTGTAGTCCCAATGAAGTATTAACATCAAAAGTAAATGTGTTTATGAGTTATAATTATGCTTATAATAATCCACTGATGTATCTCATATTATGGTGATATCATCATATGAAATATAATCATTATCATGCATGCTAAACCTGTGTGTTAAATAATAAAGTAATCGGTAGACACCTTTGCCTGAAATAGCTGAGGCCTAATATTATCTCCTTCAGACTTATTCTCAATTACAGCAGTAGTCAAAACTCATTTACAACAACAACAAAGTGGTAGCTGATTTAAGCTTAAATAGCCATCAATTGCTGTCACGTGCTTTTGGCAAAACTGTTGAAGGACCAGTCCCTGATGCAATTGCGTCACAGTTTCCTCAGTGGGCTTTTAGAAACGGACCCTAAATAAAGTTTATATTTTTTGTTCTTTTTTTCTTCATTCATAACGTCTTATACTTTAAATAACCAAAAAAATACATAAAGAGGCATTACTTGTTCTTTGTTTTTTATTTAATTATTCTCATAAAAAATCATAGTGCATAATTATTCATAAAGGCTTCAGGCATAGTATTTTTTGGCATAGGAATGACCAGCATTCTTTCTTCATTCATATCAGTTACATCTACAGCAGTTGCAATCTCTAAGTGTATACGATGTACAGGCAAGATGCTGTGATAATTATCAGCAAAGAATTCTGGCAAGCAGATTACAATACCTTCATCTCTGTGTTCATTGTCATTTATCGAATTATACTATCAGATGTATGCAAAAACATGCTGGTATTGATGTAATGTTGATGCTTGATTGTTTGGATGAGGAGGCAAAGTAAATAAATGTATAAAAAGATACTGAATTTGTCTGGTATATAGGCTTGAAGTTTGGCCATTGCTGCTATGGAAGAAAGCTTAAACGAGTGACCCGTGCTTACCAGAACTGTTGTTCCCAATATATGTTTGACCAAGAAGATCAATTGATTTCAATTTTGTGATTCGGTTATTTACAAAATATTGTGACAAGCTGGCATCATGGTAAGAAATGAGATTGGGCATGGCATAGGCGATTTTATAATAATCTAACAATTGAGGATAATCAATATTACTCATTGTTGATTCTTTTAAGGACTGTAAAGGAAAGGTGGATGGGGGGAGTGGTTCATTGCCTTTGATAGGTGCTGCTTGACTTAAGGATGAGTCTACAAATTGTTGCAGTTGGAAAGGTTATTGGTTGGTTGGAGCATAAGTAGCATAGGTTGCTATAGATGCGGTCATAGAGATAAGTTTTTCGAAAAGAGGAAGGAATGGAATGAGGCTTGGACATGATAATGTATTTCGTACGTAATCAGCTTTGTATGTGTCTGCAGTAAATTTTGTCATATAGGTTGTTTCAAACCCGTCTTTTCTGTTTGTCTTGTTATTCTTTAACAAACTATTGTATCTCTCAAAACCAAAGAGCCAATAGCCATACATGGGTCTAAAATCACAAATTGTGTCATGAAGATGGAGGTGCAGATGCATGTTGCAAGTGAGGACTTTTGGTTCATATGTATCTTCACAAGATTGACAGAATTCTTGTAGATATCTGTGTGCTTGGTCTATTTTGATGAAACTGATTGATGGCTTTACAAGTATATGGCATGTTTTTACATAGTGCATCCAGCCATTGAACATATTGGACGGAAGAACTGGTTTTAGAAGCATGGGAGAGTACACCAATACCCAAGACTTCCACTCATCTGCTTTCATGTAGGAAAAGCCCTTTCCTATCTTCGTTTTCAGCTTGGTATAGTCACTGGGCAATATCATCATTGCTGCAACTGTCTGCATTGCAAGCAGATCATTGTTTTCCATTTTTTTGATTTTTGTTCATGTTTCAATCATTCTCTTTGGTGTTCCCAGAAAAAGATTATGCATGGGATCAATGATCGTTCCACGTACTAGATCAAAGTATCCAAAGTGATACAACTGCAACCATCAAACACCATATTCGACCTCCAGCTGCTGCCTTTCTGAGGGTGTACTCGCACTATTCCACTCCTCAGCATGCACACGGTTTGCTCTATCACTTCGATGGCACCACTGATCACAATCAAATCTACGGAAATCGACAGAAGAAGTGCCTGGTAGACAAGAAAATTGATTGTCGCATTTGTAACAGGCGCATGTGCTGTTGTGCGTGGTAAACCCACTAGTCTTTCTGGCAGCAGATATATTGCATGCAATCATCAATAAGGCTGCACGAACTGTTGCACCGTCTGTTTGCTGGTAGGTGGGTATCTGTATTCCAAGATAGAGCTGTATCATTTCATCAACTAATGGCTTGAGATAATGATTGATCTCTTCTGATTTTGGCTCTTTTGGTCCGGGCATGAGGCCAACAAGGATTGTATTTTCTGCTTTAAACCACTCACTTCTAGGCAGGTTGTTAATCACCAGGTAGATAGCACGGCAGGAATAGCTAGTACCATTGAAAGGCTGGAATCAGTCGATGTTTAATGTCAGCATCAATGAACGAGGATGCTCAACAAAAATTTCATCATCATTGTCCTTCAAATCAGTCCAGGCTTCACTATCGTAAACATCACACAATGTATCAGTGATCTTGAATTCTTGGTTCCAGTGCATGATCTTTTGCTTGAAATTGGGATGGAGGAAAAGAATTTTAAGAGCACGTGTAAGAGACTGATATACATAAGACTTCTTTGCGACCAAACCACCAGACAATGATTAGACCATTAATTTGCAATTACAGGCGGTATGTGCACCAAGCTTTACGAAATCACAATTCAAAGTAGCAAGTACACTTTCCTCATACACATTATGTCAATCCTGACACCTGACAAATCTCTTAATCCCTTTTGTCATGACTGAGAATCATGTCATGCTTTGGAGACCAGAAAGACTCACAGGCAATTGGAAATCCTGCTTGTAAATCAACAAGAGCTTGTTGATAAACTCGATCAAGACAACAGCGCCCTTATTGACCACATAGCGGGAAGCAAACATTACCACAAAAGTAGCAATGAACCTGTGTACCGAATTTTCAGGCATATTTGGGGTGGCAAAAGGATCTATTGTAAAAAAAAACAAAAAAAATTAACACCCCCCCTTTTTTCAGATTTTTCTTTTTTGGTTCTTTTCCTTGAATTTTTTTGGGTCTTTTTTTATTAGTTAATTAACACAGACTGACCTTCAGTATCGAATTCTTCAACTTCAATCTCAACAATATTCTCTTCATTGTCTTCACTTTCTTCACCGCCATTGCTTTCTTCGTCATTGTCATTTTTATCACCATCACTGCTTTTGCCATTCGACTCATTGCTAAAAGCAACCTCATTGACAGAAATTGGGGCTCCTTCCCAAACAGGCAAGTTGGTCTGACCACCCATTGCTTCCATGGGTCCGGTTTGTTGGTTTGATGTAGCTACATATAGAATTCAATTTTTAATTTACTTCTCTTTTTATTACAATTAATGTTTCTTACTTTCAAAATCAATATCCATGAGATTTCTTTGAACAGATAGATTTATTGAAATAAAACATTATATAAAATAACCAAAATGAAAATAAAAATGAAAAACAAAACATACTTCTTTCACTTCTTTCCATGTCTTCATATTTTGCTCTTTTATTGTGACGCTGAAGGGTTCGTGTAGAAACAAAGCTGTAGCCTTGTTGATTATTGCTGCATTTTATGCAATAGCACTTCTTATTATAAAGTTCAGAAGTAGAGGACATGGTGTTTATTTTGTTATAAATGTTAAGATAAAAGAGAAACAAGTGTTACATTTACTTTATTTGTTCAAACTTTATAATAATAATAATAATAGTAAAATAACTTGGATGGTTATTATATCTGAGCCAATAGAAAATTACAACATGACTTTATGAACATGTACACCAAAAAACATGCTGAGATAAAAAATTGCTCTAAATATCCACATGTAACCATGAACCTTCACACAAGGGTATTCAGGGTCATTTCTCCAGTGTAAATATATCAGATAATGACTATGGATATTTGCGTGTCCATAACTCTGACAGAGTGTTGTGATATTTCAGGTACAAAACAATAGAAAAATAAAATATTTGATAATAGAGACGTATAGAAATACTTTGAGACTGTATATAAGTTGTCCTTTATTCATAAATAAAAAGTGTCCCTTTTTATAAGAAAACACAATCTGCTCTTGTCATTACGTCTTAGTTTCTTAGAGTGTATTTACTGCTTAACTAGTGTCAGTGTTACAATTATGACATCAAGTCATAAATCGTACTTCTTTAGCTCTTAGCTATTCTTTTCTCTTTTATACTAGAGCTTTAAGACTTCCTACTAAATTAGCTTCATATCGATCTGACACAGTTTACTTGGCAGTATGATATAATTATCTTAACAATCTTTAAGATATTATCTACAGTACTAACTGTAATAATTATTGGGCTGATTACTTAATTGTTTATATATATTTTATACTGACAAGATGATAGCTACTACGCTATCCCAATATGAATATGTTCTTATATGTGATAAATCCAATATCTGAGTGTCTGGATCACCACAAGTGTACAATGCTCCAGTAGACCATGTCACTGATTATGAACATTTTGTTCTCACACACGTATCCAACAGTCATGCACAGGCTATCAGTCTGGAATTGTTTTCCATGTTTTTTGAGAACAACGTCTCTCGTGAAGTTTATGACAAATGCATAGAAATTGTCAACAAGTACATGGCAGAACTTGGATCCAGTAAGTTTATAATTAGTATACTATTTTTATATCACATGCACTTACCACCATTTTAGCTAAAGTGGATTCACTTCTGTCATACTACAGGGTAGACACCTTGTTGAAGGAGGAGTACCCAGTGAAGTCTGTTGCATATGATATGTGCATAAATGGATGCTGCTGGTTCTCAACAGTAGAAGAAGGAGACTTCATCAATGAGGATGAGACATGTTCTCATTGCAGTGAAGACAGGTACAAAGTGGAGAGAGCGAGTGTAAAACCTGCACAGACCTTTCAGATCGTGCCTCTCTCAGAGCAACTGCAGTTCAAACTTGCCCACCCCAAGAAACAGGCCAAGATGGCCTATGGTACAAGGTGTTTGGCTGGCAGACGTGAAGATATACGTGAAGACATCTTTGATAGAGATGTAGTCGGATGGCTACTTGATCGTGGAGTGGTTGGTCAGGATGACATTTTGGTGTCCATGTTTGTTGACCAGTTCAACCCATTTAAAATGCCAAAATGTCATTCTCTGTTATTCATGTTATTAACCTGAATATCAATCCTAAAGAAAAGTATTTAAAAAAAGTTAATTTAGATAAAGTTACTAATACGAACTACTTAGATACAAGGCAGGTAACATGATGCAGTTGGCTATCATACCAGGACCTAACCATCTGAAAGATATCACTTCGTTTTTGGAGCTGGTTCTCAATGACCTGAGAAACTTGGGGGCAAATGACTTGCAGTTTCAGACTGATTCTGGACTGGTGATTGCCAAGGTTTATCTTGTCATGGCAACTGGAGATACTCCAGCTGTCTCTGACTTGATGAACCTGACACATCACAATGCCCATCACGGATGCAGAGCTTGCATCTTGTATGGTGCAAGAGATTCAAGCACGACTTGTATTGTGGAAAGAGATGGACTATCACTGTTGAGAACAGAAGAGAGTTTGCACCAGTCCATTGGAGGCGTAAGTTGTAAACTGTTAAACAAAATAAATATTGATACCATTTTAGATGTATGGCGTCAAAGGGCCCAACGTCTTCAAGGACTTGTCCACAATGACCAGTACTGCTTTCTTCGGACTAGATGAGATGCACCTTATAGGTCACGGTACAGGCCAGCAGCTGTATGTTGCACTTGGAGGAAAATTCTGCTCCATGATCAATGACGGTAGAAGAAATGTACATGGCATTTACTTGCAAGACCGGTTGAAACATCACAGATACAGTGGTCCCTCGATAATTTCACGCCCCTTTAATTTCACGCTTCGATAATTTCAAGGCTCTGAAGACCCAACTCGAAAAATAGGGCTTAACTTTCACGATTCTCGTTAATTTCACTTTCACGAAATTTTTTGGCCTTGAATCCTTAAAGAAAAAAAAATTAGCCAATCAGACGAGAGCAATATAGTTATAGCTTGGTTTAAATTTTTTTAATTCTAGCTTTTCACGATTTTGTAATTGACATCAATGTCAAGTGCGTTAAGTTTTCATGCCAAACACTGGGTTATCAAGTTGTCATCTAGCTTACTTTTTTTAAATTTTTTTTTTCATTTTTTTTTTAGAAATAAAATAAAACTATATGTGCTATATTTTGATTAAGTTTCATTTATTAATTGTTTAGTAAAGATTATTCACTTGAAAAATATAAATATAATTCTAATTTGTTTGTTATAAAAGTTTTTATTGTAGATTTAATTATTTCTATCTGTCATTACTATTTATTGTTATTTGCAATTGTTACTATTTACAAACATATTACAAAATCAAGCTTTGACTGTACTTGGCTGCTAACTTTTTTTTTCTATTTTTAAATGAAGAAAAATATATTTCTTATAGAAAATTGTTTTTATTTTATTTGAAAAAGAATAAATTTTAAAAAGACTTAAAGAAGCTGGTTACTTTAGTTTGCTTTGAGTTCGCGGTTTTCTGGAACTTGTTTCTAAGGCCTTCAACCTTACTGACGAAGTCTCTGTCAATATCCTCGTCTTCCAAGATATCCAAAAGCGTGCAAACACACTCAAACTTTTCCGAAGCAGAATAAGTTCTCTTGAAAGGAACTGCTGATTCCACTTCAGCAATTTCTTCATTGCTGTTGTTGTTGGCTGCATTGTCGTCTGCGTCATACTCTTTCATGACAATGTCAGCAATCTCATTCTCATTGATCACTCTATGAGTGCATTGTCTCTCATAGAGTGGATCTGATTCGCTGGTCGGACAATCTTCCAGAGACAGAAGACCTGATCCAGCAATCTTGTCCAGGGTTTCTTGTAAACCCTCAACGAGAACCTTTTCAGCCAGACTTTGCTGAATCATAGCCTGGTTTACATCTATAAATTATATTTAGAATATTAAGAAAGTGGAATTGAAAGATTATACTACTATTATGACCAATAAATTATTTTACTACTACCTTCACTATCTTCGTCTTCAATAAAGCGAAAGATTGTTGCATTCCAGCAGTTCTCAATAGTCTTTGCCGAGACAGATTCCCAAGCCTCTCTTATCCATTTCATGGCCCACAATTGATCAATTTCAAAGATTTTATCAATTGGCCCGATTTTATCTTGATTGCCATTTTGAATCATGCCAATATACTGATATGCCTTGGCATACTGTTTACGCTTGAAATAAGCCTTAAAAGCCCGAATGATACCACCATCCAATGGCTGAAGGTGGGAAGTGGTGTTTGGTGGCAAAAAAAGAAGCTCGACGTTTGTAGGTGTATAATCAACTATATGACCAGAGAAATTGTCGAGAATCAAAAGAACTTTGCGCTTTTGAGCTTTCATGACATGATCAAAGCGACGGAGGAAAACATGAAAGATCGATCTTGTCATCCAAGCATTGCTATTGTAATGATACATGGAGAATCCATGATCACTTGCTTCTTGCTTCTTGTTGTTCTTGTTGAAGCAGTTTGGTCTTCTTGCATGCCCAATCATCAGTACATCGGACCACTTGTCCGTTCCGTCCGCATTACACAAGAGACCTACAGTCAGGCGCTTCTTGTTATCTTTCCAACCAGAAAATTTCTGGTGAGAAATTGTTGTTCTTGGTGGGGCAGCATAAAAGAGTGCTGTTTCATCAAAGTTATATATGTCACGAGCACTATATCCCTCTATCTTCTCTTTGATGGCAGCCTTGTCAATCTGAAGCGATTCTATATCAGTAGAACCAGCCTCACCATGAATTCGATTCATTTTAATGCAATGACGCTTTCCAAACTTCTCCATCCAGCCTTGAGAAGCATTAAAATCTTTAACGCCTATTCTTTCAGCAAAAATAGTAGCTTTAGTCTTAATCAATTCCCAAGTGATGGGAATCTGATTATTTTCAGCAATGTTGATCCAAAGAATCACTGCTTCTTCAATTTGCTATAGTTGTGTGACAATATAATAAGGTTAATTTTATTTTTTATATGGAGCAAAAATGCATAATGTTGAGATATATTACATACAGGCCATTTTCCCTTTCTAACGCGCTTTCTGTTTTTTACGTCGGCTTGCATTATCAAGCCCTGGTCTCCTCTCTTCAAAATCTTCGAGATTGTAGAAGCATCAGGAGCTTTTTGAAGGCCAAAGGTTTCCTTTGCCCATTCAGCCAATTGGGGGTTACTCATAGATGGCTTTTTCTTTTTAATATCACAAATCTCAAGGTGATTTGCAATATTAAGTGAAACGTTTTTTTTGCTCATTTTTATTGTTTAGTTCTGGATTTGATAGATTTCATTAAAGTATCAAAAAAAATTGAAAATGATATTAGATAAGCATTATATAATAAGCTAAAAGCATACCAAAAAGCTGTTATTATTTGATTGAATAAGAATTTGAAACAATAATTGGTTACGAGACAGGGGGGTAGAAAACAGTAATGCAGCCAGGGGTTATATTTAACTAGAATGAATTTAAACAGAGGATTGAAGCATATCGAATCATTACTTGATATATTTTTTTTCTATTAAAGAATAATGTAAACTCCGCCCATAGTTGGCGGAAAATATATAATCCGAACTCGTTAATTTCACTCTTCGATAATTTCAAGACACCTGGCCTTCCCTAGGTCTTGAAATTATCGAGGGACCACTGTACCCATTTGCCCTGGATGTCAGTCTGGAAGATATTGACAAAGCAATTTGCGCATCCAGGGCTGATATACCAGCCGATTTCATGGGAACGTGAAGATCCTTGAAGGAATCCAATGGCAAGAGGAAGGCTGTCAATTAGATAGACTTCCTCTTGTTTGTTGTTCCAACGATTGTCATCAATCATTTTGTTTTTGATCGTACGAAAGCAGCAGTGATGAAACTTGTTACTGCATGCAGAATTGCTTAGCAGTGGAGGATCACTGCTGCTAATATCCAAGAAGCAGAGGAGTAAGTCAATTGGATATATGCTGATCAGTGTTTTAATCATCTTTATAGGGTCATTGGTTGCTGGCATGCCTTTCTCCATTGTGAGATCGAAGAAAAGAGGCTGAAGCCTACAGTTTTCGTGATGAACCAGCATATGCAGATTCATCTTGGCTATATGATGCAGGAGATGGGCCCTCTGCAGGCATACAGTTGTAGGCAAATCAAAAGGACAATCAGTGTCTACAGCGCGGCAATCAAGTCGAGAAAGAAACCAGGGAAGAACATGAAGAATCTCTTGCTCAGAAAGGCAGCAATCAATCACTGGCTTGGCTGCCAACCTGTCATTTGTACCACAAATGACAGAAGGACCAGCAACTTCGAGGTTGCAAGTAACGATGTTGCTGGTCCTCAACTTTGGTTCAGGCCAACTTAAAGCTCTCTGGCTGAGTTGGCTGCCACCATTGGCATAGAGTGCCAGGACTTGGTCCGCAGTTTGGTGCCTTTCTGGGCAAGAGAAGGTATTATTTCCTTTGAGGAAAATGATGAAATGGTTTGCACCAACAAGATGTGGAAAGACTCAGTGGTCTATAGAGTCTGGTCCTCTGTTGACAGCAGGCATGGTCAAGCAAACAATCTTGCTGTGCTCGACAATGCCAGAGAGTAAGTAGCACTAGTTGTATTCTATATTGTTAAATTTTATTAATCATAACTCATTTATATTTTTTGAAAGATATGGATTTATTCTTAAATTCTTCTCCCAAACTGTCAACAGAGTGACCAGACTCTTTGCGGCCATCGACTGTCTTTCTGATGTTTAATGCATGAACTAAGATCTTTTCCCTGCGTGGGATAGCCTGGCACCTGGTGTGGTGAAGGTGGTGGACGTGAAGTCTATCAAGGGGATTGCTGGCCTCATCCATGACCCAAACAATGAGGCCATTCGGCACATTATCCGGCCTTTGCCAAAATACAACCAATAGGTTTTTTTTCTTTGATTTTTTTCCCTATTCTTTTAATACATATATAAACATTTAATTTCTTTAAAAAAATCACCCAAAACAATAGCAAAATCTGTTGCTATTACCATTTGATTTAAAAAATTTTAATGCCAGGAAAACCGAATTTATGGTATATCTAATTGATTGGCTGTGTTCTTGACTTTGATCAAACTTGCAAACAAAAAACAACAGTCCTCTTTCTTTTCTCATTTAAAATGGTTGTCTGAGTTAAACGGCCAAAAAAAATTATGATTACCGGCACAGAACTTCTAAAAAGGGTTTAAATTGCTCTAAATTTAGAAAGGCTAACAGGAGTTTTAAATATGTGCAAAGATTTTGCAGATGTGCAGTTTTTTTTTGGAAATACTTACACATTATTTTCTATAGTGGAAGATGTCTTTGTGCTCAAATCGCAAATGTTTACTAATTTTTATTTTAAATGGCAAATTAATTTCTAATGTTTGTTCTGGAAATTTGAGGGTTGGGGCAATTTAGTCAGCATTTGAAGTCAAAAATCAGGAAATCCCTGATTTTTGACTCTAAATGCTTACTTAATCTCTAGTAAAATTTGAGCTTATCTCCCCTACTTCAAAACAAAATATATAATAGCCAGAAGTCTATTACATATATGTAATTAATAAACTAACCCCCTGCAAAACATTTTTATTAAAAGAAATAAACAATACAAAAAAATCTTATTAAAAGAATGATTCTAAATTTATTATGATTTGCTGTTCATCTTTCTTGACACTTAACATATTTAAAAATCTTACTGATCCAAACATAAAGTGCACACAATTTATCCAGAGCACAAATGCTACAAAGAAGCAAGGTAAAATTGACTTTCTGACATATATTTATTCAACAAATAATATTATTGAGCCTAAAAATATTCCAAGAAACTAATTGTATTTACTTGATAAAATTTATGTTACTTAAAGCTTCAAGTTGGGGGCAATGGGACACTAAAAGAGAGCTAGCGTTGATACAGGCTTACCATGAATATCATTCTTATTTACAGCCTCATAAAAGCAAGACAAGTGCATGGAATAGCATTATTTATGCTGTTAATGCTGTTCATTCTAATAAACTAAATAGGGTTAAGGAAACGTGTGTCCGTAACAAAAAGAAGGAACTCTTTTGTAAACACCAGCCAACACTATGACTTTCAGGAGATGAGAGAGAGGCTCGAGTTTCTTCGATGATAGAGACAGCGCTTGGTAGAGCTATATACCAGGCAATAAAAGAAGTAAGTGTCTCAGATCTATAAAAGAAAAAAGATAGAATTATTAACATATCACATTTTTAAAGAAGGAAGACTACAAAGAAAAAAAGATGGTTGAAAATGCAACAAAGCTTGCAAAAGAAAAATTGGACAAGACAACAGGAAATGAGTTTTTGGAAACAGCTCTTTATGGACCAAAGAGAACAACAAGGGAAAATGAAGAGAGTTCCTGTTCTGCAGACAATGAGAACGTTGAAGCTGATGAGACAGAGAAGACTGGAAATGACATGGATCATATCAGTAAAAATGATGATGATATTGACAATGTTATAAAAAAAAGATTCTTGGGATTTTGGAGAAGCAAGAACAATAATTTGATGAGCAATGCTTGCATATAAAAAAGCAAGAGGATTTTTATAATAATGCTCTTCCTCTTTTACAACAAATTGCCAGATCTGTTTCTGCTCTCGAGGAGAGATTAGAAAGACAACAATAAAACTTATCATATAATATCCATTGAAATTTCAATTACAGTCAAAGCTCGATTTAGTAATATTTGATTTAGTAATAATTGCGATTTAGTAATATTTTTTTCAGAACTTTTATTCGCAGTCACATAGAGCAAATCTGCAATATTGCTAAAAAACATATGCAGAGTAAGAAAAAATACATTTGATTTAGTAATAGTAATACAATTTAGCTTCTCCCAAAAGTATTACTAAATCAAGCTTTGACTGTAATAATTTCTTTTATTCTAATATGGAATCTTTATTAGCATTATTGTAAGGCTGAACTAAGTTAGACAAATTGTTTATAATAGTATTTATATTATCAATAGTATCTCTTGACTGTTGTTTGCGTATTAATTCATTGATATAATCTTCGATTGTTGGTAAAGCCAAGCCAAAAATCGCGGTTGTTGCTGAACCGTTTATGCATGTGTGAATATTTTTAAAAAGAGTCAAAAGAATGTAAACCATTGCTGGTTTTGCGTTTCCTTTGGCTTTCATAGAATAATGATATTTAGAGTATTTAAAATACTGTCCAACTTTTTCAAATTCCATTTCCACCTGTACTCTGGTGTGACATTTTCTTATTGATTTCTTTTAAGCTAGCTACATATAATATATCTGCTAAAATTTGGGACTTACAAACAAAAAACAAATATATCAAATAACTTATGATGTTTTTTTATCTCATATATTGTGAATGGCTTATGAACAAACAGTGATCTTCTGTATGCCTGGTCACTATAAATACTATATAGTGGGTAAACACTGTTTGTTGAACTTATCACACCCAGTTGAAAGATGAGACACTCTAGTGTTTTAGAGTTGTCAAATATCTTTACATTATGAGTGGAGCCAAGGAAAGGACCAATAATGCTGCTGCTTATATCATCAGGTGTTACAATTGCCTAATATTTAAGACAATAAATTTGCTATTTAAGCTGCAAATTAAGCATAAGCATATATTAGTACTTTACTATATAAATCTATGCTTTAATTAAGTATTTAAATATTTCACTCACTTTCTATCCATTGTAAGCAAGACTTTGCTCATAATTAACATTAGGGCAAGCAATCTTTTGCATTGTTCCATCTACAAAGCCAATAATCGGACTATATACATTGTCTACAAAGACATATATACATATATTAATCAAAAGTCTGTTAAATACTTATATAAGAGTATTAAATAGTGTATACTTACTTTTTTTGTAAATTGCTTCTGCAAATCTCTTATAGTTCTCTGCCGAGAATTGACGTGTGTCAAACTCAAGACCATATTTGAACTTGTCTAAGGTCATAACAAAAAAATTGTTTACAATACATGCCAAATTCTTTCTTGACATTCCCCATATGTTTTCTATACTAGGATATCGGCGTGGAAAAACATATCAATATAGTATAAGAGTAAAAGCAAACTCGCGTGACATGCAAATGTCATATACATCAGAATGTCTGACGCTCAGAGTAGAAGGGAGTTTCATGGCAATACACATACATCTTATCTTATATAAAAATACATTATTTCATGTTTCTTATAACACAGAAACAGGCTGATAAAGAGTCAAATACCTTCTGTAAAGTAAAGCAAAACTCATCTTTACATCTGGCATCAGAATATTTTGCAAGGTCCAAACGCCTATATATAGCTTTCTTTCTTTTTTGAATAGAGATTTTCTTTCTTTTGCTGTCAGAAGCTTTATTGCTGTAAAGAAAAAGGAAGGCAGCAGCACTACGGGAAAAAATGGCGATTTTTTGCTTTTGTAACTATGTTTTCGGCCTATAATAATTAAAAAATCACTAAAAATCCAATTTGAAACTAGAAAATCTCTGTTTTTTGAAAAGGTTGACAAAAAGCAAATTGACCACCTAAAATTAAATCTCCTGATAGACAAAAGTAAGCTTTAACTACAGACTTTACATTTTTAGTAAATGTAGATTGCATTTGATGACTATTAAAAGTCAGAAGAAAAAGAGAAGAAAATATCTAAACTTTCTGCTGAGAAAATAAAATATGTTAAGACAATTTGAAAAAAAAAATGTATTACAAAAAAAAAACAAATTATAGGTCTGCAAGAGAACCAAGTGACAATTTTGGGCCGCGGTTAAGCTCTGGCCACACTATGTATGTTGTTGTTGTTGTTGTATTTATAGTTGCGTCCGACTTCACCAAACCAACCAATTCTTTGACATCTGCCAGGTGAACTACCTTTGGCTTCATTTGCCCATTGTTAACAACTGGTATACCATTTACCAAACGGACTGCCGCAATCTCTACAAGAGCATGCGGCCATCTCTTGTTGTTGAGCTTGTGCTCAAAGAAGACAACAACTTTTCCAAAGAAATCCTTGTAAACCGGGGAGTATGCAGAATTTATGTTGTGGTTTTCATCAACCTGAATCTGTAATCTGATGTTATGTGCCTCCCTTACACAATTTTGGTCGAGTGCAGAGTCAATCACACAACCATTGACAAATGCCTTGCGGCTAGATTGTATAGCTGCTTCAATCATACTACACTCTTCCCCCTTTGATTTGTAGAAGTCTTCAAGAAGTTTCGAAAGACAAGAAATGCCTTCAAAACTATCTCGGATCGTTCTATTCCTCAAAGGCCCCCAGAACTCAATATCAGACCCAGCACAAACACACTCACCCTCATCTGTCAACGGCCAACCAGCAGTGGAATCTTCATATTGTAAGTGTCGTGCTGTTCTTGCTTCTGTAATCATGACAGTGGCTCCGGCCTCTGCTTGTTGTATTTGTGCTAAGCCAAGCATGATATTGCCAGCGTTAACATTTATAGCAGAATTACTCTTGATAGCCCTTGAGTATTCACCAATTGCCCATTCCACGGATCTGGCGCTATATGCACGAGGTGGGCCGTATGTGTCAATCATGAGAGGATAGTGCTGAAGAAGATGCTGGTTTATAGTGAAAATATTGATTTTGATTTTTCCACTTGTAAGCAGTGATTCCAGGTACATGTTCCATATTTCAAGTTTACTGAAGAAAAATAGTTAGAATAAATAATAGAATAACACATAGCTTTTACTAAAATATACCTTTTGATAGAGGTTTGTTCCTCTGCTGATAACTCCCAGCTCATGAGTAGGTTACATGCTTGAACCAAGCCAAGTAACGCGTTCCAGGCAGTTGCATCTCCAATACGCTCTGCCACCAGCGTAGGGACGACGAACAGAAGAAAGTCTGCCCAATCGACGGCCTTGAACGACCCGGGGTTCTTGTATACATCCCTCTAATCGCCATGGAAGGATGTAGGGATGGTATTTCTTGTTTTGTACATTGCTGTACCGATCTCCTTCCGAACACCAGAAGAAAGAGCAAAACAATGGTCTGTTCCGTAGGTACCAGAAACCAAACCCCAGATCTGCTTGCTTATTCCATGACAAAGTCCATGCATCTCATCGAGGGCAAAAAACAATGGTCCAGAGAATACCTTCAATGTTGCCAGGGGGGATTGTTCGTTTAACCCTTTGCGGCTGGATGCACTGGCCTGGGAAAAATTCTGGAAACTTTCCAGCGTACGGATATTGGTGCTGGGCAAAGTTCTGAAGTATTGTCCATGCTTGGGACATTGGCCGACAACATGACAGATACGGCAACCGTCTTTGCTCATATGTCCAGAATGACATGCCAACTTTGCTAAGGCGGGAATGTCACCAGTGACCATTAAGACATGTACCTTGGCACAAATGGTCTCGTTCGGTGTCTTGACGACCATCCCTTCGCTCTCCAACACCAGGAGCTCTTTCATCGTTGGTTCCATGAACGACCAGAAATTGGCAGGTGCACCTGGACCTGGGATCATTGTGATCTGGAGCATTCTGCTTCTCTCATACCGGACCATGGGATTCAGGTTAAGAATGGTGGCATAGAGGATTGTTACAGAACCAGGAACATTGTGTGGCGTGAATCCATCAACAGACAATAAAATTGCAATGTCATCTTTTCTGGAAAACAGATGTTTTACTTGCTGGTAAACCTGGCCATCAAACACATCGGTTTTACTTCCATCCGAGCTTGGCTCATGATTATGGCGGTAATGCATATCTGCTCTTGTATTCTCGTTGGCTAATGCAAGAGCCAGTTGTCTTGCCAATGGAAGCTGTATCATCGTGGCAGCAGCAACCAGATCACCACCCTCAGTTTCTCTGCGTCTTGTTTTGTACCGGCTTTGTCCACAGTTGGAGCACTCAGTCTGGAATGGACTGGTAAAGAGCATACATCCCCTCTGACAGATATCATGGACTGTCTCTTCAACACCCGAGAAACGCTTCAAAAGCTTTTTGCCAAGATGGGGAGTACATGCTCTGTATGTAATACAAGTCGAAGTTTCCAAAATGCTGTTGAAATGCTTGACTATCATTTCATGAGCATTGCGGGAGATACCAAAATCCTTAATGATCTTGAGAAACTCAAGGTTCTTTGCATCGTCTTTGTCAGGGGTAGGTGCAGGCTGACTGAAGTCAAAAACCAAAGGAGATGTTTCGTTTTCAATGATATCCATGTCGTTGCCAAGTTCTGCATCATACTTTAACAAGGTAAATAATAATTAGCATTATATAATAAGACATATATATATATCTTACCATAGACTCATCATTGTCATCATTACTGAAGATATTCATAATTGGATCATCATTATCTTCGCTGTTGAGTGTATTCATGATCTGATCTTCGATTGCATCAGCACGTTCTCTGCTTGTTTATGAAGGTAACAATATAATTAATTACACTTTCTAATAGTATGTATGTGATTTGTAGTCTTACTCGATAGTGTCATTCGAGACAGTGTTCAAAACAACACTGACTTGTCCAGGAACAGGCGTGGTCTGTGAAGTCTGGATATCATTATGTCTTCTATGATGGTTCTTAAAGCATTGAGCTCTACAACTCTTGGCTTTTTTTAAATTGGTGTAGCGCTCTTTGCATTGATTGCATTGGTAACTATCAAGGATTGAATTTGAAGACATTTTTTAGGTTGGAAATAAACACTTAAGAATAAAGGTATGAATATTGATAATTCCTTTTAAATAATATGCCTTTATACTTAATAGCGTTGAGATTTGTATAGACTTAATCACTACAATTAGGCAATGACATAGATGATACAAATATAAACTCAGGAACAGAAGCTAAAACATTGCGTAATAGCTGTTATTAGAACTACAGTAGCCCAATAATAATATTGGTTGGACCAATAGATTAAACTCATTTATATGAAACTAATAATAGACAATAGAAAATTTTTTCGGCCTTTATCTTTCTTTCACAACAATCCTTTTTCTCAGGTAAACCAAACTTTCAACATGAATAACACAGATAACAATTCCATCTCTTTGCTACACGCCATGTACAATGAGATACTATCTTTGAAGGCAGGCCAAGAAAAGGCCAAACTTGAAATGAAGGCACAGATCGAAGAGTTGAAGCTCGAAATGAAGACGAGCATCGAAGATTTGAATTTGGAGATTACTGCTCTCCAGAGCCAACTGGAGAATACAAACATTTCCAACCAACACACTTCGCCTTCTGTCTCTGCCATTGTAAGACAAAAAATAAAACGAGTTGAATATATATTAATATGTCATTTAATAGTCTAGTGCTAATACCATCCGCAAACCGGTGAGCATATTCCGTGAAATAACTTTAAAGCATATCTTCAAGATGATAAGTGAAGACCTTGGCATTGAAGTAACAAGTAACGAAAAGGCCACACTCAATATGTGTACAAAGCTTATATGTGATGATATGGCTGCCCATCCTTCAGTGATCGCTCTTGGTCCTAATCCTAGCTGGGGGTCTATACCAGTAGCACTTAAGAAAGAAATGTGTGCCAGGCACGCAAATATAATGAAGGATTCTGGTATAGACTTCACTAGATGTCTCGGAAACTGGGCATCAACTGCAAGAGTTGCACATCTCTGGAGGGACCGCCATAAAAGATTACAGTCTCATAAGTAATCCAGTGTAGTGGAATTGAATAGGATATTTTACTATGAAAACCTAGAATATTAAATAGTAAATAGCCAATAAAATGTATCTATAGATTTTTTTATGCTTTAACAGCCAATAAAATAAACAATATTATTTATTTTTCTGTCATAATAACCAGTAAAATGAGCAATATGATTTTTTTTCTGTCATAACAACCAATAAAAATGATTAATAAAAATGATCTTCTATTGTAATAACCAATAAAAATTTGTATTTATTAAAATGATCAAACACTTACATGTATATTATCCAATAAAAAACTGTTTTCATAAAAGTAATATTAAAAAAAAATTACTAGTGTCCAATAGAATTCCTTTCTAAGCTAAAATATTAAAGTAATAAATGACATTTAAGAGAGTACCCAATAAAAGTAATCGATTATATAATATACTTTATACAATAAAGAATGAAACGCTGTCCAATAGAAGAGCCAACAAAGGAGAATCAGAAAGCGGAGATCTGTAATATGTATTTAAACTCCAGGGGGGCAAAGTGGATATTTGGCAAAAAACCGCCACAAAGCCGCCTTGTCAAACCGCCATAAAGCAGCCATAAAACCCCACTTTTTTTTCCCGTAGTGCAGCTGCAGCATTGGGAATAAGCATTTTAAAGATATATATATAAGTTTAATGTTTTGTTTAACAAAGTAAGAACAAGAGAAAAAGGTCTGAATCCAGAGATTTTTGCCAACAGATAAATTTTCATAAAATCTGTCAGAATTTTTTATTTTTGACTGGGTTTTACTAATATTTTTTTTTGGTAATCTTAAATTTATCACAACTCAACACCTTCTCTAATATAGTTCCCAACATTTGAAAAAATATTTGAAAGTTCTGAATACATAAAGATTGCTATTATTTATTATTCAAAGTTGAATAGGAGTTTCTGGAATTCAAACTCAGATAGTCAATAAATGTGCCAACCTTTAAAAAATGAACAAGTAGTCATCCTCTCTAGTAATAATAGAAGATCTAAAAGCATAAAAAAATAAATAAAAAAAATAGAATCATATTGAAAATAAAAAAATTAACAGAAATAAAGTATATAAAAGAAAAGAAATAACTCATAAAATATAAAACTAATTGCTTTTTTCTGTTATATACTCCCACTAAGGTTTCTTCTAAATATGAAAATTTCTTGTCTAAACCAATTTTTCTATTGGCTTAGAGTATGAATTGAGATTAAACATAGAAAGCTACAGATTTGGGGGAGCAGAATAATGAGACTTGTGCCAAAAAAGAATTAAAAGTATTTTTTGAGTTACTTAATTGAATTGCAGACAGAAAAAAACTTTAAAATGGGGAGAGAAAAAAAGATTGTTTTGAAGGAGAAGATTTTATTGGTTGATATTTTTTTGTTGAGAAAAGTGTTTTATTTGACAAGTTGTTTTTTAGTTTATATTGGAAATGTTTACCAATATCCAACAAAACATGCCAAACTTTGCAACATTAAGCAGCCTGCGGCTACTATTAGATATAAGAGTTAAATGCATGTCAATGTCCTGGGCCACAATTACTTCATTCTTATCAAACTCATAACTAGTTCTGTAATATATAACTTTAATATTGTCATAACTATCAGTTACTATATTACATGAGTAGACTGTATTGACATTAAAGCTAGATATCATTTGATATTCTTGCATAATACACATTTTTCTCACTAGCTTTCCTCTCCCATCTCTGAGAGTTTCGATAGAAATCTTACCAAGAAACCATCTATTATCTTTCTGAAAGACATCTGCCAATTTATCACGCAAATTAGAAATCAATATGTCAGAGTTTTTGCTGTTTGCACGGGAGCCAAAGAAATGAAGATTGAATTTTGAGAAGTCAATAGGAGCTTGTTTGACAAAGTCACCAACACTCAATCTCACAGGCCGTATATTATTGCCAATATGTTTCTCTACAATGTAAGAGCCTCTATTGCAAAGGTGACGGCAGATAAATTGCTTTACAAATTTTTTAGCAACATCTCTGGAAGTTGCTTGGCAGTTTGTTTTAAACAAATGTTCGCAAATGAATTTGCTAAATTGCTCGCTGTTTTCTGTTTTGTACTGTAAGACGGAGCTAAAGCAAAACATATCTTTGGTAAGGTGGTGTAAGAGATGAAGCTTTGATTTAAAGCTGAAGTCTTGCTGTTGGAAAGTCTTGGGATTAGATACAATAAAAGTGTTCAGCACTAGAAACACTCTTGCAACTTTGTCAACAGCACTTCTAATCTTCAAAAGATTGTTATCAAAGCCTTTATGGACTCCACAAATGTAAATCAAAGATGCCAATCTGGAAACTGCATGGAAAGATGTGATAATAAATGTCAGATTACTATCTCTGCCAAAAAGCTTGCTTATGACACTGGATAAGATCTGTATCAATTGCTTGAAATCACGTCCCACAAAAGAGCCAGAGTGATGAAGCTGATTGGAAAATGTCTGATTGTAACTCTTATAGGATCGATAAGGGGACAGTTCATGTTGCAGACTATCCTTCTGAATGGCTGTCAAGACGGGCTGCTTTCATAAGAAGATGACCAAATACTTAATTAATCCAAGTGGAATTGTATGGAGAATCTCAATTGGTATGTCTTTGGTTGGATCAAAAGCTTTGAGTCTAAGGAACTCTTTGCTTCCATTCTTCACATAGCTCAAGCTTTGCTCACTTTTGTATATATTAGATTGTTTATCAGATGAAGCAAAAGCGGAAAGAAAAGTCTTTGATCGTTGGGGCCAGTCATAGAGAGCAACATGAGAAAAACAGGTGATGCCCTTTACATGTTTCCAATCCAGACAAGGAGAAAGAATTAAATATTTTCTGCAAAATCGTCTTGAGGCTGTTTTCTTGTGCATCGCAAGCTGAGATTGGCAAGGATTGTCACCCATAAAGAGAAGCAAAGGAGCCACTACCAGGACATGTTTGCCAAGATCATCGGAATACATTTGGATACCTTTCTGTAAGGTAACGAGATTGTCAACAAGTGGTCTCAGCATATCAACAGCATTGAGAACATGGTTACATGTGCAAACAAATAAAGTGTTCTCCCATTTGTTTTGCTCTTCAAGGGTCATCACAGCAAAGTATATCAAAAAGCTGTAATACACATTGTATTGCTTTGAATCATTCCCAGAGGTATCATCAGAATACATGTTTATTGGGAAAATAATGACTTTAATTAAGCTGGATCCAGAAAGTCTTCTCTTAAATCGTTCAACAATAGTAGCATTGGTCTATAGGCAAAGTTGGACACCAACAAGAACACGATTGACAATCTCAGTTGGAGATGAAGAGACTGATAAGCCAAATCCAAGGAAAAGGTTACTGTCTTTTTGAACAACTGATAGAAATGTATTTACATTAATTTTGTACTTTGGAATGGATACAGCAAAATTTGTGTAGTTTTCACACAACTAGAAGTACAAGTTATCAGGATGATTGAGCATAGGTTCATGGCCACCATATATCTTGTAAGCATTGGCGTATGTGGATCTATTTTTTGTAAAAAATTTCTTTAAAAGAAACTGGTCCAGAGATCCTTGTATTTCTACAACATCACCTACCCAATAATCTGATCCCTGGATTGTGAGCATGGGATGTTGAAGAAGTGGACTTTCTATCCATTTGTCCCCTTGGTTGAGGTGCAGCCTCTGGTTCTCTGTAAAGTCTGGCAGTGCAGAGAGTTGCAACGTTTTTCCAGAGCATGCCATCATATTCTTGATATATTCAGATGGCATGTTAATCGAAAATTTATGTACCTCGGATTTTTGATTTGTACTCTTGGCTGTAGAGGTCTTAAAAACCAGGACATTGTTTTTTGCTCTCAGGTGAAAATTTATTACTGCGTCTGGCTTTGAAAATTCTATTCGTTTTCTAGCACTTTTATGTACCTCCAAGAGCATCTCCATTGCATACATTATTTTTTTTATTAATCTTTCAGAAGCCAGATCTTCATCACCATGAAATAATACATGTAGAATGAATTCTGCCTTTGACTTGAAAGGACTGATATCGCTAGGAAGTATAAAAATATCTTCTATGCTCTGGTGAGAAGATTTACTGACTGTAACTCCAGCAGCATAATCATTCATGCTTGTTGAAAAAGACTCGAGGACTCTCATATGTGTTTCCATATGAATAGCACTATCCGTTATTTTATTGTCTGCATCTGAAGTCTTGGCTTCACTTTAGTTTGTTCTTTCTTCAAACAAAATGAAATCAACATGGGCATCACTAAAAGAAATTTATGGTTAGTACTTAATTCACTGTACATTTAGGCTTAGTTACTTACGTCAACCTAGGATTATTCTCATATTGATCCTCTTCATCAGAGGAGCAACTGTCGTAATAATCCATGTGATTTTCTATGACTATCTCCAATTCAGTAAATCCGCTCTCTATCTTCCCATTATTCTCCAAGTCAACAGATACAGCTGTAGAGGAATCCTTGTGTAATGTAATCCTAACATTCAAATAGAATCAGAATTAATATTGTCTATTTATAAGATTGTAATGCAGTTATTAACTTCTTTCTTAAAAGAACATTGCTATATTCCTCAGCACTCTTCAGGATGATACTTATTAAGATGTTTCTTAAAGCCAACTAAAGAAGTATACACTGTCAAAATTTGGCAAAGATTACATTGATATTTTTTCTCAGCCTTCTTTCTATTTCCTTTGGTAAGGTAAACATTCTTCTTTGTAGTGTATTTAGGTGCCATTGTTTTGATTTAATAGTCTTTGTAAACTTAGAGAAACAAAAGACTAGGAACATGTTAATTCAAGTTGCACGATTATGCATAAGTCAACATGACTGCTAAAAATCAAAACAACAACAAAAAATGCAACAAAATTTCTTTTCATTACTAATTTCTTTCTCCTGTATTCTTTTTTATTCTCTGGTAAAAGGTAAGTTTTATATCCATTCTAACAAAAACAATATATTTCAAGAAGCAGAATATATCCAAGTAAGTACAATCTGTGATTTGTACTTCATCAACTCATTTCTGATTGACACTGTGATTAGATCCAACCAACATATATTGAAATCCCAAAAGACTTTATTAATAATAGAGATGAATAAATATATTTATATTTGACTGTACAAGGTATGTATCCAAACTACGATAAAACAAAACTTATTTCTTCTTTATACTAACTCCTTTTTTATTTCTTTAGGTAAGTTGATCTTAACAGATGGTCTTGTCATTTTAAGTATAAAAGGTAAAGTCAGACTATGAGATCATTAAATAATTCTTGCTAATATTTTTTTATGTAGCTACTTGCTCTCTTTCTATACAAGATATTATTCTCAAGAGGCTATTATCAGCAAGATGCTACTGTTTAGTAGAGGATGCTAGTATAGAATGCCTGCTAGTATAGAAAAGCAGCCTAGTAAACCAGATGCATATTTGCAGTGATTTTTTTGAAACAAATAAAAATATATATTTTAAAAAACGCAAATTATTTTTCCAATATATTCTCCCCCCCCCCATTTTTCTATAAAAGAATTCTATAAATAAAAATTGTCGCATAGTTTCTTTCTAGGAAGATCCCCCTCTAAACTTGTCAGAGATTCTCAATAAGACATGTACTATCTAAACTATTTTTTTTTCTTTCTTGTTGCTAAGATTAAAAAAACCTCAGTAGATGTGTAGTAGTTACAGCTTCTTTAGTGTTTTCCATAACATTTCTTGGTCTACTTTTAACTTCTCTAACACAGACAGTGCGTATTTAATTTTGCTTCACACTTCTTCTATATCACACCCAAAGATTTTTGACCTGTTTATGGTAATTTCTTTAGCCAAATTTTGAGTTAAGGGTGCTTATTGGCTGTAATAAGGTTCAAGCTCAAAAATAAAAAAATACGTAGAAGTTTTGAGTTTCAGACAGTTACTCAAACAAAAATATCTATTTCAATTGGCTGATTACTTGTAAATAAATAAATAAAAATAAGAAAAACAGAAGAAAAAAGGGTCTTAGACTATTTTGGGTAGATTTTGTGCAAAAATATTTTATATGCGACTGAGCAAAAGAGAATAAACCATTTTGTGACAGAAAAAATAAAAAAAAGAAGTTTTGTGACAGAGAAAAAGAAAAAAATATATTTTGCGACAGAGCAAATGCAAAAAAAGAAAAATGAGAGATTTTATTGGCTTAGGATTTTCAGAATTGACCAAAGACTTTCATACTTGCAAAGGCCAGCAGCCAAGATATTCATGGTGATAAGACTTTTCTTGGAATAAGCTTTCTAGTTTCTTATTTTATAGTTTTTTTCCTTCTCATCTGTTTGTAATATCAATTTCTTAGTACTTTGCACCATATCAGACCAATACCTACAAAAATATTTGTAAAGACCATGATTATTCCCACTCATTGTAGAATTTGTTGTATTGTAGAAAAAAATACTAAGTTAATAAAAACCAAGAAAAAAACTTTAAGTCCCCAAAAAAAAACCCAACTGACGTCATGCACTTGACATTTTAACTGAAGGATTAGTATATTTCTTTTATTTCTTTTTTCTTTCTTTTCATTTTTATTTCAAGTAAGTACTAATAAATATAATATGTATCTACTTTGTTATTAGAAGCCCTTTTTACTTTAAAACAAGATATTTTTCTTAACAGAGTACATTTATAGGTTTATAAAGCCTTTACTAATACTTTTGTTTTCTAGATTATGGTCATTTTGAGTAGCTCCATTGTGTTCTTTAGCGAAGATAAATATCTATCTTAATAGCTTGAGTTTGTTTTTCTATTATTAACTTTGTGCTTCTTTTTGCTTTAGATAAGTCATAGTAGAATCTATTCTTTATTGCTTTCAAGAGGTAAGATTTCAATGTTTGAACATGTCCCATTTTATTATTAATATTAATCTTTGTCTTCATTTCTATAGTTTTTGATATTCTCCATCTGTTGCTGTTTCTTTACTGCCTCTGTTCCCATCGTAGTAAACAGTCGTTACTACTACAATTTTTGGGCTATTACATAGTTTTTTCTTATATTGTTTACATTATTATTTAGTATTGCAAGAGTATTTTTGTTCTAATTTTTAGTTCTGCACTTTTTTGCGCTTTTTTGTTTCTCAATTTATTTCTCAAATAAAAATTTCAAACCTTTTCAGACCAGATTTTATGTAATACAGATTTTACAAATGAGGAACCTTTTTTGGCTATTTCACAAAATGGGGGGAGGGAGTTGGGGGGTCCTCACGGCTGCTGTGTATTCTATATAAGGAAGGTTTGTTGGCCAACTTGACTACTGTTTATAGAATAGTGTGTTATTCCAAAAACAATCTTAAGGTTTACAAAAAAATCTTTGGGTGTGATATACAGTCCAAGCTCGATTTAGTAATACTTTTGGGAGAAGCCAAAATGTATTACTATTACTTGTTGTGAATGAGTATTGATTACTGCTGAATCTGAGAGTAAGACTGAAGGATAAAATAATATCCTCAGCTATTCCAGTCAAACGGATCTCCCTTTATGATATTATCTAATACACAGATCATCATACACATAATTGATTATTTATTATTATCACCATGACATGGGATATACAAATACATATATATTATATATATGGCATCATTATATTTCATCTACATATTTCTTTTATTATACAAATACTTAATTGAGAGACTACAACTACAACTATCTAATATTATGAAACATTACCCGAGTATCTGGGTCGGAATACTAAAATATTACCAATAGCATAAATGCTCTTCTTTACCAAAACTCTTGGACTGATCTGACTGGAGAAGTATCATATCAATTGGTCTTTCCAGATCTTTCCAGAAGAACAATACTCCTGGAAGATGACTCATCGTGATAAAGATTACTTAAGCACACACTGAATTACAAATTAGAAAAACATATAAATATCAGTAGATAGTTCCGTGTAGAAAGACAATCGAATTTTATCATTCTTTACTTTTCTTTTGAAATAAGCAACCTACACAAGTTCTCATGAATTCTTTTGTCTATATTATATTTTGCTTTATTTTCTCCCCACAACAAAGATATTATCTACAGTACTAGCTGTAATAACTATTGGGCTGATTACTTAATCGTTTAAATATATTTTATACTGACAAGATGATAGCTACTACGCTATCCCAATATGAATATGCTCTTATATGTGATAAATCCAACATCCGAGTGTCTGGATCACCACACCTATATAGACGACAAGAATGATTAGTGGCTGCAATCTTTAAGAGTTGTTTCCAATAACTTACCTTTGATAATGATGATAATGAATAAACTTAGAGTAAGACATAAATTTGTTTTTGTTAATATTCATATTGTATAGACTACTCTTAATGTCAACACACGTACCTTTATAAGCTTAAAAAATTGTTGGATCTTATACTATTTCGAGATTAAATGTGATTAGTAAATGCCAATTAAAATAAATGATCTTTTATATTGTTTTTTAGAAGCCGTCATTTATAACATACCATAGATTTTCGCAAGAAGAACATGTTATTGTATACTAGCATTAAAAGTTTGATTAGTAACTTGATCGTGTTAAAAAAATACAGAGTAAAGAATGTTTTGGTTTTTTTTTTATTTTTTCTTGGTTTTTTAAAATCTCAGCAAAATAATGCAATTTAATTGGTTTGTTCACAAAATAGACACATTGTAACTTGAACAAAATTAAGGGGTACACGTTAATTCTATCTATCTTTTTGTCTTTACTTCCTTTACATTACAAACAATAATGAACAGAGTAACAAAAAAACTTGTCCCAGGAAGAGTATCAGTACCTACTCCAAGAATTCCGGGCCAACTCAACTTCAGTCTTGTTGACATTGGCAAGTCTTGCTCACTTTGTGAGAAGACCTTTAAAGATCACTGGAATCTTAAAAGACATTTGCAAAGATGCCATGACATAATGGAAATGGTTGCAGATGATATGAGCATAGTCCAGGAGACCAAATATCAAGATATACAGATGAGCAACAGCCCAAAAAATCTGCTTACACCAAGTGAAAGTGTGGAAGAGGAATCAGACGTTGATAATGAATACTGCAACAGTATCTTAAATTATGACGAGTGTGAAGAAAGTGATGATGGAAGTAGAGTTGACAATAGTGATTTTGATGTTGAGGAAAACACAGAGCCAAACGCAGACATTCCTCTGTTTAACCACATCTTGAACAAGATGTCTGCTTTTGCCAATAACAACGAATCTTCAATAGATGAAGAAGATGAATTCCAGAGTGAAGTGTTTAACTCTACCGCCTGGAACAGATTTATACCAAATACTCATTCATTTAAAGATATCCAGACAATGATTTTGCTCGTACTTGTCAATGGTGATAACGACATGATTTCTTGTAGAATGTTAAAGAAGATATTATTTACTATCAATCTCCTTCTAAAGATCTACAAAGAAGCTATTAGAAAAGATATTTCTTTCAAGTTGCCCCAGTTAGATACACTCTGGAATTACCAGACACGAAAAGGATCGAACATCCCAATTTTCAAATCGAAAAGTTTAGATGTTACTCTCTCTGATAGCACAAAAGTCACCCCATTCCTTAACTTGTCTTCTGAGCACATCAAACTCCTTGCTGCCAATCCTATAAAGTCAAAATCAATCTTTTCTTTACCTGATTGCACGCCAAACCAATCTGTCTGTCTTCAACAAGGAGAAAAATGGAGAACAAATACATACTTCCAACAGCCCATGTTTACCCATAACAACATTGATTTCTGGTCTGGTGACATTGTTCTGTTAAAAGATTGCTCGCCTAACACTCGCTTTCTGGTGGAATCTTTCCATACAATGGATATATCTAATGTTTTCTCTCGTGGATATATTGTTTGAACTCCAAAAGATGGTTGTAGCATTGGCATCGAAATCAATCATACTGACATAAATATTGAATCATTTCTCTCTGTTGACACAACCCCATTAAACACCTCCTTATGTTGCAGCATCTCTCCTGACACAATTATCTCGCTCATTCCAACTCATCATAAATTACTTGAAGAAGAACATTTTCTGAAGAGGCTTATATGCGACAGAACTGACCAAGAAAACAACTGAAGAAAATATTACAAGGTAAAGATTGCACCTGTAATTCTTTTCTTGGATGATACTTCTGGAAACACCTCTAAGCAATTTAACCCATACGAGAGCTGGTCAATGAAATGTGCGGCCCTCTCTTTTGAAGAAAGGTGCTCTATAGAGAATATCTTATTTATATCAGCAATTCCAAAGAAGAAAGATGCAAACACTGCCTCGATGTTATCTGAAATTGTTGATGATTTGAAGAAGCTAGAAAACGGCGTGGTAATGTTCTCTGCAGAAGATAATGCATATGTTCTTGTGGTATCTCCTTTAATTTGGATTGAGGCAGATACATCTTGTCACTCAGAGCTTTGCAGTTTAGGTGCGCCCAACTCAACTTACCCTTGTAGAAAGTGCTACATTAAATTGCAAAGTTGAATCCCCAAGTTGAACGAAGTTGAATACTATACTAACAGACATCCAACAAGAACCAAGGGTCATTATATCCAGGCCACTTCTACACCAGACAGAGATACAGTGATCTCTGATATTCCTTACTTTGACAACAAAAACACAGCAGAAGAGTTAAGTTTTAAAAATAAGTCAACAGACAAATTGCTAGAACTTAAAGCATATGACCAGTCAAAAGACACTCCTGCTGAAATATTGCACTACATTCTCCTTGGCATTGCAAAGTATCTTATCACCAATCTGGTTAAAGTTATCTTGAACAAAAACAAAAAAGAACTAGAAGAACTGTTTGATTATGTTAAAGACTACAAAAATTCCAGAGGCATATCAAGAGCGTTTACAAGGTCTCTCACCCATGCCGGTTTGTTTCTTGGTAGAGACTTCAAGGTACTAATCCAAATACTTCTGGTAATCCTGGCCATAAAATTTGCAGATACAGAAGTATTACAGGAAATCACTCCCCTCTTTGTTTGTCTCGGCCGTCTATGCTCTCTAGTATTTGTTCAATCTATCGACAGTCAATACGAGACATATATCAGTGAAGTAGACTCTGCTGTTAGAAGTCTAATTGAAGCCTTACACAAATACGACACTAACTGTAAACATAAAAAACATGCATTCTATACGTCCAAGCCAAAAGTCCATCTGTTGACCCATCTACCTGAAGATTTACAAAGATTTGGGCCTGCTCTTAACTACAAGACCAAAAAGGGAGAGCAGTTCAACAAACACATTTGTGAACACTTGTTTCATACAAACCGTATGAACACATCAAAAGATATATGTCTCAAATTTGGTAAACAATATATGACAAGTCATATTATTGATGGTGGTTCATGGATAGACAAGAATGGTTTAAGGGAAACCCGTGGAAAAGCTATTGCTGAATACATGCAACAAAACTCTGATGGGAAATTCCATGAAACTTTGCTCGGTGGGTCCAGAGAATTTGCAGACAACAATGGTACAGGTTTGACCCCTGGAAGGATATTAAAAGACAATACATTTGCTCTATTTAGACAAAGCAATGGACATATCATCATTGGAATGGTGCTTTTTTCTAAAGTATACCATTTGTATATCAAGTATCCATCCGCACATGCTGTTAACAACAATTATTGTCTAGCACTCAAATATGCTGATGATATATACACACTACTAGATGAATTGAAGGTTGTTTGTCTATTAGACATGCATCTGAAAGTTGGCTGTAAATATGTTGTTAACCTCAACAAATTTGGTTCATACTGATCCTTCCTTTATTCCTTTTATTAATTTTTTATATCTTTTTTTTTATCTCAATAAAACATTCCAATTTATTTAAGTCATTTTTTAGTTCTCTTCTATTACACTAGAAATACATTTGTAGATGTCTGTACTGCAAGCATTCCCTTATAAAGAACACAAGTTTTGATTTATAAGTATAAAAGAAAATTACACGAGGGATATATTTAGTAAGCCAATAAGATAACATGCGTTTTCAATTTCCTAATTGGATATCAAATTTCATCCATGGTGATACAGGATTTCCACTCCAAAAGTTATTTTTTTTTTCAAACTATATATTTTGCAAAATCAAAACTTTCATTTTGTGCTCCGACTATATATGAAAAAAATAAATTAATTAATGCGGATAGAAAGAAATTTAAAGCAAATTAATAAAGAGCATGAAGAATGCTAATATGTGCAATAAAGTATTTAAAGAATGTCTACACTGTTTATTAAAAACAATATAAGAAAACATGCAATGTCAATATATTGTTATAAGAAAAGTATATAATGCTAAGTTTGTAATATGGTTTTGAGAACTGTCTTTATCTATTATCTTTTTCTATACTCAAATCCTCCAACATGAACCCCAATCAAATCGCTATTGTTAAGAGAAGAAAGAGAAATGGACCACAAAAGGTTCTTCCAATCCACATCAAGAACATGATTGTGGAGAAATGTTATATAGAAGAGTCCATGACCCGAGCCGAAGCAGCCAGGGTATTTGGTGTCTCATAGGTATCGATTAACAACATCATCACCAAGTTTGAGAGGGATGCTACTGTAGAGTCCAAGAAGCGAGGCGGCTTGCGCGCAGAAAGTCTTAAGATAACTGATGAGCATTCGAAGTTCATTCAAGACCTCTTGGACGAATGCTGCATCTTGACTCTTGGTCAAATGAGAGAGGAACTGTTTAGAAAATTTCCAGAGCTTCAAGAGCAGAACTTGAGCATCAGTGGCTTACATAAGCACATTATCAACAACATTGAGTTCACATTGAAGAGAACCAAGCCAGTTGAGGAAAAAAGAAATGACCCGAAGACTATTGAGCTGAGAAAAGTATACGTAAACAGTATGCACACGAATGGTTTATCGTATAAAACCAATTGCATTTTTGTGGACGAAGCAGGCTTTAATGCAAACCTGATCAGAGGACAAGGGTGGTCCAAGAAAGGCAAGACCAGCATTGTGAAGACGAAGTTGAAAAGGGGACTAAACATCTCAATTCTTGCCGGTATTTCTTACCAAGGTGTTGAGAGTGTGCAGGCGAAGTTGACCCCTGGTGGCATGACAGGACCAATTTTCGTTGAATTTGTAAAGACGATTATGGATTCACTCGACCACAGTAATGCTGCCCCTCACAACTTCATTATGGATAATGCCTCGATCCATAGATCCCATCTTGTCACTGAATTGTTTGCTAATTCACGACACCACCTACACTTTCTCCCCCCATACTCTCCTTTCCTAAACCCAATTGAAGAGTGCTTCTCCAAACTCAAAACACTGGTCAAGAGAAAGTCCGGGTTGGTATGTGGTCAATTCTTGGAGTATATTGCTGAGTGCTCCCGCCATATTGCTATGGAAAACTGCCAAGGCTGGGTTGATCATAGCATTAGCTTCTTCCCCCAATGTACAAATAGCCAAGAAATAAATTGATTTTTTTTTATATATAGTCGGAGCACAAAATGAAAGTTTTGATTTTGCAAAATATATAGTTTGAAAAAAAAATATAACTTTTGGAGTGGAAATCCTGTATTGCAGATTTGCTCTATGTGACTGTGAATAAAAGTGTTGAAAAAAATATTACTAAATTGCAATTATTACTAAATCAAATATTACTAAATTGAGCTTTGACTGTATTTAGAAAAGCTAAACAATTTTCTTTCTTCTGAGCAGCAATGTTTTCTCTGCTGATTTGGTTCAGATAATGAGCTTCTTGTGCTGCTGCAAAATTGAATCTGATTACTTTAATGGAATTCTGTATTGCTATCTTTATAGTCAAAAATTATTCAGCTTGGATTGTCAAACCAAGCTCAATTACATCTGTGGTTCTAGATGAAGCTTTCAGAAGCTCAGCCTGAAATTATGGAGTTATCTGTCTATGACTTGCTACTCTATTTGGATCTAGTATTTATATTGATGCTGATGTTTTTTCTTGTTATAGCACTAGTACTGGTTGTTGTATTCATGCTGGCTCTTGTGTCTGTGCTAGTTCTGAAGCTAATTCTAGCAGTTCTGAAACTTAAGATGAAATATCTGCTTGACTTTCTATTGCTTCTATTGGTACTATATTGGTTATCTCAATAGCAGTAACTGTGTATAATGTTCTATTTTCATTGATATCATATCCATCAGATTTCTCAGAGCACTATCAACAATAGTATCTAACTTGTGAAGTGCAGGTGGCCAAAAGCTTAGATCACACAAGATTATATCCTTCATATTGTCATAAAATGAATACCTTTCTTGAGGAAAAGCACTGTCAGAACCTGTTCTTGTTGTATCTACAACAACTCTTTGGAAATATCTCTTTATCTTCTGGAATTTGTCTCTTACGTATTTGACAGTTCTGAATCTCTCTGCAAATTTTGAGCATGGAAAAGCTCTTGCATGCTGCAATACCACAGGACTTCTGCAAAATAAATTGTGAAAGATTGCCTACAATCTGTTCTTTCTAGTGTTATCAGATGTCCAGTATTTTGAGTGAAATATTTTTTATCATCAGTCTAAGAAGAACCCTCACTGCATCATTGCTCTAAGAATTTGATCATTCTACACCTGTGGTTGTTGCCTTTGTAGTCTGCGTATTCTGCATAGTCTGCGTAGTCACTCCATCTTCATCCTGTTGCTCAATGTTCTCAGTTGTATTGCTTGTTATGTTAATGTGAAAGACATGTGTCTCATATCCAGCGGGGTTCATGTTTGTTAAGTTGAGAAGTTTTTAGATAGAAGATAAGTTTGTAAAGACAAGAATACAAAAAGATGTTACTACTTATATAGCTACAGGCAAAGAATTTTATTTTCAAAGATATGATTTTGGAATTTACTTATATACTTAATTACACATACACAAAGACCTGAATATGATATGTTCATTGAATGTGTTATATTTAGATACTTAAAATAATAAAAGTAAGTGCTTTATATCAGGGTTTATTATCAGCTTTATAGAATACGGGCATTGCTTAGAGAAAAAATATAAGAAAACATATAGATATTTGGTTCGAGGAGATATTTTCAAGTGCACATGTTTAAATCTATGGGCAAAAAATTGTGGGTTTTTTTAGTAAGCCAAATATAGTGTTAAAATGGTCTCTAAAATAACGTCAAATCTTCTTTGGAACATTTGGAATTTATTTAGCAAGCCCTTTTAAGGCCAGCAAATGTTTAGAGCCAAATTACGTTTTTAGAACAAATTGAAAATTATATAAAACCTATCACATAAAGTAATTTAATAGCTAAATTTGCAATTATTCACTTTTTTTCTATTCTTAAATAATTTGGCTCGTATGCTGGAGAAGATCATTATTGTAAATACTTATTAGTCTTATTGCTTTACTATAAATAAAATAAATAAATTATTTATTTGCTACTGAGATAATAGCTGTTTTACTATAATAATAGGAATATGTTCTTAGATATAATAAATCCAACAACCAAGTATCTGGATCAGTATAATTCTGATTGTTATTCAGCATTTATTTTATAATTACTTACTAAAATATCTTGTCTATTTTTATTTTTTTGTTAATGATTTGTTTTATTTTGGCTATAAAAAATGAGCTTCATAAAGTATAGTCGTTTAGTATATAGAATTTTTGGAGCCAAATGAGCTTTTTTTACAAACTTTTGGCTTTTGGTGAAAGTTAAATGGGCAAAGTTCAAGTATTGAAATGGTGATATAAGACTGAATTTAGAATGACATCAATTCCTGAGGGTAGCTCTCTACCTTGTCATGATTGAGAGTCACAAATGTACTGCTTGCAGCAGTAAAGGACTACTGCAAGTAGGTATATACATCTGCATAAAAACATTCTTCTTCTTATATCTGTCTATATCTCTATCCATAGTTCTCTCATATAAATAGCTTCAAATTCTCTTGAATAAACATCATCTTTTACAAGCTCAACTTCTCTTTATTTCTTTTTTGTATTCAATTTAATTGCCTAAGCAGTACTATCTTATCTCAAGCTCCACTTATATTATAATCTCTTAGTTACTCTTCTACTCAAACACAACTCAAGCACCTAAAAACAAAGCCACCAATATTAATAAAATGTCAGAATTCAGAATACTATCTGCCAATAAACACAACAAAAAGACTGTCAAGTGATCTGGGTGCCCATAGCTCACCAGGTCTATACACATTCGTAATCTTATTATTGAAAAGAGTGCAAATCATTTGAAGACTCCCACTCAGATTTCCTGAAAGCTTGATATTCCCAGATAGACAGTCTGTGGAATTATAAATAGATTTGAAAAGATGGAAACAATCAAATACTAGTTATTAGGTAGTGACCTTAGAAATATCATTCAAGACCATCATCAACAATTTATTATCAAGGCTGTCAATGAAAACAACACCATTACCCTAGAGGAATTAAAGATTCTACTTTTGGAAGAGTTTGACAACATTCAGAGCATCAGTGCATCCACTCTGTACAACTTTCTAAATAATGTTAAAAGGATTACACTGATGAGATCGACTCCAATAGAAAAGAAGAGAAACGATAAAGAGACTCATCACAAAAGAAAAGATTTTATATCAAGCTTTTAATCTGAGGGGATTTTGTACAATCATAATTGTATTTTTATCAATAAGGCAGATTTTAATATCAATATGATTAATGGCCATGCTCAATCAAAAGCTGGCATGCCAGCCTTTGTTAAAACTTAAACCAAGAGAGCAATGAACATGACAATTCTATTTGCTCTTTCAGCAGAAGGCGTTGAATCATGCCATGCAAAGATTATGAAAGGCAGCACTACAGATAAGCACTTAAAGGAGCAATATAAAGCATTTTTTTTATCTATGCCTTTTCTATAAAAGTGGCAACTAAACTTAATGTTTTACAGGCCCAATCTTTAAAGAGTTTGTCTAGCAATTAGTTGAGAAGCTGGATAATGCAAATGCTGGCCCTTATCACTTGGTCATAAATAATGTCAGGATTCACTATAATCTCTCTGTCTGTAACTGGCTGCAAGAAATAAATAAGTACATACTCAAGTTTCTACCTCCATACTCTCCTTTCTTGAATCCTATTGAGGAATGCTTTTCAAAGCTAAAGAACCTTGTCAAAAAGCATTCTTTGGTTAGCAAAGAAACCTTATGTGAGAGAATACAGTCTAGTAGCTATCAAATAATTAAGCAGAATTATGAAAGCTAGATTAGACACTCAATCTTGTTTCATCAAAAATGTTTAGATATGGAAATAAATATTTGATTTTTTTTATTTTTAAATATCACTATTTCGATACTTGAACTTTGCCCATTTAATTTTCACCAAAAGTCAAAAGTTTGCAAAAAAAGCTCATTTGGGTCCAAAAATTCTGTATTTTTTTTTGTAACTAGAGCCCTTATTTTAGAAATTTTGTCAATTCGGAATTGAATAAATTACTATGAATAGTAATTTTTCTTTCAATTCTCTCTTACACTGGTGAATAACATATATCGAACCCTTAAAAATGATCAAAATTCCAAAAGGGAACAAGATTCCAAAAGGGAAAGAGATGTTAATAATTTTCAAGTTACAAAATACTTTCTTTCTAGAAATTATTGGTGTAAAAATAAAAGCAAAATTTAGTGCAATTTTCTATCATTTGCCTGCTTAATTCATCTTTTTTGGTGCATTTTATGCACTCAATTTTTGCACCTAATCAATTTTTATTTTTGCACCAATAACTTCTGGAAAGAGTGTACATCTAAGGTGCTCACGGAATCAGTTATTGATATAAAATTTCCTATTGATTACTTTACTAAACGCCATATTTAGGATAGCGCAAATTACCAAGTATAGGTGCTATTTACGTAATTTTAAGTTGGTGTTGTAATCAGTACTACACTCAAGAGATATGACCTTGTTTGAACATATAACATATTAAAATCAATTGTTTTTCCCATTTCTTGTTAAAGAAGTACAAACTATACTGCTTGGAACAATATATTTTATTTACAGTAATGTATTGTATGCTTCTTTAAAAAATACTAGCTTTAATATATAGAAAAAACCCTAGAAAATGGGATAATATAGTAAAAACAAGATGATTCTTACACGCAGTGTCGATAGGAATTATGGAAATCACCATATATGGGTATTAATTTTTTTTTCCCCTGGTAGAGAGCAGGGGAAAAATTCACGGACTTTAAAGCGAAATAGCCTTTTTTGAATTTTGGAAATCACTATATATGGTGTTTAGTAAAGTAATCAATAGGAAATTTTATATCAATAACTGATTCCGTGAGCACCTCTACTGAAAATAATCAGGGTCGCGAAAAGAAAATCTAAACTACCACCACTCTTTTTTTGGGCTTTCATATTTAAAAAAAAATTGACTACGAGGAGAAAAAATTGTTATTTTAGTATTTGTTTTTACTCATCTAAAACGAGACAAGAATATAAAGCAGGTTACATTCATCTTGGGATATTTGAGATGTTGTTAAATTTTCGATATCACTGATTTTCCGGGTGGTGGCAAGCACCTATTCTTAAATAATTTGGCCCCTATGCTGGAGAGGACCATAATTTTTTTTTGTCTTCAACCAAAAAAGGTAGGCAGAATATCTGAAAATTAATTTTGATTCGCCAAGAAAAAAAATAACATTGTCTGAGTTGGAAATATAAATACGGTATTGGCTCACTCATATCGTTCTGTTCACTGATTCATTTATTTTATTTTATTTTATTTTATATTATATTAATATTATTTTATTAATTCTTTCTTTCTCTCTTTTCTTTTCCCCCTCACTCTCGTCGTCATCATGTCTGTCCAACTTTTTACTTATGAGGAGGTTTCTACCCACAACACTCGTGATGACCTTTATATGATCATCAACAACAAGGTTTACGATATCACCAAGTTTGTTGAAGAGGTAAAAAAAAAAAATGAAAAAAATAACAAATAAATAAGAGAATGTTGGGAAGAAAGAGAGGGAAAGAAATAAGAAAGTGGAGGTTTACTGCTTTATTATCTATTATCTATTATCATTTTTGCATCAGACAAGCTGTTATGTTAATTAAAACACGAACTTTGAAAAAAAAACTAATTCATCATTTAAGCATCCTGGAGGTGAGGAAGTTTTGGTTGATGAAGGTGCCAAGGATGCAACAGCCTCATTCAATGACATTGGTCACTCTCCCGAGGCCAGTGAGATGCTTGAGAAGTACTACATAGGCGATGTTGACCCTTCGGTAAGGATAACGGCCGTTTATTATGATTATTATGATTACTATTATTGCTATTTAAAATAAAAATAAAAATAAAAACAAAAACAAAAACAAAAAAAAATTAACTTTTGTGTGCGTCTTAGTCCGCACCTGTCAAAGGTGGTGCATCCAACAGCAACGGAGAAAAAAGTGTCAGTGCTTCTCCCCAAGGAAAGTAAGTATTTGTAGAATATTATGATATTTGAAGACGTTGGGGGAATTTGGGTGTAAGCTGCTGAACTGGCTAGGCTGTGCTGGACTACACTGGGATTGCGAGTGTGAAGCCCAACGTTTTAATATACTTATACTCAATTCATTACTTTGGTCTTGTATTTCTAGCCCTCTTCGAATTATTATTCCCTTGTCTATTATCCTTGGCTACCTCTATTTCCGCTTCTTTGTAAAGTCAGCATAATTATTATAGCTGTATCTACAAAGTTCATTTTCGTTTTCGTTTTCTTTTCTTTTTTTTTTGGCGTGTATTTATGTATCAAATATATTATGCTCACCTCTTGTTAGATTACCAAGCTGTGGCTGCTATTATTTATTATTTACTTTATTTTGTAAAGGGAATATTGTTTATGTGATTGTGAATATGAGTAAGTGAGTAAGAGAGAGAGAGAAAAGGAGAGAATATTTGCCTCAAGAAGTAATGATGGGATTGGGATGTAAGATAGAGTGTGTACAGTGTATATAGTGTGTGTAGTGTGTGTAGTGCGTTTTCATAAACTATCGTGATCTGACATGTCACTCAATTCTGGCCCATCGTCAAATATGCCTGTGTCGAGAGAAAAATCTTCGTCGCTACATGGTTTTGACTCATCTAGAGGTGGAGCCAGATTTTGCCTTTGGATTCTCTTCTAAAAAATGATATATAAAAGTATGAATATCAGTGTATTGTATTGCAGGTCGGGGGAAATAATCAAAAGAATAATATGGAAAGTATTATTTTTATTATTCTTATTCATATGGTAAATAATTATCTTTGGTTGTCTTACACGTAGCTTTCGGATGGGGCGTTCGAGTTCAAAAGACGATGTACTTTCTTCCTTGGAGTTTATGTCCAATTCAGACATCTCTTGGCTGTTTCCACTTGAAAGCATTATGTCATTATTTGAACGTTTTCGTTTATTGCTAATCTTAATATTTTGTTGTTGACCAATCTGATGCTGTTTTTTCTGTTTTGCCTGCTGTAGTTGTTGTCGTTGTCGTTGAACTAGAGATTTTTGTTGTTCTTGTTGTGTTTGTTTCTGTTCCAGCTCCGGTTCTAGTTCTAACTCTTGTTCCAGCTCCAGCTCCAGTTCTTGGTCTTGGTCTTGGTCTTGTTGTTGTTGTTGTTGTTGTTGTTGTTGTTGTGGTGGTGGATCCTGATGGTGGTGCTGATGTCGATGTTGTTGCTTAATGTTGTTCTCCCGTACACGGTGAAGTATACTATCTCCAGAATTAGATTGTGGTTGGGCCGACAATTGTCTTCTCAGCTGTCTTCGCGGTGAAGCAGTAATTGCCTGAGTGCGAGTAGGTTGGGGCGTCCTGAATATAGATCGTGTTGTTGGTGATTGTCTGATTGGGCTTATGATTTGCTGGCGATAAAAAGCCTCTTCGTTTGTACGCCTTGGGGTCTTGGGGTCGTTGTCATCCGATCGCATTTCAGTATTCCGTTTGTCCTATTAGTCGATATTTAACAATTTATATAAATACATGTGAATGTTGCCTTTTATGCCTATCGATATATATATATATATACTTGCCCTGCTTTCCAATACTTTCAAATAAGATTCTCCATAAACATTAAACGTCTTCTTGGTTGTAGTCTCAAATTCATTTAGAGCACCCTTGAGCTCCCTTTCGATCTTGTATATATTACATAAATTAGATATACGTATATATATTGTTCTTTCTTCTTCATCATCTATTTTGTTTAGGAGGTACTCATTCATAGGTGTCTTTGTGTTTGTAGGGATCTCTCACCTTCGGAAGTTCTCTATGAACCCTCTTTCTAAATTTTTCTTCTCTCAATAGACGTCCAGGGTCACGCTGTCCCTTGCCAAATAATCTAGAGGGATCATTTGTTGTATTCTAAATGAAAATGAGACAAAAATATGATAGTAATTATTATTAGTATAATATAGTATGATTATCATTAATTAGACAGACAGTAAAGAACAGCATCAAAAGGTATGCAGTTATGTTATGCTTTGTCTTGTATCTTCTTCTATGTTATTATTATTATTCTTTTATATTACATTTGGTTCATTTACCTCAAAGTCTTTAATTTCCTGGAGAATATTCATGTGTTGCTCAACCTTTTCCAGAATATGTTTACGATCTTCAACCAGTAGCTGTAATCGTGCAACCTCGTTTTCATGCGCCTCCAGAGCATTTTCATCATGAATATCTACCATATACACAAAAGTTAGATATGCATGTATTTATTAAGACATTCATTTTTCTTTTAGTAAAACAAAAGATGTTTGTATATTACCTGTAAATGCTGGCCCAAACATCCTTCTTTCATTATCTGACATGTAAAGTTGATCCCACAGACAAGCCAGCTCTTCTCTTGTGGCATTAATAAAGTCTCCAACTCTTTCTTCTTTTAATCTTTTCAATCTACTTTGTTCTTCTTCCAGCTACTCCACACACACACACACACACGCGCGCGCGCGCATAGGGAGAGAGAAGATGATTTAAATGACTTGGTTTTTAATAATAGTAATAAAGTAGTAGTAATAGTAGTAATGGGATTTACTCACCATTTGAATGTCTCTGGTAGTCAATCCCTGGCAATTTTGCAACAGTTGATTCCGTGTTTGATGATCAATCCTTAATCTATCCCACATCTGATGCAGACTCTGAACGATTTCTTGCCTTCGAAACTCACACTCTTGTCTTGTATCTTCGAGCTACACATATGTAAATGTGAGAATTGTTATAATTATATAATTATACTTAATGTGTTTAGAACAATGAATGAAAGAAAGAAAGATAATAACAGCAATACTATAGATCTGTCTTATACCTCATTCTAGTACCCGTTCCAAACTTACCTTTCTAAACAGTTGTGTGATGGATTGAAGTCCACTGTCACCGACCAACTGATTATACAGTGGTATTTTGTCATCTATACGCACTAGTCGATTGAGCTGATCAATCAAATGATCTTGATCTGAAAAAGGTGTCAGGCCAAGGGTTGTCCAAAGTGAGACTATATTGTGAACAAGATGATCAACCCTTTGAGTTCGACGAGTCTACGGAATAAATAGATATATAAGATAAATTAGTAAATAAATGTATAAATTAAGCATATATACATATATACATATTATTGATGATGATGATTCTTACAAATTCATCTTCACTTCGTCGTATTTCTTCTTCTAGTGCTGTCACTGCCGGCAGTGACACGTCAATGCTGTCTTCAGTCATCATTTCAGTGTTTACACAGTCTCCCAGAGACTTTGCATATGAGTTGAGTTGACTATAGAGTTCTTTAATCGAAAGAAGAGGAAGAAAAGTGAGCAAAACGAGGATTCATAAACCGAGAATAATTTACCTTTAACATCAGTTAATCTCTTTTCGTAATGCTTTATTTTTTTTTAAAAAAAATAAATAAATAAAGAAAAGCATCAAAAACAATGTACAGATATATATATATATATATATATTCTTATTATTTTTATTCTTACTCTAACAGTAATGATGTGTTTTGCATAGTTTTTTTTTTTCACTTGTATTACCTTTTTTACAATCGATTCCTCAAGACAAAGACCGGCAACATAGTCATCAAGTGTCTGGTTTGGTAATTTTGTTGTATTGTCGGCTACATATTCTCCCATTAATCTTTTGGCTTTGGAGATTCGATTTCGTAATTCAATTGCTAGTGCTGCCAAGTCATCTCTTTCATTTGAACGCGTCTGGATCAAGTTGTCTGTGAGCTGGAGGATGGAATTAAAGAGGTCTGAACGTTCTTGTTCAATCTTTTCTAGAGGTGTTCCGATCTCTGCATGAATCGTGAGTAGATCTTGTAGCCGGGTACAAAAACTCTTTTCGAATTCCTCAAACATTCTATTTGAATTTTTATATATAAAAATATATAAATATATATATATATATATATATATAAACAGATAGATAGATATATGTATGTATGTATATTTAAAGAATTAAAAGAAATGTAAAAAAAAAAATCAAATCAAATAAACAGTAATCAAATAAGATAAGAGTAAAATAAATAAATTAATAAAATTACCGCCATTTATTTTGGTTTTATTTTCTTTGATATAATTTTTACTATTTTATTACAATGACAATGGAAATGGCAATGACAAATAGATATACATGTATATAATCAACGATAATTTTACAGGCTATATTTCAAGAGAATTGTAGTGTGTAGTGGGTGACAATAGAAACACCAACAATGATAATGATAATACGTGTCTTTTCTTTCTTTCTTAATTTGCTTGCTTCTCTTGCTTGGTGTGATTACAACAATAAGAATATAATAAGAAAGAAAAGGAAATAAAAGAAAAGAAAAAGTCTACAGAGAAAAAGTTAAATGTGGATGATGTATGATGTATGTGGGTGCGTAATGTGTAATGTATAAGGTGTAATTCAAGGTGATTTAAATGATTAGCCTTTTGATTTGACAGGCTGGAATCATTGCCGCAGTTGAAAAGACGATATTGATAGGAGGATTGAAACGACCAAATGCTGGCCTGGACCAGAAGTGGGAGCGGAAGTAATTGGGATTGTCTTTCTTTGTTCGTCAGTATCAGATACTGACCAACAAACTAGACTGCGGGCGGTGCCATGCCTTTCGCAAAGGGCCCAAGCATTGTATTGACCGAGGCTGTTGTGATTGATGGGATTGTTGTAGCGTAGTATAATTATTACTATTATTATTAATATTGTTAATAATAATAGTAGTAGTATCAGTACAGTGAGAACGGTAAATATTGTCACTTTGTGAAAATGAAGTGTCTGTTTGCCAAAATTAAACGTTTCAAATGAAGAATCCATTTGTCCGTTTGTTCCAAAAAATTGTCTTTTTCGTACATATCTCACTTTGGTCCAGGAAGATACTGTAGACCATCCGGTATGTTATATGATCCTTGATTTGGACGATACAACATGCATGAAAGAAAAAGATGTTTGCCGTGCAAGAAATTGATGAAATGAAGGAAGAAAGATCAATGAATATATAATATCCAGGATCCCGCAAGACCTTGGGGATTACATTAATCGCTTTAACTGTAACAACCTGAAAGATTTACGAGCATGTCTGACAGATGCCTAAGTTCGGGAAAAAAAGAAGGGTAAGGTATGAACAGGCACGATGAGCTTGATTGGATAAAGTATCCCATTCATACATATATCAGACTCTATGAATCAGGAGAATTGAATACTACCTATTGATACAGTATTTGATGACATCAATAGTATTCATATTGTAGCGTAAGTTTCAAAAAAGTAGTATACGTATAAGTAGTAATTTCTGTTTTTTTTTCCCAAATTGTAGTGGTGAATCGGTAAGTCTGGCGAGTATCCTACGTATAAACGAAAGCAGAACAATCGGATCTATATCGGAAATCAAGCGAGTCAGATCAGGATACAGATGCGACATGATTGTCCGAGAGAGGAAAGCCAATCATGGGGAAGTAAATGAAGTTTGAGCTAGTAAAACAGGATTCAAATCGAGTGGAACAAAGCACATCAAAGAAGTAGGAATCAAATTGCCAAAAGTTTTAAAAGATATGCTAGCTAGTTTTGTCTTTAACGATAACGGCAGCTATGAAGGTCTTGCTACATTTGGATTATGACAGTATGGCTTGAATAGGACATTAATTGTAGTATATAAACCAAAAGCGTACGTTGGAAGAATTACCAGGTTAAAACAGTTTAGTTTTCCGAGTAAAGTACGTCTCTTTTGGTAAACAAGTGCTATAATTGCTCGTTTTGATGTGACAGTTTAAACAGAAGATCTTGAATGTACAGCAACACATATATATATATCATTTAACCAAAACAACACTTCCAAGTAACAGCGACTGGTTGCAAACTTGTTTATTGGATACCAACAATACCATTGTTGCGTCAGTTACTTTAAACTCCACAGAGTATCTGTCAAAGAAAAGAAGAAAAGTAATGTAAAATAAATAAATAAAGCGAATCTGATCATGACTATCAAGCATATATGTGAATTATTCAATATATTTACTTTGTTTCTTTCGAGGCTGGCTAGAAGACATGAATAAACATTAGGATAAAGATGGCAACGTTGGTGAAACGAAGACAGAGGAAGTGGTGGCTACCCACCCTAGTTCAAATTGGAAGAAGTTCCTGAACAGTTTCTTTTAGACAAAAAAGAATATATATATATATATGTATATATTTTCAAAAACATTTGTTTTATTATTATTATTACTATTATTATTATTATTATTATTTGATTATATATTAAGTTAATTAGTTACAATTAAATTGTCCCTTGTCTTGCCACCGATAATTAGCTCAACCGAAAGCTTGGTGTTTACAAGAAAGGTATAAAAGGAGAGGAATACAGTAGAAAACTTTATTTACTGTAGTCTGAGAATAAAAGCGAGGCTAGGGAAGCCTATAACCACATCCTCTGTCTTCGTTTCACCAACGTTGCCATGTCTAAATTATAGGATTCCAAGCCAAATGATACATATTGCTGTTGTAATACTTGGGATTCTTTTGAAGAGCAATTGATTCCCTGCTGATAGTGTTGCTGATACTGATACTGGCTGTGGTAGTCCGGGTGGTAGTTAATTAAAGGTGAAGATGATACTGATGAGGATCCTGCTGATAAGGTCTCTTCTGTCGTGTCGGTTAATGAATTTATTGTTAGCTCATCTTGAACGACAAGGCTGAGCTTTACAGAGGCTGCGTTGGTTTGTGAAATAAAATTGGTATTGTTATTGTTATTGTAGGTTGCCGTGGCGACATTAGCAGCAGCAGTGGTGGTTGTGTCTGCCTCTAAGCCTTTGTCTATCCTCATCCATATCCCTGTGCCTGTGCCTGTGCCTGTGCCTGTGCCTGTGCCTGTGCCTGTGCCTGTGCCTGTGTCTGTATTCCCTGCAATTGTTGTTGTTGCTGTGGCTGTAGTTGTGGCTGTAGTTGTGGGACTAGATTTTGACTTGAGTAATTTTTCACCATGGATAAAAGTACATCGGACACCATACAGACACGTGCCAGTAAGATGATAAGTTTTGCAAATCTCCGTCTTGTACCGTGCATGTCGTTGCACTGTCCGCAGTTCGTCATGCCCGTGCGCAAATCGACACTTTCTTCCATACCTAAAAATAATAAAAATTTAATAAGAATAATAGCTTTGAGCAGGAATGTTGACTGGAGATTTATGTAATAATCGCATTGTAGTGCGCTGTAATTTACTGTGCTGTATTATAATATGCTATCAATCTTATACTCTTGTGATTCTTACCTGCACTGACCCATTTCTGTCCAGTTACGACACATTTCGGTCTTGAAGAGATTCGGTTTATTCTCTGGTACAGTAGCAGCAGCAGCAGCAGCAGCAGCAGCAGCAGTAGTAGTAGTAGTAGTAGTAGTAGTTGATAAGGTTGAGGATGAAGATGAGGTTGGTGTTGGTAGTGGCATTGTTGTGGATATAGAATTAAGGCTAATGGAAAGCATGATATTAATGAAGTATATAGATATATAGGTACAAACGATATTAACAATAATGGTTACAGTTGTAGCTACAGTTATAGTAAATGTAACAATAATATATAAATATAAATTAAAATTAAAGAAAGAAGGAAAGAAAGTAACGAGCTCAGTTGGAAGAAACTAGAATTAAATAATAACAGCAGTAAAAATAATAATAATCATTGTGATTATGGTTACTATTGCTATTAATACTGATACAGCTAATATATATATATATAAAGAGAGAGAGAGAGAGAGAGTCTTTGTGGACAGATTTGAATTTGGCAGACTTGATTTTTTTTTGTATTTTAAGGACGATGACTCCATTCTTGGGGACACCATTGTTACCCATCCAGCTCCTTCCGTGATTCCGACAGCGGTATATATATATAATAGTGATAATAATTAATTATCAATTTCTCCAATACCAGATGAAGCACCTAGTTATCATGTAGCCCCCCCCCCCCCCCACACACACACACACGCACACACTTAGACTTAAACTTACATGAATTATACGTATATAATTCACACACAATCAAAACAAGAATATGTAATTCGTATTTTACTCTCCTTTCTTTTACCTTCTTTTAATTATCAAATGCTTTACACTAATTACAGCAAAAAACAGGCATTATATATATATATATTATATTATACTACTTTATGATATTAAATGGTATTAGATGGTATGATATGATATAATACAGTATATGTATAATGTATATATATATATATATATATTATGTATATGTATATGTATATGTATATACATGTAGATGTACATGTAGATGCATATGTATATGTATATGTATATGTATATGTATATGTAGATTTAAATGTAAGTGTAGATATGTATAAAAGAAGAAGAAGAAGAAGAGGAAAATAAACAACAATGGATTATTATTATTATTACTATTATCATTATTTTGTGTTTTACGTTTTACGTTTTTTTTTAACTTAATGTAGTTTTATCACTACTGATAGTACTAGGAGAAATACTGCTACAACTACTACTAGTTTTACTATTATTACTATTACTACTACTATTACTACTATTACTACTGGTACTACTGGTACTACTGGTACTGCTGGTACTGCTGGTACTGCTGCTACTACTACTAGTAATACCAGAAGTAGTAGCAATATCAGTAGCAGCAGCAGCAGTAATGGTGCCAGGCTTTCCAAGAACATCACTATCCAAAGAGCGTGATCGTCTGCTGAGCCCTCTAGTCAACGTCTCGCCTCTCTCATCCGACCCGCCAATCTTAGTTTTTGGTAAATTTGCCTGAAGTAATCCAAGTGGTACATCATCATCCTGTCCTTCTTTTTTAGGCTCTTCATATTCCTCAAATTTACTTCTCAGGTGTGGTTCTGACTGTGTTGCCCAAAGGCTGTTTAGTCTACCCAATATCCTTTGTTGTTGCTGTTGCCGAGGCTTCTCTTTTTGCTGCTGCTGCTGCTGTTGCTGCTGTTGCTGTGGCTGTGGCTGTGGCTGCGTCTGTGGTTGTTGCTTTGATTTACGGGGAGGTGGGGTTGAGGACGGAGAAGATAAATCTAACAAGGGGCGAACTGGTGCACGAGAATATTTTGCAAAGGTCGACACCGAATTGGGTAAGAAGAAATGACTGGGATTTTGAAATGATTTTTCTTGCTGAGCAGCAGCAGCAGCGGCAGCAGCAGCGGCAGCGGCAGCGGCAGCAGTGGATGTATTCTTTGAGACTGGTGAACGTACAATCTTCCATGTATTATTTTTGCTGCTAATATTTGCTTTTTGTTTGCGCACCTTGCGTGTAATCCAAGGAGAAGACTTTCCAGAACTATTGGCTGGTTCACCTTCCAATGACTCATTTACGCGTGTGATCACAGCTGCGGTGTCAGCATAGGGCTTGCGCCGACGCCTGGTTGCTTCCTGGATCGGATGTACGTTGTTGCGCACACGGTCTGTGGGTGTCTCTAGGAGCATAAATACATACCGAGTCCGGCGTGGTTTGCGACTGCTGCCACTAAACGAGTCTGCACGGGTCAAGGGCGAGGAGGTAAATTCGCGCTCAAATAAATGGGAGCGGGCCAGTTGGTTCAACAGTGGCGCTGCATCCTTGGACTGTTGCAGAAATGCAAGCACACGGCAGACCGAAAGATATCGACTCATGGTGTAGTCCTGACTGACCGCCTTGAGTTTTGTAAGAGTTGTGATGTATATCTTGCTGAGTTTATTGAACTCTGTCTTGAGTGCAGCACTGCAAGGCAAAGGCGTACAAGGTGGCGAGGGTGTCGTTTCTGCTGCTGCTGCTGCTGCTGCTGCTGCTCCAGGTCCAGGTCCTGGTCCTGCTGCCGTTGTTGTCGATGTTGCTGTTGCTGTTGCTGTTGCTGTTGTTGTTGTAGTAGTTTGGTTTGTTTGAGCTATTGTACCTATTGTAGTGGCTGCTGCTATTGCTGCTGCTGATAATAATAATAATGAGGAGGATGAAGACGATGATGATGATGAAGATGAAGATGAAGACAAAGATCTTATATTTGCGTCTGTGCCTGTGTTTGTGTTTGATGTGAAATGGGAGCTGGATAACAAGTTGGAAATATCTTTTGGGTTAAGTGATGCCGCACTTGTTTTTTTAGTTAATCCATTGCTACTCTGTGCTCCACCTCCGTCTTCGACTTCCTCGTCGTCGTCGTCGTCGTCGTCTTCTTCTTCATCTTCTTCTTCGTCGTCGTCGTCTTGCTCATCTAGGTTCCAGACTTCTTTTGCAGCAGAGTAGTTTTTGGATAGTTTTGTGTTGCCGAGGTTTGAAAAGGGCTTTCGTTTGGAGCGAGCACTAGGACTCTTCTTTCTGTGGAAAATGCGGCCTAGAAAGGAGGGGTGCTTCTTTAGATCATCTAGCATGATGGAAGAGGTAAAAGAGAGCTCAGAAGGGTCTAGTGGGGATGTTTGGTTTACTCTTGTCGAAGTGACCTTTGGGCGTAGTTGTGATTTAGCCCAGACCCCCAGTGAGAAAGAAGAGGGGCGTGGATAAGATTTGACAGAGGACATTAACAGAGAGCGAGCATGCAAATGGAAAACAAGAAAGGAGAAAAAAATATAAAGAAAGAAAGAAAGAGAGAGAGAAAGAGAGAGAGATAGTTGGGGGGAGTAAGGGAGCAAGGGAGTGAAGTGAGTAAAGTGAGTGAAGTGAGTGTGTTATTGATTGATTGATTAATTGATTTATTTATTTATTTATTGAAGAGAGGGGATAGGTTAAGGGTAGGGTAGGGGCGGGTAGGGGAGGGGAGAGGAAGGGAGAGGAGAGAGGGAAGGTTAACCAGGTCTCTCTCTTATTTTTTTTTGAAGGGTTAAATACACAGAGCACAAAAATCGTGTAAGAATGACGAGAAATGTCTAGATAATCTTGCGAGGGGGCAAAAGGGAAATGAGAAAAAGAAGAAGAAAATATGAAAGTAAGTAAGAAAGGAAGCAAGCCAGAAAATAAGAAAGTAATTTCAATAAAAATGAAAATACAAATACAAAGTACAAGCACAAGCACAAGCACATAAACATACATAAACAAGCATACACAAGCCCAACAAGCCCAAAAAAGCGCACATACGCACACACACACACACACATACGCATACAAATACGCATACAGCCACGCTTCCTTTATCAAACTCTTTGTATCTCTTTACCTTCATTTATTCATTTATTCATTCATTAAATAAAGAAATGGTTTTTATATATAATGCCACAATATCGCAATAGCACAACATCACAACATCACAACATCACACCATCACAACAATATAACAAAAGCACAACAAGATGCACAAACCGAGGAAAGTAAATAAATAATCACACAAATAAAATGACGATTGCGCAAAATGTTACAGAAAATAAAATATGAGTTTTTATCTTTGTTGCCTATAGATCTGGATGTGGTGTTTATGATTTCGGACTATAGTATTATTATTGTTATGGTCTTGGCTCTATTTTCTGGTCGATTTTAATGTTTGTATGTATGTATATGTGTATGTATATGTGTATCTATCTACTTCTTTATAGTTATATTTATATTTATATTTTTCAATCTTTGTTAAAGATAGTGCCATTCGATATCACAGCGCCCTCGTCCAAGATCACCACAAACTCTTTGAAATACTAGAAATATTAATAGATAGTATTAATAATATTAACAATAATAATAGTAATAATGGCTTACATGCTGGAGACATATCTAGACCACCTAATTCAAACAAACAAACAAACAAATAAATAAATAAAAGAGAACAATAGGTAAATAGCCGAAACAATACGCCAAGAGGAATTTGTTTATTGTTTTAATGAATTACCTTCCGAACAACCTGGGCATGTGTCTACAACTCTTGCCTTTACAACACCTTCATCACCCTTTATTGAAATTGTCTTTTGGCAGTGAGGGTTACTGTTTGGATTTGGACCTATCAAAATAAAGATACATATATTTTATATTTATTTATTTATTTATTTATTTATTTGTATGTATATGCATGTGTATGTATGTAAATGTATGTAAATGTATGTAAGTGTTTGTATACATATATAATAAAAATTGCTTATTTTATTAACCTTTTTTTCTTAAAAAAAAAAGAAAAAGAAAGTGTCAATAGATACACCATCACTAATACTACTATTGCTAAAACTAAAACTAAAACTAACACCAGTAATAAATAAATAAATAAATAAATAAATAAATAAATAGACCCTGCCTGTGCTTACCATTATTCATTTGACCTGTGTTGACAGCCACGACCATTTCTGTATCAGAATTTGTCTCGCCACACGAGCCTGGACCGACATTGTAATAAGTTCCCGACCCTGAAAAAGATTCACTTCGACGATGTGCCAGCAACGGTAAGGCTATAATTGAATCTACAAGTACAAGGCCGCAGAAACACCAGAAAAATGATCGAAATTGAATGCCCAGCATATAAGAAAATCTAATTATTATTTTTATAACCAACAATAATATATATTCAAAAAAAAAAAAGAGAAAGAGAGAAAGAGAACGAGTGATGAATATTAATGTGAGATGGGGAAACAAAACACAAAAAAGAAAAGAAAAGAAATAGGGGGAGGGGGAGGAGGATATAGACAATGGGGTTCGTTTATTAATAATCCTTTGGGATCTCTTGTTGTCTTGCAAAGAAGTTGTGGGAAATATACTGTATACGCTTATATATACATTTTATAGACCTCTATAGGTGTGTATGTATATATATATATATATATATTAGCGTAAAACGCTCATATCTACCAAGTATGAAGAAGCATACCATCCCCCTTCAAAAAGAAAGGAATCTCCTATTACCATAAACCTGCCCCTCCTTTTAATATTTTGTTTTTTGTTTCTATTTTATAGTAAAGTAGATATCTGTCTGTTAATATTTTATTAGATGTGCGATTATTAGGTTCTTTTTTTTTGTTTTTACTATTTGTAATATTGAAATAAACCAATAAAAATTAAAAAATAAATGCAGATTTGTGAAAAATAAATAACGTATAGCGTAATTATGTCTGATTGTTGTGCTTTTTATTTTCTTAAAAAAAAATATATATATATATATATAAGAAAATAAGAAAGAAAGATGCTGAGTTGGGTTCTGCAGGTTTGTGCATACAAATCTCACTTTCACTCGCTCAAACTATAGAATTAGTACTAGCTAGTTATTTCCTAAAATAATAGATAGAGGATAATAGGAAGCGCTTTTCTTTTTCTCTGAAGGGGAAGATAATAAGGGACTGGAGACAGATAAAGAAAGAAGAGGGGTAAAAGACGAGATTGCGATCGAACTTTGCTTGTCATTCTCATTACCCAAAAAATATATATAATTAATTATATAATTATATAATATAATTCGACCTTGACATCCAAGCATTTTACTCCTCTTTGGCTTTTTATTCTTTTCTCTCTCTCCCTTTTCTCCTTTACCCCCCTACCCTACCCTTTGCCCTTTGCCCTTTGCCCTTGATTGTATATTAGTATGTATATATATTTCTGGCTACATTCAGTCTCGTCATCAAAACAGGAAATAGTATATATATATATATATGTGTGTGTGTGTGTGTGTGTGGGTATTAGCCTTTGTGAATGGTTATATTTAACAAAAAGTGTTGTGTATATCTTTATGTCTGTGTCTATTGTTGCTGCTGTTACTGTTGTTAGTGTTACTGTATGCATACATTGATACACAAGGCTGATGTCTTTGGAAGATAGATTTTACAAAAAAAGAGAGAGAGAGAGTTTAAACAATGAAACTGCACTCAAGGCACTACTTTCACAAAGAACGATCCGTAAAATGTTGTTTGTATTAAAATTCATAATGAAAATGAAAATAAGAATCTTCATATTTACACAGCTAAAATACCTTTAGATATGTGTGTATATGTGCATACTTTCTTGTTTGTTTGTAAATATTCTTATATATATATATATACATACACTTTATGCACAGACTGAAATATCCTTTTTATTGTACTTTACTTTGCCTTCTCCCTATAGGTGTATAAACCAACCAATTAAAGTAAAATAAAGAATAAAGAAGCCCATAGATTAACCCTCTTTCCATTTCTAATTTTACTTTATATCTTGGCTACCAGGCCAAGTCTGTAAGAACTTGTAAATTGTTATATAATTTCTTATAACAAAAAACCTCTCCCCAATAGTTATAGTAATCCATGGATCCTATATCTATGCTCCTGATTTTCTCTCATTCGTAGTGTATTATTTCGAATAGTATTTCTTTATTTTGTACTTTTAACTATCTTTTAAAACAAGGTAATAGAAGCGTATTATTCTTATATTTTCCTATAAAATATATATATATATTGAAAAGTGACATTCTATAATATCAATAAAAATGAAAATGAAATATTTTGAATTGGAATGAGACCAGATGTATGTATCTATAATACTGATGATTTTGTCTTTCATTTATTTTATAACATTCCTTTTCATAATAATAGATAATAATTCAAATAACAAATTTCATTCACACATACTTCTTCTTCTTCTTCTTCTTCTTTTTATTTCTGACACATATTTATATATTATGTATTATGTACGATCTTGACCTTAATATACTTTTTATATGTAAATGTATGTATGTGCTTTTTTTTTAAAAAAAAAAAAGAAAAAAAAAATTAGTAATGGTAATGGTAATAGTAACAGTGATAATACATGATAATGAATATATTCTAAAGACTGGCCCATGCAGAAATAAGAATGGCTGCCTGGTGCTCTTCACGGACTGCGATTCGGACAAAGGTATTGCATCCATATCCAGGCTTTCCACTACGTACAGGTACACCTGCAGCGCGTGCCAGATCAACAGCCTTTGTGGCGACCTCATCGCTGCGGACATCAAGCCAGACCCAGCTCAGGAAAGGCTCGCCATGACAGACCCATCCCTGTTGCTTGAATCCCTTGATTTTCTCGAGTTCGCTGATCAGATGTGCTCTCAACCGGCTGGTGTTTTCCCAGGTCTTGTTCAGATACTCATCATCCTTTACAACAGCCTCGACAAACTTGAGTGCCGGACCATTGACAGACCAGGGAACCTGGATCTTCTTCAGTGCCTCACAGTGCTGAGCAGTGGGGCAAATGACAGAGCCGACTCGCAGACCAGTGCAGGACCAGATCTTGGTCCACGAGTGCATCACATGTACAGACACTTGATCTCTCTCCAGCATCGACAGCATAAATTCGTGCTGGTTGATCAATGAATCGGCACGGAAATCTGCCGAGTGCCAGAGCTGCATAGATTCATCTAGTCATCCCAAAAGAAGGACACCCAATACAATATATATATACATACCAGTTGAATAATATTATTATTAATAATCAATTTTTTGTTTTTTTTTTAAAAAATAAAAATAAAACACACACACATACATAGAACTATATTATACTGTTTTCACATACCAACCATAACAGTTCCCTTTGGAGCTACGTTCTGCTCGAGCCAGCCCTTGATTTCTTCAATAGGTAAATAGTCGCCTGTAGGGTTGCAAGGGTTGACAATACAGATCATATCAGCACGCTCTTTGCTAGAAGGATCGAGGATCTTGAATCCGTTTGTGGCTGCACTTCTCTGATACTCTTGATACTTGATGGTTTATAATACAGTTTAATAATAAAGAAATAAAGATACCATCCCCTCTTCTTCACTTACTTGTACATTCCATGGTCCACCTTTCCATGTGGGGTTCTTGATGCCTCTTTCACGTGCTTGGTCCAACGCTTTGCGGACAACCAGATCAATGAGCTCCGAAGCGCCGTTACCCATCAACAGACGTCCGTGATGCTCAGCAAAATTCTTGGGCCACAAGAACTCTGCCAGCCTTGACTTTGCAGGTTCTTGGTTTGCGGCAGGGTAATGGTGAATCTGGCCCATCTGAATCCCATTCGATTCAATTATTAATTTTTCTTTTCTTTGTGTGTATTTGAATCTCTTTTTGACATTAATCTCATTCACATTGTGTAAATCCATATATAAAAAAAAAAGAGAGATAGAGAAAAGGCACATACTGCTATACGTGCGGCCTCAAGGGCTTTCTTAGGTGTACCGAGATAGTTGGTCGTCACACTAAAGTCCTCGACAAAATTATCAATAAAAAAGTGTTCCTGGCCACCATGGAAGGTTTGGGTTTTGCTGTCCCAGGTATTGTTTCCAGAGTTGTTGTTTGAGGCTTTGGAAGTCATGATATATTATATTATATTATATTATATTATATTATATTATAATATTGTATAAAGTATATAATAAAATTTTAAAGAAAAAATAAATAAATAAATAAATAAATTAATAAACAAGAAGAGAAAGAAGAAGAATTATATTATCTCTGAGTCCCCCTCTCCCTTTCGTTTTTTGTTTTTTCTTCTTCTTTTTCTCTCTCTCTCTCTATATATATATTCTTATTCTTACTCTTATTCGCTAGTCGGAGCAAAGACTTTTTGAACAAGTCAAAAAAAAGAGGGTTTATTCTCTCTGTGTGACAAGAACGGGATCGCGTTTAAAAGTAAAAGCTTATCCCAAGCCCTTGAGTGATCCTTTTCTATTTCTCTTGTATAAAGATATTCAAAGAAGTCCTCATATCTTGATTGTTCTTTTTTTTTTTTTCTTCTTTTCTTGAGTCTTGAGATTATTAAAAGTCACAATAATCAACAGTCAATAGGCAATGGTTATTAAGCTTTGTTACAGATATTACACACACACACATATATATATATATATATAATTTTCTTCCCCAAAGAACATGAATGTTTGACATGAGAAAAATAGAGAATAATAGTAATAAAATAAAATAAAATAAAATAAAATAAAATAAAATAAAAAAGGGACCCCAGACTAAAGCATTTCAAGACGGCTATTTTATTTTATATATATACTTGTCCCCATCATTAAAACTTTGGAGATGTTGATAGAAACACAAGATGTTGGTATTTGTGCAACAACTAGCCAACCAAGAAATAGATGTATGTATGTGTATATTATTGTATTCTTATGCTCTTATGATACAAAACATACAAAACGCCATATCTTGACGCGACATTATGATTAATGATTCTCTGAATACCCTATAGAAAACAAAAAAAAAAGGCGATCTTAGTGAATTGTTGCAAGTTTTCCGGGGTTTAAAGTGTCTTGTAGTTGAGTTTTAATTAAGCACCAATTTCTCTCTCGGTCTCTTTTATATTCTACTTTTTTTTTTTACCCCACCATGTTTAAGTCGGTTAAGTATATGCCAGAATTTCAGGACAGCAGCAAGATCTCTATTCCACAAATTATGCTCAAACTGTAACGGAGCCATGTCCTCGAAACAATTTTGGTTTGGTAAACCTGCATGAATTTATAAAAAGTATTAATAAAAGAAGAAGTGCTGACTAGTTGTAATATTCACCCTAGAAGACTATGACAGGTTACAGTTGGCCATTGCGTGGGGTTATATTAGTGAGAGTTTTCGACTTGTTTGAAGGTTCAAAGGGAAAGCCGAGAGCACGAAAAATAGTGCTTGGAAGTACTAAATGTATCAAACAAACAAAGATCAAATTCATGCTTACAAAGTAGATATCTAAATACTACACCATTGGTTGGTTCATGACTATGGTTGTGAGATACAGACCAGTTTTTTTTTGACATTAATACAAAAGGTCAACCAAATTCAGAACTGATATTGCTTCCTAGACATTCTTTAGCTTTGGGTTGGTTAATATAGAATGAAAGGCAAAACTTGCGGAATAAAATCTTTGGTTGGTTTGAATTTTGGTATTTGCGTAAAAATAAGCAGAGGATAGAGATAATTACAGTAATATAGGCAAAGAACAAAGGTATGTAGAGTTTATCTTGAAGAATAGTGCATGACCATTGTATGCTAGACTGCTTAGAGGCTGCACAGTTGGATAAAGAGACAAACATGGCCTACACAATTATGTATTTTCAAGTCTGAACTTAAAGAAGCCTTTTCCGTCAAAAAGTAATGATTGTGATTACTTTTTAATGCATTGATGTTTTATTATTTTGTAAAAATCTCTTTTATTTATTTCTCTTTTATCACAAGGTCTAAAATTATTAAAGGTCCTTAAAAAACATACTTAATAGCTATCAAGGCTAGTACTGATAAAATATAAATCCGTAAAGTTGACAGAAGAAAGTAACTTGAGAAGAATTGACAGAAAAATATCTGCATCAAGTACAATTTGGCTGTCAAGATTGCTCGTATGCTCATTAGAGATCTCGGTAGATTTAGAGAATCGCAGGGAGTGTGTATTCTGGTTTTTCAAAAGTAGTTATCAGGCATAGCAATGTTAACACAAAGCAGGTTTATACTCTTCGATAAAAAGAATCCATTAAGCAATACACATGCCTTCCTCAATATCATAGTATCTAGAGAATAGCCATTTGTTTAGATAAAAAATGTGAAAAGTATCACATAAAAATAGATATATGTATATTATCTAGTAAATATATAGCTTAAGCTCCTACTAAATATCATAAAATTAGTACTTCTTCTTTGCATACTTCTTTACGTTTAACTTGTATTACTTTGATCCACAAAAACCATAAAATTCCAATATAAAACAGCATGCATTTGTTGAACCAATCATAAAGAGAATACAAATACCTAAAAAAGGTTTTAATCTGCCATATTTAGAATATTTGATTGGATTAGATGCAAAATAGTATAAAATCCCATAAATCGTATTTGACAAAAAGTAAAACTAATAGGCTAAAACAGACATGCTATTGGCTATAATAGTTACGAGTGCGTAACTCGGTACGAGGTCGGAGGTATAAATCCTGCCATTTCCTACAGTGTTGGGTCTTAATTAAAACTCATATATAAG